TTTTGTTGGTTTGTTTTTACCACTAAATCCACAAATAGTTGGTGATGATATTTACTGTAGTATTTAAACTTCCTGTCCCCTATTAAAGCTGAGGTAAAAAACATTTATGTTTATTCCAACAGAAAGAGTCTCAACATTGATTTGATGACATAGTACCAATTTTTTGTGTTGTCCTTTTAATTTGCCAACTCAGTGCTGTTTATCATGGAAGATTATTGCAAATCAAATCAACTAGAGTGATTCATGCAACTTTGAGTAATTGGTGACTGGACTCACTCGAGGAAAGGTGGGCTCCTGCTTGGTTGGAATGAAAACATGCAGCCACACCGGCCCTTTGGGGACTGTTTTGACACGCCTGTTATAGATGATAGCTATATATATATAACCAAAGAACAATGTCTCCATAAAGACATGTTTTGACAGCTTTCACCTGTTTTGCCCACTATAGCAGCGTTTCTCACCAAATATATTGATATAAAATGTCTAAAGTCCAGCAATAGTTCTTTGAGTGAGAGTAATAAAGTTGTGTACAGAATGTAGTAGAAGGCGTCTGCTCCGGAGTGGAGGTAAACAGGACAGATATGAGGAAGTCAGCTGTCAGGAGTGAGGGGGACACATGAGGCTGGTTGGCTCCTCATGACGTCAATGAGGAGAGAATATACTGCAGGAGAAAAATAACACTTTCTCTGAAGGAAACATCAAAGCAATGGTTTATGAATTATGCTTTTTCATTTTGTTGAAGTAAAGTAAAGTGTGTAGGATCCAACCGCAAATCTGTGACAGACAGAGAACCATGTATTTGGGGAAAAAAATAATTTGTGATGACAAGAAAAAAAGATAAAGTTATGAGCTCATCCAACAGTTTTATTGCAGGTTATTCTAGATGTTGACATTATGTTTTATTATATAATATGTATGTTGTCAGAATAAATTACCATTCATTCAAATTACTTAAGGCTTGGCAGAGTCCCTTAGAGATGGGTGAGGAGCTCCGAGTAGAGCCACTGTTTCTCCACATCAAGATAATCTAGTTGAGGTGGCTCTGGCGTCTCATTCGGATGCCTCCCCAGCGGGAACAGACCAGAGGAAGACCCAGAACTTGTTGGAGGAACTATGTCTCTCTGCTGGCCTGGGATCTCCTTGGGATTGCCCCAGATGAGCCGGAGGAAGTGTGTGCAGAGGGAAGTCGGGGTGTCTCTGCTTAGACTGCTGCCCCCAGCGACCTGGAAATGGATACCGCGAAAGAAAATGGCAGTTATTGAGTTATTGATATATATGGCACAAAATTCCAATATTCCTTCATGATCAAAGTCAACTCGACGAGATTAGGATGGATATAGTTCTATACAGAGAATGACATCCTTGCTACAGCTCAATGCTAATTTGCTTTTACAATGGGCTGTAAAAAAATATATATTCAATCTCTTCCTACATTTAAGAAGCTCCCTGCTGATCAAATCTCGCTCTGATTCCCAAACTGTGTCATGCACGAGTCTTGTGCTCCGTAAAAATATCTCCACTGTTTATATGGAGCGTGGACATCTTGAGGGCTTTTCAGTGGCTACAGTTGTAACAGTCAGAGCCCCATGTCTTCGGTGTGAGTTCGATCAAAATGAATGAACGATTGAACAGATGGCAAGTCGCTGCAGGAACGGCCTCCAGCCCATCTGTACTTGTATCACGCATCGTCAGAGCCAGAAAGACACGGCTATGAGTAATGTATAGTGAGCAAAAACAGAACCGGAAAATACTAAATATCTCTCTAGTCTTTTGAGATTGATCCCTGCACTGGAGAGTTGGGATGTACAGATACTGGTGCTCATCCAGAAAGAAGCGATTGGATCAGGTATTTTATTGGGCCATTCAAACTTCCAATTGATCTGTTATGTGTACCAAAAAATAACAGTTAAAAAATAAATTAGCTGTACTTTGCCCTGATTTCGCCCCATCCTCATCAAGTATTGAAAAAAAAGTCACCAAAATTAGTCCATCAAAGCCCCTGGGCACTTACATACCCTGGTAACTAAAACACTACTGCATTTACAACAATTGATGTCACATACATTTAATTAGTGCCTATTTAGGAGAATACCTTTATCAACAATGTAATGAAATCAATCTAACTAGTTTGCGGCTCCAAAAACAGTTTGGTTCTGTCTCTAGTTTGCACATGCGTGTGTTTTTTGCCTCTGTCACATTTTTAGATACATATGCTAAAAGTAACGTATCTGGCTGGTTACTTATGTCTATGAAAACAAGATTTGGGAAGTCGTATTGAAGCCAATTGGTCAATAGAAAACCAAACCTGGTCCAAATCAGGTCTAAGGCAAGACTTAAACATCTCTAAACCAAACCAAAATTGTCTTGTCCAACCGGGTCCATCCCAGGTCCAAACCAAGACTTATCGAGATTTTAACCAGGTCCAAGCTAGGCCCAAACCTAGTCCAAACCAAGACATAACCAGATCTACTGTACACCAAGGCCAAGCCAGGACAACATTATAACGGGATTAGATAACTTCGAGGATCCATTTTCCTTTACCTCATGGCAAATTATCACATCCCCTGCTTCATATCATAACTGTCTCCATATGACAGACACATTCAGGTTACAGCAGGACACTCATCCAAACTATGTACAACAAACACAAGCCAGAAATGTCATAGAAATAATGCGCACAACAGGAAACGGATTAATTATATTTGTTTGGAAGGATATTGCCTTCTCCATGTCAAGATGTCATTTATTTTTTTGATATCTTGCTCTCTTAATCTTCACATACTTCTCATGTCTTACTGAGGTCTGACTGGGACAAATCAATAATTCAAAGAGCAGCAGGTCCCATATGTTGACTTCCACCCAACACCAAAACAGTTTGATTAATTTATATGTAATCTAGCCCCGCGGTGCTCTTGTAAGATTAATTGCTTCTCATAATTACTGGCTAAATTTTGCTTTCAGACACATCCATGAACACTAGATATTTGCTGATTCATTCGCTGATATTAGTGCCTGCATTTCTATAAGAGAAGTAAAGTCTATATTCTTGCCTTTTCATTGGTTGTAGTTGAGTAGGCTTCACTGTATTACGTCCAAATCTGTTTTTTTCCCCCTCAGTCAAAGTTTGTGGGAGTAGCTCTTGCTTTTTATAGCCTGTATCTGTCAAGACCCAGCGTACATAAACCACGGCACATCTGCAACGATTTAAGCAGCTGTTTCGATCACGGTTCAATTTCCCATGACTCAGAGCCGTGTTGTAAATGCATTAAAATCCTACAAAGAATGTAGATGGAGCAAACAGCCGACATAAAACCTTAAAATTAAATTAGAATAAGAAATGTTGAAGGAAAAATTGCCTTCTATGAATTATGTATGTTTAAAGGATGGGAATGTCTACAAATGCCTAATAGTAAACAGTGCTTCTCAGACTGTGGTGGTGTTTAGTGCCCTCTGCAGGTTAGATATTAGTTTTTTATCTAAAGCTACATATTCATGATTTAGTGTAACTCAAAACAGACTGGATAGCCCCATTTAAGGTTGGTCTTAGTTCCAACAATTATTATGTTTGGGCATAGCTTAAAAAACTTGTTTTCTATATTTTCTATGAGCCTTCTTTTTACTCTATTTTTGTATATTTTGTATAAGCCAATCGATAAAGACCAAACTCCTGGTAATATGAAATATCAAATTTATTATTTCCAGGCAAATCAAACTTCCTGGGATCAATCTTGACCAGTTTATGAAGTTTGAGAGCAACTGGTTTATACTTAGTTACATTGCTACTCCTGTTTGTTGTTTTCTCTCCTGTTTCATTTGGCATTTAACAGTCACCATTTTAGTAATAATATTCAAATCAAATCAAATGGATTTGTATAGCACAAATAGCCTACGCATTCCAAAGTCCGAGTAACTGTTGGAATAGCTCTTTTTGTGTTAATCACCCAGAATATCTCAAAACACATTTCACACAACAATAATGCTTTTACAAAAGCAATTTTTTTCTATCGTGGGATAAGCGGTTCTCTATAACTGAAGTAATGTCTTGGGTACATTTTGAATAATCCTGATGACATCTAATTAATCTTCTATGTAATATATACACATATTTGCAACATATTTCCCATAGTTACGTAAATGTTCTTGACAATCACATTGACTACTAACAAAGTTAATTGCTTGAATGTAAGGATTTGTACAATTATTTGATATTTATCTAGCTGTGGGCCGTCTTGTCTGAGAAATGTTTGTCAATAACATTAAAAATATTATTACCTGTCCGTAACTATGGAAACAATGTAGAATAGGGGTATTGTACTGTAGGAAGATAGGATGTTGACTGCAGTCATTTTGATTATGAACATGAAGTGTCATTGTTATGGCTTTTACACATGCTTTTAACAAACCACAGCCTACATTCATATTGCCATTATCTTTTTGACTTTTAATGCTATGCTCTTCACACCATTGACGCTTGATGCTCCGGCTGCATTAAGTCTCCAGCTTCCCCCCATTACTTTTGACACGTTTTCAACTTTGAACTTTGCTAGTTTTTTGTGTGTGAAGCTGTAAACCATTGTAACCTAATATGTTGTTTATTCTGTTGTCCTGCATGCTTACCAGTGGATTATAAAGGTGGGATTGGCTGTTTAATTTCACCCTCCTCATCAGTAAATAGCCGCTCGGTTAATGGCCTTTCTAACCAGTGTAAAAATAAGAAGCCACTGTCTGCTGCCAAAGTCTGCATCCCCCAAATCCTCCCATCTAAATTCAAGCCGAAGACGCTGCCCTCTGGTGGAGACAACGAAGATTGCAGTAGTAACAAGAGTCAGCTTGCAAAGCATCCCAAAGCCCATAGTTGTGAAGACATCTACACAGGGAGATGTGATTGTAATGGAGAAAAAGAGCTACATTGTGATAGTGACTTCGTAGATAGCTTGAGGAATGCCCTGCCGTCCGCCATCAAGAGAAACGCGAATGAGTTTTCCAGTTTGTACCGAACCATGCACAACATCCAGAGGCCCTGCTCGGTGGGGTGCAGTCCTCACGGCAGCGTGCGTAGCTTGGCCTCCCTTTTCGAGAGCTCCCAGCCGGGCGGAGGTGAAAAGTCGGACGGGTGCATTCCCCGCCAGGCCGTGTCAACGCGGGTCAACGAGTTTGAAATGATCATCCAGAAAAGCGGATCCCAGGCACCTCTCCGTTCCTCGTCTATGCCAACTTTAAACGTGCACAATCACAACCAAAACGATTTTATGTCCACGGCTGTGTCGGCCGAGTCGCTTTTAGTTACAACCCCAAACGGTGAACATTTGAACAAGCCAGAAGCAAGACCAGAAATGGAGCAAGCAACATCTCCAACGCCCAAAGCCATAGATGAGAGCGTTGTATCTCCAGTTGTAGTGGAAGAAAAACCGAAGCAAGCGTCTCCAAAACGATGTGAACCAAAAGTCATCTTAAGTAAAAGCAGTCCTGATGTTTCTATTGACAAAACCGTAGAATCCAAGTTGTTTTTAAGCCCCCACAACCACCACCATCAACATCTCCTTCATCACCTCAACCACCCACACCTCAAACCCTCCAAGTGCAAAGGTTCTTGTCCCGCTTCTTACACACGCTTCACCACAATCTTACGTCACGAACGGCAACAGCAAGAACGTTCCTCTCCTAATACAGCTACCACTCCCACCACTGCTGCTACTACTACCACTACTGCTCCAAAAACGACCTTACCCGGCAACCTGTTTCTCATGACCCCCGCCCCTTTCCGCCTTCGCAAAAGCAACCAAAGCAAGAGGACATCACTGGCGACTAAAGTGACCGCGACAAGCCTGTGCCAAGAGCTGAGGCCGAATATCCCTCAGCGCATGTCTTCTCTGGAGGTCCTGGGACGACTGAGCAACGGGGACCACGCGGAGAATGGTTTGGACGCCAATGGGAATCTGCTGACAGGTCCTATTTGCATAATTTCATCTGTTTGCCCTGAACATGAGCGCCATCTTGTGGTCACTCATCTCGTTTTGGACTGTTTCCACCCTGTGTGCAACTCCAACTCCCTCCTTCTCCTCAAAGGGGTATCGCTGCTCCCTTCATCTCTGCGTCTGTGCCTGCTGTGTGAAACTGAAAGGAAAGGCCTCTCTCATCTCATTCTCTGTGCTAGAGTCTTGTCTGTAGTTTTTTCGTTGTATTTTTTTGTTGTTGTTGCTGCCATCATTTCTGTGACTATTGGAGATTCAAGTGTTTGGTAATGTATACTCCACTGGTGACATCAGGTTTGGGTGTTTGCAAGAACCACGCCTGCTTAGCATTACGTCAGACAAATGAGAAAATACATCTGCAGAAATTGGCTTAAATTATTACTCAGCTCGCATGATTCCCTGTAAATAATTAGTTGTTACAGACTCCTCCTAACATTTTCATATGAAACTATTTAAACTTAGTTATTTACTTACACAATCCTACAGTTGAATCCACAATAACAAACTATGATCCATCTGCTGAGTCCAATTGGTATTAAAACCAACTTCCAGACAGAAGTAGCACTGGACTAGCTGTATTCTTATATTAAAGGAAGAGTATTATGCTAAATCAACTTTTTTAGATCCATCCATTCTTAGATCAAAAACTTCTGCCACAAACATGTAACTTCCGCCCTTCTGTCTAAAAACTATTACAGGACTGAAAAATGAGTCCTGTAATAGTATGATGTCATTGTACCACTATGACATCACACTCAGTGCTGCTTTCTGTCTTTTAAAAGAAGAGCAATTGCGCTAAATTATCGGTAATTTCTCAACTGAAATTACTGCCTTTGTAATCACATGCTGTTTTTGCAGCCGGTAAATTTCAATTTCTACACCTCCCTCTGGTGTTATGATGACAAATTAGACAATCAAAACAAAATGTATCACTTTTTGAAAATATATGTTATGCACTGCACATTTTTTCAAACTAATCATTATGTATTAACTTAAAATTAGACAAATTATCTGACTTTTAGTAATATCAGTTAAATATTTTGAGATTTTTTATCAAGAAAATCTATATATTTTTTATTTTTTGTTAATTTAAGATTACCCCACTGGTAGATCATTTCAATTATAACAAGTGTATTCATCTTGTTTTGAGAGTGACTAAGATTTCAGTGTATAATGTTATATAAAACCCATAACAAAGCACCAAGAGTTCAAGTGATAATCCAAGAAAATCCCACAGTTTGGCTCTTTAAACCACTCTCTCAAACTATATTGTAGAACATTTAAGGCAAAAAATAGAGTGGCTGACTGCGCCGGTTTAATAACAATCACAAATCTCACAACTTTTCAAACTAGGTCAAAACTTTGCGACACTAAAAACTCTAAACTCCTGCAAACTTCTGTAAGATCTAAGCAGGCTGAACCACATTTTGCACACGGTTCTTCTCAAACTGAAGTCTGACCCTGATCCATTTAAGTTAACTTATTTCTTCCCCCACCCTCCATTCTCCCTCCTTGGTTTCAAAGCCTTGTTTGAACCTCTCAGAAAGTTTCTCGTTTTGATTTTCGTTTTACGTAAGCGTTGGTTTGTTGCAGCGAATGTCATTTCATGTTTTTCTGGGACACAAACATGAAAACGTTGTCGTCGGCAAAAAGGGGAATTTGTGAACTCTTTTGAAAGTAGAAGTAATGAATGCTTTTGTAGATGTAGCAATGTAGTTTTGTCATGAACACACATTGTACCATCATGTCTGTGTGCATGCTGGATTACATTTAGCATTTGGATGTCGTTCTGATTTGGTGAATTGGAAGCATGCATCTTTGTAGCAACTGATTTGTTCTGTAGCTGGAACTCATTTGTAGCATGTCTCTCCAGGAGAAACAGTAAGGACACTAAAATCTCCTTTTTGTTTTTGTTGCAGATTCGTCTCCTGCTCACAGTGAGAACCAGGATGACATATTACGAAAGAAACAGGGCGACAAAGAGGTGTGGTTTTCGTTATAGAATGTTTTTTTTTTTGATTGATCTTAGTTGATCTTCTATGCAAAATATAACATGTTATCTAGTTGGATAGAGACCAATAGCTGTGGTATAATTTGTTCACAACATGTTACTCTTTCTGTTCGGACAAATAGAATAATAAAAGCTAGCTACCTCAGCTTTAAGAGCAAAAGAAAGAATATGCTATCATCATGTTATCATATATGATTAATTATGTATTTATTTGTATTATATATTTTGTATACGTATTGTAAAATCCTGATAAAGTCCTCTCTCTCTCTCCACTGTCCTCCTCACTGCTTTCACACTTGTGTTTCTCGTCACACACAGAAAATCCTGGAGGAGCAGCGGCGGCTGAAGCGGGAGCAGGAGGAAGCGGATGCGGCGGCGCGCAGACACACAGGGATCGTCCCCACGCGACATCAGTTCATCACAAACGAGCGCTTCGGAGACCTGCTCAACATTACCGACAACAGTGAGAAGAGGAAGTCCGGAGTGGAGGTAACGGAACACTCCTATCTGCACCGGCAGGAAGAGGCTCTCAGGGGGAGCAGGGGAAGACACGTGAAACTACCAATCCACAATAACACTACAACCACAATACCACCATAACCACAGTGCACTAGTATCAACATGGTTAGGTTAATCAATAATACGTCTGACGAGGGAGTCCGGGATTTCTCACTTTTTCCCACTGGGTTTTTGAGTTGTTCCTTGTCAATGCAGGAGTGTCTAAGGCTGGGGTGTCAATCCAATCCTCAAAGGGCTGGTGTGGCTGTAAGTTTTAGTTCCAACCCAAGCAGGATCCTACAAGACTCCACCCATTTCCTCAAGTGAGTCCAGTTTTAACCTGAAGATTTGAGGAAATGGGTGGAGTATGTCCTGCTCAGGTTGGAGTTAAAACCTGCCTCCCAGAAAGGGCCAGCTTTCTGGAACCAGTTTCACACCCACTGTCTAAGGACAGAGGGGATGATCCAGGACATTTGAGGACATTTATGGACATTGGTCATCCCTCTTATGGACGAATAACGCTATGTGTTTGATTATTGTATTTCTTGTGTTTGAACGGTTTGATTCTCTGATGTTGGCGAATCAAAAGTGCTGGGATGGTTTCATGCTCCTGATGTTTGCTGATTTAAACCACAGTAACCCCACCGTGCGGAAAAGACAAATGATCGGTCATTGTTCTTGGCCACAGTGGTTTCAGGCCAGAGCTTGTGTCTCTACACTTCTGTCAGCTCTGAATGAACAGAATCCAGCTGCTGTTTGTTTTGGCCTCTTCTCACTGCTGCATCTCTCACTCCCAAGTCATAACAACATTATAAATTAGCTGTTGTTTACTACTGTTTTGCACTCACTCTTGTTCTGGTTAAATCTTGTCTTATATAACATGGGAAAACGTTAAATCAGCTTTTTTCAGACAGAAGAGTACAGAGAGAACCACCCTCTTTCGGCCAATCAGAAAGTTAGCTATACAGTCAAATAGTGACTTAATTCCATGGTTCTGATAAGATGATGACAGCATGTTGTGGTCTGATTTGGCCCCAAACTTTTATGAATGCTGGAACTGGTGCTCTGTGACTTGGTTGGCATCCCTGACTGCCACCCAGAAATGATTTAAGGGGAAGAAAATGGGTGGATGGAATGGATGGACTTTTATAAATTGCACAACAAAAAGTAGGTAGGTTTGAATTGCGCCGTAAGGACGACTGTTTATTGGAGATCATTGTTTACATGAATACATGTTCTGTTACATTGGAGAGGTCATTGTAACATCTCTCCCGTGATTTCAAAATTTACAACCAGGAAGATACATTTGAAGTATAGAAGTATATTATTAGTATAGTATTAGAGTATTAGTAATATTGGCTGTGTTTTGCCAAAAGCACTTTAAATTTATATTATCATTGTGCACTGCTAATCTCAATCAATCCTGTATTTCTTAGTCAAGAACAAGATCACACACACACACACCACACACACACACACACACACACGGAAAAATGTATATTCAAATGAACACCTCAGACCATGCGTTTTACAGTAAGAAATTCTATCTTTTATATTTATTCCCATCTATTATCTATTCTACAAATACATATATTAGCAATCAGCAATATAGTGACTCCATTATTCCCATGCCTTTGACTCATACAAAATCTCTGACAGTGCAGTCTCTCCCTGAACAAGCCCAGAGCAGGTTCTACCACTGGGTACAAGTGCCACTGTCAGAGCGGGTCATTCCTGTCATAGCTGCAGTATTTATGGTCCAGAGGTCACTCACGGGACAGGCGCAGATTTACAGTTCACCAGAAGTCACATACGCTGTGTCAAAATAAAAATACATGAAAAAGAAGGAGCGCTTTGACGGCTTTACGGCTGTAGAGTGTTGGCTTCATCATTCGTAACTTTTATTGTTTTGTGTTTTTGCAGAGAACTCCTGCCATGGCCCGATTCGACTTCAGAGCAGAGTCGTTGAAGTAAGTCCCGGAAATGGTTCACAAAAACGGATTAGAGTATATTTAGTTAAAGGGGATATAAGTTAATTCTTTTAGGCTTTCTCAGCTTTTGTCCATGTCATAGTTGTTTCCTCTTGTCATTCACACACAAAGCTGTTAACATATGTTTGAGTTCAATATTAATTCACCACCAGTTAAGAAGCAATCATAGCTTCTTATTTCTATGTATTTTGTGTGCCCACTTCCTCACTGTGGAAAAAAATAAAGGTTTGCTTGTCTCCATTACCTTTATATCCTCATATATTATTACACGAGCCACCATTGCTCTCCCCTCAGTCCTCTCAATACCGGAACTTAGCCCCTCCCCCTGGTTATACTTACTTTCTTTGGCATTTTTCATTTCCGAATTTGTGATTAATGTAATTAGGAGAATAACTTTATCAACTAAAATTGGCTGGTTGAAAATCAATGGATGAGTCAATTATTCACTTGGTCCAGTCATACGAGAAAAGGACCAACTCCTTCAAGAATCTGTCAAATACAATCCACATTCTCAATCTATATTTGATGTCTATATTTGCACAAAAATATACTACTTTGTAAAACCTCCAATTTATTCCCACATACTTGAAATCCCAATGGGGAAATATTACGAATGAAGAGTCAGTAGCCAAATAATGTACATGGAGGTTAGATTGTATATGTTACAGTATCGGTGGTGGAAAGGGAAGCAGCTGGAGGAGGAGTTTAGAATAAAGAAGACAAAAACCCAGCAACCCTCCCTGTGCTCCCTGAACCTGTCACTATTCATCTAAATGGGAAAGGCATAATCATATGTTAAAGCTTGTAAAAACAGTCTGCTTTTCTCTCTCAATCATCTGTGTTATTATCGGTCGCTAAAATATGCAAATTCACCTCAGCTGCCCTCACAAACCCATTTATTTACAGCCCAAACGTCTGAAGCATTACTCCAAAGTATGCCCTCTAAAAATACATGTTAAAGTGGTTGATTATATGCTTATAGCGGATCTGAAATGATTGCATTGCTGTAACCGTATTTTAGCTCTAAATTTGATGCTTGTACATTTTTTTTTTTTTATTTTTTTTTTCATTAATTTAAAAACAAATGCAACAGCAGCATTTAGCATGAATGAAAAGCAGCAGAAAGAAGTAAAAACTTATATCTGCCCCCTATCAACACAAAATCATTTACAGTTCCAGTGCATTTGATCCTCTAATGCAACTCTGACACAAATTACAGAATTAAAGTTACAGCTGATGTATTTCTGCAACATCGATAATTTTACAAACTTTTTAAAAACAAAATCGGACGTAGAAGTTTCGATTTTACGATCCAGCCCAGTTATATACAACCCATGTCTCTATAGGCTTCATTTTAGACACATTTAACAAAAATAGAATTATTATTGGTCCAGTATTTCTCTGATTGATGTTAGTGCCTTTTGTTTTAGTCCAGCTGTTTCAATAGAGGGCTAGATAGTATAAGGTCTGCATTTAGAAGAACTTTTCAGGGAGTAAATTGGCAAATGCAGGTCCGTTAAATATATGTATTTTTGTTCTCTTTGTGCTCGTTCAGTAATGATTATCTGTGGTTGTTTTCAGAGAGTTGCCGTTCCAGAAGGGAGACATCGTGTACATCATTCGACAGGTGGATCAGAACTGGTACGAAGGAGAGCATCACGGACGAGTGGGCATCTTCCCTCGCAGTTATGTAGAAGTGAGTGGTATTTTGGTTTATGGACCTGTTTTAATAGTTTTCGGTATCGTGTACAACATTTATGATGTGCTGCGAGGGTGATTCATACATGTCTGAGTACTTTCCATTCTCCCACATTCAAACACCATGGCTCATGTTTTTTACTTGGTTTGTTCCGTGGATGATACACCAGGCATTTTGGCAACAATGAAATGACAATTCAATGCCTCTTTTATGAGCTATTTGTTGTTTATCAATATACATTAGAAGGATGTTATGTAATTTCTTTCATGATTTACATTTTCAAAATACATAATTATCTGCAGTATGTCTCATTTAAAGCTTGGGTACCAATCTTTCAAACCACAAACATTTTTTGTTTTTCTGATTCTGTATAGTTTTCACATGCATGTACTTTTTGGCCTCTGTCACTTCTTAAAATCAGCTTTTCAGACGGTAACAGGACAACCTTCACTCAGCCACTCAGCCAATCCTGTCAAATATTACTTTTACAAAACTCTTTCTGTGTGGGCAAAAAAAGTTTAGTGCAGTTTAGTTTAGTTAAGTTTTGAGTATTTATTGCATCAATTCCAGCCCAATCATAGAATATAAAACCAATTGAAAACTTTGTGACTTTGTTAATAACAACATATACATATTATATTATATTATATTATAGTGTTTCTCGTCTCTCTTTGCTCTTTCCAGCTCCTTCCTCCGACAGAAAAGGCCCAGCCAAAGAAGAGTGCCCCAGTCCAGGTGTTGGAGTACGGAGAGGCAATCGCTCGCTTCAACTTCAACGGAGACACTGTGGTGGAAATGTCCTTCAGAAAAGTATGCATTTCCTTCAAGAATGTATCAATCATCATTCTCTGATTGCCTCTGCTTTCCTGGACCTCATTTGAGTTGATGGAGACTACATTTTTTAACACCCTTTAAATGGACTTCTAGGACTGATGTTGTGTAGACCATTTTAAACTCGTCAAACTGGGATATTCAGTTTCCCCTTAAAGTAAACTATAAAAACGCCTGAATGAGATTACTGTGTGATATTGGCAAATAATATGCAGACATGTTAATAGATTTAAAAAAAAAATTTTCTAAGGTATGAAGAATAGGTGTTTCCAATTTATTGAATTGATGGAGCGTAAATATTTTGTTCTTGGAACTTTTTTTATACAACTGATGCATTTGTATTTAACTTAGAATGCCTTTAAAACCACAGTAAATGTAATGCTGTGTCATTTATCCATCTCTCAAAACAGTTTGGTTCTATCACTAGATTTTTCCTCCATCACATCTTTGGATCAGCTTTTTTTTAAACTGGAAAAAAAAAAGAGAGAACTACATTCACTTAGCCATCAACCCAAAGCGCCAAATAGTAACTCACATGGCTCTTTCTTACAAGTATGCAAAAGATAACAGGTTATCTAATAAATTTAAGGCCGCTGGATGTGGTCTGAATTTTTACTTCAACACAAATCTTTCTGTTAAGACGAACAACATGGATTATTTGGATTATTTAAAGTGGGGTACCCCAGCTTTTGATATTACAGTTTTTAGTTGAACACATCTATAGCTAGCCTGCTTTGTTATTTTAATATACTTTGCTTTCTGTGCTTCAGGGAGAGAGGATCACCCTGATTCGGAGAGTGGATGAAAACTGGTTTGAGGGGAAGATTTCGGGCACAAATCGTCAGGGTATTTTCCCCGTCACGTATGTGGAGGTCCATAAGAAGCCTAGGGTGAAGAACGGACTCGATTACCCAGACCCCCCAGTGAGCCAGTCTCCCCAGCGCAGCACTACAGCCTCTCCACAGGTACGACCGCTGCAATACTTATGGAAATGTGTGAGTCGTTTACTGTACAAGTGATATTACAGTTTGTGGTACGTGTAAAAATGTGCTATAACTTGAAATCGTTTTGGTTATTTCAGCAAAAATACGTTGAGATTGTATTTTCATTATAGAGACAAAGAAAAGTTTTGTATTTTGCTTCTATCACTGCAAAAACAAGACAAAAAGTATGTTTGAAAACTGCTTGGTTAAATTTATCTTTATCAATTTTGTCGGCCTTAAAACGTTATTCCAATGGGACAAGTTTTAGTATCATCTTTTTTTGAAAGAACAAGCTATTTTTCATTTAGAATGAGAACATAATTGCTTCCACCCTTGAAATAAGATGTTATTGTTCGTCCCATTGGAAATGGCCAAGACTGGCAACATTTACTTGACTCAATATATAAACTACTTGATTAGAGCCTTTAAAATCTTATCGTTGACCTTTTTGCAGTGATAAAATCTGTGTCATCTTCCTTCTTTCTTTCTCATAATTCCAGCATAATCCAAGTTCTTCTTCTCTGTTCCATTCACGTGTATTGATCTCTCTCTGCTCCTCTCACCTCTTCTGTTCCGAAAGCTTTACCGTAACCGCCTCACCACCTCTCCCCTGCCCCTCCCCCGCTCGCCACGCCGCTCCGTCTCCCCTGAGGTCCACGCCATATCCTCGGAGTGGATCTCCCTGACCATCGGCGGAGGCAGCAGCCCACCTGCAGCCCCCACCCCACCCCTCCCACCGCTGCCCAGCTCCTACTACCGTCTGGGCGAGTACCTGCCCCCGCCATACTCCGCCAGCCCCATCCCGGCTCTTATTGGCAGCCCGTATTACAACTCCCCCATGGCGTCTCCGAGCGCTTCGCCGTTGCCGCCGCCGTACCCCCCGCGCCCCAGCTCGGCCACGCCCTATGTGACGTTCACGCCGGCCCAGAGCGAGGATTCTCCGCACGTGTCCCGCGGCGGAAGTCCCAGCGCGGGGCCGGTGCTGGAGGGGTGGCTGAAAGAGCAGGCCGAGGGGGTGGAAGGGGCGAGCAGAGGCAAATGCAAAGGTCCAGCAGAGGTATCAGACGCATGGTGTGTGGTGGTGCATCCCCCAAAGAGCCTCACGCCACGGTGTTTGAATACAACTAATGATTCTGCTGTTGTGTCTGTTTCTTTAACCTGATGTGTTTCACTAACAAAGACATGTTTTAGGTCAATGTGCTGCTGTATTATTATTTCAATGCAATAGAGCTCTGGATTGTGTTGCGGCTGTTTTGGAAAACAAAATCACAACTGGTTTGACTTGATGAAGATGCTTGATGCTAAACTTGGCTTACATTCAAAATTATTCATAAGCAGCAGATGAAAGAGACATAAAACATCTATAAGCCATACAAACAGACAAGAGTGTCCCAAAGTGTCCCCCCCCCCGACCAAAACATTATTTAAAAAGTTGTAAAAAGAAGTAATTGTTTAATAATGACCCTTAAATACTAGTCATTTTAGTTCATTTCCAGTCGCTGGTCGTGTGGACAACGTTTTGAGCGGCCTCTGAGGCCTCGGACCCCACTTTGGAAAGCACTGCGTTAGACTTTGCTATAATGAATGTCAATGTGATCAGAATAGAGTAATCAGACAGTTCACCTGAAAAGTGATGAACCAAACATTGAGGGAGTATTGGAGCACGGTGAGTTCTCTGCATGTAGTGTGTGCGACTAACAAACAGGACGAAGGTCACAATTCTTACAGTTTCAAGTTTAAAGTTGCGTTGTTGTATCTTTTTGTCGCATGTTGTGGTTTTCTCACACTGATGTGCTGAATGCCACTGACATGGGTCAAAGTCTGACAAAAACTGACTTTTTATAAATGCTGCTTTCCACCAACAGTAGAACAACGTTGAAATTATATTATTATTCTAATGAATCATTCATATTGTATTTTTGTTTCACAGTTTTTGAAGAATGACATAGATGGCCGCACTTCCAGAAGCCCTGTCCTTCTCTACGACATCCAGGAGAACAACAACGTCAACTCCTTTGCGGTAAGTTTGCTCTGAATGTATTTTTCACTACACATTGTATACACCTCATGCTATGTAGACTCCTGTATGTAATCAATGAACAGAAAATACTGGATCAATGAACAAAAAAAACCTGCAAAGGGTCATTTCTATTGGTTTATTCTGATCATTATAAGCCAAATAATCAATTTCTTCTAGCTTGTCTCAGCATTTGTATATATTTGATGGACTTATTATACAAAACTTTTGACAAGATATGACTCAAAATATCCTCAAAATGACCCCTGAGCAGATTTCTCTCAACAAGAAAAAAAGTCCTTCCTAAGTTTTAGTCCATACAAAGCAGTGCAGTCGAAAGTACAGCTGCAGTCACTTCATAAGAATCTCATTTTACATGGATTTGTCCTTTATTTATATTTAAACAGAAAATACTTGGTTTATCATTGATTTACTAACAGAAAATTAGATAATCAAATAATGATCAATAATATATGTTCATCTATGTTGAGAAATTGTTTCAGTCACATAGCCTTAGTCCTTAGAAACTCCTTTCTGTCAAAAACTCAATCCTAAATTGATCCAATGTTTTTATTGATGTACATATTTATCCTCTTTTATAACAACATTTTCCTCTTTTATTTAACAACATTTAAACTCAATACATTTCATGATACTTATTATTTCCATTCAACTCTGTTCTTCTAATATGTACTAATTTTTCACTTTCATTTTTACCTTTCACGCTCTCCTTCCTTCGTCCCTTCCTAACGGATCATTCCCTTTCCTACTTCCTTCTTCCTACTTCCTAACCCCTTCTTACGGGACCCTCTGCACCCTTCCCTGCCTAACACTCATATCCTCATCTGGGACGTCCCTTGCCTGCTGTTTCCCACCTGCACCACTAGGAGGCAGTGTGCAATGAGATCTTGAACATAGCTGAGACTTCTGTGCGGTATTGTAGCACCCTGCCTCACTCGTATCCCCGCGGCTGTCACCCAAAGGTGCTCCCTCACCCCAGTAAACAGTCTCTCATCATCTCCCATCAGCCCCTGTCCCAGAGCAGCAGCCCGGAGCCCGGACGCCTCAGCTGTGGAGTGTGAGTATACTACTTTACACATGAAATCTGTTCTCTTCTCTGGCTTAAAAATACATGTGATGGTTTTATCTTTACACAAGTGATGTCTGCTATTTTTGGGACTGAAGCAAAGTCATTATGTATAAAAGTTTTACATCAGAAAAAGTGGCAGGTTGTGACAAAAAGTGATGAAAAATAAGTAAAAAATTGCTCAAATTTGGCTGAATATGTAATGTTTTCTTGTAAGATGAAGACAGCATGTTGTGGTCTGATTAGCTTTTGCGAAATGTATATAGTTTCTTTCTTTTATCTTCTGGGTCTGGCATGTGCCTCCTGTACTGACACCCCCACTCCCAAAAAAAATCACAATTGTAAACCGCTTTGAGACTCCGATGTGCAGTGAAAAGGTGGTGTATATAAATAAAGATTACTACTACTACTACTACTACTATTATCTATGAACCAATGAAAATTCTATATACCCCAGCTTTAACCATCTTATTGTGAAACCCATCAATCAAATTTCATTCGTAAAGCGCCTTTCCTACACAAGGCACACAAAGTCTGTTTTATTAAGCTTTAAGCTTTATTTATATACTGCCTTTCACAGACCAGAGTCACAAAGCGGTTTACAATTGTTATTTTTTTGGGCACTTGTCTCTCACTCCACACAGAGATGGGAGCGGGGTCGCCGAACAGAAGGCGCATGCCAGACCTATTACGGCCCTGTTGAGTTGTTGACAGGATACGAGAACTTTTCCAAATAAACTCCAAATGTGAATCTGTTACAAAGCAGCTGAACTGTTGCAATTTTCACAGTATGACAAGCGGGTCAAATGAGGTACAAGAGCAAGAATGTAGACATGGTTTAGTAATCACAATAATGCTTTAGTTTTCTTCAGCGTTTTGCAAGACTCTGGGGATCATTCTTTTGAACATCTTACATCACAATATTGATTTACAACAACATGACACAAGAAACATGTTATTTATGACCCCAACATTGTATAATAATTGTAACTACACTATGTATCAAATCCTCAAATACACTAAAAAGAACATATTTCAGTTTAAGCTGGGGTACCTGACTTTAAAACCACAAAATATTTAACTATGTAGTCAAATCCATCTCGTTCCTCGCTCTCAAAACAGTTTTGTTCCGTCAACACATGTTGAGTTTTCACATGTGTTTTTTGGCCTCTGATCTAAAGCTGTGACGGGCAGAAAAGTAAACATCAGATCAAATCCCTAAACTCACATTCACACATACAGGTGAAATTTAGAAAATGTAGAATACTGTTAAAAAGTGTGTGTATTTTTGTAATTCAACTTATGAAAACTTATATATGATACAGACTCATATCCTTCAAGCTTTTGTTCATTCTAATTTTATCTATAGCTTTAGATTTGGGGTTTTTACAGCTGTTGCCCATTTCTCAACATTACAACAAAAATAGAGGCTTGATATTTCTCACTTTTGCATGTAATGAATCATATATAAGTTTCACATTGTAAATTGAATTACAGAAGGAAACGGACTTTATAACTACAAACAAAAAATAAATAAGATGAATGCAATTAGTAAAATAAATCAAAGTTCCTCTGATGAATACAGACATTAATTCCATCCGTGTCTTGTGCTGTGTGTTTGCAGATTCCAGGCTTTGTACACTTATGTCCCGCAGAACGATGACGAGCTGGAGCTGCAGGAGGGAGACCTGGTCAGTGTCATGGAGAAGTGCGACGACGGCTGGTTTGTGGGTACGACTCTAACTCTAACCCTATGTGTTGGTAATGGACAGAAGCATTAGAAAGTACTGCCTTTGCCACGATTCCTCTTCAATGAACGGGAAGATTTGTTGTTTTTCGGTTCCTGTTATTTGGCTTTGAATTCTTGCGCGTAGAACTAGTCGGAGCTGCACAAATCGGCTTCCTTCAGTTATGGAAGAAATATGATGCATTATTTTTGCCCATAAAAAATTCTGTCTATTCTTTTCACTTAGTCATTTCATGTTTTAGATTGTGAAATAATATCTTAAGTAGAAAATATCTAGTGAAACAAGTATGAAAGGGTAAAAATGCTTTCCACCTGTGACTCCCTATGCTACCACCAGAGGGAGGAGTTGAATTTGTTTTTGTCTGTTGTTCCAAATTAGATAATTAATGGGCACTGCTTTTGTTTAAAAGGCATCAAATTGCTGGGCGTGATTTCATAATGGTAACACTGACAGGCTTTTAGACAGAAGGGTTCGAGTTACATGTTTGTGCCTGAAGTTCCTCATGTAAAAACAAGTCAAGGTCGGTTTTTGTTGAGGGAACGATGTTGTAACATGGTTAAAAGTCAATTTGCATAATACATATCGTCCACTCCTATTATCAAACCGTCTCTGGGATGAAACAAGAGCGTAGGAGACGACGGGACACATGACAAAAACAGTCTCACCGCCTCTTCGCTGCTTGTTACAAATGTCAGAGGTGCAGTCACACGCCGGTGTCACAGTTCAAACAGATCGAGTTTCAGAGATGACAACCACGTGTGAACAGAGCATGCTCAGATCCTCATCACGTTCACCACCACAGACTGACAGGAGCTGACAGGGAGCTCTGTCTAACTCTGTCCAGACTCCTCTTGGATATGACAGAGTTGCAGCTGATACAAGGTCCAAGCAAAAAACACCAAAAGAAGAAGCAATGTTGTAATGATGGTCTTAACGGTGATATTGCATGAAACCATTTGCTTTCTAAATACCAGCAAGTATAAAATGGGTCTAAATAATAAGAAACTAAAGTAGGATTAACTCAAAGAAGAACAATGTGACAACACTGTAGCGTCTGTACGACCAGTGACCAATTCTGACTATTCAATCTAATAAAATGTATTTTGGTTTAGCCCATAAATCACAACAGCAGTTGTCTCTGAGGACTTTACAAAGTTGACAATTCAACAGCAGATATGAGAATCAAACAGTTTGAACACAGGAAAAACAATAATAACAAACACATAGGAGCCATTGGTCCATACATTTTACAGCCAGGACTGTAAATATGCTTTAATAGTTTATACGTTCTCTACAGTATCATGCTAGCTCTTTAAAAAACACCAGACATATCAGTGGCTGTGGATAAAATGTGACCAAAGTTTACCAAAAATCAATAGTTACCCTTTCCCACGCATAGGTGTTTTTGTTCGAAAAAGGCTACATAAATGAGCATTGATCCCATTGACCGATCATGTGGTCAATGCATGTTTCATAAAGTTGTTAAAACATATGATCAATTTTGTTAAAGGTGAATTTCTGTTGTAAAAGAAATAAAGTGAAATATGAATTGGGAACATGCAGTGGAAACAGGAAAGTTTACAAACACGGTACTTCTTCACACTTTGTAGAATGGCATCTGACCTGAACGTCCTCTTGGAGACCCGCCAACTCCACAGATCATCTCCAAACTGAAATGGAGTCTTCCCACCATCGCATCCCATCTACAGACCAACAATCAGCTCAGTCTGTCTGGATTATGAACCCACAAGAGGCAGGAATGAGCAAAAAAGGCCCAATATTGCGGCTCTGGGCCAGTAGAAATAATATTCAAAATAAATGACCTAAAAGACATGTCATTAATAATTATTCTGTTTTTAAGCTTCTGATTTGCACTGTATAAACTTTATTTTAACTTAAAGGGGACACAACACGTAAAACCGACTTTGCGCAGATTTTGACCGTGGACAAGTTGTTTCCCTTGTTGTTTTAGAGTGATTCGTGTGTGTTTGATTAATGTGTTAATCTTTTACGTAAACCCGCTTCTTCCTGACCAGCAGCACCACAGTTTTTACCTCATCTATTGATTTTATTTTCCTTCTAAATCTGTGAAAGGTGGATGATTCACCAGAGTTACACGGGCATTTTTGAGCGATACTGTCCGACTGAAATCTGAAGTGGACAAACTCAAAGAGGATCCCTTTATCGCGTAAAATACGTTGTGTTTTTTACCCCCATGTAAGCATTTTTGGGATTTTCTAAGACGTAGGAGCACTAACGACACAAATAATTTTTACGATTTTTGTTTTTTTTTACAATTTTTTGTACCATGGGCCTTTACCAAATGGTTGCGATGCAGTTTTCAGTTTGCAGTTTGTTGGTAAAAGTACCTAAAACCAAGAGAGATTCCCCAAAGACATAGATTTCAGTTCCAAGCTTAAAGTAGATAAAGTTACTCAAAAATGGATCTACCAAATGTTGAGGAAACCATTAAAGGGTTAAACTGGGTTGGGGTATTGGAAATGTGAATACCAGGGTTTGGGTTAGGGTTAGGGTTAGGGTGAATATCATGTCGACATTTTTGCCTGAGAAAAATAACAACAACACTTCATACAATGTAAATTTCACAATATCATATCCTCAGGCAGGACACTCACTTCCCCTGTTCTTGATGAGTACTTTCCGTTTGTTTTGCAGGTACCTCGCGGAGGACGAAACGGTTTGGGACTTTCCCGGGGAACTATGTGAAGGAGGTGAAGCTCTAGAGCAAGACTATGTCACACACTGTTGCCTGTGGAGTCTGAGGCCCTTTTTTGGTTCGAGTCCCGATTGGAACCACGACTGAGCGCGTGTCCGGGAAAGTGACAGACGGCCGGAGGTATGTCCCACTGCAGAGAGGGGGCGCTGTTGAGACGCACTGCGCAAAAACAACCTCAAAACTTCAACCTCAACACGGACTGTGAAATCCTGCCACACTCACTCTAGTGTTTACAGTTTTCTACCACCGCAGTGCGAAGGAGTAGAACATAAGGTTATAGAGCAAGGAGTCGTCAACGCAATTGGATTTTGAATGAAAAATGTGTTTTATATTGTTATTATAATCCTTGGGTTGTAGAACGGGGGGGGGGGGGGGGAAACCATTGCTATCGTGATTAAGCTTTGAAAGAAACTAGTTCCTCAGAATGCTACATGAAACAGGAAGCCTGAACCTGTGAATACTTGGTGTGCACAGAGTTTTAAAAACAAAAAGGCTGCGAGGGTAGATTAAAACAAGCCTAATAACAACAATAACAACCAAGCAGCCAATAGTGACGAGTGGACTAATACATTCATCCTAATCACAAAATGCCAACATATTTTTCACAACACATAACACTATTTCTATCTAAAAGTCTTTGGTCACATTTTTGTCTTTTAATGGATTTAAATGACTGAAAAATAGTAATAATTAAATCAATATGTTTCAGAAAGCTGTAGCACACACTTATACAGAACAGAAGGCCATTTGCAGTAAAACCACATTGGAAGAACTGTGCAAGTCTACCCCAGTGTGCACCAGGAGATACCAGATAGTACACAACAGCTCCTGCCATATACTGCAGAATAGAAGACAAAAAACTAAAATTGGCTGACTATCTGACTGACCTTTCCATGACTGAAACAATTCCTAGTCACGACCCTAAAACCTGAGGAGAGTCTGTGTTTTAAAGGGTATTAAATTAAGTCCATATTTTTGAAGAAATGGCTGTTCCACTGTTGTTTTGTCGACACGTTTTGATCTAAAGTGAAATACTGCTTTAGCACCAGTGGCTTTTTGACCCCGGGCCTCAGACCAGGCGTGGTGCCACTTCACTTCCTGTCAGATCATTTTGAGAGATTCCAACTCAGCAGAGAAAGAGTCATTAATGAGTCCGAAGTCGTAACAAAAAAAAGAACAATGGTTTCTGCGATGTTTTAGAGTGTGCTCTGAGTGACGCACCTGTAAATGTGTATAAAAAAAGAGGTTTCAGATATAAGTAAATATTTTCTTATAAAGCAGCATGCAGTAGAGAGGACCTCGATTCACTGTAGCCACAAATAAGCTTTTGCTCCTAAACCCAAAATACACAAAACGCTTTGTCTGTTTAATTAGTTCAATTAGCTATACACAAGTTCATCCTTTAGGCACCAAAGTAGCAGGATTGCAACATGAGCTTGTGAATCTAGGACACTTTCTATACTGCGACCTTGCTTCCCCATCTCTTATAAAGTTTCAGGCTTCCACTTTTTGTGTGTTTTAGATTAGATTCTTGGAAAAACCTGGTGCCTATAGGATTAATCTGTGCTCTGATTTTCCCCTACACTGCAAAAAATGATGAAAAAATGAAAATAAAAAATAGCTTGAAATAGGTTAAACGTATGTTGAATTTATTACATTTTGACAATTTTAAAATAATATTTCCCAATGAGACAAGCAAAAAATATCAAAACATTTCCCCTTGAAAAAAAATGTTAATTGCAACTGCACTTAATGGAGTATCCTACCGGCAAATCTTCTGTTAAAGGTGCAATATACAACTTTGATATTTTTGCATCTTTGACCCGGTGGCGGCAGGAGTCAGCACGCCGCCTCTACGTTCCCTTAGACGTCTCGAGGATGCTCTAAAATTCAGCTGTATGGAAGGTTTTCTCTGCTGTGGGACCCCTGCACCAGAAAACCATTGATCCTGTAGACAAAACCATGATCAAAAGTAAAGGCACCATGATGATCCCTCATACTGACACTGGGTCTCTGCGAGGTCAAAATGTCAAAACTTCATTTTTCACACTAAAAAATGACATGCGCGCCTCTAAGACTGTAAGAACGTAATTCATTTTAGACTTGGACATAATCTAGATTTTGTCATTCTTTGCAGTGTATTAATCTTGATTCGGGCATTTTTTGCTGTTTTTAAATCAAGATCATGCAATTCCAGTCATACTCCAAGCACAAGAGCTTCTGTTGTTGCAAATTTCAAATGATTTAGTCAAAAAGGAGGAATTCTACTCTTCAAACACGCAGTCTTCCTCACACACTAATTCTGGATGTGAACTTTTAACATTATCCGACCGTCAACACAACAGACATAGCGTTTATTTATAACTTCAAACTAATTCATCCCCAGTTTTTGACTATCGTCCTGTGCTTTTTTTGACCTAAATGAAACAAAAAACTCATTATAAGGAGCTGTGTATGAAACGGAGATAGAGTCCGGCTTGTCATTCTTTCCCAGACATTCTAATCAAATTGGTGCCAGTGGCTATCCGTGGGCCTTCCATTTCATGATTGCCTTATCGTACACAATGTGAAGTATTCGAAAAGAGCAGATACTACTATACCACAGGTGTATATGTACGTTTACTATCCTATAATGGAGTATTTTTGCATCTGAATGTTGTGCAGTGTAACCACCACCTCAGTGAACCACAAAGAAGTTTTAACGTATTTAAGTCCAGTAGTGGTCCTTGTTTGTTCATCTACTCCGACGATTTTGCCAATAAAAGCACTTATTATTATTATTTTCATGACATTTTGATGTTTTGAACTTTTCACTGTGTGGTTGTGCCTGTTAAGCTATGATCCTGAGGCGTGTTATGGGATTCATACAAGCATGTCTTTTCTCAACCCGTTTAATTCCACAATTGTCCATAAACTAGATGTATCTATGACGGCATTTAAGGCTAACACAAAATGTTAGCTTTGATAAACAGGTTAAGTTGTGTATATTTTGGGAGAATGGTGCGGTAGACAAATCCAATCAATTATTTTTGTACAGCTCAGTTTTGTATAGCTTGATTCGCCAACAAAGCAATCTATTTGAACACATAATAAATACATTGATAAAACGTCTAAAACTCATTGGTACATTGGATAATATAATTGTAAATAAATGTCTTGGATCATCCCTTGTCCTTAGATCCTTGGAAAACTCAAAAACTCAAAAATGTGCATTCTTTCAAACCACCATTGGTTGATTCTATTGGAAATTTCTATTACTTTTTTGTATTGAAAATGATTGACCTTAATACTTATACATATGCCACTTATAATGTCACTTATGGCTTGAATTACCTCCCTTTGGATTCAGTGGAAATGTTAGGATTATACATCATGAAATAATGTGGGACCTAATTGTGTGTGACAATCTTAAAATAATCCACTTTTTTTATAAACAGGCAAATAAATACTACCTTTGCAGTAAAACCACATTGGAATACATGTGCGAATGTTGCCCAGTGTGAACCAGACAAGTTTTAAACAAGCTAAAAAGAAACAAACGTCACCTGTGGTCAGCAAAAAGTTTCAATAACAAGTACAAGATCAACCAAGTGCAGACACTGATTACAGCTTGTGTTGAGATGTCTTGTATGCCTGCTCCCTTCTGCCAGAGGGAAGAAGCTGGAACACTGCATTTTTAGAGTGGCCAGAAGAGTCATTGATTATTTAGATAAGTTTGAATTAATAAAAAACCTAGAACGGACAGCTCACAGTCCTGTTTGCAGAACGGAGCACCTTCCTCCCATAATATAATTTTCAGATCATGTTTTTAAGAGTATTTTTACCGAGTACAAACCTGACAATGGTGGGATTAGACGCGTTGTTTTTGTATCTGCCTTTTGAAAACCTATTGTAGCTCGTATCTCTTTTACATCATCTCAACTCTATGCTTTTGTGATTTCTACAGAAGAGTGAATATATCTATGAACTATGAATGTGGCAAAGTGCGGTCAATCACGTTTGTATAAAATTGTTTTTGGTCGTTTGAAAAGTGGAAGGTTATTTTATTTTTTTTTGTAAATATGTAAAATATTGAAATTTTAACCGCGTGACGGGACGAACCTCGCGTCACTTGCAGTTTTTAGAAAGAGGCGTTTTTGGCGAAAGCACAGAATGAACTGAGTGTAACCCACGTCACGCTGCCATTTTTAAAGTAATGCCTTATGTTTGATGCAAAAACGTGCCTCATTCTCGTGTTTTTTTTTAATATCACTTAAATGTATTGTTTGGTTTTCACCCGTGTAGTTTGACATGGAACTAAAACAAAGCGTGACTCCACAACCATGCTTCCTTGAGTATTATGGATAGACTTTTTTCAGTGATAATGGGAATGAAATGCCGACACGCACAGCCCAGCGACAGGTTTGGTTTGTTTGCTTCATTTTGCAGTGCTGTTACATTGACGATATTAAAATCAACTACTATACACTGCTGTGACTTCGGTATTATGCAATATTTAATAAACCATTTAAAACACGGCGGCCGTCTCTGGCTCATTTTTTACTTCCACTGCTTTTATGATGTGCCTCGAGTTATGTCCACTGTTCTGTAACTTGTGATGCAACACTGAAATTTCCCCACTGCCAGACTAATAATCCAAAATAAAACAAGTTTACAACGAATCTCTAATCTTAACCTACGTGAGAACCAGATCCCGTCAGACCTCTGAAGCTAAGCAGGACAGGGCTTGGTTAGGACTGTGATGGGAGACGACTGGGTGCACCTAGAATTTGTAGTTAAGATAAAATAAAGTAAATTAGTTCCTACAAATGAAAAAAAAAGTATCAATAAGTTTTTATACCTGTCATTATTGATATTGATATTGTTGCATTAATCTACCTTTACAGTAACCACTACAGAGTTAATATGGGAAAAGTATCTTTGCAACTCGGAAAAAGTCTACCTTGAGGCTGACTGGCAAGCAACTGTCAATCATAATCCACTCCCATTAGTTTTTACTGTATATGGGAGAATCGTGTGTCTTGCCCAAGGGCGGATTAGATTATGTCGTTGGAATCCAGCTATGAATAATTACTGTACGTTTATTCAGTATGACATCTAATGAAGGAATTATTGAGTCGTTTTAGCTGCCTGATCTCTCCGTTGTACAATAATAGCTCATTCTTAAGCTGTAGCTGTTCCGTGGTGGAAAAGAGGACGGACCCAAATGTACAATAATGCAAAAATAATTAAATTTAACAAACAAAAATCAAGACAATTCAAAATGAAACAAGAACTAAAAATGACAACCGTGACAGTAGATTTGTCACTGTTTATTCCTGCTCGTTGAACTATAGTGCACCACACTTTGCATAGATTCAAATGTTTTAAACCGACGTTGTGCTGTTTACGAAGACGGAGCCAGTGCAGAAAACCGGACGTGAGGAAGACATTCTCCTGTTGTGATAAGAAGCATTTGGATAAGGGATGAGATATGATTCTAGAGCCACGTTGGATTGTGTGGAGGATTCTGAGAGCCACCATTTCATATATAATTACACTGTACAATATTCACTAATGGGACAGAATATAATTTTAATTTATTTTCGATTCTCTGATCTGTCCCCAACTTTGCAAAGTCCTCCGAGACGACTGCTGTTGGGATTTAGGGAAATACAAAAAATAAATGGAATTGAATTGAATCTAATAAAGTAATTTTACAATCGCACACCTAAGCAATGATTACAGCTGCAATCCACCTGCTGGGAATTTCACCAGAAACTCTGTGTAATACAAATGCCTACTTATCATTGTTGCCTGATATGTGGTGCTATTCTTCTGTTTGCGAATTTTGTACAAAAAGATGGAGCCAAAATCAGATAAATTTAGTCTAACAAATTGGTAACCGCATCTGGTAAAACATACATATTTTTCACATGTCCATTGTGTTTATTTTATTTCCCTTTAAACTGTTAAGAAAAGGTCAAATATGACGTGTACATGTGATATATTATCTGGACACACACAAGAAGTTTAAAATAAGTCTGTAAATAAATGTAATTGGATGAACCAGCTAAATATATTTGTATAATTAAATCAACTGCAGCAAAAAGAGTAGAAAAAAGACAAATAATTAAAAGTGGTAATGCATGTTTTAAATAAATGATTGAATAAATGTGACAATAAGTAATTTTAAGAATCATTTACAATATGTATTTAATAATAATCCTATGCTAGCAGTTTGTGGTTCAAAAGAAAAAAACATCTCTGCTCGTAGCACTAAAAACGTGTTGCCTTGAGGGGAATATTTGCTAAACCAAGAATGCGTATATAATAAAAAGTACATCACTGGCATGTCTGGTGTTTCCCTGAAGTGATAAAAGTTGGATTACATAACCCCGTGTGGAGACAGAAGGCGCTCCAGGCCTGACTGCTGACAACACGTGTCATAAAAAGATTAGACCAATACCTTTAAAGGCTTTCTCTGCACTTAAGGACTTCCGACTCTCCAGGTCCAGACTCCACTGCTTTGTTTAAGAGCGTCGTTCTGAGGGAGTCCTTCCTCGTAGATGCAGGAGAGTCTAAGGACAGGGAAGATCTGGGATATTTAAGGACATTTATGGACATTTATCAACATTTGTAGATATTGGTCAACCCCTAAGTGTTTGTTATTATTGCATGTCCTGTGTTTCAAATTGTTTATTCTCTGAGCTGTTGTTGGTGAATCGACAACCTTGTTAAAAGTCTTCCGAGACAACTGCTTGTGATTCAGGGCTTAACAAAAACACTGTGCCTCGGACCTATTCCTCTTTATTTTTCCACAGAACCTCAAAGAGCACCTGGCTTCTCACAAAAACCCTGTTTATTTTTGTTCCTGTATGAACTGATGCATTAAACCTAATAATTCAAATCATTTTGACAAATGTTTTTCTTAATTGTTGTGTTTAACCTTTATATTGTTCATACCTGGTTGGTAGTAGCATAGTTCAAGATTTACACTGGTTTGGCATTATTTTTTCACAAAACTTTAACTGTTGCTTAATAATGTTTTCTATCTGATATATTTGCTGTTAATTGTTCAAAGTTGTGATGTGTTGTACAACCATTCGACCCAGAGCATGGAAAAAAATAAGTTGTACAGTGCTGGAAAAGCCTATAGACATTTGTTTTATCTATAAATGTCTATTGAAATTTTCATTGTTTTGGCAGTCCCTTAAATGTAGAGTTGATAATGGAGAAGAGACATACAAAAAATGTTTGCTTCTGCCTTTTCCTTTTGAGCTTTGTTTCTTGAAATGATACCTGTAAAAATACACATTGTACACTGCTCAAATAAACTATTACTAGGACTACTACTGCTACTACTCTTGGGGTTATAGACATTTATAGAGAGAACTTGTTCATTTTAAGACTTGTTTCCATGTGAATCCCTGTTTGGTTAATATAATAGATCCATGGTTTGGTCCTGTTTCAGTCTTGGTTTGTTTACAGCCCACAAGAAAGGACCTGTCTGTCTCCGTCATGCAGGCGGCTCAAAGGTCTTTCTTTGCCCTCTGCTTTAAAGACTGATCCATGGACGGGAATTCACTCGTTTTTGGGGGAGAGGCACATTCCACATCCTGGGATTTTGGCTCTTCCATAAATGGTAAGCTCGCATGAATTACAGTGACGTGCAGGGCAGGTCTAGGTCCATAAGAAAACTACAGCTGAACAAAGAGCAGCCCAAACCACAGAGGTATCACTCCCCATTGGGTTATACTGACCGTGTTTTCTTACGGCATTCCTGGCGTGTTTCAGCTATGTGTTCATGTCAGAGCGGCCTTTTCAACGCTATGTTCTTATCATTTTAACATGTGGGGACAAAAATAAAAGCTTACATTCAAAGTTGTTTTTCCAGAGTTTTATCCGGAATGGACTGGGTAGTGTCAGAGTGAAGAGAGAGACTACACACTGTAATAATTACTGTGAAAGTCTTCATAAGGTAAGAGGAACTAGACTAAACATATTTCTCATGTTACAACAGGCCATCTGCCAGAGATCACAAACTCAAGGAAACGGATCATGATTGTTCAGAGTTTGTTTTGTTTGCTGTTGTTTATTATAGTTCTCTCAGAAGGTTTTATGAGCCTTTTACAGGCCAGAGCAGCACTTCTAAATCTTTCATCTGAAGCTTTTGGACAACTGTTTACAGCAGGTACCACTACAAAACTTTAGAGTAAATTCATGTTTTGAGCACATTTTGTTACGTCCTATACAGTAAACCTATATTCAATCATTATTTTGTATTTCTGAAGAAGAGAGGTGTGGTAGTGTCTTGTATATTAGAGTAATATATTACATTGTGTCCAACTCAGCTGTGTAACTCAGTACAAAAATGAAAATCTGTGAAATAATACTAGTTAATCAAAGTATAACTCAAGTTACCTGCATATTCAACATAAATGCACATTTTATTTGTTTTCTCTTGAATCATTACTGTAAAAAGGGCTTTCTGCTCCTGAATAGCTGACAGATTTGAGACAAAACTTGGAACAATGCCATTTTACACGATGAACTCACATTTACTCTAAGTAGTGTAACAGCTATATTGCAATACAAATATATAAACATTTTATTACTGGAAATATACATTTATTACAATTTTAGAGAAACTCACCCAACACTGCTCCTCACCCAAACAAGAAACCAAAACCCAGTGACCCCTGATTGGTTGGACATAAGACTAATTATGGGAAAACAACTGACATTGAACCCTTTAGGGACTTGTGCTGTATGACATCAGAGTAACCCCTCGGACACAGCAGCTCGATGTCTCACTTCATCTGTTGATTGTATATTGTACTGTGTTGTCAATAAATCTTTTCTATTATCCACAACTATGATCCAGTGTCTTGTTGATCTTCACTGTAAAATCCAGTGATTCTCAAGTATTATTTATACAGGCCAAGTAGTTAGTATTGAATCAAATTTAAAGAAGAAAAAAACATCAAATTCAGAATAAACAAAAGAAAACACGTACCATCTGAATGAGCTGCAGGTACCTCGAATGGTGTACATACCTCAGTTTGAGAATCATTGAGAAATTATTATTGCATATTGATACATACGAGTTTTCAGTCTCTTTATGACGCTCGGGGGTAATCCAAGTACGAATAGCGGTAAATTCGCTCACAAGACACAAAAACACGTCACAATACCTTTACATCACACATTATAACATAGTGGCTGCTCTGTCAAATACACGATCTTCGATGAGGGACTTATCAGCGCGTGGAAACTTCAAAACCAAGGTTGCGTCCAAATCCAGAACTAACACCTCCTTCACTTTCCTTTATCGTCCTTTTCATTCACTTTGGAGGCATAACATTTCACTCCAACAATCTTAAATTCCACTAAAACAAACTTGTAGCTAGTGTGTTGCTTGGAAGGACACTAAAAATAGCAGGACAAAAAATGATAAGGAACGAGGTGCTTACTAATGGTTTTGGACGCCGCCTCATTGGTCCTGGTGCAACCTGAGGGACCCACCCACCCCGTGTCTCGCCCACTCTGCTCAGCTCTGATCTGCGGCGATCTCTGCACATGTCACACGCACCAGGATACGGTCCACGCCACTTTCAGCCACACTTCCCTTCGTGAACCTTCAGCGGAGAGAGCTCAGCCATGCCTGTGCAGGTGGTGTTGCAGGGTCCCGGGCCGTGGGGCTTCAGGCTGGTCGGGGGAAAGGACTTCGAGCAGCCTCTGACTATTTCCCGGGTGAGATTTCAACTTTTTAATGCGAGCCACACCTGAGTTAGTCTTGGGTCGACTTTCACCTGGCGAAACGTCCCTCTGCATTCTTTCTCCTCTCCTCTAGACTTTCTCCTCTGCTGACTATAACCTCACAGCGTCTAGGAATCCCTTTGTATCAACAGCACATGGAAGCCCAGTTGTTACATTGTTTGATGTTATAATAAGCCTGATTGCTGTTTTTATATCCTGCTTTCATAGTTTTAACCCATAACTTCATATTTGATTCATTTGAGGAAGCAATATTGATCATTGCCAACACTTATGGATTACCCAGAATCCATGCTGCAAATAATAAAAAACAGTAGCCACCAACATTTGGCTTTAAGTTAACCCTTTAATGTTCACTCCTTGAAGAAACAATGTTATTTATTTTTATTTTGAATGATAGAACTTGACCAAATGAGATTCAGTTTGATGTAAAAGTGCCTAAAACCCAAAGAGAAGCCCCAAGGAGGTAGATTTCAGTTCCAAACCTCAAGTACAGACTCTAAACATGATCCAGCAAATGGATGAGGACACACATTTTATTTATACATTGGTTTTATCTCAGTTTGTTGCCATGTTGTGGTATGGCAGCTGTGTAGCCACTGGTCAAAGTTGGAACCTCTCTATTGTGTGTATAGACCTATTATTTATCAAAATTTCCCCACTGTGGGACGAATAAAGGAATTTTTATCTTATCTTATTTAAATGAATTTCTTCCCATCTCTGTCCATGTTTCAACAACCAGTGCTCTTGGGGTGATTTGTACTGCCTCCTGATGAAGTTTAAAACACATGTCTAAATAATAGCCCTAAAATAGAGCTTTAACATACATATAATTATGAGCTGTTAGGGTTCACTTTTCTCCCTCAATGTTTTAAATAAAAGGGCTGACTCCATGGACCACCCCTTTTTTCTTCTTTCTGCCACATTACATCATCAGCTGTGCGGTATAGCAGTTCATAGGGAATAAGAGCATAACGTTGGCTTGTTAACAATGCTGCAGTTGTTGTATTCAACCAGGAATAAGCCTCTTCAGTGTGTACTTTGGCTTGTTCAGAGACTGCGCTCCACCCAGAGAGAGTGATAAGAGATTCCAGCGCTGTGCCCTATGGGGGAAACTCAACCGTATTGTGCCTATTGTCTGGGACTGCTGCTGTTTTAATGGCTTTGGCACATTGACCTGATTCTTGGGAACATTTGAAATATTGCTGTGTCAGGTGAACAATATGGGTACGATCTTGTGAAGTAATGTGAAGTGAATGGTTAAGAATATGCCATTGAGAGCCTTATTGTGTTGGCTTGTTTCTGTCTAATCGGCGACGTCTACAAAGCACAAGGGAAAGAATTATTGATGCATCGTTATGCTTGCTATGACTGCATAATAATTAATTTGCATTTTTCTTATGCTTTCAATGCTACTGAGGGATGATTGAAGGGAAGCCGCCTCAGACACTTTTAGTGGAGTCTGGTGTTGTTGTTACATTAACAAAAATCCCATCTCTCCTAAACATTTTTCATAGTGTGGTGCTCTTGTATAATCCAGTTGGGAATTATTTGATTACCAAATGAGCTAATTTAGATTTAACTTGTTGTTGCCCATGTCTATTTTAGTGCTCTCCTCTTAAGCCTGCTATAGTCTAGTTTACATAGCCTCATTTTCTCAAATTCAACATTGATTTACTCCAGGCTCGGTGTAAGATTGAAAACTATATGTAACATTAGGGGTGTGCTATAAAGACATTTTTAGATATTTATATGAAAATTAGACGCCATAATTTTTTCTTTCAAATTTGTTTCAGATATGGTTGTTTAATATTTTGACTTTAAGATAAGATAAGATAAGATAAACCTTTATTAGTCTCACAGTGGAGAAATTTCAGTGTCATCGTTGCACATTACAGCAGAGAAAGGAAATAAGAGCACTCAGATTGCACACATCAAAGTCTATTATTTAAGATAATAGACAATAAATTTAAGATAAAATAAAATAAAATAAGAAAATCTGGGCTACAATTGCACTTGGTTCGGAGTATTTACAGATGTCTATATTATACATTAGCAGCGGAGAATATGAGAATATGAGCAGAATAAGCATCAGAAATAATATCAACAGGTAAAGTGACTTGAATGGGAGAATTATCAGATGGATATGAATAATACAGTAAGATATCAACAGGTAAAGTGACGGTGGAAGGCAGAATTATCAGATATGAAATAATACAGTAGTACTGACAACAGTAAATAACAAAATGATCAATGAAAATGTAATTTAAATACATCAATAGTGTTGTATTTTTGTTCAACATTGAGCATTAGATAAAGGGCCAAAAGCTTTCGTTTTTACTGAACTGTATTACTGTATATCGAGAATGGAGAAATATTTGGATCATTCATTTTAAAACAGACAAGATGGTTTAATGTTTACCATCCTCTTTGTTCAGGAAACGCACGCTGAATATGAACAAAACAGGGATCAGTCTCTGAGAAATCAGCATTTTGAATTGAAAGTCCCCTGTCTCTAGATATTGTATGATGATATTAGAGACCTATTGAGTATCTAGAGCAGGGTTCTCCAACCAGTAGCTCGGGAGTCACCAGTAGCTCGCCACCCCCTTCCAAGTAGCTCGCCAAAGGATTTAAATGCACTTACTTTTGTCACTAGTAACAAATATGCGATGATAATTAATGAATGAACCCAATATCAGGCTTGTTCACACCAATATATCACAAAATTCTTCCCAGGGGACGCTTAAAGGAGTAGCTCGCAACCGTCATCGTTCCGGGAAAGTAGCTCTCGGGATGAAAAGTTGACCCTGATCTAGAGGCTCTGAAAGATGCCCAGTTCGAGTAAACGTCGATCCATTTTCTTCCGCTTTATCCGTCGCGGGGGCAGCTGTCAAAGCAGACAAGCATACTGCCTTTAGCACAGTCTAGGAAATCCCGAGGCGTCCCCAGACCAGCTGAGAGCGTGTCCTGGTCTCCTCCCTACGGCACATCCCCAGGAGGCGTTCAGGAGGATTCAGGAGGCGTTCAGGAGGCCTCCAGAACAATACAGTAACTATTATTAAATACATGTCTGAACAACCTCCATGTCTCTGCAGGTGTCTCCGGGAAGCAAAGCAGCCCATGCCAATCTGTGCATCGGGGACCAGATCCTCGCCATAGAAGGAGAGTCGACCGAGGGCATGACGCACATCGAGGCCCAAAACAAAATCAAAGGCTGCGGAGACGAGATGGCGCTCTCTATCGACAGGTGGGACGTCCCAGCATGTCCGGGGCCGATCTGTGTAGCCCGCGGCCCAAACGAAGGCTGAGTAATGTTATACGAGGCAGACGGGCCCAGAGCCAGGTGTACTGACTGTGTGCGGGTGTATGTGTGTATGTGTGTGTGTGTGTGTGTGTGTGGTCATGAATCAAAGTGAGACAGTTGTACAGTTCTTTGTGTTCCCACATCCAACATTGCGCAAAAACCCATGAATAAACACTCATCAAAGGAATTATTTGTTTAAAGGGAACATGACAAGAAAAATTGCAACAGCTTTTCACCATATTTTAGTTTCCCCCATGTCCTCACACACTCAAAGTTGTTTTTTGAGCTCCCATATGCTCCATGTCAGTGCTCCCCAATCGCTAGCATAAGCGGAACAATGCTTTGTTTGCCATTGTTCCTATCTGAATCAAGTCATGTGTATAAAAGAAATGATATATGTGTAACTTAATACAGAAGTGACACAGACCTGTTTCGTTCATGACATCCTTTTGAGATCAATATTGACTTCAGAAATGATTGAGGCTCCAGGTTCATGGTTTGCTCATAAAGACTTTTACAATTATTTTTCACTAAAATATAGATCTTGACAAAAACTCATAGAAACAGATCAGATGTTAATTTTAAAGTCGGTCACAGAATTGGGATATTTTGGCAAAATGGTTGAGCCCAAGTCCTGATCTTGTCCCGTCCACAATATTTTCTTTTATTTGCTACACATAGGATTTATGTATTTTTTATTTTTTGGCCACAAATCGAGAATTTATCATGTATACATTTTGAATTCATTATTGGAAAGGATGTAGGACTTTTCTTGGCTTTGCCAATCTATTCTGATTTTTTTAAATAATTTTGACTTTTGAATGAATGCATGATACGTCACACTGTCTCTACGAAACAAACTATTATGTTTAACTGTTGGTCAGCCTGCTAATGCTTTAGAAAGACATTTCCCTTTCTTTTCATTTGACATCTTTTCCTGATTATGATGTGTTTTTCCCAAGAAAATTCACATTTAAAAAGCGATCTGGAACCATAGTGCATTCCTCAGAGATTTTCTATACATCGCCACAATAAATATGGCCTTAAGGCGTTTGTGAAGCGGCTAAGGACCTCTTTGAGGACAAGAGGGCTTAAAAAAGGGAAGAATTGAGGTCAGTGGGTTACTGCTGACTCTTAAGAGCAGTGTTTAAATGGATGTTACACGGCTGCTTACATACTGCAATGAATGAAGGGCCCCTCAGGCTCTGGCTATAACCTTACAACAATGACAACTTAGAAATGTCCAAATATTTCCTCAACATTATGAAGGCTGCTGCTGGAGGATATACTGCAAGTAATGTGACCTGTTGTTAAGTTTGAAATACACCCATTAAGTAATTCCCTGTGTTTTTTTTCAAGGCAATTCCTGAGTGGTGGTTTTGAATGTGCCAATATTAGGTGTGAGAAACCTGCTCAGTTTGATTGCTTATATTTAGTAGAGGGAACATGCAAATTTGTCATTTCACAGATTGTAATGTTATCAATTGAATTCAGCTTTATTACAGACTCTAATTTAAAACGTACAAACAGATAAGACAAAAATGAACTAACAGACAGATATGACAGCCGTAGCAGTGTCTCCACATCTTTGACTGAACTCGAGCGGCACTGAACCTGATGTTTGTCAGCGCTAATATTATTTCATCTTCTGACTTTAGTTGACAGATGAAGTAGTACATTTGGGTCCTAAGCACTGCCTGTAAAATGTTCGCTCGTGAGGTGACAAACAGCTCAGACGCACTGGTCCATCGTGGCTTTCTCATAAGCACTTTGAAAAGAGTCATTGTTCATGTGTTTTCTTGTCATTTACCCACTTTTTGTCTGGTCTGATCTACTAAATATATAAATGTCAAGCTATGTGCAAAAAAAAAAATCTTTTTTCCCTACAACTGCAACAGAGACAGGTGCAATAACTACAGCTTGTGTGGCTGCGGTTCATGCACTGGCCACCTGCGTCTTGTAAAGTTGCTCATAGGTCGCACTCTCTATTTTGGCTGCCGGGCGTCTGTAATTTGTCATGTTTGAACAACAGCCCACAGCAAAGCCCTGAACCAGCCTTGAGCCTCTCCTTCTCTTTGTCCTTCAGGTCGGAGTTCAAGATGTGGTCTCCGCTGGCCTCAGAGGGCGGGAAGGCACATCCGTACAAGATGAATCTCATCTCGGAGCCTCAGGTGTGTCCCGTGGGTCGCTCGTGGTCTGTAATGGTCTGTGTGGAATGTGTTCTGTTTTGGGATTTGCACAGCTGTTCTTTCTCACACAACTATGATGCAAAAAAAAAAAACGGTGACGAAATGTTTGCTCAGACAGAAGCAGAACGTGTCAAAAGACAGGGGCAGCACCGTGGCCTTGTCTCGCTTCTCAGCAACGAGGTCCTGGGTTCGAACGCCAGGGCTTTTCTGAGTGGAGTTTGCATGTTCTCCCTCTGTCTGTGTAGGTTTGCTCCAAGTGCTCTGGTTTCCCCTACTATTTGTTTATTTATTTATTTGAGGATGGATTTGTTTTGAGGAGGATAAGCGCATACAAATGAAACATCTTCAAAACCGCACTAAATGACAACTGCAGCAAGGCAGATGGTAAAGCAGACAGTATATAATTCATAAATAACAAGACAAAACACACACACATACATCGACTGTTGTGAATGTATTGTGTATCATAATACTGTATTATTAGTGATACATGTTATCATTGAGATAAATATAAATGGAATGTAAACCTAATGTTCTAAAACTAAAACCATTTGCTCCTCCCACCACCATTCTTCCCTGTCTGACACAAAGACTCCCATAAGATCCTCAAAGCTTTCCTGGTTACGTTATTTTTTTTGACTGGAAAAAAGTCAGATATTCAGTACTTGGAAATGCCTGTAACTTCCTACTAACATGGAGTTTTAAAAAACGTTACATAGCACAAAAGGCTTTGCTTCTGCTCCTCAATAAAATGGTCAATTATTTAAAGAAAATGTTTTGTTGAAATGACAAATTACATGCGATAGTTAAAGTCATTACTAAACAGAGGACTAACATTGCCGATGATGTCATAATGAATAGGAAAATAAATGTCAAAGGCATTGACAGGTATTTACTGGAACGGCAGCTTGTTCAGTCCCATCCTGCCGCACTGCATTGTGGGTTTGACTGACTGCCAACGATGTGGTCATTGTTTGTGTCCCAACAGGAGGTTTCCTAGGAGACGGTAGTGTATCTGCCAAAGCGTGACGTAAGCCCCTGTTCGTTCGTGTGTGTGTGTGTGTGTGTGTGTATGCTCGTGTGTGTGTGTCTGTGGAAAGTTAAGCACAGAATGTGAGATCATGAAGGAAGCAGATCACTGCATGTGTCCTATCACCAGCACGAAGGAAACGTCTGTCAAAGCACTTGTCTGCAGTGTGGCACAATGTTGTGATAAAGCTAATGCAGTGTGATGATAAAAGGCCTGCTTCACTTATTGTCCACATATTGTTCAACTACTGAGGCCGCGATAGTATTTAACTCACTTCAATTTATTTTACTTTTCTATAGCCCTAAATCACAACAGCAGTTCTCTCAATGGACTTTACAAAACCGTTGCTTCGCCAACACAGATCAGAGAATCAAACAGTTCAAACTCAAATGTAATGATAGAAAACACATAGAGCCATTGATCCATGTGTTTCACCAATGTCCATAAATGTCTCTGAATGTGGAGTGTCCTGGATCATAACTTGCTGTCGTCGTGCCCTGTTTTGATGTTTTGGGCTGAGAGCTGATTGGCTGAGTGTGGGTGGTTCTGTCTTTTTCACTTACAAATACATGCATGTGTGAAAGTTAGTGATAGAACCTAGCTGTTTTGAGAGCAAAGAACTAGCTCTTAAAGCTTTTATTTGCTAGTTCTATGTCTTTTATGGTTTGAAAGTTGTGTTAGAAAGTAACTCATATGGAACTTTATATTTACCGCAAATATGAATGATATCTTTTTTATTAGTCCCACAGTGTAAATATGTACAGGGTTTGGCCAGATCACAGTTTAGCCATATTTCAAAAACAACAATCGCAATATTGTAAATGTTTTGTTGTTTTGTTAGCTCTACTTTCAGATTGAAGTATTGAAATGTATTGTGGTACCTTATGCAACAACACTTCCCAATGACTTTATCCTCTGTAAAGGCAAAGCCCTCACAACTGTTTCTCTAACATTAGATGGAGATTATATAGATCTGAGCTCTCCGTGGAATATAGAAGCTTGGTGGCTAGCAATCTGGACTTCTACAATATGGCCGTGACACAGCAATTACAGAATTTCTAAAAACTCTTCAATGATTAAAGTTGTGGGAAAAAAAATTGTTTGGAAGGATAAAACATTACACACATAAAAAGAACAAGACAAACTCGAGCCAATTTGACACAACTTCAGTCACTTCCAAACAGGAGCTAGGACAGTCCGAGCTGAACCGGTCTCAGTCCGTCCCGTCAGCCCCTCTGCTCCGTTCATTTGGCCTCAGAGACTTTTGGGTTTTCTGGTATTTGAACACAGAGGTTTTGAGCATGAGCTAAAGTTATTCTCGTTTTTGCTGCAGGAGGTGGTTTTGCTGGTATTTGTGCGTCCGCTCTGATGGAATACCAGTGCCGTGACATGAGAGCTTGTGAAAATGTTTGCCGCTTATCTGTAATTAACCAAGAATCTTCTCGTTACAGCCTAGAATGTCTCGATGATGTGTTAAAGGGGCCCTGCTTTAGGACGTAGGAGGAGCGCTTTTAGAGAAAACCTGGTCTCCCACAATTTTAATAACTGTGTGTTACTCCAGTACTTTTTAGATAAACTATGAGAAAATGTAAGAGATTGTTATCATTTTTGTTTTTTGTAATGGTTGAGTTACATAGGATATCAGGCATGAGATTCCAAAAGCAAGTAAAGAAACTTGCGCATGCCTGCTTTGGAATGCCATTTGTCATTAGCCATTAGCAACAATCTCTTTAAATCAAATTGATTCCCACAGCATTCAACTTGACTGATCGTGTTACCAGAATATAACTGATAACCACAACATTTCAGACTACCGTACATACAGCATATTAATCTGCTACTTTGTGTGAACAACATGAAAGATATGCCAAAACAAGTGGTCCTCCTCCCTCCCAGAGTAGCTTCGCAAACCTACACCCACAAAACTAGTTTAAAATGACAATTGTAAACCGCTTTGTGACTGGTCTGTGAAAAGCAGACCAGTTACTTACTTATGAATTCTAGCATTATTGACTTATGCAAATGACTTTCGTATGTAATGTGCAGGTAAACGTGAGTATTTTTTACCCCCTACACGCACATGTTATTGGTCTAGACCAGTGGATCTCAAACTGGGGTCTCCGTTCTCCAGTTTTGTATTTATTATGGTAAAATATCCAAAAGATGTTAAGTTTTTGTTTAATGGAAATTACTACATTGAAAAAGAAAGCTGCATGAAGTCTCTTACTCTTTTTGTTTCATAAATGCATGTTGTTTGTCTCAACAGAAAAAAAAATCTCATAGAAAACAGTTATTTCATACTGATAGCTTATTGGCTGAGTAATGGCCAGTACTATTTCAAACTGAAAAGGCTGATCTGAGGAAGAGAAAGAGCTAAAATGAAATCTACATGCATGTGATGACTAGTGATTGATAGTTATTCAGAAAACTTTATTTATCACCAACAGGAAATTCATTTGTAGCTACACAGCCGCTCTCACACATCTGTAAAGCCCTGCTCCAGCTTTGGTTTTAAACATTTTGGTTTAGACTTTTACTTTGATGTCTTTGGGAGGAGCTGGGGGTTGCCATTTGCCATTCCACAAAAGTTTGAGATCCCCTGGTCCAGACGTTCAAACTGGTGAATCTAAAAACCTGACTAAAGGAGGTCTGTCCACAGGAGGTGAAGCACATCGGCTCCGCTCACAACAGGAGCGCTCTGCCCTTCAGTGGCTTCGGGCCCAAAGTCGTGACAAACCAGTACAACAACCCCGCCGGCCTCTACTCCTCCGACAACATCAATGACTTCAACTGCGCCGTGGACGAAGTCAAGACTCTGGTCAACGAACCAAACAACAAGTAAGAGCAAAACGCGTTCAAGCTAACACTATATAACACCAAACTATGTCACTGTCCCTTTAACACGATATAATGGTCAATATACTGCGTCATTGCTTCATTACCATAAATGACCAGACTGAAGCTGTTTTATGCCACTAACACAATACTGCAAAAAAATCCCACTTACTTTCATTACTCCCATTTAAATTAAATTAACGGTATAATGAAGTCATATGTAGCCATGAAAATCAACGGCGTTTATGTGTAAAGATGATACAAAACTATGTTGTTTTCTTTCACACATAAACATGATCTTGTCAACATTTTACATAATTTACCACATATTCATTTGTTAACTTCTGCAAACAACATGCCAAAAACAAGTTTATGTATCCTAATATTATTGCTGTATGCACATGAATTATGTCTGTACACTATAGCTGCACAAGTTGGTCATCAGTGCAGTAGGATTTATGTCATATTTACCAAAACCCGTTTTTGATGGAAACTATGGCACCTTTTAGTGCAAATAAAAAAGTTGGACCCTTTTAACTTTGATGTTTCATAAATACATCTCGTTTGTCCCAACTTCAAGAATCTTAGTAAACAAATCAGAACTCGACATGCTGTCTTTATCTTAGTAGAAAACATGTTATCTTTTACATACTGATAGCTGATTTGCCAACCAGTTATCAAAGTATTTTTATATTAGAGAATATCGGGGAAAGAGAATTATTATTGTTTATATGTATGTTAATTGTATATAGAAATTGTTGTGCTCTTAACAGAAAAAAGTGCAGTAGTACTTATTTTAGCACAGTGTGAGCAGCACCTCTTAAAACCCGCTCAAATGTGTTGGATTGACACATTATTTCCACACTAATGTTTTCCAGTCACTTACAGCCGTCTAGACTCAGACCAATGGATCCGACACCTTGTTTATCCTCAGGACACAACACCTCCACATACAGGCTCTGGTGTTAAACGATCATTCAATGTTTTCAGGCTTTTAGTGTGAAGTAATTACTCAAATAAAATGTGTTTTTGTCAACGAGTTTTTCCTCAGACGACTCCAAAAGTTACTTAAGGTGATGTAGAGGGGTGGGAGATACATAACTATCATCAACATAACCGTTTTGGAGATGAGCCGATGCATATTTGGTTCTGATGAAATCTAAATAAAAACACTAGGTCTTGTTGTCTGTAATGTATTTTTGTGGATTTTCATGTGTTGTTTTCAATCTGGCATTTATCAAAAGATCCTTTATTCGTCCCACAATGGGGAAATTTCAGTTTGATGCATACACATACACATATACTGTACATGTACATATATACATGTACACATCAAGGCAAGCAGCTACTTTATACTAACGTATAACCATTACAGTGAACATAGTAAAGTGCTCTGGGTGACCTTGGTCTGTGAAAAATGTATTTAGTCAGCCACCGATTGTGCAAGTTCTCCCACTTAAAATAATGACAGAGGTCTGTAATTTTCATCATAGGTTCACTTCAACTGTGAGAGACAGATTGTGAAAAAAAGATCCAGGAATTCACATTGTAGGATTTTTAAAGAATGTATTTGTAAATTATGGTGGAAAATGGTCCACAGCCTCAAACAGTCACACTCCAAACTCCACTATGGCCAAGACCAAAGAGCTGTCTAGGACACCAGGAAAAGAATTGTAGACCTGCACCAGACTGGGAAGAGTGAATCTACAATAGGCAAGCAGCTTGGTGTGAACAAATCAACTGTGGGAGCAATTATCAGAAAATGGAAGACATACAAGACCACTGATAATATCCCTCGATCTGGGGCTCCATGCAAGATCTCATCCCGTGGGGTCAAAATGATCATGAGAACAGTGATCAAATATCCCAGAACCAGGGACGTGCGGTGAGGTTTGTGATTGGGGAGGCACTGACTTTAAAAGTCAGATTTACAATCATTATTCAAATAAAATAGCATTTAATCACCAATGCAATGACATCCACAAACTTTATATACTGTAAAGATAAGAGAACCAGCTTCTTTTAATAATCTCACAACAAATCTAGCTGCTGACTCTGCTCCGCATCAAACAACATCTTTAAGAAGCGCAGGTGCGAGAGACGCGAGGAGAGAGAGACGCGAGGAGAGAGGAGCAGAGAGAGACAGAGAGGAGCAGAGAGACGGAGACGCGAGGAGCAGAGAGAGACGGAGACGCGAGGAGAGAGGAGCAGAGAGAGACAGAGAGGAGCAGAGAGACGGAGACGCGAGGAGCAGAGAGAGACAGAGAGGAGCAGAGAGACGGAGACGCGAGGAGCAGAGAGAGACGGAGACGCGAGGAGAGAGAGACGCGAGGAGAGAGAGACGCGAGGAACATAAACAATAATTTAAACAAGTTGCAGAACTCTTGAGCAGTGTTTGAATCAGTGTTTTTCGGAAAAGCACTACTTTGCCGGTATCTGTCAATGTTCAACATAAAACACAGATTAACAAACTCCTCCCCCGCAGCCGGACTAACCTCGTAAGTCCAGTGGTGGTCTCCCAGTCTATATTAATTCTTTCTTTGTTTGAAAGTCCAATTGAGAAAAAAAATCTTCATTCAAATCATCCATTTTCCAGCAAAAGAAATAGCATTTTGGGCTGATTGTTTGTTAGCAACTCTGGTATGAACTTTATGCTCACTATCACCCCTAGCGGTGAGGCACAGATACCGCCTGCCTCACGCCAAGCTTTTTCCTTGTGTGTTCATCTACGATCAAAAGACTTAAACTAAATATAAATTGTACACACATACGTGCAATACACTACTAAACACTAAGAGGAGTTTAAAAAATGTTTTTAAAGCAGGATATTTGAAACAAACGGTGATATATCAACTGCACGAGCTGAGTGCACTCAGACACACACACACACACTGTGAGGGAGCGGTCTGAGGTGAGGCACGCAGGAGCGCTGCCTCACCTCGTCTCTTTGAATAGGAATAACGGGATTTCGGCGATTTTGACTTCAGAAATGATCAAAACTGATGGGAACCGTGCCGAATATACATTAAAAGCATAGGACAGTGGATATAAATTATATATTTAAACTAAAATAATTATTAGTTTCCAATAATGGCAGGTGAGGCTCTGCCTCCCCTGCCTCCCCTGACTGCACGTCCCTGCCCAGAACCACACGGGGCGACCTGGTGAATGACCTGCAGAGAGCTGGGACCAAAGTAACAAAGGTTACCATCAGTAACACACTACGACGACAGGGAATCGTGCCAGACGTGTCCCCCTGCTGAAGCCAGTGCATGTCCAGGCCAGTCTGAAGTTTGCCAGAGAGCACATGGATGATACAGCAGAGGTTTGGGAGAATGTCATGTGGTCAGATGAAACCAAAGTAGAACTGTTTGGTATAAACTCAACTCGTCGTGTTTGGAGGAAGAAGAATACTGAGTTGCATCCCAAGAACACCATACCTACTGTGAAGCATGGGGGTGGAAACGTCATGCTTTGGGGCTGTTTTTCTAAGGGGACAGGACGACTGATGTAAAGGAAAGAATGAATGGGGCCATGTATCGTGAGATTTTGAGTCAAAACCTCCTTCCATCAGTTGAAGATGAAACGTGGCTGGGTCTTCCAGCATGACGATGATCCCAAACACACCGCCCGGGCAATGAAGGAGTGGCTCCGTAAGAAGCATTTGAAAGTCCCGGAGTGGCCTGGCCAGTCTCCAGACCTCAACCCCATTGAAAATCTGTGGAGGGAGTTGAAAATCTGTGGAGGGAGTTGAAAGTCTGTGTTCACTGCTCTCGAGAAGATCTGCATGGAGGAATGGGCCAAAATACCAGCTACTGTGTGTGCAAACCTGGTAAAGACCTATAGTAATCGTTTGACCTCTGTTATTGTCAACAAATGTTATATTACCAAGTATTGAGTTGAATTTTTGTTATTGACCAAATACTTATTTTCCACCATAATATACAAATAAATTCTTTTAAAAATCCTACAATGTGAATTCCTTGATTTTTTTTTTTTCTCATTCTGTCTGTCACAGTTGAAGTGTACCTATGATGAAAATTACAGACCTCTGTCATTATTTTAAGTGGGAGAACTTGCACAATCGGTGGCTGACTAAATACTTTTTTGCCCCACTGTATATAAAGATAACGTCTTGTACTTATATGACCATATAAAATAAAGCTTTTTTTCTGGTTACTTAATGATAGAAGTAAGTTGTGTGTCTTCAGCCTTTTTACAGAATTAGGATACAACTCTAAAATATTCAATTAGATTGAGTTAAAAGTATGTCAAAGGCACTGAGAGTAGCAGAGGTACAAGAACAATATAATGTGAGGTTTTGCAAGATTTCTGCTGTTCTCCCAACAATTCACCCGCGTCTTCTCTGTGGCTGGAAAACCCCATAATCTGTATTATAATCTTCCTTCAGACTAATGCAAACCCTTCAATTTGTGTTTTGCAGATCCCCAACAGACACTCCCAAAGCCACCGTCAAAAAGCCGCCCGTCCCTGAAGGCTCTGAGGTTTACAAAATGTTGCAGGAAAACCAAGAGTCTGACGAACCACCGCGACAGTCTGCCTCCTTCAAAGTTCTGCAGGAAATACTCGAGACAGGTGTGAAATCCCCCAGAAGGAATTTAGTCAATTTCATCCTGCTTGTGGCAGGAACAAGCAAGGATCAATTGCTTTAGTTTAAATATAAAAAGGACATTGGAATGAGGGAGGAACTTGAAAATAAGACTGAGGCTGGTCTTAGCATGTATTTTCTGTTCCTTTAAAACTAGTAATAAAATGTCTGTGCGCAGGAGACGCTGAAAAGCCCTCAGGATTCAGGAGTGTGAGGGCCCCCACAAATAAGATCGGAGCCTCGGTGGGGAACGCAGACAAACTGCCCGCATGCGACAAGTGTGGATCAGGCATCGTGTAAGTGTCTCATAATAGTTCAAAAAGAAATTGTGTTTTAGTTTTATGTCACTCAACTGTTATTGCTGTTCCTGAAATGAATGTCGTCTGTGTGAGATCTCCCTCTTGTGGCCAATAATGGAAAATGATGTAGTTGGCGCCAGTGTTAAAAGTTACTCTCAAAACTAAACCATGAGTTGCCAGTTGCTGCATCAGGTGCTGAGGTATAGACAGTCCTGCTGGATTTGTCCAAACAAGCTGGCAACCCAAAATCTCTGCTTTCTCATTGGATACACTGCTTAAATGAGCTGTGGTACTTAAGTTTGATGAATAATACATGTTTGTCCCAGAATGAGTCTTGTAAAAGTAAAATGATTACATTATTAAAAACCTGTAATATTTTGCAGGGTTTTAAGAAAGAACCCTGTGAGTCTCTATTTGGAGCTTTGGGGCCGAGAGGCTGACTTAGTGAGGGTGGTCCATTTTATACTAATCAGTCTGAAAAAGCTGATCTTTAGATGTGACAGAGGCCATAGATATCTGTGAAGGCTAGTGATGGAATCAACGTGTTTTGAGAGCGAAGAATAAGTTATATTTTTGTATTGCATAGATGTTTTAACTTGAACAATGGAGACTTTATATTTATATTGTTTATGTTTATAAAAGTAAAACATTGTTCTTGAGAATAAATATTTAAACTTTAGGGATGTTTAACTTAAGTTCAATTGTATTTTTCTATGTTGTGTCATGTGATTTGTTTTCTGGATAGCTGTGCTGTTTCTATGCCTTTTATGGCCGTGTCAAGGATTTGTTCTAATGCTGTTCCTTTCGGTTTCATGTTTTGAAAAATATGAGTCTATTTTTGGTTGACCACCTGTGTGTCCTGTTCCAGGGGAGTTGTGGTCAAACTGCGGGACAAGTTCCGTCACCCGGAGTGTTACACCTGCACGGACTGCGACACAAACCTCAAACAAAAGGGACATTTCTTTGTGGAGGATCAAATCTACTGTGAGAAACACGCACGGGAGCGAGTCACGCCTCCAGAAGGCTACGACGTGGTCACTGTGTTCCCCAAGTAAAAATGTAAATGAATGTAAAAGAGACAAACAACCAGACCGTCATCAGCAAAGGCCGTGTCTCCTGCATTACGCTTCAGTATGTCTCAGATACTTGTGGATTTGCACATTTTTGATAAAGAGATTTATGACTGGACTTTTCTAAATGCAATATTGACATAATTGAAATCTGCCACTGTATTTTAGTATTTTGTCCCCTGTATGCCTTATGATTGAAAATGCATTGAAACAAGAACCACTCGCAAACATTTCTTTTATGTTTTTAAATAAGAACATTTAATATTGCCAAATAAATATTTTACCATGTACGTCGCCTGCTTTCACTATGAATTTAATGTAAAGGGGTCATGTGCAACTAAACCGTTAGTTGTCTAAACTGAAAATGGACCAAACGCTCTGGAATTCACCAAAGAAACTGCCAGTGTCTGGGGAGCTTATTCTGTTTTCTGATTGGATAATCTGCATTCCAATTACTTAGAATTAGCATAACTATTGTTCACACATTCTGGTGCATCTGACCTGTATAAACGTAAATGCAATTAGATTTTTTGTAATTTAATTTCATTGTATTTTGACAATCCAACAACATTTTTTAACATAAATATAATACACGTAGCTGTGATTGACAAAATTTTAAGAAAAAAACGGTGAATAATATCTTATTGTAAATGCTGGTTTGGAGCCACTTGTTGCCAATCCTTCTGGAGTTTGGCCCGAATATAAGTGCTAGAGTTCGTTAAAAGTCACAGACAGAAGGTTCTAGTTCTTAGAGCCAATATTGGATGATCTTCCAAATGAAAAATCATTGTTCACATAGAGTTTGAAGAGGGATTGTGCCCGGGATCCATTGGATTGTCCAGATTTAATTTTTGACGTAAACTGGCTCAAATTCTCCCACTCTGCAGCACTGCGCATGCGTTCTGATGGATATGGTTCCTGCTGATCCGACATGCGTAAAGTCTCCATCAGCGCCCAGATGTAGTTATGAGCAAAGCGTAACGTTTCTATTTTGGTGAGTTTGGAGTCTTCTGGTAGCGCAGGTAAGATGCTCCTGAGTGCGTCCAAAGCAGAGTTCAGATTGTGCATACGGTGTCGCTCCCGGTCATTGGCTTTGCTTCTGCGTCTGCCTTTCTGCACGTCACTGCCCAGTCTGCGGTGCGTCTGCGGTGCCCCATACGTCTTCTTCGCCACATTTTCAGAAGGGACGTGTTTCGACTTGAAGCGGCGAGTTGGAAACGTACTGGTGTACTTGGGCGCGCTCACGGCGACGCACTGCTCCTTTGGGGTCATTCCTGGAAGAGACGGATCCAAGTTAGCCAGATAGTCAAGGAAATAAACAAAGCAATTTCTTAAGGTCTGTATACAAAGGTTGAATGATTATAGGCTAAATTAAAACACTATAATATTTTAAAACAGTTTTTCTGCAGACTATAATGCCAAGCGGACACATAAGTCATGCTTTTTCACTAAATATAGTCGAAGAGTAAATAATACTTACTTGGGCAGGTGTCCTACGGTCTTCTCTGAGTTCAGGTAGAATTATCTGTGGCTGGGCTGAGGGATGGCTGCGCATCCCTGTCATTTTATGTGGCTTTTATCTTATCTCCTAAAGCCTGAATCAACAGCGCTCGTCTTGTAGCCAATCAGCTTCCAGTGCGCGCGCCTTTCTGCTTTGGACTTCTCTCCGCTAGGCCTCGCTTCCATTCATCTCTGCTCCGTATTTCTTTGTGTGTTCTTTGTAAAATGCAGACGCGTACTAGAAAATAGAGGACCATACACCCTTGGATATCGCGCAGGTGATGCACAATAGTTTGTGGGGCTTTTTGCTCTCATATTCAAGACTTGTGACGCTGTTGTTTCTGTGTCTGGTATCATTAAGCGTGTGTTCTAAACCATTTAACACGAAGTAGAATATAATTTATAATGTGCAAATGAAGAATTAAGTGCAAACGAGTTATGATGTGAAAGCTGAATACACAATTACACATCGTATTCCAGTAAGAGAGTTATAAATAAATAAATCCTTGAATGAAGGCTCTGCTATTTCTTCTTTGTTGTTGCTGCTTTGTACTTTTTTCCCTTGAGTTCCAGGGTATTTTACCAATTACCAATATGCACAAATATATAATAAAACACACTTCAAAGTTGCCCTGCCCTGTACGTTTTATGCAACATGAATTTATACAAAATGATCCCACATTGAATGGTCACTGATAATAATAATAATAATGTCATTAGACTTGTGCCATCATTGTTATCTCCAACATTACCATACGAATATATACAGGCTATTTGTTTCTTGAAATGTTAAAGTCGTTGGAATAAACATGCATGCCGACTGCTGATTGTAGCTGCACACACGATCAACATCTATTGCTACTTTTAATCAAAGTATTATTCCATGTAGCCAAAGTTGAAAGCATGCGTAAAGTTTCAGGTCGGACTTTTACGCACGAGGCCAGCTCTTGAACAGGACTCACGAACTGAAATCTAAAGTGTGACGTGTAAGCACCAAGGGTCCTATTGTCTGTGGAAACAAGGACAACTACATATCTTTTGTTATCTGAGCGTAATTGTGTGCGTAATTGTATGTCCAAAACACGTCCGATTTGGCAACATCTCAATTGTGCGTGGATTATGTGAGTGTTATTTAGGCTTAGAATGATTTAAATGGGAGTATTGTCAACAGTAGGGGAGAGGGCACGTGTCAGCCACGAGGAACAGACCAGGGGCGTGTGTCCGGGGCTGGACGTGATTTACAATGACCAACCAATGCTCACAAAAAGCTCTACCTAACTTTCTGTCCAAATATGTGTAATGGGACCATGTCTGATAACCATATGGTTTTAATAAACTGGGTAAATATAGCGTGAGATAGGAGATGGAGGCTCCCTGTTGTAAAAGGCAGGAAAAGAGTAAAATAAATATTCCCACTTTATAAATAATCTACGATGTTGGTGCCATGTGGTGATTTGGAGGGCAGGTGCGGACTTCTAGACGCCCTTCATTTTATCAGCAGATCGGGATGCCTTGCTTGTTGTGTTAAGTGTGGGCAAACAGTTGCTGTGGAAATATCAGATATCGAAGGCCTAAACCCGATTTAACAATATTTAACAATGAACTGAGCAAGCGAGGGAGCAGGTGATACCTGCCCGGACTCATTCCACTCTCCACTTTACAGTTCCCTTTGCTTATTTATTAAACCAAATCTATTTATTATTATTTTAGCAAACAGAGGTACCAGGTGGGGCTTTATTTTCGTCTTCAGCTTTTTTGTTTGAAGGACGTTTTGAAAGGGACAATCAAAGTCCAACAACTCGCTGACCAGATTGTTGTCATCCCAAACTCCATCTTTTCAATGTGCCCCCCTCTCTCCTCTCGTGCACTCCGCCAAAGAGCTGCTGCGAATGGGGAGAAGAAAGAGGAAACTTCTTCAAGAAAGGAAAAACATCTTAAAAACATTTAATTGCAACCCGGATGCCATATGTACACCTCTTGTGAAAGCCCTCAACAATGTGACTGGCTTTGACAAAGTATGGAGTGCACCTTTGGAGACGTGTGCGCTTTTGGAGAGGTGCGCGCGTCGTGACCAGAATGACCCCGAGGACACTCTACACAAGAACTAATTCACTTTTAATGTGCTTTGGAGTTTCCTTTCACGGGCCATGCATTGTATGTCCTGCACGAGCTTTTGAAGGCAGTGTACACCAATTACAGTGGAATAGCTGTTCTTTACGTTACACAGTTTGTTTTTTTCTAAGGCACAGTCTGCGCTGTCTCTTTTCACTGCGTTTTATCGCCTCAGCACTTGTTTACCAGGTCCGTCTTCATTAGCACCTTTTGTCCATTTAACCAGATTAATTTGAAGTGGTTGGACGTAAACTTGGTTATTTTAGCATTATTGGCAATATAAACTAAATGTATGAAATAAAATGTATACAAGAAATATTAATGAGGTTGATGTATAATTTTATATCCTTTCCAAATTGGAAAAGGAAATGTGGAGGAAACATCTTCTTTAATCTATATGACACAAATCTTATATATTTATGATAGATTACATTTGCCATAAGCATTATTATTACAAGTTATAGCTCAAGGAGTATTTACTTTGGCCCACCTCCTGAGAATATTGTTTTGCAATCAGAACACTACACTTTCTTAATATTGACCTTACAACATTCTAAACCCTATGTCCTATATCTATAAGCAAACCCGAAGGAAAACAGACATTAAAATTATAAATATTATAAAAAAAACATAAAATAATGATTATATGATACATCACAGTTTTCATGTACATAGTAAGGTCCTTTGATTAGTATGTGGTGGTGTTTACACATAATAGTTGCAGTTACAAATTGACCTTTGACGAAAATATGGAAGATTCTTGATTTTGGGTCTTCTGGGTTTGGTAAATGCATTTCTCCAAACAGCCAAAATCTCTTGTTCCAGACAAGATACTATACTTTCCCTATGTTATTGGGGCTTTACCTGCGGGACGCCATCTGCATCTCCGTGTCTCAGCTTATCCATGGAGCAAGAAGCAAACTTCTGACAAACATTGAAGTGATCCAAGTTTGTGATTCCCACTGGCTCTCTGGCTGAGGCTAATCATTAAGAGTATATGGTTTATCCAACAACAAATGTAGGTTTTAGTTCAGTTAATTAATTCCTAATGTTGGATTTTCCATGAGTATTCGTCTTTGTCGCCTTCTTCTGGACAAAATAACTCACTGCAATGGTCTATAAAAAGCGAAGGTTCAATCATTTGCCAGTCTCTTTTGTCTCACAGTCCCACTTGGAAATTTGAGCTCTTGGGTTTTCTAATGGTGATTACACCTCTCTCTTCTACCTCTGTCTACTACTGTGGTTCACTATATTGTGATTTAGTACACTTTAGTACATCCAATAGGAGGCAGTGTGGGACAGAAAAAACACACGAGAGTGAAAGAGAGAAATGGAGGAAAATGGTCTCAAATGTGTGCATAAAACAGTGCAAGAGCAGTCCCAGGAGACTGTTTGTGTGAGTGAAAAAAGGAGGAGGATAAAAAGACTGTGTCCCGCTGTATTACTCAGGCTGCACTACAGCGTCTATTCACAGGCGCGAACCCACTACTGAGCGGCACGGGGGCTTTGACCTGCTCCGTTTCCGACCTGGGCCGGTGCACCCCTCCTTAGACGACCTGGTGGTCCCGGGCTCCCCCAGGAGCACCATATCGATACCGAACTTAGTGCGGACACCCGATCGACATAGTCCACTGCAGCTCAGAGCTCCTGAGCTCAAACGCTCCTCCAGCCTCAGCCTCCCGGTAGCTTGGATTACAGGCGCACGCCACTGCACCCGGCGAGAACAGTCTGTGCTCATTGGGCTTTTGACTTGAATGCTAATGACGTCACGACTCAGTATTTTTCGTTGGCGCCCCTTAGCGACGTGAAACAGAAACTACAACTCAAACAAAATCAGACATAATACCTGTCAAACGCATAAATTCTGGTCTGGATTAGAGTAAAAAGCCAAAAAAACAGCAACAACTAAATCCACAATTCACACGGTCATACAGTTCCATGTACTGCTCAACTCATAGATTACAAAACAGTTAGATTAAACATATTCGGAGTATAGGACTGTGTATCTTTGAGTTTGCTGATGAGATGTGTACCTCATTGCATTGGCGACGGGATAGATACATAACTAGATATAAGCATGGATCTATTATATTAACGGATATAAGCATTTTGCCTTTGAGCTAATGCAATTTAGCTCAGATTTGTGATATTTGTCTGGTTTCAGACAGGATACATTATTTGTGCCTTTATTTAATTTATTAAAGGTTTGAGGTAGATCATTCTCCTCAGCCTCTTGCTTCTCTTTGGAATGTGTGGGCCTCTGACTATTGCAAATAATCAATATTGAATATGTACCGTAATATGTCAAATAATGACGATAATATAATGTATCAAAATAAAGATTTTTTTTATATTAAAGTATTTTTTCTTTCAGCAATAAAGGACAAGTTAATTCAATTGCCTAATAGGCTCTGTCAGATGAAATATTATAGTAGTCACCAACCCTCCATTGCAAACGGACTCACAAACACACAAAATTGTTGAATCCCCAATTTATTAAGAGATAAGCCATAACATGAATTGACACTCTTGTCAATTTTGCACACAAAAAAACAAACAGAATGCATCAGTATAAGGACACTTTGGAAAACAACATTGAGGAGAAGTATTTTGATTGCTGTTTCAATAAATATGTACATAAAAATAACACCATATTATACGCTATACTTTGTTTATATAACATTATACAACATTTCATGTATTGAACAACTTTTAAATTTCATAGTTTCGAAACCTCTGTAGTAAGCTTGAAGGAGAGTCACCGTCCCATCGAAAACGCAAATGATGGAAATCCCCTGTGGAGACAAAAATGTACAGTAAAAAACAAACTAAAAACAAACATTTACAGCATGATACGTAAACAAACTCACTCAAAGGATCACTCAGAGGACTTTCTTCAGTCCGTTCCTCAGCCTGATCTTCTTCGTGGTCACGATGCTCTTTTTTCCGAGACGAGGCGGACATCTCTGGTTTAGGAGGCTCTATCATTGGTTCCTTCTTCGGTTTCGTTGCCCAATGCATTGACTGCCAATTGGAAGAGTACCTCTGTGTTACTCATTTATTGAAAGTAAAGAAACCCACCAGAATATATTTACAAACCGTTTTCACAGAGTCTTTCAACGCTTGCCAGTCGTGAAAGGTCACAGCAACACCACTTCTTTTCCAAAGGTCATAGTTTTTTCTTTTGTTTTCATCGCATAAGACCTCTTTAGCTTCTTGCAGTTTCTGGAATTCTGTCACTTTCTCATGAAAAAGACAATACAGTGTGCAGGAATTAATAATGCATGAATAAAAACCTTTTAGTGTAGGGAAAATGATACCTGCACTGGGATTATCCAAGTGTTTGTCTGGATGACACGCCAGGGCTTTGATTTTGTATTCATTCAGAATCTGGTCTGTCTGTAGATGAGGGAAACAATGTGGATTAATTAATGTCTACACTTGTAGATCTTAAAGTAAATACATGATATATAATGTATGGATCTCATGAATCTCATGAAAAACAAACTAAAAAGAGAATACGGCCTTGGGTTATAGCTCTTTCTAATTTAGATTAAACAAAGAATTAATAATTATGTCGTGTTTTGACTCACCGAGGAAAGTTCGTCACATCCCAGTAGTCCGTAGTAATCCTCAAAGTCTTCGTTGTTGGAGCTCAGAATCTTATCCATGCGTAATGTTGATGTCTCTGTCAAAGCCTCACAGTTTAGAATGGCCGCCTGTTGCTCTTGAAAATGTGGCGTTTATGAATATAGCGAATAAAGCGTTATCGTTGAGACATTAATGAAGCACGATGAAAGTCCCAATTGTCTTAAAACGAACACTTACGGAATATTTATCTCGATGTGTAAATAACGGGGCGTTCTCTCGGTGAATCATGCGTGTTACGTTTGGTGGAACATGGGAAAAGTATGAACCACGAACTGGTTTCCACGAAAATGTGGAAAACCCGCCTCCAGTACATCCCTTGTCAAAAAGACAAGCCATACACTCTTCATTTAAAAAATATGTATTTAAACGTGTTAGGCCCTGTTATAGATTTAACGAGCAGCCTAAACTTCATGTAAAAAATAATAATAATAATACATTATCCATAAATGTTCACCTTTATAAACACGTTGGTGACGTTTATATGACTGCGTTATTTGTTCATTTTTATATTGCATCTGACACGCGTACACAATTAACGTACAGTAATGAAATGCACCATTATTTGTTATGGTGAACGTCAGTGTCGTAAAGGAAGTGTCGTAAAGGAAGGGCAGGTCACGTGGCCTATGCAAATGATCCAGCTGTAGCAGCAGCGGCTCTGCGGCTGAAGATGGCGGACGAAGAGCACCGTCTGAGAGCGGCCTTTACAGGCGCCTCGTCTCCGGGCGAACCGGCCGCGAAAAGATCCAAAATACATCCTGTGACCAACCATGGCTCTAAGTTATCAGGAACGGACCATTTCGCCACCGTCTCCGGGGACACGGAGAGGTGGGAGCTGGAGGTAAAGTGCGCGCAGCCCGCGGAAAAGGACTCGAAGCCGGTGATGGCGGTGGAGCAGGCCGCAGAGCAGGGCGCAGACAACAATGGACTGGAGCTCAGCTTCAGAGCAGAGACAAGACTACAGCAACGAGACGAGCTGAGACTGGACTGCAGAGCAGCCGACAGACTACAGGACAGTGACGGGATGGATGAGCCCGAGGACGACTCTGGTACGGGAAAGAAACATGTTTTAAGACACTGCTGACAAACTTTGACTTATTTACCTTTATAACTTGGACCGCAAGTCAAACGGAAACCTTGAGTTAATACTCTAGTACTGTAAGTAAGTAAGTAAGTAAGTTTTTATTTATATACCGCCTTTTCACTGCAGATCTGAGTCTCAAAGCGGGTACTGCAGATAATGACTTGACACATGTTATGATACATGTATTACTTCCATGTATACAAGTAATACATGTAATACATGTATCATGGATACATGATACATGTATTACTTCCAGTTATAACTAAATTCACACTCTGATCAGATCTGACGGGACCATATGATTTTCCCTCAAATGGCTTGGCTGTCACTCCTGAGAACATCACTGAGGAGGACGACAGGTCTTCACACGCCAGCTCCAGTGACTGGACTCCACAGCCACAAATAGGTGTGTGTTCTACCGTTTTGGTATAAGCTTAATTACGATTTTACTGCTTTGTGTGGAAAATGTACACAACGATTGTGATCACACTTTGCTATTTAAATCACTTTGATAACCCTAGTATAAGTATGCAGCAAGAGAATACGTTTTTTTCTGCCGTATAAAACATATTAAATTCTCCTTAATGCACGCAGGTCCCTACAGTTTGCTCCAGCAACACATCCGGGAGACTGATCCTCGGGCCATTCTGAGAGACTTGCTGCCAGAGACCATCCTTCCTCCAGATCTGGACGACATGACACTGTGGCAGATAATTATCAACATCTCAGAGCCACCCAAGAGGAAGAAGAGGAAAGACATCAACACTATGGAAGATGTGGTGCGGCTACTCCACGAGAGTAAAAGAATCCTGGTGTTGACTGGTGCTGGGGTGAGATTTGTTAATCCCATAAACTTGATTCTCTATCTCTCTTCATGCCACATCTGACTTAAGTTTCTTACACTTGTTAAAGGTCTCTGTTTCTTGTGGGATACCCGACTTCCGTTCCAGAGATGGTATCTATGCACGGCTCGCTGTAGACTTCCCTGATCTTCCAGACCCTCAGTCCATGTTTGATATCGAGTACTTCAGACGGGACCCAAGGCCCTTTTTTAAGTTTGCAAAGGTTATTATCCATTTTCCATGTTTTGAATTTGACACTTTTTAATTCAGAGAATCAAACAAACTTTCAGAACTTTTGTTGTTGGCAATGAACAGCTTTGCAAAGTCCTTCCAGACGACTGCTGTTGTGAATTGGGGCTATATAAAAATAAGTTGACTTGAATTTAATTGATTGGTAAATTTACATTGCATTAAGTACATCAAGTATGGTCTTCAATGTTATTCCTCTTCTTTTAACGTTAAAGTTCTGGCACTTGAGTTTTTGTGTTTACATTTTTCCTCTTATATTTTTTTGTCTCTAGGAGATTTACCCCGGTCAGTTCCAGCCATCACCCTGTCATAAATTTATTTCGATGTTGGATAAACAGGGAAAACTTCTGCGCAACTACACACAAAACATAGACACATTAGAGCAAGTTGCTGGAGTCCAAAGAATTATTCAGTGTCACGGTAAGAAATCTGATTTAATCTTAGTTTTATATATTTATTCTTTTTGTCATTAAGTTTGCGTATTTCCAGGTTCATTTGCAACCGCATCCTGTCTTGTCTGTAAATATAAACTCGACTGTGAGGCTGTAAGAGAGGACATCTTTAACCAGGTAACAACAATCAAAACCATTAAATTGATTGTTTAGGCCTCGATTTGGGATTTCACAATTTTAATATTGTGAGAGAAAATATATATATTTAAAAAAATAATTATCGTAATGTAATCAACAGTATAATCATCTTAATTATCTTTCTTTCCTGTGTTCCAATATATTAGGCAAGAAGGCAAAAAGCAATAAAATACAGGGTAAATAAAGTCCATAAATTGATAGTGCTTCCTCAGGTTACGTGTGTATGTGAGAAAGTGCAGGGCTTTTCTCTTTCCTTCGCCTTCTCATAAATGTGATCTTTACTAATTTATTTTTATATTAAGGAAACAAACAAATAATACAAATTGTATTCTGAGTTCATAGCCAGTAACCAGTGATGCCATTGGCTGAACCAATATAAAACTCAATCCAACAATGTTGAAAATTCCAATATTCGTTACTAGTGCTCTGTCGAAGCAGCCCTAATAAAAGCTGTTGTCTGAACTGTTGTAAATGAAATGATTTTGTGTTCTTCTATTCAATCAGGTTGTTCCCCATTGTCCCCGCTGTCCAGATATTCCCCTGGCCATTATGAAACCAGATATTGTGTTTTTTGGAGAGAATCTTCCAGAAATGTTCCACCGAGCCATGAAGCAGGACAAAGACGAAGTGGATCTCTTGATAGTCATCGGCTCATCGCTCAAAGTTCGACCGGTTGCCCTCATTCCGAGTAAGACCATTATGGTATTTTACACTTGCAGTAGTTTGTTTGATATGATTACTTTGCCCCATACTCTCAAGACTTTACAAGTGACAGACAGTCTGATAACTGATGGATAACTTATTGATCTCCCATTGGAGAAATGCAGGTGTCCAGCAGCAGAAATGCATCCAGCAACACAAACATCAATAACAACCAGGAGTACGGCGTTGAATCTTTGTGTGCAGTTATTCTTAACATGTTCTTGTCTCCTCTCTGCAGACTCCATCCCTCATGAAGTGCCTCAGGTGTTGATCAACAGGGAGCAGCTTCCTCATCTGAATTTTGATGTGGAGCTTCTGGGAGACTGTGATGTCATTATCAACGAGCTCTGCCATCGTTTGGCAGGAGACTTTGAGCAGCTCTGTTTCAGTACTAATAGACTTAGCGAAATCACAGAGAAACCGCCGCGGTTACCAGAGCAGCCACCAAACGAGGCCTTGTCTGAATCTGGAGATGCAGCACAAGAGGAGAAGCACAGTACGGACTCAGTTTCCAAGTCTTTGGAGGAGAAACACAGTCCAGAAACAAACGACCCAACACAGACTTCTGGTAACAGCACTGCACCACCACAAGAGCCTTGTCCCACTGAAGACACCACACCCTCAGAGCAGCCCGCTCCAGAACTAATGGATGAGGCGGCTGACATGAGAAGCTCCAGCCTGGAGTTCAGACGGAGATGTTGGATGAGTCGACTCAATAGAAGCCCCATCAGCAAACGCCTTGAGAGTAAGCTTTTTGTTATTTAAATGTAAAATGGTGATAGTCGGCCCTTAGAACCATATTTACTTTATGAGCTTATTTCCCATAACTGAATGCTTGATTGACATGAAAGTGTCAGTGTGATTTGTAATTTCTTAAGCAGAGGCATTGTGCTAATGTGAAATATTTTGTGATTATTATATGTTGTTTTAAGTAATTATGGTCATATCTTTCTCGGTCTTGGTTAACTGTCTTGGTTTGGTTCCATTTAGAACCAATCAGTCACATTTTATTCATAACATCTTTTTCAAATAAAGACAGTACTTTACAGTTGGTTAAAAAACATACCTATCAATACTGATTTGGTCATCGTAAATTGAATTCATGATATAGGAACGAGACACAATCTTGTGCCATCTTGTTTCTCACAAGATAGGGCAGATGTGGAATATTATCTTTTACATTTGGTTTAGTTGAAAACACTTAATCTCCTGAGGGCGAAGAGCTGTATGATAATTATGAACCATTTTACCGACATACAATAGACATTTTCTCTACATAATCTTGTTTTGTCCTATGCTCATAAACCCAATCTGACGTTTTTGCATGATTAGAAAACAGATTTGCGATTGACTGAATGTGTCGATGTGTTTTCTCCCACAGCGGGACAGTACCTTTTCCTTTCTCCAAATCACTACATCTTCCATGGAGCTGAAGTATACTCTGACTCGGATGAGGAGTCCAGTTCCTGTGACAGCGACAGTGAGGAGTCTGAGGGCAGCGCAGAGGGGGCAGAAGACAGCGATGCGGACGACAGCAGCACATTAGCCGCTGAAGGGGAGAGGGACGGCTGCGCATTCGCCACTGAAGGGGAGAGAAACAACATTAGAGACACGGAACTGCACACTTTAGCCAATGCCATGCCACCCACACAGACTGACAGTGTTTCTGAACCCACACAAGACCCCACACACCTTTAAATGTACACAGTCAGCAAAGCACTATTGTCTTTTTATATATAAATGTTTCATATATATATTTTTGGCTCATCAAACATACTTTTATTTTTTTCATAAAGCTACAATTGTGTGACAACTTTGTATATGCAACAGTTTTTTTTTCTGCTGTGGTCACAACGTCACATGCATTGTGTCTGAAATCTCATATTGTATACTACTATTGTGTATACTACTACTAAATAGAAGCAGTAGTTTATTTGGTTACATCGTGAATATTCACAGTGAACCATAATATGCATGTTTGCATTACTTTGAATCAATGTTCTTTCATTTTTCACGTTTTCATTGCAAAACATGTAAATATATAAAGCTACTGCCTGCTACCTAGTGGGTGTTATGGGTTTCAGACATAAATCTATGAAGTGGGATTGAGCAAATTGTTTAATCTGCAATACGAGTTTTGGTTTGGATTTTGTTGTGATATTACTGGAGGTTCTTTGTTGTATGTGGTACTAATGTGTAGCTGAAGTATTACCTCAATGAACTGTAGCATTGTAGAGACGAGAAAATATTCTACTGCAGCTGTCTCTAGGTATTTACTCTATGGATATTTTATAATTGGCACCAATGATAAATCACAAACACAAGTATCACTTACAAATATACACAACAGCCATAATATCACTTAAATCTGTGGGGCATTGCTGAGTGAAAGTAATCTTTGATTTCAGACCAAAGAACACACTGTTTCTATGTTTAATGGTCTAATGTTTGGACATTCATGAGGTATTTGTTCTTAAAAGCGGCAGCTACTTTTTACTGTCAGGCCACTTTTGTTTTTTCCATACTTAAGTTTGAGACATACTCTACAAAGAGTAGGTGATAGCTATGAATTGTACAAAGTTGTACTATCAAGCCTTCAAAGAGTAATCAGTTTCAGTAATCAGTAATCACTGTTTGAAAGGGCACTTTTTATTATAAAACTTATAATGGCCATTGTTTTCATGAAAAGCTTCACTACACAATAAGACATTTGGGAGTTTGGTACATCAGAGTTGAACATTAGTCACAAATACATATTTGCCATTGACATTTTGTTTACGGTTTAAGAGATAAGAATTTTTACATTGTTGTTCTCTCGTCTGGGATTCTCAGTAAAAAACTGAAAAAACGAATGCAGGGCTTCATTTTTATTCAATTACTTCCAGAACTTCTAGAAGACATGGTAATATAAGCAACTGAATAACAAAATAAGGCCTTGTGGGGAAGTTGGCTAAAGGGTCAAACAGTAAATGGTAAATGTATGTGTAGAGAAAGCTATTTAACCCGTTAGTTACCTCACGTGTAGGGGCGCTTTTATTCATAGAGGAGGAAACTGAATAATATAAGTAGAGATCCACACCTTTACATAAGTATTTAGTGATCGGTTGGTTGCTGTTTTAAACAAAAATAATAACAATAAAACTAATTTGAAGTCAATGATAAGTCAGATAAGGCAGGCCAACAACCTATGTGTGACAAATTTAATATTCCGCATAGTCTACTTGAATTTTCCTTCTGATGTTCGTGAAGACCTAGAAACTACATTACCCATGATCCTGTGCGGCGCGGTGTGGACACGACAAAAAAGTGCGACATGTCGCAAATCACTGAACACCAACTGCGAACAGAGATGCACCAGAGAGGCGCTTGACACTTTATACATTTGGTGTTGGGCGATTATCGCCATGTTTCTTTGATTCATAGAACAGTAGCTCAATTAGAAATAATGGAGGCTATGGAAGAGGACAGTTTGGGGGTAAAAGACGACCACAACCACAACTACTGCGCTAGCAGCAGCAGAGAAGCTGGCTTCATGAGACGTCCTCAGCCTGTTTCTGTCTCGGAGTCTACGGGGCACCGCAGAGGGAAGGTCCGCTGTCGCACTGCGGGATCCAAGTTTATGGACTCGGATTCAGGCAGCGCGAAAGCAGCGAGCTGAGCGAGGAGTGCTCCGCCGCTGCCCCAGCTCCTGCCCCAGCTCCTGCCCCAGCTCCTGCCCCAGCTCCTGCCCCAGCTCCTGCCCCAGCTCCTGCCCCAGCTCCTGCCCCAGCTCCTGCAGACGGGAAATTCAGCCTCGACTGTGCCTCGAAGTTCAGTAAGTTTCTCTCAACTAGTCTCAAGTTATTGTCAAGCGTCTATACATGCATAACAATATTTTTTGTCTGGATTCATTTATGACAAATAAAATGTATTTCCATGTCAGGAAGCAATGCATACATGTTTTTGTTGTCTGTGTAGTCATGAACTCCATGGCCATAGAAGATTACCAGAAGAACCACTGGCCAAACCTGGAGAAGGCAATTGACCGCCTCCTAATCCAGAACTCAACAGATCACATCTCTGTGTCATATGCACAAATTTATAGGTAGGACATGTGCATTATACAAGTTCTCAAAGAAAAGGAAGGTTTCTCACCCATCATCTGTACTTCTTAGCAAAACTTGCTAAGAAGTACAGATGATGGGTGAGAAACCTTCCTTTGCTTTGACTATTCCCTGTACGACTGAGAGCTTACACAAAGTTCTCAAAGAGTTTCATATCCCTACCCTGGGGCTAGGTTTGTACCACAGCCAGTTTTACCTGGGTTTGCACTACTGACCTGTTGGTCACAGCTGTGCTACTTCTGTACTTTCTACATCAAGCATTATGATCTTTTCACAGTTATGTCTACAAGTGTGTGTGTCAGCAGCATTCAGAGCTGCTTTACCGAGATTTGACAGCTAAAATATCCAGTCACCTGCACCAGGTTTCAACACAGTTATATGTGAGTAGATTAAATTATGTAAGGATGTTTTTAGTTTTTACAAAGAGGCTTATTTCAAATGAAATTTGTCTTTCAGACCAGTACACCTTTGACTTTTATCGAGGACTTTGACAAAGTGTTGTCTCAATACATAACATCCCTTCAGTGCATAGTTCCTGTGTTTATGTACCTGGTAAGTACTTAACATTAGTTCACAGAAAAGGCCTATAGTGTAATTGAGCCATAATTTAGGTGTAAGTTTAACTGCAATCCAACCTGCTGTTTTAAAATCTTTCCAGAATAAGTTTTACATTGAGTCAAAGCTCAATAGGGATTTAAAAGAAGATTTGATGAAGCTGTTTGCTGAACATGTTGCTGAGAAACATATCAACACACTGATGCGTAAGTTTTTTTTGTGTGTGCAAAAATCCATTGCCCAGACTGACAAAGTGACTTAAGTTCAACTGATATCATTTTGGGGACATTATTACAACGCATGAAAACTGTCTGACTGCATTAACAGAGCTCCTTTTAATTTACGGTCTGACACAGACCATGAGGACAAACGCATACACCCGACTGTTGCAGCTGTAAATGAGTCCTGATATTTACTGTTCTCTACACTTTTAGACTTTACAGGAGCGTTATCGCACGATAAAAGAGGCGTCATTAACATTAACCGATAGCACAAAAAGTGATACAACTCTTGTGCAATGTCAAGATGTGGTATTGTTAGTTATGATTCATGCAAATTAAAACCTGCTACCATTCCATCATGAGATCAGGTTAACGTAACACGCTGATGTTAATATTAAAAACTATTTGTATTGAGAAAGTGTGATATGTTGTGTTCTTCCAGCTCTACTTATCAAAGCTCACGCCATGCCTTTCCAAGTGCAGCCTTCAACGATGGCTAGTGTGGTTAAAGGACTTTACAGCCTCCGATCCGGTCAGTGATTACCTTTTCTGTCTGAATATCAATTAAGATTGCTATAAAACCTCAATTACCCCTCTTATTTAGATTGGGCTCAGTTGGCCCCAGCTCTTTTCTCTGGGTTCATTCCTCAAATCCACCCTCCTGCTGAAGAGTCCCTCCTCTTGGACTACGCTGCTGACGATCAGAAACTGCAGATGGAGTTGTCTATGAATGGATTCCCACGGTGAGTCTTATAATTTTCTGTTTATACATTTTCTTTTAGACATTCATTCTTCAATTGTTTTTTACTTGCTTCCTCAAGTGGTGACCAGTCCCGGAAACGAGCCAGTGAAGATTCTTGATGAACTGCCCCCACATTTTTTTGGGTTTGCAAACGAAAGAAATTTTGCGTACACCTTGGCAGTTTTGGCGGCAACAAAGATTTTACATGTGAGAATATGCATGATCTTCTGATAAGTGAATCAGCGTTTGTTTTATGGTAAATAAGATACATCCAGGGACTTTTCCCCATATTTACAATTCTAAGACAATTTGTAGCTATATAAACAAAAGAATCGGTATGCATTTTAGGCAGTGGTCTTTACAGTGCCACTTTTTTTACATTATGATATTTGACTATCATTTATCTCAGCACTGTGAAAAGTGTAACGTTAAGCAGACTAACCTCATGTACCAATAATGTTTTGTGTATATATGTAAAGATTTTCCGCTGCTTCCATGTTCAGTTCTCAAGAAGAGTGCCTTCGGAATGTGCCAACAGAATCCAGAGGTGCTTTCCCAAATCGATCCTGACTTGTTCTCCCTCCTCACTCCTCCTACCTGCTCAGTGTCAATTTTTGTTTATCAAAAAAATGCCTTAATATAGACGTCTGTGCATATGAATGTATGTGGAACCAGATTGGTGTGGTTCTTTGTCACTGTGGGGCAGCTCTTATTGTTACACACACCTGTTGAGTTAGCGTGGATCATGGCTGAATTATAGTGAGCTCTGGTGGCTAAATGTGGCCCCTTCACAGCGCTTACTTTGAGGGTTTAAAACTCTGCTCAAAGAAATGGTGTGGCTGCAGGTTTTTTTTCTAACCAAGTGGGAGCACACCAAACTCCACCCATTTCCTCAAGTCTTCAGGTTAACTCCCAGAGCAGACAATATGACAGCTTTTATTTTTGGAAGAGTAATTACTTGCTGTGGTACATTCTTGCTCTATGTAGTTTATTTCAGTGTAATTTAAAAAATATATTTTTGTTTTTGAAATGTGAGTAGTTCTACCTTTTTACTGCCCATTCATTTGATGCTATGGCAGTTAAAGCTCCTTTTTTAAGGTAATAAGATTGAATTCATCCCTAAGTGGGGAAATTTCCATATCATCATTGCGCAGAAAAGAGAGAGTGCTAGTTACCATAGAAACGGTTTACTTGCAGCAGTTGGAATTTTAGCCTTTCAATGCTATATTTTAAATGTACAAGTTTTAGCAATCAGTAAAAGTGACTAAAGCTAAAACCTTATAAATACTTTTAAACTTTAAAAATAATAGGAAATTAAAATTATTCCATTGACTTGAAAGGGAGCAGTCAAAATGACTTCTCTGGGAGTTCTATTCTTATGACCAGATTCACTTGAAAATGGGTGGTGTACTCCTTTCTTGGTTGGAAGGAAAACCTGCAGCCACACCAGCCTTTTGAGGACTGAGTTGAAGACCCTGCTTTAGAGGGTTGGGGCGTATGGAGCGAGAGCAGCAGGCCCTTTGGGAAAATGCCAGAGTTAAACACTGAACTGTCTTTGTCCAAGGCTCATTCCTGCTGCTAACAATGCAACCCCAAACCACCTGATCAACCTTTTTTTTTTATAACAATTCATCATTGTTATGAGGTTTGTTACGTTTTTGTACAAATCCTCCAGATTGTGTAAAGGTTTATGCTTTGAAACTGATTATGCAAATGTCAGTACTTTGGCCTCTAACATGTACAGCCTGATGCCTGTTCATAATGTAAATAGTTTGTCTTTGTCATAATGCTGTGGGTAATTGATACAAAGCTTTGCACTGTTTTAAGTGTGACTAAAAGTTCTGTTTGTGGAAATCTAGAAAGATTTACACTGTCAATGCTAAACATTTTTCAATTAAAATCATGTCTTGCAAGATGTGTAATTGTTCTGTGTGTTTTCCTATGTGTGGAGGTCACTAAACATAGAAAATGTCCATGGATGGATTTTATAGTGTTATTTTTATTTTTTCAAACTTTGTACCTTTTGTCAAAAATCAATAAACAAAGTGTATCAACACAGATGCATACAATGTGCAGACCGAGTACCTAATATAGTGTTCTTTTATATGTTAATTATCCAAAATACCTATGAGTACTGTTTTGGCATAAACTTTCTACCAAATCATTAGAATTTAATTATGCTTCGTCCAAATTGTAGGTTTTTGTTTCAAATATTCAATCAACCTTTATTTGTTTTCCTACACAAGGTATTGTCATATTTTTAACAAAGTGCTTTAATCTTGTACATTCTTGGATAGAACAATGGAAGAAGATGTGTAACAATAACAATTGTAAACCGCTTTGTGACTCTGGTCTGTGAAAGGCGGTATATAAATAAAGCTTACTTACTTACTTACTAATTGTGTTGTGTTTTAGGGCTTTACAAAAATTAATTGAAATGAATAAAAATGGAATGTCATTTAAATAGGTAACATAAATGTACACATATCACATTAGAAAGATGCAAGATATGAAAAAGCATATCCATGAACATGTACTTCCATGGGTCAGCATTTTAAAATGATTATCTGAATATAAAATATGGATCTCAGGAAAGTATGAAAATTCCTATTTCCAGTTCAAATATTCTGAAGTGAATCACAGTGTAATCCAAAAATGTTAATAGGGATTAATGTTCGATGGGTTAGAGTTGTCCTAACGGTCAAACTCGTTTTTTTTCTACTGACAGAAAATCCACCAGACACCAGTTTTCCAAATTTACAAAAGATATTCCGGGCGGGATGTTATTTGTCCCTGTGGAGAGAACGCCAATATTTAGTATGTTTATGAATTGATATTTCATATCAGATATTTTATAGAAAATTATACTAAACATAACAAAAACTTCCTCCCACAGACATACACGTGCTGACGGACAGGGGCAAAAATACATCTTGAGTTGCTCCACTGACAACTGTTTTCAAACAAACATTTTGTTTTCAGTTCAAGCTACACGACAAGGAGAGCTTAATCGTGGAGCTTGAAGGGGACCACTGCAGGAGGAATCCCTTTACAACACGCCCCATGGCCAATGGGCAGGGCAGAGCCCAGACACGGGCCAGGCCTCCCCAAAATAACCTGCATCTACTGCCCTGAGAAATGCTGCTACTTTTACTGCTGACAGGTTAGCCCAACTTCACGGCTCCATATTTTTGTTTGCTGCTGGGAAATCAGGAAGGCTTATCTGATGCTGGCAAGCAGGACTGAAGATGAGAATCCGGCTTTTATAAATAAAAGTGGGATTTATCAGCACATTTTGAGGGCTGGATCATCTTGTGTCTAAAGGTAAACCGTGCACTTGTTTAATTGTTTTCACTGGCATTTCTCCTTATCCAAAAGTCCATCCGCATTCTAGTCAATGACCGTATTAGAAACCTTTGACATTGCATTGAGACATGTCTATTTTTTGCCCGTCTGTGAATGGTAATTCAATTACACAAACCTGCTTTGGGCCCCATTTATTTACAGTATGTGTTAACAGATGCGTAGTATCAGGCCTAATCATCAGCATTAATTGTGTCTTTTGATTAACAATTGTTTTCATGGATCAAAACTGAAATGATAAGGACTCCCAACATGAAGGGGGCGTCATTCTCTGTGTTGATTTTCTTCATGTAAACCGAGCCCTCGCTATTATTAGATATGACTTGGTGAGCTTGGAGGCTGTTTGCAAAGGATTAATGTACACAACAGCTGCAGCTTCAGGTCTGTTGGAAGGGCATTGCTGTCTTTCTTAATTGCACGGATTTGAGTGTCAGAAGCATAAGTGTGCCCGATCTTATTTCTGCATTCAATAACTGCTCAAAAGTCAAAAAGTTGTGCAGAGTCCACAACCACGGTCGATTGAAAGGGACAAGATATAATGGCAGTGTCAGGTGTGATCCATTTTCAAACAGGAACTTGATTCCTTGTGGAGGTTAACTGGAGGATGAAATAAGGCTAAGTAAAGTATTATTTTTAACACTCTACCCAACACATATTTTACACAGGATAGGTATTTGCACATTGAATACTCTACTGAACACTAAGTAAGAAATAGAACACGGTCTTCTCGACAGAAGCTCACATCTCCTTATTCTTGGCAGGATGCAAGACAACAGTGAGCAGCAGCCATCCCTGTCCCAGCTGCTGAGGGAGAGTTACCTGGCTGAGGCCCGAGCTCAGCAACGCCACAGCGAAATGAGCCGCTCTGATGCCTCCTCCTCTCGTCTTCAGATCTACAATTCACTGAAGGGAAAAGCTGAAGACTCAATGGGCCTCACAGAGCAGCACTTTCCTGACCTGTCTGCCTTCCTCAGTCAAGAGGAGCTAGACCAGAGTGTCAATCTGGCCCGACAAGCCATTGGACACGAGCCACGGAGCGAGAGAGCGGAGGTCAAAGCTCACTCTGAAAAATGCGCAGCCACAGTTACATACACTCCCAACTCCGCTGACTCTGTCACTAACCCCCCATCATTCACTGTCCCATCCACCCTGGTCCAAACCAACGCTTTCACACCACAGCCTGTGATGGAATTCAGAGAAATGCCACACACAACATACGCACCGGACATAAAAACATACAAGTCTTCAAGACAGGGCAATGTGAAGAGCAACAAGGACTCAGGAGATGCCTACAATGACTTTAACAGGTCGTCTCGTAACGCTCCATATGGACCCGAGACCCAGTCAAAAAAAGAGTTCCTGAACAAAGCTGCAGACTTTATAGAGGAGCTGTCATCTCTATTCAAGGCAAACAGCTCAAAGAGGGTTCGGCCGAGATCATGTAAACCACACAGGAGTCGGAGTCAAAACAAGAACCAGGCAGATGGGATGGTTATCCCTGTTGCCTCTGAGAACAGGGAGCCACCTCCAGATATTGACACAAACCAAACTGGACCCGTGGACATTAAAGAACCCGATATAAAAGAAGCGGGCGTCCAGCCTGACAGGACTGAGGAGTATAAGGACTGTGTGGTTTATGAGGAGCAATACGTCAACATTGTGCCTTCTGAGGAAACAGAGGCAGAGAGCACAGCTTTAACAGAAAGCTCATTCCCAGTGGACACAGTGTGTGAGCCACCAAGATTCATCCAAAAACTGAAAAGTCGAGAGGTGTCTGAAGGCAGCAAAGTACAACTGGACTGTATTGTTCAAGGACACCCGGTTCCAGAAGTGAGGTAAGACAAAGCGATGTTAAAGTGTGTGCTATTGGCTTGAATGTTTGACTTTAACAATGTTTTATAATGTCAGTAAATAGTAAGTACAATACACTTAAGTACAATACCTTACACTGTACACTTGCTTTGCCTTGGCTTGTCTTGTCTAAGTACAATACACTTTACAAAGGTTGTAAAATGACGCACTAAACCAATGGGCTGGTAAATAACACTAACCACAGGGTCAACGTCTTATCTTTGAACATTTCTTTATAAGAAAGGTCTTGTAGTAAGTGTGGTGTCACTGTCTAAATGAGGGAGCTGTTAGTCCTGTTAGACATTGTTGAGCTATTAACATATACTGGTCCAGGAGAATGTAGCTTTGCCATTTTTAGCATGGACAGGCACTTTGTGTTGTCCTGTCTGATAATGGGAGAACAGCTCTTGACACATGCAGGCAGCACAGTCCAGAGAGATCACTGGTAAGATTGTGTCAGTCACTGTTTTCTGTGTGTGACTAGTTTACTTGGTTAAATTTGCATCTTTACTGTCTGTACTTAATATAACTCTATTTGTGTGTTTTAATATTAATAATGTAGCAAATACTTTGGTTAGAGTGTTGCTGTGTTGCTGCTTGTAAGGTGATTACGTAGTTTAGTTACCCTCATTTCACAGCAGAACTCTTCTCTGTCCGAGTAACTCTGTGCGTACTCGTAGGCTAAGTTTAGCGCCGTGCGTATGTGATGGGGTCAGCCGGCCAGAGCTCCCCGGCTCCAAAGGGAATCTCCTATAGTTTTGGAGCTCCAGGGGAAAATAGTCACTGACAGGTGCAGAAAGAAGTCACTGTCTCACTGCTGTCTCTGCCTCGAGTCATGTTTTCTATTTAGAACATTACTCATTACAAATGACTGGCTCAGATTGTATTTGCAAAGCTGATACAGGCAAAGTAAAAAAGATTTGTTATGACATCTATGTTCCTGTTGTAAACAGAAATTGTTTGGCTATTCATAATTTCACACTCATGACGATTGTCTTTATTTTTTTGACATTCCATACATGGCTCATGCTGTGTGACTGAGTTTGGAGTAATGAGTCTTATATTGGTCAGAATTAAGATATTCTGGGTAAAAACCCACAGTTTGAATGTGATGTGTGTTAAATGCTCTGTGGTTTGTGTCTCTGGCCCTTAAATCACTTTCCAGTGATAGATTTAGTCCTACTGTAGATCACTGCGGAGTATCAAGTGTCTCTCATTGAGCTTTCATCAGCGTCAGTCTGATCGCTCCACTCTATGAAGAGATCATTCCTCCTTGTTTCAATTTAGTTTGGAAACAGTAAAAGCAAACAATACATTATTTTGGTTATAAAGATCTTGTCTGCCATTAATTGAATAATACAAAATATTCAAACTATTCAACAGAATATAGAGATTTTACCTTTGACAATTTGGGAAATATAAACAATGTGATGGAAAGTGATAACAGTCTTTGGTGATAACATACTGTATCTCTGCTCATCCTGGTGACCCGTGCCAGAGCTAGAGCTTCTCGTCTTACAGCGAATGGGAGAAGCCTCTCTCATTAAAATCCTTTCCTCTCTGCCTGCATAACTTGGCCCAATGGCATGAACCCAGACAACCCAAAGACTAACCCTAAGACACCTGAGAAAGCCTACACAACTATAGAAGAACAGACATCTAAAGTAGACTCTTTTGATTCTTCAGGTGGTTTTGTGAAGGAAAGGAGCTGGAAAACTGTCCAGACGTTCAGATCATTACAAACGGGGAGCATCACTCTCTCGTCATCGCAGAGGCCTTTGAGGAAGACACTGGGCGGTATTCCTGTTTTGCATCAAACTTCTATGGAAAAGACTCAACATCAGCAGAAATATACGTAGAAGGTTACACATTATTCATTACCTTTACGTAGCTGATTATATTTAGTTTGCTCTGAATGTTTTGTGAACTCTTTTCTGTGTCAGGAGCATCCTCCTCAGATTCAGAGGACCAGCACCTTGAAGCAGCAGCACAGTGAGTTTGTACTTGTATTATTCATTTGTCATTGGAACTCATTATGAAAAAATAATGCAACACACAATACGACAGACATTATTTTCCACCATAATGAATCCCTGCGATAAAATGTACCCAATTCAATACTCAAATACAAATTACCATTGAATACACGTGATCACTAATCCTTTTGAGATAATCTCGGCACTTTCAACAACAAAAAATCTCCTCTATCAAAGAGCAGCATACAACCAATTACTTGAAGATGCAACAGATAAATGTCTATGTTATTCAACAACCTTAACAACCTCAACTGTTGTCTCATGTTTTGATTAGAATGACTTATTGAAAAAACGTTCAAAAGTTCAACAGGCAATAACAAAAAAGAAAATAACTTTTAATACTTTTTTAGGCAACAGTGGAAACATAAAATACCAGTGACTCCATCTCGGTCGGATCAAAGTCTTTCTGCAGACGATGACTCTTTTGACCTTAAAGACGATTCTCCAGAAGAACCCAAAGAGGAGGTGACTGTGGTCCATTCAAACCCCCTGACAGCAGACCCTCCGGTGCCTGCTCCTGAACCTGTGTCCTCAGCCCCGGACGAGGCTATAGTTCCAGTCATCCACGCTGAGACCCCAACGCTGGTGCCACCTTGTCAACAACTTTATAAACCAATAGAACCACAGGAAGTTCTAGCACCTGACCCAGTCCAGCCAGCTCCCTCATCACAGGTTCTGTCTTCAAACGCAGTGGTCTCAGCTGTGCTCACGGTCCCGGCTCCACCGACCATACAACCTGCTCAAACTGAGGTGGGATATACAGGAGCTACTATCATCAAAGTGTCTTAGTGTTTAGTGTTTTTGTGCACTCAAATCAGGGGTTCCAAATAATAGTTAAAATAAGAGTAATAAATTGCATGTTTTCTTAACAAGCAAAGGCTGTCAATCAGTGGTAAAAAAAAAAACAATCAAAATCTATTTAATTTATTGATATTCAATTAATATTCAACTATTCTTTAAAACTATGTATATACACTTTAGGGCACTAAACTGGCAACGGGGTCACTTTAGTTAACCATGTCCAGGGGCCAACAAGATTTATTGTTAATTAGGTTGACAACTGGAGTCCAGAGGTTCTGAGCTTTACACCGAGGTAAAGCATGACTATATTGGTGGAAGTTGGCTGACCTTAGTTTGGACATGGCTGGTTAGGGGGAAAGTCTGGCCTGGCACCGTGGGTCAGAAAGAAAGTTTGGATGTTCTCCCTGTGTCTGCATAGGTTTCTTTCTTGCATGTGCTTTGGTTTCCCACAATTTTTTACGGCTAATAAGGGACTCCTTAGAGATTATGAAATCTCAGAGTGACAGTCATGGTTAAATAAAGGTCAATACGATACAAATCAGTATTTGTTTCATTACTCATGATTATTTTGTTGTTTTATCATATATTCAGATTCAAATCTTCAACCATATCTCTAAGCAGGATCTGAATGGACAACAAATAGCAGCCCCAGTTTTCACAAAGGTATGTAAGTAATTGTATCACAAGTTTTAATATTGGTTTACACTGAACACATTTTCATCAACAAATGCTTTGGTCTGATGTGTAATTGTTTTGTAATGTTGTCTTTGTGCTGTCAGAACCTGCAGGACCTGGACGCCTCAGAGGGCCAGCTGGTGGTGCTAGAGTGTCGTGTTAACGGCACTCCCTCTCCCAGAGTGGAGTGGTACCAGGACGAGAAACTCATTGAGGACTCTCCTGAATTTAGGATTCTACAGAAAAGTAAGTGTGTTATATCAAACCATACAGATTTCACAACTTTATTGCCGTATTTGTTTACACATTATCACTTAAACTCAGTAGTCTATTTGATCTGTTTACAGAGCCCAGATCTCCAGCTGAATCAGGTAATAATATTTTTCACCAGTCAAACGCTATTTATAAAACATACAGTATGCATAAAATAAGCAGCTGTCAGCGAGTGTTTATAATCTGGCTTGGTTTCTACTCTTGAGCACAATTCATGCTTCTGTCCTGCAGAGAAGACTCTGCACCTTATAAGGCAGTTTCTCCCATCGACAAAACAGAATACTAGACCATTTCAAACTCCCACAGCACAGCTTTTCATACGTCAAGCAACCAGTTTTATTATCATTTGTTTTATCTCCAGAGGAAATATGTACTTTGGTGATTGCTGAAGCATTTCCAGAGGATTCAGGAACATTCAGATGCACTGCAAGCAACAACTATGGCTCCGTTTCCAGTGCAGCTTCTCTCAAGATCAAAGGTAAGGTCACCCCACATGAGGTCCTTTTATACAGATAGAAGACAAACTATACTGTGGAGTTCTAAGTGAAAAATGAAGCCAAAACAATTTCCTAGTTTGTGACTTCTTGTTACTCACATGGCAATAAAATAATTCTGATTCTGAAATACAATTTGAACAATAAATAGTCGATGAGATGAGAAATGTTTTTTCTTATACTGTTGCTGATCTATTTAGTACATACAGATAATATTGTACTTATCGTGTCTACCTATTGCTGTCCTTAGAAAATGCCAACCACGCAAATCACATGAGGTCCTCTACTAGTATGAGTGTGGAGCCCAGTCAGACACAACCAGTGCCTGTCGATCCGAACTCTTCGAAGCAACAGCTGGACATTGCGGCATCTAGCAGCGTCAAGGCCCACTCCAGCACCATTCGCCTGGAGCCCCTGATCTCGAGCTCGGTGTGGTTGGACCCTCTAAACACCAGCACTCTTAGGCTCGATCCACAGACCTCCAGTATGCTACGGCCGGATCCCCTTCGCAACAGCCTACCCATGCTACAACCAGCAAATGTAAATAGTAATTACTTAAGCTCAAAAAGTAACAGCACACCCAATTTGAATCCAGTAAATGTCAACCAAGATGTGTCTGTTTCAAGTCAGTCAGAAACACACAGCATTTCACAAGGACTGTTTCTCAAGCCGATCATATCTCAACCGGTTGCAAATGAAACGGAAAATGAGCTTTTATATTCGGATTCAACTGCAAAAATAAAGACCAAGGCGTCTTCGAGTCATCAAAACAGGTCTCCTGTGGTGGTGCCTCTTCCTGACCCTCCTCCAAACTCATGTCTAAAAACGGGAACCCTAAAGAAGTCCAGACACCAGCGCGGCAGGTCCCGGCGAGTGCACTTCAAGCTGCCTGAAGACGAGGAGAACAGCGAACCAGCCAGTCAGTCCGAGTCAGAGGACAACACATATGCACTAAACAAAGGGCCACCCCCAGTCCTCACCAAGCCAAAACTGTGAGTAAAACTACTAATACAACTGTCCACCTTCTGACTATAGTCCAGAAGGAATCCAAATACTATGAAAACATAGGCAACTTGGTCAATATTTAATAAATTAACATGAACAAAAACTAAATGTCTGTTAGGTCAATTATTATTAAAAAAAAACATAATATCAAACATCATATTGAAGTTTTTGTTCTAATCCAATGTTATTTTACACGTACCTTGAGGAATTGTAAAAGCACCACAGAACTGTTGTTGTTCTTTCAGACCCATTCAAATATTGTGTGGAGTTTAAAGGGGTTATGAAATAAAACTGTACTGAAGAAAAAAAAAAAGCAATACTCAGCCTGGCCTTAAGGGAAAGTATTCGTGCTGTGGATCACATGGTATTATGAGCGGTGCTACTACATAAGGAAACACAGTGAATACAGAGGAAGGCTGAGCTCAGATGAACTGAACTCATGGATGCAAGCACACTGCAAAAGTGGATTAGGCGGCTCCCCAAAACAAAGGCTGGAGTAGTTTATCTGTGAGTTTGCTTTCATACTTTCAGTCAAGATTGTCTCAGAAAAAAGGATTTCTTTGTTCTGTATTTTGCAACGTTATTTTTATAGTTTGCAAAATACAGAACAAATATCTTTCTTATATTTAAAGAGATTTGTTTTACAACATGAGTTATCAATCCTTTACAGATGTAAATCTGAGAGTTATGTATCTCACAAGTAGATTTTGTTGAGTTTAAATTTATGTTAAATTTTATATAATTTTTGTTACCACAACTTTATAATATACTTATATTATCGATGGACAAATGAAGTAAGTTTGTATCAAAGTCAGAACAAGCACAGTCTTAGAGTTGACAAAACGGTTGCCTCAAACTGGATATGGTTTGTTTGTATGCTTCATATCACTGGCCCATAAAAGGGCAGGATATTCAGCTGGCACTTTTGGCTTAGGTTTATGAGGAGCCTCCTGCATATCTCCTGTGTCTTTTTATGGTGAATGTCATTATCAATATGGTGCATTTTTAATCCAGTGTTTAATCGACAGGGACTCAGCCCAGCTCCAGCTCCTGCACAACCAGGTCCTTCTAGAGCAGCAGCAGGACAGTGACCCCCCAACTGAGCCCCCCCCACAAGCCCACCAACCCGTGCAAGTGCAAATCCAGCCTGAGGTCCAAAGCCAGGACAGTCCAATATGGTCCCCGAGACTGCACCATGACCCTCATCCACCTCCTTTCCACCCCTATGTCACCACTGTGATCCCACCGCCTCAAACCCAGCCCTCTGCACCTCTCTTTATAACCACCACCATCACCTCCACAGCCTATGTCAACACTGCACCCCCTCCTCGTGCTCCCCTCGCGGCCGCACCACTGCTCACAGCCACCTTGATGACTGCTCCAACCATCAACACCACCTTCTCACCTCCTGCCATCACCTCCCCGCCTCCTCCTCCTTTCTCTTCTGCTCCATCTGTCCCTCATTTCAAGACTCCAGCTCGGGTGACCACGTCGCTTCCCCCTGCTCCACAACTAAGCACAAGACTTCCATCTCTAAGCTCAGCCCCAGTCACTCAAATGAACACCATCCATGCCTCCCACCTGAACCTATCTCCTGCTGCTTTAGGTCAAAGTGCACCGTTATCCCAGTTCTCCGCCCCTCTCCCTCCAAAATTTAGCATCACCCCATCTGATCCCATGATAAGTTTCGAGCAGGTCACATCCCCGGCAACTCTTTTGAGAAGCACACACGCCTCCCTCATGAATCTCAGCGCCAATTCGCAGACGTTTAACTACGCAAGGCCGAAAGAGTTCATTATGGCGCAAAGTTTTTCACCGGTAACAAGTCCATCCCCGACCGAATCTCCCGTCCCACTACTTCAAGAGCTGGCTGCTGAGATGAACTCCTCGGCCGCCAGCTCACCGACGATCCCTCCGTTCTCTCCTCCTCCGAGAATCTTCCCAACCAGAGTGCTGCAGTCTCCCACCAGTCCTCCCTCTCTGATGTCGTCTCCCACTCTGGGCTCCATGTTCCTGAACAGTGTGTATGGACTGAGAACGCAGTCGCCTCCACAAGCGGCCTCCCCCACATCAAGCAGCTCAACTCCAAGTCCGATTCAAAACCCAGTGGCTTTTCTCAGCTCAGTCCTGCCTTCACTGAGCTCGGTTAAAGCAACCAATGAAATGGGTTTACCAAAACGGGCTCCAATTGGGTAAGCATTCTCTCAGTCAATAATAAATCATATTTTTTCTTGCGAGCATTTACTACAAAGTTTGTCTCAGTAGGCCTCTGAAAAAGACGGCGAAAGCTCGTGCTCCTTCCCTTGAAGAAATCCGTGAAAGCAAAGAGTGTCTTCTCCATGATATTGAGAAAAAGCTTAGACTCAGAGATGATACTCCGCAATATCAGTATCAACAGGTAAGTAGCCTCAATATGTTCAGTGCATTTTGATAAAGGAAGCATTGTAATAATTGGAAAACATATATATGGTGAATATACGATGATTATATTCATTAGTTTTACAGCAACAGGACTGTGTATGTTAAAATAATCTTACTTGCATAAAAAAATAATCATTTCTCAGCATGAGTTAATGCTTTTCTGCTGAAAAGAGGTTTTAATTGAGAAAGCATGATTGCAATGTGTAATGTAACGTTTTGGCTGCAAATACAAGTGAAACTCAGAAAAGTAGAATAATGTTCAAAAGTTTATTTCTGTAATTCAAACTGAAGCCAATATATGATAAAGAGTCTGCTTGCTTACAGACAATTTTCAAAAAGTTCAAGTTTTATTTTGGGCTGTTTGCCAGTTATTAGCATAAAAACAAAGAAAGGCTTGATAAATATCCCTTTGCTTGTGATGAGTGGGTCATATATTAGTTTCGCATTCTAGTTTGGATTACAGAAGTAAACAGACTTTTGAAGGATATTAAGATTTTCCAAGTTTCACCTGTATAAATGTGTTGTTATTTGTTGTCTTGTACAAAGAGAGAAATTACATTTTCAACTAACAATTAAATTGTGAGTCATTATCAGGAATAATGCTTCATCCTTGACATTGACTGTAAGTTGTTCATTACTTTAACAGGAGCATGCGTTAACTTGTCCATCAGGGTTTGTCTGTGCACTTTGTTTGTCCAGTAGTGTTCATCATCCATCCCTATCCTCTCATAGAAGCGGAATGTTGAGGGGAAAACAGCGAGCAGACCCCCTGGACCTATCAATGCTGCTACTGTCATTAACTATGAAGAGGTACCAGGCCTGTCCCGTCCCAAGCACTGCTTTTGCTCGAGGCTGACTGGGTTACAATGCCGCAGGCCCAAATCAAGAATCCTGGATCTCTCGCATTACTCTCTCTACTGCAATACTTTCTAATCAAGCATTCCAGCTTCTGTTCACTAATGTGTTAATTTGCACGATAAATGGGGTTCATTATTAGGGTTTAATAAAACGTTACTTTTGATCAGTATTATAATATTTAACGCATCTGATCCACAAGTGCTTGCAGCCTCTTTTGTATTGTGATCTAATATTCATTCCTCCTTCATGTAATACAGTGGTTCCCAACCCCTTTGTGCCCTGTGAACCCCCCCACCAGCATAGCAGGGCATGGGCACCCATGTTTCATACACCCTTAAGGGGTTGGATGAAGCAAAAGTGTACATAATCACAATTCAACACAATACCGTGCAATAACAATACCATACTGTTGAATTAAGAAACGCACAGACATGGTATAGGAATTATAGGTATCAATGCACACTGATAAACCAATTATTACTGGTTTCTTGATAAAATTAGCTTTACAAGTATGTATACCATGCCATAGTAGCCCATATTAAAATCTTACTATTGATGTTTGAAAGATGTGACAATTATTTCAAGTACCCCCTGCCTACCTCTAGGGGTCCACACCCCCCTGGTTGGGGTGTAATACATTCTTTGTTCATACTAGATCTGTCCTGTGAGATTATGTACAAGTTCCTGTTCTCTGTTTTACCCTCACTGTTGCAAAGAGGATGGTGCATGTTCATCTGCAAAAACACAATCATTATTATGTCTTCACTACATTGTAATGCAATTGTTGATGGGAGATTTAAATCACAACTGAACCCCAACTATTTTAAATCTCCTGGTTTTACATTCTTTAAAATAGGGCATGTTGTGTAATGTCCACAATGTGTATGGAAGTCTTTGCATGAAAATACTGTCGCATGTTATAGATTCATGGTGATTGGTAATAATAATGTTTTTTATTATTTCAGGAATACAGAATATCCAATTTTGAGCAAAGACTGTTGAGTGAGATTGAGTTTCGTTTGGAGCGGACCCCTGTGGAGGAGTCGGACGATGAGGTGCAGCACGAGGACGTCCCGACAGGAAAATGCATCGCCCCCCTTTTTGACAAAAAGCTTAAAAACTTCAGAGCCATGGAGGGCGTGCCTGTCACCTTCTCGTGTAAACTAGTGGGAGTTCCTGTCCCAAAGGTATGAAAGTATTGTTTAGTGGATTCTAATTCAGTGTTGCCTATACATGTTCCTAACAGCCACATCAAATCAATAACATCAGCAGCTTTTTACCATCTAAAAAACTTTGCCAGAATCAAAAATATAGAATCTAAAGCTGATCTGGAGATTCTTCACAGTACATCTTAAACGCTGCAGCTCAAGACCTGACTAGAACCAGGAAGTATGATCACATTAGTCCAGTTAGCAGGTCTCTGCAACTCTGACTCTGAGGAACAGGGACTGTGGGACTAAACATGGGGAGGCAGCATTTCAGATTCAAGCATTTAAAATTTGGAACAGTCTTCCTCAAAATGTGAGACAGGCTTCTACGCTGACAATGTTCAAATCCAGTTAAAACAGCTCTGTTTAGCTCTCACTCTTTGTACGGTTTCAATGCCTGTGCTATACAAATACAAATACAACTTTCCTCATACGTTTGCTTAGGTTTACTGGTTTAAAGATGGAAAACAAGTTCTGCGGAAAAACATCCACTACAGAAAGATAAGAGAAGGAGACGGGACATGTGCTCTACACATGGAGTCTGTCACCAGCGATGATGACGGAAACTACACCATCATGGCAGCAAATCCACAGGTTCCCACCCAATAACTTTGTATCATGACATCTGAATCCCTAGTCTTATCTCTCTGGTCTAAACTTAATGTTTGGTGTGTAGGGTCGGATCAGCTGCTCAGGTCATTTGATTGTTCAGACTGGCCCCGTTCGCAACAAGCAGACTCCAATCTCGGCTCAGAGGTAAAAGAATGCTGCTGTACGGGTTGTGCTACGTGATATACAGTATATGCTTCACATTTAAACTAATCTGTATGGTGCCCTTAAACACTGATATCTTAACCGTGAGGGACGACACATTTTTACTAACTTTTTTTTCTATAATAATAGTAACACCAAACTGGCGCAAAAATAACAATGGCCCAAACGTAACCTCTTTGTCTCCAAATTTAGATTGTGAAAAGATATATGTGATGTCCTGGTTGATTTCTTAGTCTTACTTAAGCGATTTTGTTCATCTTTTTGTTATTCTTAGTGCAGTGCCCGAAGTGTGTTAAGAGCCCGTAGGAGGAATCTGAATGCAAAAGTGTATTGATGACAAGAAGGAGTTTGAAATAATAGTTTTGAAAAGTGCTAAACTTAAGGATTCAAACAATTGTCCTTTCCAAAAGCTTTGGTCTATCTGAGAAACAGTCTGATGGAAAGCGCATTTCCATCGGACTGTTTCTCAGATAGAGCTTGAATGTCCTGAATCGATGCGGGAAACGGACACTTACCTCTGTGCAGGGTGCGCGCTCGGATTCAGGAGGTGGAGACGGAACAAACTCAGGAGCGGTTCTTTCGGCCTCACTTTCTACAGGCTCCCGGGGACATGATGGCTCACGAGGGCAAGCTCTGCAGACTGGACTGCAAAGTAAGATTCAGATTCAGATTCAGATTTAGACTTATTTATTTATACCACCAGAGGCAATTCGTTTGAGCAGCACAGGGCATAAAAAGATAAAAATATATTGATAAATGTCAGACAAATGTTACTGTCTGAAAAAATGTCAGAAAGTAACATGAAGTGGAGTCCATACAAACATATGAACATACAGTAATATGACCTCAAACACCAAAGTCCATATTATCATAGATTCAGCTGTATAATAGCTGCTTGGATACATTTATTTGAGTTAGATATGTTTATGAGTGCGACCAACGAAGGTTATTACAAGAGATTTTAATTCAGTCAAATTATGTCTGGGAAATTGTGCTCAGACTGCTGCCTCCAGAACAAGGAAGAAAATTGATTTATGGAAAATAATGTTTGTGTCAAATATTTTACAACAGGTTTTGATGACAAAATATACATTAAGTAAAAGTAACTGACATCATATTAAAGTTTATCTATGCTCTGTCTTCACTTGTTCCTATTATTAATTTATGTTTACTTCATAATATTTAGTAAAAATGAATTCAATCTCAGTCATAATTTTATTTTTTCGGATGCATTTAGTTTTAGTCACATTATACAGCCTTGATTAAAACAATAACAAAAGCATTTAAACACTACACCAGTCTTTCTGTTTGTGTGCTGCAGGTGAGTGGTCTGCCGAACCCTGAGCTCATGTGGTTGGTGAACGGAAGGCCCATCTACCCAGACCTGTACCACCGGATGCTGGTGCGGGAGAACGGAGTGCACTCTCTGGTGATCGACCCTCTTACGCAGAAAGACGCCGGGACATACACCTGCATCGCCAGCAACAAAGCCGGACAGAGCTCTTTCAACCTGGAGCTCAGTGTCGTTGGTATGAATTCACTATTTCATTTACAGCTTTAATTTCATTTATGAGACGCTTGTATGTTGATGTTGTGTAGTGGTAGACAGATATACAGTTGTACACATTTTAGCAAAGAATATTTCAAGAACATTTATATCAGTGTTGACCGTTCCAATCACAATATCAATGTATTTCTGTGGGTTTGACCTCTACTTTCTCTCAACTGTGTAATGTTGAATAAAATACGGTGAACTCACTAGTCAAACGTGTGTTTCAGAAAAAGAAATGAAGCATCCTCCTCACTTTGTTGAAAAGCTTCAGAACGTCGGAATCCCAGAAGGAACACCAGTTCGACTCGAGTGCCGCGTGGTTGGCGTGCCTTCTCCTGTTATCTTTTGGAAGAAAGACAACGAAACCATTCCCAGAACTAGAGACAGGATGAGGTAATTTAGGGAACAGTTCTTAAAGAAACAGTGTGTAATATGCTCTCTTAGCAGTCAGAATCTTCCTGTCTGTGACATATGTAGCTCCTAAGCACTGAAGACTGATGCAATCCATCTACTGGGGTTTAGATAGGAACAGTACAAACTCTTATTTTGCTTCTGCTTTCATTAAAACAATTGTGTGGGGCTATTATTTGTTGTTGAGTTTTGCTATTAAAAAAGAAATATAGAGCCAAGACAAGCTATATTTCACGTAACAAACTGGCAACCCAAATGAGAGCCTCATTCTGCTGTCTGATTGGAGGATGTGCATGAATATCGTTAACATAAATATTAGGGACATCATAAGAATTACTTTGCTCAGAAAAGTTCAAATATGATTTGTACACATGACCTATTATTTGGCGACACATATATGTAAATGTATTTTAATTGAAAATAAAAAGTTGTTTCATTGACACAGAAAGCGCCTTGTAGTAAAAGCAAAATTATGTGAACAAATCAGACCACTATGTGCTGTCAAACATTTTATCTTTGATTAAAAAAAATGAACCCTGGGAGTCACTATATGAGACTTGGGGCTGAACGATGATTGGCTGTACAAGGGCGGTCATCATTAATTCTCTTTTCCATATATCTAAAATACCTAAAGTTGGCAAAAGATCCTACACGTGAAACTATAGTGGATGTTTTGAGAGGGAGAAAGTAGTTAGACAGTTTTAAATAGATAATGAAGTTACACTGTTTGCAGTTTCAATTTCAGCTGCCCCAGTTTAAACCAGCTTTAATTAGACACTCTACAAAAATAACACAATACTTTCTTCTTTTTCAGTATGCACCAAGATGTGACAGGATACGTGTGTCTGCTCATCCAGCCAACAACTAAAGAGGACGCTGGCTGGTACACTGTGTCGGCAAAGAACGAGGCTGGGATTGTGTCTTGCACCTGTCGTCTTGATATCTATGGTATTGGAGCTCAGATACCATTTTATCAGATGTAAAATGTACGATGCCGCTGAGGGGGAAAAAAAAAACACAACAACATTTCAGATCAAACACATCTCAAATTGGACAATAACAAAAAGAGGTTTTCTGAAATGTTGTGTCTCTAACGTTCGCTTGCTGGGCTTTTTCCCTTGCTGTAAGTAAACGCCTCATGTATGTTCCCCGTCAGCTCAGTGGCATCAGAGCGTCCCGGCTCCCATGAAGAAGACTCCGCGAAAAGGAAGTCGCTACGCCGCTCTAACAGGACAGGGCCTGGACATAAAGGCAGCCTTCAGCGCTCCAGACAGCAGCCCCTTTCTCTTTGCCAGCTCCCCTTCTGAAGCCACACTGGAGAGCGACAGGCTGTGAGAGAGAACCGTCTAAACAAACCACAAAACTACTGACACCTCGTTTTTCTTTCTCTGTGCGGACACTTAACCCCCACGGCCTAATACAAAAATTCTCCTTCTGACTCTGTGGTAGATTTGCACTTTTCCGCGTCGTTTGAGAAAAGGTGGGAAACAGCACTTTTGTTCAATTATTTTACCTTTTTTCCTTTTCTGTAATCACCTCGTGCTAAACTAACTCACGTTTTTCAATCGTTTTTATGTTTCCCTGTAGGAACAGCACATCTTGGTCATTTTACAAATTCAAACAGAACACATTTGTACTACTAAAAACAAGGACAAAGTAGTCTTGACAAAGTAATATTATCTCTTGCAGACTTTTAAGAAAGAACCCTTTGTGAGACACTATCTGATTGGCTGAGTGAGGGTGGTCCAATCTTTTTTACTTTTCTGTCTGATCTAAGATGTGAGAGAGGCCAAACATATTCAGTACATATGAAAACCTTGATTTTATTCCATCGTTTCCTTATTAGTGGTATGATTTATTTATTGAAGGACATTATTTAACCAGGAAGGGAAAGTCCCACTCAGAAGCTCTCTTTCAGAGGAACGTTAATAGCTCAGATTTAACACCAAAACTATAACTCATGATGGTCAAATCTAAATAATCAATTAAGTCATTGATTAGGATATATCTGTTTACTCATTTTAACACAGAATTTGAATGAGGTTTGTTGACAATCATCTCCATCCACAGGGCGACCCCGTTCAGTCCTGACAAATGCACATATGATAATGGTTAAAATAAAACATTACTCCTGAATGCCACTGTGCTTGGGACTATGCTCAAAAGTCACCATTCCCCTGAACACAAATGTATCATAACACAACGTGAAGATTTGCCAAGTCTTAGCTCATGAGCCACCAGAGGAAGTTTTATTTTTATTCTGTTACAATGTTGTATATTATATGGAGTTTAGAAGTATGTAGTCTGTCTGAGAATCCAAATAGTAAATTATCAATAGAAATGGAAATAAATGCATTTTTCTATGTTTAAAAAAGCTGAATATTGAGTTTCACTCTGCAGTTATCATTTTGTATGCATGGCAATGTGCTTTCACGTGTCCAGTTTTTCATTATATTTACATTTGATTAATTTCCTGAAATGTATTCAGAATGTATTACTAAAGTCAGTTTTTGACTAAAATATTTTAGTTTTCTAGAAGGTTTATTTGAGTTATTTTGGCAGTGTGGATGTAGTTTGAAAGCACATATGTAAAGTTGCACTTGTTAAAAAAAGATTTGTTGTCCTCAGAATAAAGTTTTATTTATTGAATGATTGATCCAATACTTTCAGTATGGGAAAAGTAAGAGAAAAAGTTAGCACTCATGCTATAATCTGCTGCAACACAGCTCTCCCTCTGAGAATGATGTTTATTGGACATTGCTTCTGTGTAAATGAACAAAAATAAAACAAAACAGACCTTTGGCATAGGAGCTATGATAACTAAAAGTAATGCCAAACAGGCAAAAACTCTCATAAGGCAAAATTAGCTTTGTAATCAGTCCAATTAAATATAAGAGAGCTCAAACAGGCATGAATTCCATTCACCTACTGTGACCTAATTATAGAGCAAGGCTCATTTGACCAGCTGCTACTTAACCTAGTGCACAGAGCAACAAATGCACAACTAGAGCCAAAGAACTATCAGCGCTAGAAGCTAATTTAGCAAGATCTCATAGGCCTTTTGACATGACCTTTTCTCTCATGGACCAAAACCAAACAGTGGCAAAAGAAACCTGAAGAAGAAAATTTATAGAACATCAACAATGACACAGACATAAAAGTTTTACACAAGAATTAGAATTGCTTTTATTCATAAATGAAGTATTCTTTTTAACGTTTGAATCAATGTATTAGTTATAGTTCACTATTTTAGGGTATCGTTGACCCATGAAAGAAGACTGTACTGGATTAATAATAAGTGATGCTCACTTAAATATCCTAGATTTAATCCTAGATGAGATTTAAAGTCAAAGGAAAGAGAGACTCAGTTAATACACTTTCTATTTATCCTAAGCATACGCTTTGAGCTCTAATCTGCATTTCTCAATAAGGGATAGCATAAGTGGATTTAGCAGGATTGTGTCTCTGTCTGTGCAGACGGCTCTCTCTGCTGCTGTGACATATGGCTTTTGACAGAGGGCAAGGCACCCAAACAAGCCAATCACGTTAAACATGTCCAAAAACACAGAGGACGACACGTATGAGCCGAGCCGTGTCTGAGACCAGGCCTGCAGACACGACAAGCAGCAGCTGGCCAACTACATCAATCTGTAATCAATGAACCAACTGGAAGATGGGATTATATGCCTAATTGCACAGCAAACCAGTCCATCCCAAAATGACCAGACAGCCTCAGCTTGTGTCCATGACCCATTACCCATTATTCTCCGACAGTGATTAAACATTCATAACCTGCTCTACACCCAAGCTTTCAGTTTGTCAATACAACATGACAGGAGCAGCACAACTTCAGACAAAGAGGACAATGACAATAGGATGTAGTGTACATTTATATTGATGATGCAACTCAATCACAACATGCTAGTAAACACATCAGGACTTACATATATTGTATGTTTAAGATACAAGATTCATTTGGATCAAATTAAAAATAGCAATTTGACTTAAATATTTTTTTATTGCTGAATGCAGTTCATGCTTCAGGATTGCCTTCTATTTGAACTTTCCATCATTACTTTGGAACTTAAAACACTGACGTATCTAAACAATTAAAACATCTAAAATCTAAATATTCTCAGAGGAGGCTGCGTCTAGACATTTGAATATAATACATTTGAGGTTGTTGTTTTTCTTTTAAATTTGGTGTGAGTTTTGATGTCTTTTGGTGGTACTATTGGGAATAATTATTGAATATGTTCATTTTCAACATTTATTTGTGCATCTACAGAAACGTAATCTTGCACCGTTATCATTAGAAGCATTTATGCATATTCTATATAAATATTTTTAACGTAAAACATTTGTATGAGGGTAGGTGTCAGCTCATACATCTCCTTCTCCTGATTCTTAATCTCAGTTTTCAGCAGATGGAAAGAAGAGACAGACAAATGACTCTGTCGCTCTCATTTCTCTCGGACCACTTCACGAATCAATTATTAATATAATGTGTGAAGCCAAAGGGAGACATGGGGCCATTAATGTACACTAATAAAATGAATTGTTTAATGAAATGTTAGGTCTAATATAAGTTTATTTCCGTGATATCTTCCAACACACTGCACTGCCAGTGGAATCGCACTCTAATCTGGACACCATCTTGGTCCATATTGTAGTCTTAATCCCCTGAAGTGCAGTAAAAACCCTCAGGTTATAGACCGCACTTACACTTCTGGAGCCTCCGGGCTAATCTCAGATTATGTTATTATCACAATATGAACTTTTAAAGCTGCAGTGAAAGCACACTTGGGGTATTATGTGATTATATCATTCAAATCTTTGTTTTATACACAACTTTTAATGACCAAGAACTTTATTTGCTCACTAATCTTTCTAATTAATGCATCCAGAATATATTTAAGGGGAGATAATACCCCTGTAATGTACAAAATAGAGGAATGAAATGATTATAGTTATTATGTTAATCAAAAGAAAGCATAATCACTTTACTGATATAATAATATGCAATAAAACATTTAAATGATGAATACAAATATGTTTGATTTTGTATTTACTGAGTCATATGAAAACATATTATCTATTAAACAGGTCAATAAACTCCATATAAAACTAGTCAAAGCCAAATGTGTTGTGCGTAGCCTGCATCATCAGCTGTGGACCAGATGGTATATCTGGTGGTGCTTGAGTCACATGGCTCCGAGTGAAGCTCTGAGTTAATTGGAATTTCATTAAGGTTGTGTTTGCGAGTGACGGTGCTAAAGTGGGAGGATGTTTATGAGTCGATAAGAGGCCGGTTCTGAGGGGGACCCCACCTGCCACCACCTGTTTGTCTGCTGCGCCCTATAAAAGAACCCTATCCTCAGAGCAAACCTCACACTTCCCTCATCCGACCTCTGCTGGACTGTCTCCAGAGCATCTCCTGGATTTACAACTGCAGAGTTCGTCCTACAGCAGTCCACAAGGCTCTCAAAGAAGATTAAGAGATCCTGTATTCGTCCCACAGTGGGGAAATTTCAAAGAAGAATCATCGGAGGATTGACTACCAACCTTTTTTGATTTTTCCTCTCTAAAAATGAAATCTCGTCGTTCCAGCTGCACCGACTCTGGGTCTGAGAGCTCTGAGTCGGACTCCAAAAGCCCACAGAAGTTTGAGACGACCACGAGGAGGCGGATGGCAGCCAACGCCAGAGAGAGGAAGAGGATGGAGGGTCTCAACACAGCGTTCGACTGTCTCCGTAAGGTGGTGCCACAGTGGGGCCAGGACAAGAAACTGTCCAAATATGAGACTCTGCAGATGGCTCTGAGCTACATCATGGCCTTGAACCGCATCCTGACCGACGCGCAGAGACACAGCACTCCTCAGTGGATGGACTCGTTTGACTGTGTGCAGCCTGAGAACTATTGCCTGATGGGCTACGACTCTGTCCCGGCTCAGGACTTCCTCCAGTCTTCGTTCTACCAGCTGGAAGAGCATCAGCTGCACGCTTAAACACGGCGCCCTCTGAGGCACAAGCAATCATGTTGTTGGGTGTTACTGACGATGTGAAGATTTTTCTCCAGTTTAGGAGAAAGTAAATACATTTGTATTGATTTAATTTTGTATTTAATTTTGTAGTTCTTTCATTCGTTGTTTGTCGATGACTATGCTTCATTTTGAGAGTGAAGTCTATTTATTTTGTTATTTAGAATTGACCAAGACAAGAAGCACTATTGAGCAAGTATTGTTCAATGTAGCTGCAATTCTATCAATTATTCTGATATGGCCCAAAAATGTTGTGCAATTTCGATTTGTGTGCATTATTCAACTGTGAAAAAGCGTGTTGTGTTGTAATAACATTATGTTTCTTATGAATTGTTTGTAGAGAGATGTCCAATACTTTCATGCTGACCACTATTTTTGTTATAATTAAATAAATTATTTTGTATAAATTGTGGCATGTTATGTCAAATGTTTTAATACACATTATGTGTTATACTCTGTCCTTGTTTAAGTGATTATTTTAGTCGAGGAGAGATAAGTTGCACCATTATATTATTATATATTATATTATAAAAATAACAAAAACTAAATGAATGTAGCCAACAGTTACTTGTGAAACACGTGATGTGTCCAGTGCGTGTGAGGCTGCAATCTGATCTGTTTCTGCCACACATTTAAATGGCCCCTGCAGCCAGAGCTGAAGTGACAGATTTGTAGAAGTTTGAGTTGTGGCTTGTGCCATGACAGAAAGAAGCCTGTGTGCCAAATCCTCCATCGCTTCAGTGAAGGAGCAACAATTAAAGTCCATTGTGAGGTAATAACTGTGTCTAATGTCTCTGTTTGCAGTCACTGAGGCGTGGGTCGCTCTAACGGGACTCAAACAGGACTCAAATGTATAACATTTCACTTCCATTAAGTGAATATAGTTAATGTACTGTTTTCGCCTCATGTTCTTTTTTTAATTCATAGTCAATTGTTCAAATGTCTCAACAAAGAAAAGGTCACACTCAGTTAAATGCCTAACAAGCCCAGTGATAATGAGACGCACTCCTTCAGTCACAATAAGAGCATAAACAGCTGTCACTTATGTTTCATAGTTTAATGGGCACACACTTAATCAATTTTCTTTTTAATTACTGAGGCTCCATATAAAATAATGTGTTAATTAAAAGTGACACAAAAGTGTGAAGTCGTACATCTAATTTGAATGTCTGAAATGATCAAGTGTCTTATTGAAGTCAAAGTTCAGTGGAAAAAAGAAAGGCATTTATTTGAGTAAGTTGTCTTTCTTTAGAGAATTAAGAAATAAAGAGAAATAGTGGACAAAAGTTAGTCTGCCCTTGGGCAGCTGTGGCTACAACAGCAGCTTACCAACACTGAGTACAGGGGGAACGAATGTTGTTATGAAGTGTCTTTCGGTGTCATGAAAATAATTATATAAGTAGTATGCATTAGTATTCTTTATTGCAGCGCTTTTGATAGAAATCAAGGAAAGAAACCATTATTTAGTAAAAATAACCAAAATTGACAACTGACACATAGTCATCAGGAAATGGATATAGATTATAAATATGTTTTTGTTACATGTAGTTTGATTATACAGAAAGTTCATGATGTCATGAATTAAAAAACAAAAATTCAAACACTTAATCCGATCTAACCTCTTACCTCTTTGAGATATTGTGTAAATTATGAGCTGTACGAACATAATGCCCCTTTAAATGTGTAGATCCCAGATGATTTATGAAATAATATTCTGTAAATTGGATTATTCACCAGCGGGGCAAAAAAGTATTTAGTCAGCCACTGATTGTGCAAGTTCTCCCACTTAAAATAATGACAGAGGTCTGTAATTTTCATCATAGGTTCACTTCAACTGTGAGAGACAGAATGTGAAAATAAATCCAGGAATTCACATTGTAGGATTTTTAAATAATTTATTTGTAAATTATGGTGGAAAATAAGTATTTGGTCACTTCAAACAAGGAAGATCTCTGGCTCTCACAGACCTGTAACTTCTTTAAGAAGCTCTTCTGTCCTCCACTCGTTACCTGTAGTAATGGGACCTGTTTGAACTTGTTATCTGTATAAAAGACACCTGTCCACAGCCTCAAACAGTCAGACTCTAAACTCCACTATGGCCAAGACCAAATGTAACGAGGGGGGGGCTATGAAGGTGTTTGGAAGCGGAATGAAATTTGACCGGAAAAATAACTATTGCAAAAAAAGAGATTGAGTGACCGGGTGAGAGCACACTTGTCTACCAAGGAGGGCAAAAAGGTCGTGGCAAGTTATTAAATTTAATGCAAGGAATAATTAAAACAGTAAAAAAATGCCCACAAATAAAAACACTGTGTTAAAAGTCCATTAAAAACAAGGTGGGCTAAAAAAAAAAGGTTAAAACTACTAAAAGGCACGGTCCACGGTCAGGTGCAGGCAGGTCCCACTCCCTCCTGGTCCAGGGCAGCACTCCAACCTGGGTCACACGCACCGGGCCACCTAGAATGCAAAGCATACGCCAGTACGGGGGTCTGAAGCTATAAGGCCTTAGGCTACGATGGTGGAGTGTCGCTACAATACTTACACACAAGGCAGAGTTATCCTCTGCCCCTGCGTGTGTTCAGCGTCACAACACTCCTTCACTTAGTCTCGACTCCTCCCGTCTGGCTCTCGTCCTCCGTACGCTGAGACACCTACGCGGAAATCACTAGCGGCAGTCAAACGTTCTAAACAGTGATGTGCTCGATCTAACTTTATCCGACAAGTGTTACTATGTCCCCAAAAGGTACTTACACGGAAGGCAGAGTTCTCCTCTGCCTCTGCGTGTATATCGCCTCGCAACACTTGCGGTCTCAGCGTGCTGTAGTCCCGATGCGTGTGCCGTCCTGCTCATCCTGCTTGTGGTGGGGTGCCGCGGCTTTCCTGCTCCTGCGTGCTTGTTGTCTCTCTGCCTCTCTCTGTGTCTCTCTTCCCGGCCCGAACGCTGCGCCGCCTCACTCCCCTCCTACGGGGCGCCCGGGTCCAGCGGCGAGCTCCAGCCCTGTCGCACAGCACACACACGGGCCAGCCACGCACAGCACCCAGGATCCCCCCTTCAGCCCAAGGCTTCCATACACCACGTCTACACAAGAGCAAAACTCACCGGGGTCCAAATGCCCTGCCTCTGTGTAGTTCTCGTCGTGGTGCGGGGGTCCAGAGCGTGGGTGCCATGGTGCTGGCCCGGTGCGTGCTGGTCTCTCCTTCCGGGCTCGCCTCCCCTCGCTGCGCGTCCGCTCCCCGGTGTCGCGTCTCCTCTCTGATCTCCTGCATTTATACAGTCACCCCAGACACAGGTGTCTTGATTTGCACTCAGGTGCAGGCAGGTGTGCCGGGTAACCATGGCTACTGGGAGGCATGAAAGAAAACACACAGCAAACCAAAAAAAACATGCAAACAAAACACATGCCATCCCAGTCCACCGGATTACACAAAGAGCTGTCGAAGGACACCAGGAAAAGAATTGTAGACCTGCACCAGACTGGGAAGAGTGAATCTACAGTAGGAAAGCAGCTTGGTGTGAACAAATCAACTGTGGGAGCAATTATCAGAAAATGGAAGACATACAAGACCACTGATAATATCCCTCGATCTGGGGCTCCACGCAAGATCTCATCCCGTGGGGTCAAAATGATCATGAGAACGGTGATCAAAAATCCCTGAACAACACGGGGGGACCTGGTGAATGACCTGCAGAGAGCTGGGACCAAAGTAACAAAGGTTACCATCAGTAACACACTACGACGACTACAAAGTCCTGGAGTGGCCTAGCCAGTCTCCAGACCTCAACGCCGTTGAAAATCTGTGGAGGGAGTTGAAAGTCCGTGTTGCTCGGCGACAGCCCCAAAACATCACTGCTCTCGAGAAGATCTGCATGGAGGAATGGGCCAAAATACCAGCTACTGTGTGTGCAAACCTGGTAGAGACCTATAGTAATAGTTTGAACTCTGTTATTGCCAAAGGTTATATTACAAAGTACTGAGTTTAATTTTTGTTATTGATCAAATACTTATTTTCCACAATAATTTACAAATACATTCTTTAAAAATCCTACAATGTGAATTCCTGGATTTTTTTTCACATTCTGTCTCTCACAGTTTAAGTGAACCTATGATGAAAATTACAGACCTCTGTCATTTTTTTAAGTGCGAGAACATGCACAATCGGTGGCTGACTAAATACTTTTTCCCCCTGTATGTGCAGATCCAACAATGTTGTTATTTCCAGATGAACACTCAAACGTACAGTAGAAGTGCAGATGAAATGTTATCATGATGGAGTTCTGACCATGAGAGTCAGAGGATCAGAAACTCCTCCTCCAGCAGCAGGTGATGTCAGCAGCTCTTTAAAAGCACCACCTCCAGCAGGTGTCCACACAGCCTCCCAAACTCAGTTCATGATGAAGAGCAGAAACAACCGCGCCAGCAGCCACCTGACGGGGCAAGTGGAGATAGAGTGTGTAGGAAATGGGGCGTGGGTGAACCAGGCCTACTGTGGGACCCCTCCACCCATCCCACGAGTCATCAGCACCATCTACGACCCTCAGCCCAACTTCCAAAACTCCGTGGACGACATCTACAAAGCGGACATCCCATTTCCCAAGCCCCAGGAGCCCTCTGCAGCCAGGCCAAGGAAGAAACACCGAGGCTGCTGCTCGTTTATCAAAGGTGAGAATGCTTTCATGTATCATTATATTTGATTAAAAAACTAATGACCCTTTAAAAAATATTATACAATATACATGTTTCCAGGTTTGTGGGGAACCACTCTGACTGAGAACACTTCTGACAACAGGGAGCTGTTTGTCCGCACCACTCTGCGAGAGTTAGTGGTCTACCTGGTGTTCCTTGTGGATATCTGCCTCTGTGAGTTTACACATATTTTGTTTCATATTAATTCTTTGGAACATTGGTTACTGTAAATGCAGGTAAACACAGCACAATAAAACTCAATTATAAAATTAAGTAATCAAAATATTTTAAAATCACATATCCAACTTAGATCCGATAAAGCAGTCTATTGTCATTACTACTTATTTGTTGTATGCTTGAACTGATTATTTGGAGTTTGATAATAATAATGCACTTTTCACTTGCGCCACAGCTGCAGTGAGATATGATACTATACCAGTCCCAACATCCTCATGAAAAGATTGGAACATGCTTTTAGGATCTGGTACCGGTTCTATGATATTATCTACAGTAAGTCGATATCCTACTTGGGCCTTTCAAATGATGTAATATGAAACCAATTATTGGGTAATATAAACCCAGAACTAGGGCTGCTGAACATTTCTCCTAAATTATAAAACATTTTACATTAACATAGTGATTACAATTCCATTTCTGACTTCTGACAGAATATTTGTTGCATTTAACTATATAATATAATAATTATGATGATAAAATATATGTTCACTTTAAAATGGATTACTTCATTAGCAAATATAATTTTAAAACCATCAAATAGAGAAATACTACTTTTTTCAAGCTGATTTGCTAATTCCAGCTACAATTCTGATTTTATGGATCTTGCAGCACTAGCCAGAACGTCAATGTTTTATTGTTCTACAGTTAAAAATATTTTTTTTTTATTAATAAAAACATTTATTAAGAGCAATAACCCTCGATCAGGATCTTAGATGATACAACATGTAAAGGACATTAGATCAAGATGTGAGATCATTCATTTTTCTGGCATTGTTTTTGTGTAATTCTGGATGTTACTGTCCAGACTGCTGTGCTGGTGTTAGTGTGCTATAAAAAGCGTTCTGCTGTTTTATTGCCTGCCACAAACGCCCTGCCCATTTGAGGGCACGCGGACCATTGTCCAGCAGGACATTAGGAGTGAAAGAGACTTGTGCTCTGGTCCTTTGGCTTTTAGCGATAAGAGCATTGGCAGCATCTATTGTGGCATTGTCTGACTTGGATTTACATTGTTTGATGAAAGCATTTGCGTCAGGTTGGCATGTTCCCTCTTCAAACACATTATCGCTTCTATTCTGGGTATTTTTCAGCAAACACGACTAAACAACAAGCCATCAATGACCGAGTGCGTGTCTTATCTTGCCCTCTTGAATGGAATAACATTTAGACCACAGCCTGTGCAAAGTCAGATAGGGTGAATGTCACTGTGTGTGTGTATTGTGTTGTCTTTCAGTGACTTATGGGATGACCAGCTCCAGTACGTACTATTACACCAAAGCTATGACCGACCTGTTCGTCAACGCGGCAGGAGAAAGCGGAGTAAAGTTTCAATCTATTGGCACCATGGCTGATTTCTGGGATGTAAGACTTCCAACTACTATCTACTAAGAAATCACACCACTCAAATTAATGTAGAATTTCAAATACTAGACCAAATTATTTTCATTACATGACAAAAACGTACTGTTTGCATTCACAGTTAGGCCAATGCAATACTTCTGTATGTAGAGATACATGGAACAAATAACAACAACAAAAAATAAAGTTAAGAAGTATCTCAATAAAACTGATTACATTTCTCCCACCAGTATACTCAGGACCCGTTACTTAATGGACTCTACTGGACCAGATGGTACAATAATCAGTCCATGGAAACAGGAGAACAGTCCTTTATCTACTATGAGAACATGCTTCTGGGAGTCCCAAGAATGAGACAAATCAAGATGAAGAATAATTCTTGCACAGTGCACAAAGATTTTCGTGACGAGATCTCTGGCTGTTTTGATGTTTATGACGAGAAGAAGGAGGAAGGTCTGAACTTTGGTCTTATCAATGGCACAGCGTGAGTACATGTTTAAAATGATCTGATAGAGATTTACATGAAAGACGGTTTCATTCATTCGTTCATTTTCTACCTCTTTATTTGTCCATTTCTGGGTCGGAGGGGGACAATCAGAGCAGCCACTCAATGCTCATGAAAGACGGTTCACTACAGAAAAGTCATAGCTTCTTACAATAAAAAATACTTTAGTTGTTCTAAGATTCAAGTCTGTGATTATCAAAAACTAGGGTAAAATAACTAGGGTTAAATCTAGGGTATCCATCACATGTCATAGAATCAATAAAACTAGTTCCTGCTTTTAAAACTGGTTTGCTCCATCTCTAGCTTTAACATGCATGTATTTTTTCAGGACGAAAAGTGAAAAATAGTGAAAGAGCGGACCACCCTCACTCAACCAATCAACTCAGTCAACCAATCAGCTCTCAGCCCAAAGTGTCAAATAGGAGCTCTGCCTATCTAAGTATGACGACAGCATGTTGTGAAGTGCATTTTCACAGTTTACTTTTACAAGACTCTTTCAGTTGGGACAAGCAACATGTATCATCTATGAAAATAATAACTTAGATCCCACAGCTTTGAAACCAGAAATCCTTAATTACTTGATACCATCTTAAACCCAATCATCGAGAAGTCAAACTAAAGTAAATAAAATGCAGTATATTTTTGTGCAAGTAATATATGGTTGTGTGTCTGTACATGTTGGCTGCATGAGGGTATCCTGAGGGTCAAAGTGACTCAGTAAAGTGACAGTAACACTTAAAAACACTTTATCATGTGTTCCTCTCCTCTTAAGATGGACTTACCACACAGAGAAACAGATCAATGGCTCGTCTCACTGGGGGCTGCTGACCACCTACAGCGGAGCAGGGTTCTATCAGGACCTGGGCCGCACCAAGGACGAGAGCAGCGAGGTCCTGAGAGAGCTGATCTCCAACCTGTGGCTGGACCGAGGAACCAGGGTGGTCTTCATCGACTTCTCCACCTACAATGCAAACATCAACATGTTCTGTGTCATCAGGTACAACAGTCTCAGCCAGGTCTAGAACAGGACTTCGCTACAGCTAAAATACTAAACAACATTCCGGTGATTTTGCATGCACTTAGATATATTTGATTACTCGCATAATTTGCTTGAACCATGAGCCAAAGCAGATTCCTAGTTTGTTATTCCTTGTTACTTACAATGGCAATTAAAAAACTCTACAATGGTTCTGATACAATAAGATAAGCCTTTATTCGTCCCACATTGGGGAAATATTTTGCATTACTTGATTTATTTATTGTAATTTTATTTAATATTTTGTTGTTGTTGTATTTTATTTAATTTTTAATTATTTATTTTCATCCCTCCTGTCCCCCCCTTCCTCTCCACTGTATAACAAATACATAAAAATATTTAGCAGTTTATATTGTAGCAGCAGCAGCTAAAGTAACTAGTGAATTATCAGATGAATGGGATTTGTAGTGATGTAGTAATATATAATAATAATAATACAGTATAGCAGGTAATATTGTAGTGATACTTCTTCTCCTCGCTCTTCTTTCCACCATTGTTCCAACAGGACACACAGCTTATATAATGTAGTCGTGTTAGCCTGATAATAACCAGCTTCTGTTTGCTAGGTTGGTCGTGGAATTCCCAGCCACAGGTGGAGCGATTCCTTCCTATCAGATCCGCACCGTCAGGCTCATTCGTTACATTACCAAATGGGATTTCTTCATCCTTGGCTGCGAGATGGTCTTCTGCGTGTTTATACTGTATTACATGGTGGAGGAGATTCTGGAGCTGAGAATACACAAGTTTTCCTACTTCGGAAGCATCTGGAACATACTGGATATCGTCGTTATACTTGTGAATACACCATTTGTGTTTATTTGGATTGTATTTGTGCTACTGAGGCTACAAATCTCATATCTCTTCTATCTCTCATGTAGCTTGCTGTCGTAGCCATCGTTTTCAACATCTTCCGCACAGTCAAAGTGGACAAGTTACTCGGAAATCTTCTCAAAAACCCTGACATTTATGCAGATTTTGAATTTCTGGCATTCTGGCAAACACAGTATAACAACATGAATGCTGTGAATCTGTTTTTTGCCTGGATAAAGGTAAAATTATAGACTTTTTTTTATCAATGAAAACTTTGCAGAACTCATGGAAACAACTTTTGGTATTGTTTGTCTTGTTCTTTCTTCCAGATTTTTAAGTACATAAGCTTCAATAAAACAATGACTCAGCTGTCCTCCACACTGGGCCGGTGCGCTAAAGACATCATGGGATTTGCCATAATGTTCTTCATTGTCTTCTTTGCCTACGCACAACTTGGCTATTTGCTTTTTGGGACAGAAGTGGAGTCTTTCAGTACTTTTGTCAAATGCATGTAAGTCCAGGTGGTAATAACAATTACGGAATTTGTGGGTTAGGTAATCCTCTTTTTGTACTTTCTGGACTATTAGGCGCACCTGTATATAAGCCGCACCAGCTACAATTTAAAAGAAAGTACATTCTGTCTACATATAGGCCGCACTTGCCGGTACTAACCACTTTGATGATAAATGAGTGCTACTATAACTTGATGGAGTCTTTAAAGTCTAGAGTTGGACAACAGCCCAACTCTATCACAATACAAATACACACACAGCCAAATCACTATATAAGCCGCAGGGTTGAAAGAACTAGAAAAATATTGTGGTTTGTAGTCCGGAAACTTACGGTACTTGCATTAACACTGTTTTGCTGTGCTTTCCCCAGCTTTACACAGTTCCGGATTATCCTTGGAGACTTTGATTACGATGCTATTGATCGTGCAAACAGAGTGCTTGGGCCAATATACTTTCTGACCTATGTTTTCTTTGTCTTCTTTGTCCTTCTGGTAAGGCCAATCTAAACCATCTTTAAAATACTATCTTGATTACAGTATGTCATTGTTACACATGAAAACTACTGATCTGTTTTTCCCTTTAGAACATGTTTCTAGCGATCATCAATGACACGTATTCAGAGGTGAAGGAGGAGCTGTCGTCCCAGAAGGATGAGCTGCAATTCACCGATATCATCAAACAGGTGAGAAACAGCTGAGCACGACACGTTTTTGTTATCATTCAGGTCAATGGGAAATTACCTGGGTGGCCCTTGTGACTTTAGTCTAGCCCACCATCATGCCAGGGCCTGTCTTAAGCTAGCACTACCCTAGTCAGATAACATACTACATCCACGTGAGAGAGACATAACCTGTTGGGTTGAACCTGAAGTGAATTACAAGTGTGTAAAATGTAATTAAAATTTAGGAAACATTGAGTCATAATGTGGTATTGACACCGAGTCTACCAAAAAGGAAATGTGGTTCATCTTGTAGAATATATAGCAAAAGCCGAAAGCAAAAGTCTTGTGATTAGAAAGTCAAGGAAATCAGCTTTAAGACAGTGAGTAGTCTGTAATTATATAAGGATGAGAAGTGGATTGGTCAACAGTCTGTTATGATGTGTGTTTGTGACAGCAGAGAACACCTTATAAAAATGTAAATATCAAATTGACCTGATTTAATAACATATTTAAAATAAAAATTAAAAAAAACAAATCCCCTCAATGTAATGTAATAATGTCTTATATTAGGATTATTGCTATGCTAAAGGTCGTTTCTTTTTGTTTGGTTATTTAGAGCTATATGAAGACATTCACTAAGCTGAAACTCAAAAAGGAGAAAATATCAGACGTTGAAAAAGCTCTTCGCTCGGGATCCGGTGAAATTGAATTCAAAGACTTCAGAGAGACCCTGAAAGAGTGAGTGAAAACAAAGAGATTTAAGCAATGTGTGTATACCATTATTGATCCGTTTGTTTGTTCCAGGATGGGCCACGCCGATCACGAGATATCTGCAGCCTTCTCACAGTTTGACCGAGATGGAAACCAGATTCTGGATGAAGCAGAACAAGAGAAGATGAAGAAAGAGCTGGAAGAGAAGAGAGTAAGTGAGAAACTGTTATACGGTAATCTCCGGGCAGCAGTGACATATTTGTGTTTCTATAGGACGCTCTTTCTGCTGAACTTAACAACCTCGGGACCAAATATGAGAAGGATTTACACGAGAAGACTCCAGTGACAACCAATGAGCATAAAAGACTTGGAAGTCAAACATTTATTGATCGAGAACAATTTCTAAGGTCTGTTGTCTTATGTCTTACCTATTAAAGCTGGGGTGCCTAGCTTCCCTTGTTTTCAACTAACAAGAAGCCTGTTATCTTTTGCATATTAGTATGAAAATGCCCTGTGAGTTTAACACTTTGAGCTGCGAGCCGATTGGCTGAAAAGCTGATCTAAAAAAAGAATACATGCACAGTGATTTTTTTGACATAGTTTGAAAGTTTTGAACCCCAGCTTTAACTTAAACATGTGTAGCAGCTTGTAAAGTGATCCCGTTTGCTTTTCCTTCACAGACTGTCACGGCATGTTCTCCATCTCGAAAGCTCTGTGTCCAACATCTCATCTAGACTTGCCTTGATCATGGAAAAAGTGGGATTAGAAGATTTACCTGGAACCAGTAACTTCCAGGTATAAGCTTAAAAGATGCTCAATAACACACAGTTTATCCCTCTACCTGTTTTTTCTTTTTCCAACCAGACTGATCTGTCGGTCCCAGGCACTAGTGATTTGTCGCTGCAAACGTCTAAAATTTACCCAGATTTACAGGGCCATATGTGACACAATTCTCAAGACCCTGGATCTCAACAGTAATGTTTAGTATATACGTCAACAGTGATTAAGGCAAACTGATTAATTACCTGATTATTGTGATTTCAGTGTTTTCCATTAGGGTTTCCCCTATCTATAATAGCCCCTTCCACACTTAGGGCATTAACCTTTGACTGTAGGCTCCTTCTACAGTCTATATGGAATTAAACTAGAGAACTAGCATTTTTAGGATTATGTGTAGACAAGCCGGTCAAAATTCTGTGCAAGACTGGATTTTGTACATTCTTGAAAATAACCAGGAATATGCAGGGAAAAGTTGTTACGCCACCTAACACTAATAAAGAACAAATAGAAAGGTAAACCCATTACTTTGAACATGAGACATATCCATGGATTTATTTGTTTATTGCCAAAGAAACACACTTGTCGCCCAGGTTCACTAAGGGAGAAATCCTTATTTGTGGATATAAAAACACTAAAACTTCATACATGCATACTTACATATTTTGAAACAGATCTGAGAAGCATTTTTCCCAGAGTAAAACCAGACTTGGTCTAGTTAAAGTGAACTAACGCTACATTAACAAGAAGCACGTCAATGGTGTTTGATAATATCAAATGTGATAACTTTAGTTTGTTAGCTGTAGCTCAGTCGTTTATAAAGAGGTGATTCCTCTGCAGCAGGTTCCTGCACCTGTCTCTGTTAAATTAACTTAGATATCTATCTTATGACGCACGGTGCGAGGGTAAAGTGAAGTTCTCATGACTATTATGAGTTTCATGAGGTGAAAACTCCCTCATTCCCCTCACAGAAGTTTAGTTAACTTCATCAATGAAAATGAAAATGTTACCTGAGGTTTGTGTCAAAGTGGTCTGCAGGATGTGGCTTAGAGCGAGTTAGACCTTTTTACATGCTCCAAACATGTCATACACGGTCCAAACATGTCATACACGGTCCAAACATGTCATACACGCTCCAAACATGTCATACACGCTCCAAACATGTCATACACGCTCCAAACATGTCATACACGCTCCAAACATGTCATACACGCTCCAAACATGTCATACACGGTCCAAACATGTCATACACGCTCCAAACATGTCATACACGCTCCAAACATGCCATACACGCTCCAAACATGTCATACACGCTCCAAACATGTCATACACGCTCCAAACATGTCATACACGCTCCAAACATGTCATACACGCTCCAAACATGTCATACACGCTCCAAACATGTCATACACGCTCCAAACATGTCATACACGCTCCAAACATGTCATACACGCTCCAAACATGTCATACACGGTCCAAACATGTCATACACGCTCCAAACATGCCATACACGCTCCAAACATGTCATACACGCTCCAAACATGTCATACACGGTCCAAACATGTCATACACGCTCCAAACATGTCATACACGCTCCAAACATGTCATACACGCTCCAAACATGTCATACACGGTCCAAACATGTCATACACGCTCCAAACATGTCATACACGCTCCAAACATGTCATACACGGTCCAAACATGTCATACACGGTCATAAATCTATAACGTATCAGCATAGTTTTAATATTTACAGTCTCTGATCAGCATACACGGAACCCAGTAGTTTAATATAAAAAGCCAATCTTTTCTCACCCCTTTGGACCAGTTTGGTTCAATCCAAACATTTGTTAGATCGTAAATGTTGTGTACATAATGTTGAAAATATAAATAGAATAAAATGGAAGCAATTGTTAGTCTGCAATATTCTATGAATACGCAAGCTATGGTGAAGTATTTTATCATCTATTTAGTTCAGATACCCTTATAAAGGAGTGCATTCCAGCCTAAACTTAGAGGTAATAAAATGTAGTCTTACTACAGGCCTTTTTTGTAGGCAATGTATTTTGTTGTAGATTAATGTTGTTCATTCAAGTGTCGGTGTCAAATACACTTACAACATGAGCCACTTGACCGGTTTCATTGTGCTTTAAATAAAAACGTTTAACCTTAAATTCTAAATAATTGTTTAATTCTGTGTTCTCATAAGCTGCACACTTCCAACATGACTATTGCTATATGTCAAGCGTTCAGTATTTATTTTTCAATTCTTCATGAAATACCTTCAGTCTGTAGAGTTGAAATTATCTTTATTTGAAGAGACCTGAAGTGGAAAATGCATCTTATCAGAGAAGTTTGTTGCTTCACTCATTTCAGCTGTGGTTTTGAAAATAAATCAAATACATTCAGCCTCAAATATATTACAAGACATAGGTGCAGTACAATAACATCCTGCTTTTCTGTTGTTTGAAAATGGCACAACAAAAACAACGAATAAAGAAAAAGGTCAAGATTTGGATGGGCTGTCAACAAATTAATCTACAAACATGTGGATTAAGGCGTATTTATACATTATACGGTTTAATTTTACAATGGGTTCATAGGTACACTATTTACAATGTGATGCAGGATGATTGAAATTTAACATATATTTACATGGGCAACCAACATATTCAAGTTAGCATTAATGAGTATAGTGGGGCAAGCAAACGGTACACAAATCTGTACATAATGGCACATGTGATAATAAAAGTGGAGATTCATGAGAAACACCTTTTTTTTTACATTTTCCTCGGGCCCTAAATGTGATGTATGATGTGAACTATTTGCTTTTAAAATGTTACAAGACAATTGTTTAAATGTTGGCAATTAAATTAACCTTATCATAAACACAAGGTCCTTCCTCATGACCTCAAACATAATATGCAATGTAGGACATTACAGAAGTTGTATTTTCAAGCCAAAACAACTCTAAAGCATTTTATTAAAATATGGAGGTGTAATAACGTTTGCTTTGTTGACCCTGTTATACAGCAGGATTGCTTGTCTATTCTACTTAAGGGTGTAAACAAAAACCAAAAAACCCAATAAAAGTAAGCTAAAAACATGCTGTACACCCCAAAAACAATATTTTGTACCTATACACATGTGAGCTGAAAATGTCTGTACAAAATCTATTTTAAAGCCAGTTTTGACAAACTTCTTTCCATACAAACCCACGTCTGTTGGGGCAGGACCCAAGTGACAAAGCAATGCAAATCATTTTACGAGGTTGGGAACAGATGTATTTAATACTTTAGTTTGTCCATTTTAATAGGTGCCCCTTTTTTGAGAATTGTGATCTCGTAAGCTTGACATAGATGCAGAAAAGAAGCAAATTTGTGGAAATCCATAATGAAGTGTAACTGGGATTTTTATGTCAAAAAGACATTTTATAATTATGAAGATTTGATCCACAAATTAGTTGCACATAAACTTTGACAGTTAGATCCTACTCAACAGTTTCGATGAATAAAACCTTCATGCTAACAGCTCACTGTGACTGGTATCCAGCCATGCTGAAGTTTGACATGACTGGGCTGGACGTAGGTGCCGGCTGAGCAGGCTGGGATCCAAAGTTTCCCATCCAAGAAGACTGTGACTGGCTGCAAAATGACACAGTAGATGCATTAAAACGTCTCAATTACAACATGAATAGAACTAAAAAGGTTGAAGAGACCAAACATACTCGACTCCATAACCCTGCTGGCTCCATGTCTGGTTGTACATATTGTATGACGGCCATCCGTTGGACATGTACTGGCCATACTGCTGCTGCTGCTGTTGCTGCTGCTGCTGCTGCTGCTGTGGCTGTGGCTGCTGCTGAGCCCCTCCATAGACCTGGTTCCACTGGCCCCACTGTTGACTGTAATCAACCTATACAACAGGGAAGTATACAGGTCTCAAACCGAATCATGACCAATGAGTTCACACAAAGATGTTTGTCGTTTCCTACTTTTTCCTTTACCTGCTGCGCAGACTTGGCCATATCCGGAGTTTCCTTGCCCCAGTAGCACTTGACAACATGACCCTCAATGATTGTCCCGTTAACAGAAACAATGGCATGAGCAGCGCTGTCATGAGAATTAAACCTGGAAGTTGGGGGACACAAAAAGTAAAAGCTATTTAAGTATTGTAATCAGGCAACATCTCTGAGTGTAGAGTGCGGAGCTCGGTAAGGGATGTGGTGTGGTGACACCTACAGGCCACTTCAGAAATTACATTACCTGACAAAAGAGTATCCTTTGTCTGGAAACACTCTGATTTCCATTATCTGCCCAAAATCTGAGAATGTCTGTCGCATTAAATGATCTAAATAAAAATAAAAATAAAAACAGTTCTTCAGTAAGTCTGATAATCATTGATACAGTGATAACTTATCAGACTGAAGTCTTACCAGTCAGTCCGGATTGGATCCCTCCACAGTAAACTGTGCAGTTCTGAGGACTGGACTGATTCACCACATCCTCAAAACGAAGCTGCTTTGAGCTACCTAAAACAAGAAATACGTTTCATATGTAATGTCAAAAACAGGTTTTTTTCTCCAAGCTGTCAACACTTCTTACTTTCTTGGACACTTTTTGGAGCTGGTGGTTTACGAGTTGCCCAGTTGGTTCTAATTGGACGTCCTCCAAGCCACTGACCGCCCATATGTTGAATAGCATTCTCAGCATCCTGTGCACATAAACGATACAACTCAGGTTATTATTGTGGATGTAATAAAACTATACTTATATACAGTATTTAAGATATATAAATATATATTAAGACAAATGTGTACATCAACTTCAAGTCTATTATGTGATAATTGCATTTGTACTAACTGGATCTACAATAGATAACATTTATGAAATGTATATTACTGGCAAATGTTTGTATGTATGAGAATAGACAGAAAATAAATTAACCTTCATCTTTTGCTCTTGCACCGGAGTCTTACCAGTTTGTTGTAGAAGGATACAAATCCATACCCCTTTGATTTGCCTGTGGTCATGTCCTTCACAACACGAGCATCCCTGAGGCAAGACAAGAAATAAAGTTTAGCAAGTTTCACATGGAACTTTTCAAACCAAAAGGAACCACGCAAAATACAGTTCACTACACTGTCTTACTAAAGATACAAATTAGCTAATTGACCCTGGACAGAGAGAGCACTGACTCAATTTAATAAACTAAAAACAATACAAAAACATGCAGTCCTATGCTTACTAAGTATAATGTACTATTCTCACTATTACAGCACCTAGAGCTTTTCCAATGGCTATGGTATATTCCACAAGGGAACATGACTGGGCTTTTACCATGCATCTTAAAACAGGTTTTCAACCTACACAGTAATAGAATATGAAAAAGAGAAAAAAGAATTAAAAAAAGGCATACATGGCCTGTAAACAGTTCTGTTTTTCCTGGTCAATGCTCTACCATCAAAATGGAGAATGGGCTTTGAGGAGCTGCAAATTTTGAGAAATTGACACTTTTAGAACTTTTGGGGGAGAAAAAAATAATACTACACATCTAATTAAATTAAAAGGTTATAGCTTAAAACAGTATGTATATTTTTCATTCGTTTAGCTAAAGTTCTTATATCGTTATCATATGGAATTACAACTATAAGGACAAATGGAAAATGGAATGAATAGAGAAAAAAACTACATCTGAGTCTCCAGAGTGCACAGTCCTTGCTGTTAGCCTTCAAGCTCCTGTCCAATCCTATGAGCATTTCTGTAAAATAACCAAAGGGCTATTACTTTACGGACATCCAGAACTACACGAACATCTGCAGCTTATGGCAAACAAAGATTCTGTTGACATTCAGATGAATACTTACCCCTGTCTAAGAATAAAAGCTATAAAAAGGTAACCCAGTTATAAAGCAATGAATTACACTAAAATAACACTAAGTCGTTACTTGCTTCTACATCATTCAATGAAAAACATAAGTATTTAAATGCATCATTCTGACATATTTGTCAAATACTAATTAGAAAAGAGGAGAAGAAAACCCCTTAGCATACTTACGAGATACTGCCGAAAGGAGCAAAAGCAGCCTTGATATCCTCTGTGGTGATCTCAGGATTCAAATCACCAACAAAAACATGATAGTGATCTTAAAAATAAAAAATAAAAATACAAATTAGGCTATGTCGAAGACTATAAACAATATAGTTCAAAGTAACTTACTTGATGTATCCTTCTTCTGACTACTTGGAGTGGTAGCCCAATTTACTTTGACTTCCTAAGGAAACAAAATATTAAAGAGATTATATTTAGGCGATCAAAAGAGGAAAAATATGTGATTAAAGGTCCAACCTTTCCCAATATCTTTCTGCCATTCATAGCTGCAAGAGTTGCTGCAGCATCTCTGTGCTCAAAGAACTCAACAAAGCAATATGGGTCTGTTGTTGTGTGCTGAAAAAGAGAAAAGACAAATTTGAGGTCCAATATTAAAATACAGTAAATGTTATTCTTTTGTGTGGTGATAATGATGTTGAAACGCACCTCTGAAATCATTTTACAGCTTTTGCAGGGTCCGATCTGAGTGAAGAGCTGAAGAATCAGAATCTCCGTGACGTCTCTGGAGAGGTTTCCCACATAGCTGTAAACGAGAGATACTATGTAATCATTTGACTGCAAAACAACCGAATCCAAATAACAGCAGAGGGTAACCCCGCGTTAACCAGCTACACAAGTAGCTGGGAATATACTTTCGTTTGTGTACAATGTGCATGTCTCTGTAATTTTGAGAAGAAGCGGCGTAAAGACACATCATTCCTTTATAAGAGAGTACGAATCGTAATGAAGACTGAAAGTGTCTAAACGATTAGTTCTGAATAACGATTATGGTGTTCTCCCAAATAGACTTTGCATGTGTCTGTACAGAGAAGACTAAATTAAGACAGGCACCATTTTACTGAAGCGTCCAGTTTGATGTACCTTATGCTAAAGCTAGTTAGCTAGTTTAGCATCGTAGCGTTTCAGTAGAATCCCATATGTGAGATTTTATTTACTTACAGTGTTTTGGGCAAGTCGTCATCCATCTTTGAAAGGTAATATATCAAAATAATAAAAAATAAATGTGTGGTTATGGGTATATGGCGTTAATTAATATGATAAAGCTCTGACACCGTGGCTAAATAAAGCTAACTGTTTCCAAGGCTAGCAAACGCACCGGGAGCAGAGCAACGTGATGACGTAGCTGTTAGTTGGGGGAAATCTCTGCGTAAACAATGTTTAGAGAAAACTTTTACGTTTTGCTGCAAAAGCCCAAATATATTTACATAACACATCTTTATTTTAACATAACATGTATAGACTATAAATATGTATTTCCTGTGTTCGAACTGTTTTATTCTCTGATCTGTTGTTGAGGTATCGACAACTTTGTAAAGTCCTCCGAGACGACTTCTGTTGTGATTTAGGGCTGTACAAAAAGGGGAATAGAAATTAATTGAATGTGAAAATGTGGGTTGCAGAAAATGCTTTTATTTTGGAGGGGTGTGTTCGGGGTTTGTTTGTTTTTGACACCTGCCTGTCTCAGTGATCCAACCTAAAAAGGACCTTTCTGGAAACAGTACTCATGTGTCAAGTGTGAACCATACCCCAATTTGTACCATAGACCGTCAAAAAAAGTAAAACAAAAAATGTATACAATTCTATGTTAAACTTAAACACTTTGAAGTGTTTTGTATTATTGTGACTACCTACTTTAGGCATTTTTGTATGACTATAGAAGGATTATTATTACATGTGGATGTTTATTATTGCCGCATTGTGTTCATGCTTCATCACATCTTACACAGTTGTTCAACAAATCATATCAATGCGTACACAAAGGACTTGGTAAAAAATGTATCAAGTGGGTGACAAATAATGGGGATCATTTCTGAAATGATAGGAATCTGTACAATTTAACATTTAGGTGAGGAAAGTTAAAAGTTCAACGCAACCTTTTTATATCAAACTGTTTCTTTGTGTGCTTGTTTGTTTAACTAAAGATTATATTGATAAAACATTAGTTATTTGACATTAGTGTTTGTGGAAAAAACACAACTTGCAAGAATACCCCCACAGGTGGCACCTGTACTCTATACTGTAAAAACGTCATATGTATTTAGTATTTTCGTTGTATGTTTGCATAATTATAATCATCATTATAATTAATAATTGTCGATTACTACTACAATTTATGATTATACATTAAATTATATGAAAGCATATCAAAAGCATGTATTATTTCTATTTATTTATTAACAAGTGACGGAAATGTTTTACCCCTGTCCTGACCTTGTACCATGCTGCCACTTAGTGGATACATTGTATGAAAACACTAACCTCCTGAGACCCGAGCATTTGTCTGGTGTGCATTTTATATATTTTTTTGCTATTTAGGATAAGTAGGACCCAATAAGTATAATACCTAAATTGTGATTTTGTACAGGAAGTAGTTTTTGAGAAAAAACATGTCCTCGTATGAGGACAGTGGGTCTCTCATAACCTAAAGAAAAAATGTATGCTCGTTGAGGCCGGAAGGTCCTAATTAGTTGAAATTCAAAATTTCAGCTTGATCCAATTAGTACTTCTCTCAAAAATCAATGTCCTCATATGAGTACAGTGGGTCGACCTTACTATACAATACAAATAGACTCCATTGGTCTAAAATAGTATATAACAGTTTATTTGAAAAATGTAAACATGAAAGTTAGACATAAAATCCAAACAGCTCTATCTTCAAAGCCTAAAAATGTCATGGTGTGGACATTTTGACCTGGTTGAGTTTGAATCCTGCCTGTCCTGTTGATTGTTGCCCCGCCCTAATGTGATTCACCTGTGTGTCCCTGTGTGTGTATATATACCTGTGCCCTTCCTGTCTTGTTGTCCGTCCATTGTCTCCACCACGTTTGTCCTGTCTTCAGTTCTGTTTTTACATTACCTTGGATTTATTTTATTAAATTACTTTGATTTTCAGTCCTGCAATTTGGGTTCCCTTTTTCTTCATTCATCCACATGACAAAAAATTGGCTATACATAAATAAAACTGCAAAATACTGTGTAAACTGTCTATTTCAAGCCTTCAATATGGCTGAATTGAATTGATAAATACAATACTAGAACAAATAATGGCAAATATTATTAACAGTCCTAAAACAGTAAAATTCTGCTGAACAGCTTTTGAACCGGGGCTTTTTTCAAACTAGCTCCCTCTCTTTTTCTAGAAAGCAATCTGTCTGCCTGTTTGGAAGAGCCCTATTGGCAAGTGTGAAATGCTGCAAAGCAGTTGCATTCACTTTGCAAGCACAGGTACACATTGCATGTCATGCATCGGACACAGGATTTTCCAATGCAGTCTTGTGCTCTGCAACGCATGGGGTTTTTCAAGGCTACCATCTCCGGGTTAGGGTTACAATATCCCCAGTCGAGGTCAGCAGCTCTCCACCCGCACCATACACGGTGTTGGCAAAGAACTGCTTCCCCCTCCTGAGGCGCCGGAGGGTTTGCCAGAACCTTTTTGAGGCCGACCGATAGTCATGCTCCATGGACTCTCCGAAGTCCTCCCAGTCCCGGGTTTTTGCCTCTGCAACAGCCCGGGCCGCGGCACGCTTGGCCTGCAGGTACTGGACAGCTGCCTCAGGAGTCCCGCGAACCATCATTGCTCGATAGGACTCCTTCTTCAGCCTGACGGCATCCCTTACTGCCGGTGTCCACCACCGGGTTCGGGGACCAGCACCAGAGACCTTGCGACCACAGCTACGAGCCGCTTTATTGGCGATAAAGGAAGAGAACATGGTCCACTCGGACTCGATGTCCCCCTCCTCTGGGTCCTGGGAGAAGCTCTCCCGGAGGTGTGAGTTGAAAGTCCGTCTGACAGGGGGCTCAGCGAGACGTTCCCAGCAGACCCTCACTATACGCTTGGGTCTGCCAGGTCTGACCGGCTTCTTCCCCTGCCAGCGGATCCAACTCACGACCAGGTGATGATCGGTTGACAGCTCCGCCCCTCTCTTTACCCGAGTGTCCGAGACACGCGGTCGAAGGTCAGATGATACGACAACAAAGTCGATCATCGACCTCCGGCCTAGGGTGTCCTGGTGCCACGTGCACTGGTGGACACCCTTGTGCTCGAACATGGTGTTCGTGATGGACAAACTGTGACTGGCACAGAAGTCCAACAACTGAACACCGCTGAGGTCAGGGTTCAGATCAGGGGGGCCGTTCTTCCCGATCACCCCTCTCCAAGTGTCACTGGCATTTCCCACATGGGCGTTGAAGTCCCCCAGGAGAATAACGGAGTCCCCGGGCGGTGCACTGTCCAGTACCCCTCCCAAGGACTCCAAGAAGGCCGGTACTCGGCACTGCCGTTAGGCCCGTAGGACGTCACAACAGTGAGAGACTTGTCCCCCACCCGGAGGCGGAGGGACGCGACCCTCTCATTCACCGGGGAGAACTCCAACACGTGGCGGCTGAGATGGGGGGCAATGAGTATGGCCACCTCAGCTCGCCGCCTCTCCCCGTGGGAAACACCAGAAGCTGACTGACAGGTATGAGATGATGATACAATCATCCCCATCTGAGAAGTCCTCTATCTCAGAGTTGTCTGCAATTGCCAACAGCAATTGTTCTGCTCTTGATAATGAAAGTGTGCCTGTAATGATAATTTTAAAAACCAACATCAAAATCTACAGTATATCAGTGACACATCATAGCTTGGCTATCATGTGCTAGCTATAGCCTAGCTATATTGTTTATGATTAAGCATTTAGCAACACTTCACAATACTTAGCATATAACACTTAGTACTTAAATATACTATTTACAACTGTAAACCACATAACTAAGCAAATGTGTGATTCAAAATAACTATTTACAACTGTAACTTCATCTAAATCTTCCACACGGTTAGCTAAACAGATAGCGGTACATAGTCCTAGCGTCCTCAAACGAGTGCTTCACTTTTACTGACATCCTAGCCTGCTACTACAATCAAAATTTATCAAATTTCAAACTCCATATGAAGCTAGAGACATTATTGTGCATAAATAAATTGATTTCATTCATAAAATGTTGATAGAATTTTTACCTGGGGCATTTTTCTTCTGTGAACTCTTGTAGAAGTCTTTTGTTGATATTCCCACCATTTTTTTCCCTACTGCCTTAAGTGTAATTCTATTATATCACCACAAGATGGCGCGGGCAGTGTCCCTAAATGTGGCCATCAGGTCAAGGATGTAAAAAATTGAGTATCATTGTGCCAAGAGGCAAAAATGTAATGTCCTCGTATGAGGTCGCAGGGACTCAGGAGGTTAAACAGCCTGGAGTAGTGTGTATGGCTTTGAGCATATATGCTTCGAGCATACAAGTAATCTCTATTTATTTATATACCGCCTTTCACAGACCAGAGTCACAAAGCGGTTTACAATTGTTATTTTTGGGCACTTGTCCTCTCACTCCACACAGAGATGGGAATGTTAATATATTTAATATATAAATATATATAATATTTGCTTTGAGCACACATATATGTGCTTCGAGTACACATATATATGCGTTGAGTACACATATATATGCTTCGAGCACACATATATTTGCTTTGAGCATATAATATTTGCTTCGAGTACACACATATTTGGTTTGAGCATATAATATTTGCTTTGAGCACACATATATTTGCTTTGAGCATATAATATTTGCTTCGAGCACACTTATATATGCTTTGAGCACACATATATATGCTTCGAGTACATATATATGCTTTGAGCACACATATATATGCTTTGAGCACACATATATACGCTTCGAGTACACATATATATGCTTCGAGTACACATATATATGCTTTGAGTACACATATATTTGCTTTGAGCATATAATATATGCTTCGAGCACACATATATATGCTTTGAGTACACATATATTTGCTTTGAGCATATAATATTTGCTTCGAGTACACATATATTTGCTTTGAGCATATAATATTTGCTTTGAGCATATAATATTTGCTTCGAGCACACATATATATGCTTTGAGCACACATATATATGCTTCGAGTACACATATATATGCTTTGAGCATATAATATTTGCTTTGAGCACACATATATTTGCTTTGAGCATATAATATTTGCTTCGAGTACACATATATGCTTTGAGTACACATATATATGCTTTGAGCATATAATATATGCTTTGAGCACACATATATTTGCTTTGAGCATATAATATTTGCTTCGAGTACACATATATATGCTTTGAGTACACATATATATGCTTTGAGCATATAATATTTGCTTTGAGCGCTAAGCTTTGAGCGGTCTACGTATGGTCCGGAGCGACCCGGAGCGGAGTTGCCGGTAACAAATGGTGAGAGGGCTGCTACAGAGCCAGTGCGCGCTGTGCCGATGCTTTGAGTGGTATAAAATACTGATAAACTGTGCAAAATCCCGAGGTGTGGAGCAATGGGGCTGTAGGCAGTGAATAAATGACCGGGAGCCGTGTCAATAGCTTGGAATACTGTTTGAGCGCTGGTCTCTGTGACGTCAGGACAGAGCGCTGTTTTGGTCACAACCCCTGCTGATATTTCACGCATCTCTCATGACAAACATCAGTCAGCAGATTATATTATTATAAAGGTTAGGACCGAAAAAGAAAGGAAAAAACAAAACTTCGATCCAAATCATGATTATGTTTCCATGCAACTAACCACATATCCTAGCCTTAAGTAAATACCAAAAGTCGTGTAGTCTGGTGATAGTTAAAATACTTAAAATGCGTGTAACTTATGGGGAATGCGGGTCTTTGGCGACGTAACAAGTGGTCTGCATGTCTCCGTACGCTCAGCCGAGAGCGCGCTGTCCGCCCCCGACATTAACCTGGCTATTTCGAGAAATTTCCAGCCCACTTTTGCGCGTCACTTGCAGGCATCTTTAAAGCGTTCGTCGCCCTGTATAAAATGTCTCAGTACAAGACAGCAGCCAGAAACATGAACTGCATGAAGACGCAGTCGCCGACCCTCACGATGGCGAGTAATGACAGCGACCCTCTCCCACTCGGCTGGGAAGTCAAAATAGACCCGCACACTGGATGGCCTTTCTTTGTGGATCATAACAATCGCACTACAACCTGGAATGACCCGAGACACGACACCAAAAAGGTAAAAAAAACAAAACGGAGAGCGGAGAGAGTTGGGATTTCATAAAGTTGCCAATGTAAACTAGCGGGGTTATGTAGCTTTACGCACGTCGCACGCACAGTCCTTGTTGATCTAATCAGCGAAGGGAAACGCGTGGGACTGGCACTACACCATGTTACATATTATTTTGTTGACTATAGGCCTGGTTTGGCGCCGTCACCTTCGCCTCGCAGACAGATCATAAGCCCGTTATAACAAGAAGCCTAATGAAGCCTGTGTTGTTCCCTTGCCATGATCTAAGGCTATATTTGCGCGATGAGTCACCATGCGGTACCACTACGTCCACCATCCACAAGTATAATTACGCGTACTGCATCCACGTATGATCTGCTAAACTTTTTACCGTACAAGGATTGAAGCTGGTCGTCCAATGGGGGTCCCTATAGCCGCTGTAGCATGCACAATGTGTGTGATATGCAGTGGAAACATGTGGGTTGCTAAGGGACTTTGGTTAGAGGGATTTCGTGGCAGCCAGTTGGTAGTGCCTCTTCTGAAACATAGACTGTGTTGTCCAAAGTTAGTGTCCCGAAGAATCTGCTAGAAAGACACAGCTGTCAGGGGATAAAATTGGTGCAATGCTGCTGGCACTGCACACAGTCCCATACAGAAATGGCAGAGGGCAAAGGGTCGTTCACAGCTACTTAGGAAACTTTTGTTGCGAGAAAGAAAATATGTTTGTTGGTCATGAATTTGCTTGCATGGTTAACCAGTACACAAGGGCAGTTAAGTTTAGTTCTGTTTGTTCACTAATAATTTACAGCCTTGTAGTCAGTGCTTACAAACTACACTTTCCCTCTTGGATGGATGTCATGTTAAACAAATCTGTTGATGGGACAGCTATAACTTTATATAGGAAGAGGGTGGAGACACTATTATGTGAATCCACAATCCAATTCAATTAAATGTATTCTTGTATAGCCCTAAATCATAAAAGTTATCTCAGAGGACTTTACACAACCGTTGAAATTGCCAACACAGATCAGAGAATGAAACAGTTCTAACAATAAAACAGACTACACATTGGTATTGGTCCATAAGGGGCAGATGACCAATGTCTATAAGTGTTGATAAATGTCCATAAATGTTGTTGAATCATGTCCTGGATCATCACCTCTGTCCTTTTAGTTAGACCTCACAAGACTCTAACAGACCCTCCTCCACAGCCAACAACAGTACACGAAACCTCCAATATTATGTCTACTAATAACATATTTATCATAGTCACATATGTGTTTATTAGTCTATTCTATGAAAGCTGATGTAGAAGTGGAATGGAGACGGCCATAAATGCCTGAAAGTGCGGTAGATGATTCCATTCTCCTTGATTTAACAATGAGGAGGCCTTTAGCAACATGAATCATAGCATATTGCATTACTCTAAGGCTGTGGCTCATATTTTCAAGCTGAATGTATAAAATGTAAACATATTTTGTTCATTTACGCTGATCTAAACAGCAATTGGAGGCCGTGGAAAATTGTGTTACCATGAAAACAAATGTGTGGACTTTTTCACAACTGTGTAAAAACATGCTCAATTTGAGGGTGTGTCATATTGAGTTTTGGATGTAATTCTGGTCAGTGATCTCATGCATGATCACAGCAACAATATCAACATACCAGCTGTCAGCGGTCCACCAAACACTGCAGTCATTTTGAAATATATAGTCAAAGTGCTGAGAGTTTTGACATCACAGTGTGTTTTATTTTCTTTACCGTCTTATTACGTTACTAAGGAATAAGGAAACATGTTAACGATGGTAACAATGTCAACTTAAAATAACATGGACTGAACGATAGTAGCAAAAAATCTGCACTTCTGAGATTTAGTTGCTAAACATTATGACTGTGATTACATTTTCTATTTGTTGGATTTAATGAACATGTACATTTGAGATATGTACAGGAGCAGTGATGATTGTGGAGAAGCCCTATGAACAGTGTTAACAAATTAGATTAAAATAAGGCAACATTAAACCAGGATAAAAACATTTGAATGTATAAACTAGAGAACACATGAAGGTTAAACTTTTTTGCCTTCTTTGGGCTTCCATACTTTTAGAAAAACTGAGAATTGAGAACTAATTGTAGAATGATGTGCATTTCTGAACATGTGTCAAAAACTTTCTATGTATCAAAACTATATATTTCATTTATAAGCATGCATGATTGTCATTTTGGTATACATGCGTTTTGCATTTGATTACGTGACCCTCGGACCCTCTGGGAAGCCCCTTCTATTTCTGGAGGACCCCTAGGTGGTCCAGCCCCCCCAAGTTGGGAAACACTGAGCTAAATAACACAGCACTTCACAATAAGGTTTCTTTTTCACAGCCCAGACTGCATTATAAAGACTTATTAATGAGGCTATTCTATTTTTGACTATATAATTGATGGTGGTCTAAGTAAACCAGGATAACAACATTTGAATACAGCTTTTGGACATTTTTGCACCAGCTATGTTACTCAGACAACATTTGAGAACCTTTTTGTGCGAATTAGGACTGTAAGAATTAATTGATCAATTGATAAATCATTCATTCGAGCAGAAAGTTACATTCATCATATTATCACCTTCTATACATACAGTATACACATAGATATATACATACATAAGTTTCACTTTGTGACAATATTTTTGAGTAAGAATCTTTGTTACTGATCATTGTTAACTGCTCTTTATTCAACGTCAATACATTTATTTGTTGAGATGTTATTTTAGAACGCAAACAGGTAAGTAGTTGCATAAAAATATTAGGATTTGTGTAAATGTCTCGTTTTTAATGATTATCTGGGTCAAGCTAAGATAAGAAATTTTGTATCTGGGTTCTAAACAACAAATCGATTAATCAGAAGAATAATCGCTAGATTTGATCCATTATCATTATAATGTGATATATTATCATTATCAAATGAATTGTGATTGTGGGTTGTCAAAAGTATATCACATATAAACAATACAAAAACTCTGAGTGAAAGTAAATATAATACTAATAATCATTTGATAAACAAGACAAAATATGACACTTCTTGAGTATTTCTTGTGATACACTTTAAACTCTAACAGATGAAGTTTACAAAAAAAATGTAAATAATAATTTGTTTGTGCAGAACAAATCTGTATTTGAGCTAAATGTTGCTGTGCGCTGTCCCTTTCAAATAAAGTAAAATAAACTAAATACAGTTTATTTTCCAAAATGAGCATGAAAGTGATGAAATGAGTGATAAACTATAAACTTCATATTTCAGGTGCGAGAGCCATCCTCAAACGGCCCTAGTGCATCACCAGAACCCATGCCTCAAGAAACTCAGAAATCGCACATCAGAGAAATGAAGCACCCGATCCTCCGCCCCGGCTACGTCCCCATCCCAGTCTTCCACGAGGGGGCAGAGCTCGGACAGCAGCAACAGCCACAGCAGCAGCATCATCCATGTTACTCCTTCATCCAGCCAGGGCCCCCCCAGGGCACCCGCACCGACGGCCGCGCTCCCTCCCCAAGCCAGAGTCTCCACGGCCGGCCGAGGTCTCCGCTACACACCCCCTCAGACGGCTCCATGAGTGAGAGAAGTGCAAAGTCCGACTCCCCTGTGTCATACACGCCAGAGGTGATTATAAACACTGGTTCATTTAGTTGTGCCTGCCTTTATGGTGTGGTATGTGACCATCAAAGACATCACAACATGGTGCAGACATAGCAGCAGATCACTTCAGCAAGCAGTGTATGTATTCACAGGGCACATATGATACAACGTTCTTCCCTTATCAAAAGTTGTTGTTTTACCTCGGTCCATGCTCATATCAGGAAATCTGGTTGCCTCATCAGAATCAGAATGATTTTTAATGCCATTGTAAGTAACAGGGAGTCACAAACTAGGAATTTGCTTTGGTATGTATGATGCAAGCATTTTTTAAATTGAAAGGTAAAAATAGATATACGTAAAGGCATGCATACAAAATCTTGACAGAATATAAAATTAAAAAGTGCATACAATAGCCAGGCACAATAGCCGGGCTCTTCGTTAATTTTCCACTTATATTTATTCCCATATTCAAAAATGAATTGTGTAAGATTGTGTGCTTCTGGTCAGGCTAGAAATCTGGCAGAAACATGTCCCTCCACTTCTTCTGTCTAAATACCATCGTGAACTTGGTACAAAGATGAATCCTTCGACTATGACGCTGTGGACATAGCTGTTTTCTGTCTTGTAAAATAAAAGTTCTATCTTTTTGAAAATGTGTGTGCCTTCAAGTACAAAAAAAACGTCTAACACAAAGTGGAGGCGTTTCACAATTCAAAATCATTTCCTTGTCCATTGAACATGCTTTTTTCATATACATTTTTCTCACAAACAAACATATATTTGAATCCTTTATGCGCCAACGTAGCAGCATTTCTCCATGAGCTGAACCGAGTTGGCTCTCTGCAAAGGTTTTCAGACATTTTTGATCCATCTTTAGTGATTTGAGTTGACCTCTGTCTCCACCTTTTGTCTATTTCACATCAAAACTAAAGCTAGAAGGGTTCATTCGTTTTTAAAAATAATTTAATCCAAGCTCAATGCACACCCACTCAAAAACAAGATATCCAAACACACATTTACAGCGTTCACCGTTGAATATCGTGAGTCATCGCTCGGTAAATTGTCATGTACATATTTTCATTCTGTGGTCAGGAGGCTCACTGTTGCCGGGTAAAGCAGCTATTATGGAATGTGCTTTGTGAGATGATGAGTTTTGCTCTCAAATGTCTACGGCTGGGGGGGGGGGTCCTATTAAAAAGGCTCTCGTATATATTGGCGTGAAGTTATCCTCGTCAATGTTTCTGCATGGATTTCTGTTGTGAATCTCTGTATAGTTCATAGAATGCTCTGGAGATGTATGTACTGCTGGTATGAGTGTACAATGTCGTGTTTCGGCAAGTATTGTTAGAGTGTCATTGTTCGGTGATGTCAAAGTTGCCTTGGATACATCGTTCCTTTTGTATTTGTCATTTTGTGAATTGCAGAAAAGTAATCAGGCTTTCTGTTGTGAGCAAAGAGACTCACTGCAGAAGCCTGAGTCACAGGTTCAACGCTCCGGTCCTCGGGCACTGCCCAGCTGAGCAACCCTTTGGACTGTGGGTTGAGTTGAGGTGTTAGGGGCAGAACGAGATTGGTTTTTATTTACAACATATTTATTTGAACTTCTAGCAACATATGACTGACTTTTGAACGCCCAAACTAATACATAGATACTTGAGTCGAAGGAAATTTCAACAACTTTGTCACTGCTCTTTCAATAAAACAACCCGACTCCGAGAATTCATTACAGTAGAGGTCGAAAATAAAAGCATAACATTTTTGATACATAAACCAAGCTATTTTTTATTGTTTGCTAATTTGTATAACTACATTTTACTACTGTACTGTATAATTCAATGATAATGAATTATAATTAATTATGACCACTTTTCTAAACCACTGTATCTAATGTGTGTTATTAATAAAATGTATATAAATTATTAATTAATATAAATTGTATTAACTAGAAAATAATAGTATCTAATAGTATCTCAAATCTAAAAAAAAGTGGACCAGATATAAATGGTGATACAAAGACAACTGCAGGTGAAACTTGTTCAAAAGTTCATTTATTTTTGTAAATCAACTTAAAATGTGAAACTAATATTTACATGCAGAGCGACATATCCCAAGCATTTGTTTGTTTGTTTTAATTATGATGATTATGGTTTACAGTCAATTATTTTTTATTCCATGTTTTGTTTGGGATTTTTACAAGCTGTGAGCCATAATTACCAACATTATAAAAAATAACAGCTTGAAATATGTCACTTTGTGTGTAATGAGTCTGTCATTTATTAGTTTCACATTTTAAGTTGAATTACAGAAGTAAATGGAGTTTCTCCTGTATACTCAGGAAGTCTTGTAATATTTTTTTTATTTAAACACTCACCACCACAATGTGTCCCCTGTACTTTCATCTACTATTACTTTGTATTAACGTTCTATTTTTTCTGATTGGAGGTCCACAGTGTTCCACATCACCAGCCCCCCAGACCGAGCAGCACTGGACTACAGGCCGGGTACATCCCCATCCCAGTGATCCACGAGGGCATCGGACCCCAGACCTCCCCCCAGCTCAACCCCTCTGTATACTCCCAGCGCGTCCCGTACACAGAGCACCAGCAGCAGCAGCCTTTCCACCGCATCCAGGCTGAAGAATGGCCCGGCTACGCGTCCAGGGAGAGAGCTTCTCCGGTGACGTTCCAACAAGCTCCGTCCGTCAGCCACCCACTAAGCCACATGAGGAGCCAGTCGCCGATGTCTGTGACACAGCTGCATGGAGACAGACCTCAGGTAATAGGAGCGACCAATCAGCATTTGATCCAAAGTTCTTCACAAAACAATTAAACATGCAGTAATGGAGAAATATTAGTTTAGCTTTAATTAACCATGTTCTCTGAATTTCTCCTCCGGGGATCAATAAAGTATCTATCTATCTATTTATCTATCACTGACACATAGACCTGGAGTGATTATCAGATCCATCCATCTTAAAGGAGCAGTATGTAAAAATATGGCCAAAAGTGTTTCTGCAATCTCTCCAAGTCTCCGTAACTCAGGTTGCCAGATATGGTCCTGCTGGGACCATGATATCTGAATAACCCTAACCCTAACCTTTTTCACAAAGGCCCTGATAGAAATCTTCGTTTTATTCCTTGTTTTGTTATTAATGATTTGAGAATCGTAACGAGACATTTTTTAGTTCTGCAGCCTCATGTTACTTAACCAGTGAGATTAGTTCATCGCGGTGAGTTGTGGCAACACAGATCACATACTTTCTGGTTGGTGAAACGGTGGAGGGCGGGACATCAAAATGAAAATAATAACAAGATTTAGGGACTAGAAATATTTGGCTGAACTAGAAATATTTGAAAAGAGCATGATTTATTAAGGCCTTTTGACATATTAGAGCATTTAATGATGACTTGACATGAAAATCTCACTTATCGCTACTTTAATATTAGGAACCTCTGGCACAATTTAACCCCGTCCCTAAAAACGTCTGTCTCGGCCCTAGCATGATGTCATTGTACCTATAAAACATTTCACTCAAAGGAGTTTTATTTCTTTTAGTTTTGCCAAATTCTCAAGTGACATTTTTTAGTTTCTATTTACCATCGCAATGCTGTGTTTGCAGCCGGTCATCTACAAATTTGGGGAAAAAAGAAAAAACAAATTCACCTACTCCCTCTGCTGGTTTACCCTTACATAATCTTTCTCTTCCCATATTTATTTTCTCCTTCCTTGTCTGTAACACATTATATTGATCCTACTAGGGCGAAATAATGTAAACAGTTTACAACAGTGTTCAAAAGTATCACTTCTGGTCTGTGTCTTTAAGTAGCTAACTTAGAAATGAAAAATGTTATAAAGCACATACATCTTTGATTCTATCGTTTTTGACTGTTCTGTAATATGTTTAGTCCCTCCCTCCATCAATTAGTTTGTTGTCAATTTATATTTTTAGTGCAGGGGTCATTAGCCACCATCACACAGTCTGTTCTCGTCATCCAATACAAAACCAAATGTCTTCTTCCAGCCGTAATGCGATTGAACAAACTGGGGGCTTATTGTGTGCAGTGTAGTTTGTCAATGTCTGTGTTGCATTCACAGCTGCTTGTTCTCTTGCCCAGGACAAATTTTCCTTAGGGACACAAAAAGTCAATTCTGCTTCTGTAATGTGTCTCGGTTACAAACATGGACCTAGAATTTCTAATGTTAAATAGGCGAGTGACTCAACTTTCTTTTTTTGGAAATGGAAGAATCAGTTTTATCATAGTTTCTTGCAATCACCATTAGTGTGATGAGACATTTAATCAAAGGTCCTTAATTATGTTTCATTTGTTTCAAAGTCTGTTGTACAAAACACGCATAAAAGTTGATATATAATTACAAGGTCAATCACCATAATGGGTTTTAAGTAGCGCTAATGACACATTAGTACCAATTACGAACCTTTTTGTGTTTTCATGCGTTTGTCTTGGCATTTTAATCCTGAATGCTATTATCTGCTGCTGTTTTAGATCCAACCTCACATCCTTATGAGAGAGTCCCCACAGAGGATGGAGCAGGAGCCGCCAGCCCCCCAGCTCAAGCACGAGAACGTACAGTCTTTGCACACGGAAGTCGAAAAACCACATCAACCTCAAGCTTACACGCCTTCACCACCTCTGCAACCTCCGCAACCCCAGCCACCGTCTCCACAATTGGCCTCTCCTTCCCTATCGCTACCCCCGCAACCCTACCCTGACCCAATCCCCCCAAGACAAGAGCCTCCTCAGCATACAGCAGACATCAGCGTACAACTACCTTGCAAACCAGAAGTCCGAGACACTGTTACAACTCCTACCACCCCGACTCCTACTACCCCTACTCCTGCTACTGCTGAGGCCCCAAAAGCAGAACCGAAGCACCCTGGATTAGCCAAAGTGGAGCAGATCATTGAGCGAGTAACCAAACTAGAACAAGAAGTGAAGTGTTTTGACGGCAAGAAGAATGACAAGAGATATTTGCTTCTGGAGGAGCTGTTGACCAAAGAGTTGCTGGCCTTGGACTCTGTTGATCCGGAGGGCCGCGTGGACGTGAGGCAAGCCAGGCGTGACGGAGTGAGACGGGTCCAGACCATTTTGGATTTTCTGGAGCAGATGGAAGAGCATACTACCACAGATCTCACGCAAAAAGGAGAGCCCACCATGATCACAAAAGAAAATGTAGAAATGTCGAGAGAGATTTCGTAACAACCTCAACGCTTGGCAAGGACAGTCCAGTGTAAATTTGAATTGGTTTATTTCAGACACACACTATCTCTGGCTAATCCACTGGTGTCATTGAAGCGCAACAGTCCTGCCTACTTCAAATAAATTTCATTTCCCATTCTAGTTTCTCATAGATTGTTCCTGTGAGAAGGACTAAAGTTTTATAGCTAGATTGGGGATGATAAGCTATGTGTTACTAAAGCACATTTAAAACATTACTAAACTGAGAAGACTGTATGTCACGTAAACATCATACAACATTGTGCCGACAAAGCAGCGACAAGCAGTGGATTTTGGCTCATTTGTGCCAAAATGCCTGTGTTGTTGCTGAGTTACATATACGTACACAATATGGAGGATATAAGAAAAATATTGGGATTTCCTTTTGGATTATTTTCACAACAAAAATGTAGCATCTGTCAAATTTGTACAAACATAATTGTACTAAATGTCAATAGGCTCTATGCACGCACCACTTCCGGGTTTTAGCTACAACCCCACCTCACTTCCTGTTCGCGGGAAACGGCTTGAGTTTCACTGGAGTTCAGCAGTGGTTTACACGAGTTTCCCAAATAATGCTCAAACGGGAATTAAACTTTGAGGATACTAGGAATTTTTGGGACACAACAGTGCTCTTTGATTGTGCTGTCATTGTGTTTTTATAAAGTTTAAAAACCGCTCTGAATGGCCACAGTCAAAGCTCTACCTCTGAGAGAAAGAACAGCATCACTTTTGGGTCAGTCTCACAGCTGAATGTATCAATCTAATTACTAAAAAACATCACTAAAACTCACCTAAATGCCATAGAATAGCATAGGCAGGAAGTGAACGGGCTGATCTGCGTTAACAGGAAATGACGTCACGCCTCCCCGTGCATATAGCCCATTGGATATTCAAAATAAAAAATTAAATCACAAGACAGCATTAATTCTAACTGTTGTTTATATGGTGTTTTTCTGTCATTTCTATTTGTTTTGACTGTGAAAAATGCTGTTAATATTCTATAGAGGAAATGAATGGGAAATCTTTTATAGAAGTAGTGGTCACTGTTGAGCTCAATACAGGAATGGTGGACTTTGCATGCAATTGATAACAGTATTCACATTTCCGGCCACTCAGAACATGAACCATGGTAGCTCTGTGCAATTTTCTTTGTTTTAAGCCAATGTTAATGCCTTTTCTTGTTGTGCCAATGTTGTCTCACACTGACACTTGCCTTTATTGTTAATGGAAAAAGGGAGTATTTTTGTAGAGACATAAAGTAGTTGCCTTTGTCCTGGACGGATTGTTTAATAGCGTTTCCTGAACTCACTCAAATGTGTGCAGCTCAGAGCATTTTCTCATTTGCAGCCATTGGAGCACTGCAGTGGGTGGCTATACCTTGTTGGAGAAGCAACATTCTAAAATAGTTTTACACAGAATCAACAAAAAAAGTGGACAAAAATTTGTGTATTTGTTTTTTAACGGAGAGATATTATGCAAAACCCATCTTTTCGAGCTTGTTACAACATTTTTCCATCATCAAAAACAGATGCTAATATCAGGAACTTCTGCCATAAACATGTAACTCCTTTGATCTAAAAGCTCCTGTCTCAGTCCTGTAATTGTATAATATCAATGTACAACTATGAAATCACACATCAGAGCACTTTTCTGCCTTTTCAAACATTGTATTGTCCATAAATTATGTTTGCCAATTTTTCAGGTGAATGTATGTTAATTACGATCACATGGCTGCATTTTTTGCCAGTCATTTTCAAATTAGGTGAAAAACAAAACAAATTCAACTGCTCCTCCTGGTGGTAGCATAGAGAGTTACATGCTAATACTGTTATTTACATTTCATACTTGTTTCTCAATATATTTTAATTTTATTTCTCATTCTAGACATGAAACAACAAAGTAAGTAGTTTCTGTATCATGGCTAATGTCAAAATATTGCATCATATTTCTTCTTTAATCTTTTCTTTTTGATCAAATATGTGGCTTTCAGAACCAGACATATCCACCCACTGTTCTCAAGGCTAAAGTGAGAAAACTAGTCAAATAGATGCTTCTTTTTGGCGCTGATTTTGCACCTTGCCACCACTGAAAGTATTCACGCTGAAATTTGGTAACACTACAGTTGAAATGTTTGACTTAATAACTCAAGTTTTGATTGATGTGTCAGAGTGTTTGTATGTGCATTGGTTTACATGTAACTTCAACATATAAATCTAATTATATCAGTATTTATACAATAATAAAGTATTTTGGTACAATGATGAATGTTTAATAAAAAGGACCTGGGTGAGACAATCAGCACAGTTTTGGTTGCATTAATTTGAATGTCTTTGTATCAACACGATGGCCACAGTCTGTAACAGCACCAACACTAAATCGGCCCAATGCCTTAATAATGCCAACTGTGAGATAAATATATTTAATATTCTGGACAGAAATGCAGTAGATTTGTCTAATGATCAGAAATCTATCACTGTATGTGTTAATTTGTTCACAGAAATAATAAAACAGTTATTTGTTTATTAAGACCACATTTCCACAAATTATAGATTGTGGCTTCGTTTGAATCACTTCCTTTGAGTACAGCTGTATTTATCAAATAGAGAATTTGCTATGGTTGGAAATTAAAATGTATTTTGGAATCATAATTGTCACGTCTTTTCTTGACACGTTTATATTTTTAAGTAAAATTCGCAATTGTCCGGGTGACATTGAACATATGTCATAACATTAGCAATTGAAATGTGTTGTAAGTTTGTATTTTAATCTACTAATTAATTATGTATCATTTTTTTATTTGGACCCCATCGTCTTCTTGGGGTCCACTCCACATAAAGGAGCAATTCACATTACAAAAGTTCAAACATACAGTATGAAAAGCGGCTGCGAAACTAAATAACCCAATACTCAATAAACATTTCTTATCAATTCAAAATTCATACAAGCATGGTTGTTCTATTACTTTCTTAAAAATATATCTATTATTAGACAGCTGATTCAAACCAGCAGAGGATCTAGACAAAACTGTTCGCTTCATACAGCTAGATTTTTGAAAAGTAATAACCACAGATTGAAAGAAAGTTTTTAATATACAATGGAGGATGTACTGAAAGCATCTTCTCTTTCACTTATTCAAATATTGTTCTTTTTTTTTTTACTTACTAAACAAAATCTAAATTATATCTGTGCCGCTATTAGCTTTCTGACAATAATATTTGGCTTGCATGCTTTTCACTTGCACAAAATGTAGTGTAATCTTTGAAATATATCTGTAAAATAACTTCCCGTAGTGATGAAGGGCTCTTTTACAGCTCCTTAGGCAGCGATGAAGCCTCTGTGTGCGGCAGCTGCTTCCTCCTGCTTGGGTCCCTCTTGAGACAATTTGGCCTAACGTCAGCTGCTGCGGCCGCTCAGGGTCAGAGAGGCGGATTTAGGCCTGAGTCAGATCTGCTTCATGTGGGCTTTGTGAGTGTGTGTTCAGTAAATGTGGTGTTGATGATATTGTGAACTATTTTAATTCATGTTGTTTTTAGACACTGAGCTGCACAAAGAGGCTCAGCAGGAGAGACGTCATTCAGGAGCAAATGGACACAGAATGACCACAGGCCTAAAGATGTCTGCAAGGTTTGTTTTCTCTGATCAACAAATGCGTCACAGAGGAAACTATTCTCTGGAAGAATATACATCTGATAAGTTGAATGAACCTGAAGGGTGAATGACATAAACAAAGTGCCTTGATAAAGTGAGCTTGGAGTAGAGCTGATGCTCCACCTCATATGTTTTGGGTGACTTATGACAGGCTGTAGAATACACGGGCCGGAGAAAGTCAGATTGTTCTGGATGACCTTGTGTCACTGTCTGGTAAAGGAGGAGGTCTTCTGCTAAGATTGCAGCCTCCATGACCCAGTCCCAATGAAAATTATGAAAATGGATTGAAATTGCTCCTGTATCATACTCTGGTAACTATATGTACATCTTCGACTCTGGGTCCTGCTAATAATTTTAAAACATCCTGTCTCAAAGAGCGACGTACTATTAAGTTTAAAAGCAAATATCCAGCTAGTTGATTTAGATACATTCGGCCTATTGGTATACTGTACATTGCATTCCTAAGAACCATTATTTTTGTAAACAAATAACTCCATCTGTGCTGGCTTATTACGTTATAGTAATTTTAGTGTGATTGTTTTATTTTTTATTTCACATGTAATATAAATGAAAATAAAGAAATAGTCCTATGACTTTCATTTGGTCTTCTGATAGATTCTACAATAGACTCTAACCCTAACCCCAAACACTCTGGTCAAGAAGTATTTAGAAAAATAAATAGAGCAGATGAGAAAAATACAATGGTAATGCCATTTAGCGTGATCACAATTATAACAGCGTCAGTATGGAGGGTTGGTCCTGAAGATGTGGTGATAACAAGAAGAAGACATGTGCTATTTAAATGATAGTGACATAAGCACCGTTTCCACCAGCCTTACTCTACTCGGCTCTACTCTACCAGGTGTTTCCATTAAACATTAGTATCTGGTACTGTGTCCTAGCAACCTACCCACAACAAACCAATATCTGTGGGAATTCCGTGGTGACCATGACTTCCAGCAGCACTGTGAAGTCAGTTAGAATACTTCAGTACCAACTTGGCCTGGTTTGAACCAAGGTCAACCAGGCACTATAAAAGTATCTGGTACCGGTTAAACAGAGACGGTTGAAAGTTAAAGCTGCACTAACTGACTTTGGGATTTTGAAGCCGCGGACTCGCTGGCCTCGCTCTTTCTGCTCCCCTCCCCGCACCCACGAAGCTATCGCCCCCACACACACTCACTGTTGGGACGGAGCTAGTGTTTCTCAATATGGATAATACATGGATATGGATTTGCACGTGGATGGCGTGACCATAAAACGATAGAACCGGGAAGCGCGGAGGAACGGGACTTTCTTTTGGAGCTGTCTCGCTGTGTAAGCAGTAACCGGTGACGAAGACACGAAGTTTCAGGTTAGCTCCTCGGCTTGTTGTGCTAACTCAGCCGTCTGTGCTAACGGACCTGTAGATTTCTCACGAAAGTGGGGGCTAGTGGTCCGCTGTGATTGGTCACAATCTGCGACCCGAAACACATTCTCTTCCTTGTTTCATCAAAACTCGATCTAAAATATAATGTCACGCCAGCACAAATCTGCGCTAATTATTCTTCAAAAGGACGTATATCCCAATGCACTACATGGACATGGATAGCATTTTCGTAATGAATACGAAAATAAAGTCAGTTAGTGCAATAGTTCACCGTTTTTACATACTGACATATGTTCTTACCTTACCTTAGACTAGTTAATACGTACCTGTCTGGTCTTAGTCCGTGCGCTCTGTCATGCAAACGGAGCAAAAACGGGAGCACAAACGCAGCCTCCTCTGTATACTGTATAGTACCCAAAAGGTAGCTCCCGCTAGAAGCTACCAAACTCTTCCAAGTGTTCCCTATTAAATGTATATAGTTACGTGACGTGTTACACTGCAAAGTATAGTAACACAGAAATGTAACAGTCGATTTTCTCAGCGGATAAAACGGGTACTATATTGTGAGGCGTAGTAATCTGAGGGGCGCTACGTCCGCGCACTAACTTCTCTCCGTACTACAAGTCACGCTGCTTCTATTGATGGAAGTGAGCGAGAGAGAAGTCTCCGGAGAGAAGTTAGTGCGCGGACGTAGCGCTCCTCAGATTACTACGCCTCACAATATAGTACCCGTTTTATCCGCTGAGAAAATCGACTGTTACATTTCTGTGTTACTATACTTTGCAGTGTAACACGTCACGTAACTATATACATTTAATAGGGAACACTTGGAAGAGTTTGGTAGCTTCTAGCGGGAGCTACCTTTTGGTCCTACACAGTATACAGAGGAGGCTGCGTTTGTGCTCCCGTTTTTGCTCCGTTTGCATGACAGAGCGCACGGACTAAGACCAGACAGGTACGTATTAACTAGTCTAAGGTAAGGTAAGAACATATGTCAGTATGTAAAAACGGTGAACTATTCCTTTAAACGCTCACAATCGGGGTAGAGTAAAGCCGAGTAGAGTAGAGTATTATTATAATGGATCCATGAGTAGAGTAGAGTCTGGTGGAAACGGGGCTTTAGAGAAATGTCTGACAGCCCGAGTGCACCTGTGATGACGCCGCTGTCACGTGACTTTGTTTGGAGCAGGAAGCAGACGGAGCGGGCTGGACGTAACCACTACCACATCTGCTGCTGAGGCACTTTCACCACCATTCACTCATGTGTGTCCGCTTTTATCATGTTCGCCGAGGCTGCGGGGAGCGGCTCTCCTTCACGGGAAAGTAAATCTGCTAATCAACATGCATAAAGGCGGATTTACCAGAGGAGACGCGCATCCAGCTGCTGTCGCTTGGAGTTAGCTATAGCCGCTCCTGGGACCTGAGCTAAGCGCTGCTAGCTGTCTCCTCCAGCTAACCCCGGCCGTAGCTGGTCACTTCATATCTTTTTGGCGTACACAATGGAGCTGTTTCAAGCCAAGGACCAGTACATACTCCAGAGCGGGGACCGAGCGCTTTGGTGCAGCCGAAAAGATGGGACCATGGCGCTCAGACCTGGTAAGTGTCCCCCGAGATGAGAGCTTTTCCCCCGGTGACTTTTCTCAGAGCCACGGGGTGACACACGGGTTGATAACTGCATGGTTTGAGCATAACTAGAGGAAATGATTGGGCATGAGTCTTCAAAAGTGTAAAATGTTTAATAACAGAAACAACGGCAGTGCTTGGCAAACAATGTCGACGTACTTTCTATGATTACCATTCGTATCCTACACAAAAAATTAAAACCAGTATACAAAGCCCAATTACAAAACGTGAGATCTGGTAAGCTAATAAAACTCTAATACTACACAGATCAACTTCGCTATTCTGTCATATCTCAACCATGCGTAATATACAGTGAATATGTGCTTAATTTTCTGGTTTATACATGTTTTATGGTAGACTTGAACTACAAGCAAGACAAGTACAGACACATAACACTTTTCTGCTGTAATGCTAAAATAATGTCTGCAGATAATGTCACTGAGGTATTAGTTTCTGCCCTCCGTTACTCAATATGATTCATCCATGTTTTAAAACGAGTGCATTCTACCAGACATATCAGCCCTGTGTATGTTGTGCATGTTCCGTTATACCATTAAGCCCAGATCTTAATCTAGGTCAATAGTAATTACATATAAATAGCTAAATTAGTTAGTAATCATGTTCAACCCACAGCCAGTTGAATAAACTTTTGACTTCAGATTCTCATTTCATTCCAATCTCTTATTAGTTTATAATTTATTGTTAAGTGGACAATTTCATTCATGGGCAGATATTTTGTTATAAGGGTTTATTGTCAACTTAAAACCACCCACACATAGGGTTTCATAATAAATCTTAATTAATGTCATATAATACTTTTGACTGCATCAATATAATGTAATCCAATTGTCAATTACAGCACCACTGTTGCCATTGAGGTTATCTGTGACATTTGAATAGCCACATCCTTCTTAGCTTGTGTAAACAAAACTCAAAACTGTCTCCTTGTTTGCAGTAATTCTGTGGTGACAAGGACTCTCCCTTCTCTCAGTGTGAAGTCAAACTCAAAGCTGCTCATTATTGCAGATCACACATCACACTCTATGTAAATGTGCCCAGTGAAGCGTGCAGCCGCTCTCATAATGTCAACTGTATTTGGAAAGTCTTGTCTTGTGCATATGTTATCCTCTCTCTACGCCGGAGCAGTCATCCTGAACAGGTTTTTAGTTGCACCACTCTTTCATTATTTAATTGGAAAAGGGTTTCCACTGCTCACTGGGTTTCTTTGCACCCACGCAGTTAACTCCTTGAATCTAAATTACATACATGTTCAGTCTAAAGTCATGGTCTTAACTAAAGCATTTTTCATCTGGGCCCTTCATGTGATTTTCGAGTGAACAGGAAGAGTCATTGTCTGAGTCTGATGTTGGCCGGGTCTAACCACACCCTCCACATTTTTCCGATTTTCCTCACTGTGTTGCATCAAGCTTGGATGTTTGGCGGCTATTCCTGTGACAAGTTTGTTCCATGGCTCTAGGATCAAAACAATATTTTAGAACGGCAGCAATGACAACATGCCAACCCTTTTTAGAAGGTCCTGGGTTCGAATCCCGGCCGGACCAGGGCCTTTCTGAGTGGAGTTTGCATGTACTCCGGTTTCCCCTACCACTAAAAATATGTACAATAGTTCTGGCATGCGCCTCCTGTTCGGCGACCCCGCTCCCATCTCTGTGTGGAGTGAGAGGACAAGTGCCCAAAAAAATAACAATTGTAAACCGCTTTGTGACTCTGGTCTGTGAAAGGCGGTATATAAATAAAGCTTACTTACTTACTTACTTACTTTTGTTCAAAACTCTAAAAGCAGTCCAGCAAGCCAGAACTCTATATTCTAAGTTTCTTCCTGTATCACTTAACAAGTGTGAAATGTTTGAAATGCAGCATGAACTTGATCTAACCACATTGACTCTGAGCAAACCTGCCATTGACTTCACATAAATAAGCTGAACAACAAGTTTTGGGTTTGAACCTGTACAGTGTAACTTGTTCATTGTTTGTTTTGCAATGCAGACTGAAACCTGCTTATTGAGCTTTCAGGCTAAATGGGTTTTTCATAACCAATAACATTAAATACAATTTCTTGGGCCAATTTACCGTTATTCCTCTTTTAAGTGAGACTCATAAAAACCTTTTGAAGTTAATGTCTTGTGTTTATGCATAAACCCTAAATGAAATGTATTCAACTACTATATCCCAATATATATTCAATAGAGTATAATTTTGTCTAGAATATAATGACCTATTTGAGCTTGTCTCATCTCTACAGAATGTTTGATCTGTATCTTGTTTCTTTTTTTATGTACTTGTGGCTCTTTTTCTCTCTGCAGCGACAGACCTGCTTTTGGCCTGGAACCCTGTGTGTCTGGGTATCGTCGAGGGCATTATTGGAAAAATACAACTTCATGCAGGTAATCTTTTTTTTTTTATGTAACGTACACTATTATTCTTATTTACAGCCATGGGAGCTGGAGTGAAGCGGAGCTGCTTGAAGCCATAAGAAAAGGGTTCACTTTGGACATTTGCCAGTGAATTACAAGTCACTGAGACAAGCCTTTTAAAGCCCATTCATTCTCTCTTGTCTCACTTCTGGGAAGAATCAACTTACAACTTGTACGGAATGGTGGACTGTAATGGGATGTTAATCATATGTTGTTAAAATGTCAATCAAATTGACACATTGTTTGTCTTATGTCAAGGTTTGGTTTAGTTGTTGGTTTTGATTATACAATTGTTAAACCACTGCTTCTGTCCTTCAAAAATGTAATATGTTTCCAACAGAACAATGCGCAGAACTAGAGATGGGCACGTATCTAGGATAGTGGCATTGATCAACTGTGGTTCTGACCTGGTCAGGCTAGATCAGAGCCAACTGTGGAGTAATAGACATAAGGTGAGGAGCTCAGTCACGGGAGGGGCTCTGAGCTTATACTTTTTCAGGTCGAGAGGAACAGAGCTGAGGTGTGTTAGGATTAGATAGCAATATGGCCTACGTGCAGGACTCTACAAGGACTCTGATTATTATGACTATGATGTGCACTGTCTCTGTGTGACACGTATGTCTTTCGATGTGTGACGTGACAATGACTATATAAACTGTGTACTGCCTTTATTCTGTCTGGGAGAAAGAAACAATGGAAACCACTGGAACTTGAGAGAAACCTAAATAAACTTCCAGAGTTTGGCGCACCACGATCCGTCTCTGTCTGGTTCATTCCTGACAGATTTGGTGGAGGATGCGGGCATTGTCTGTAACATCTACAGAACAGAAGACTTCTTTTTTTTTTACACAAAAATGTGTTGTTTTTTTTAAGACAAAACTGAAAAGCCTCAAGGGAAACCATGCGTCTGGATCAGCACATGGACAATCTGCACAGCCCCTGATTCCAGTCAGGCTGTGAGCTGCTGAGACATGGACAATACCATCGTCCTCTTTTGCATGGACATAATTTGGAACAATTGGATTACACAATTTGGACATAATTTGGAACAATTGGATTTCTGAATTTGGACATAATTTGGACTGAATTGAATTGCTGAATCTGGACACTAAAGCTGAAACGTGTGATTGAAAGACACGTCACAGAAGAATTCATGGCTCGACACAACAAATGCAGCCTGAAGAAACCAACACGGAGAAGTGGGAGAGACTGTTTTCAAAGCAATATCTGGAACCATCATCGACTGATAGAAGTTTGGTATTTTACTGAAGGTTGTTGACAAGTTTTATGAAAGATCTGAACATGTTTTATGAGTTTTTGAAGTATTCCGAGTGAAGTACCGAGTTTAAGTATTGAGTTATGATGTTATGTTGCTGTTTATCGATCCTGATGGTCTCACGTGAATGTATGACCAGAGGGGGGAATGTGAGATTTCATAACACTTTGAAGCAACTATTGTTAAAGTTCTAACTTCATTCTTGCATATGCAGAAGCCTGTACTTTTCCATTTGATGTTTTGTCTATCTGAAGGCCAAGCTACAGAGACACCGTGGCAGCTGCTGATTGGAGGACTTCATTCTCCCATGCTATATTCCCATGTGTTGTTCGTGCTGTCTCTACCATCGACAATAAAACATGTCTTCTGTCTGAATTAAAGACACGATCCCAGACTTTGTCATCTTCTTGAGGATCTGTTTTAGATGTCCCACAAAGAGAAGACTCGAGAAAGAAGCCAGGATACGCTGAAGGGACTGTCTCTCAGCTGGCCTGGGAACGCCTCAGGATCTTGCTGATAGACCTGTAGGAAGTGTGCGTGGTTAGGGAAGTCTGGCCATTTGTGCTCAGACTGAAGCTGCCACAATCCATCTACTGTGAAAAAAAACAAATTGGATGTAGGGATTAATGGATAACTTGCTGAGTAAGTTGTAGGAATGAGGAGTATCTTCAGTATCATCAAGTACCAGCCACGAGCCACTATCTGAAAAAGCTTTTATCTTTCAGTCAAAAACACCACAACTCTTAAATCATCCCAGATCTTGCTGCGGATCCATTTACTTGAAAGTGTTGAATCTGTCCTGTTGCTCGGGCTGTGAATGATGCGTCAGCTGATAACGTCGAGGCCCTTTGGCATCTCATGACACAAAGCGTGAAATTCAAAACCTCACTGTAAAAACACCGTCAGTCGGAGGAGACATTTCCACCCGCACCCACCACCACTGAGCCATTTATTTGATTATGAAACAGATGTCATGTCCTGTTGAGCCTTATTTTTTAATAATCTGTGGTTTTCAGTTTGTGTGCAGCTGGTGCCTTCACACCTTTGAGAATGTGTGGTATTTGGGCCTGAAACATGCACCTCACCCCCGCCTCTCTCTCTCATCCTTGTTCACAGATCTCCCTTTGGGCCTGGTTTTAATCCGACAGAAAGCCCTGGTTGGAAATCTACCCCCGGACAACCACAAAGTCTACAAAATCACCAAAATCGCTGTTATTCCACTGTCTGATGAGGAACCCCAGGAACTCGAATTGGAGGTGTGCAAATGAATGTGACAGTTAAAGATGGTGGCCCTTTTTAATCTAAACATGTGGTTATGAAGCAAATTAATATATTTATTGTAGTTGTCAATTGTGAATTATAGCATGAATGGTTTTGAAATATATATGTTTTAGGATACGTTTTCATGTTTTCAATTACACACGCTTTTATTACAAAACACAGAACATATTAATCCTATTGTGGCGCCGCCTGCCTGTCAAATCCAGATCAGACCTCTGAAGCTAAGCAGGGCAGACTAGACACTTAGCTAGTATGAATCAGAATCTCAATCATTTTTATTGCCACGTAAGTAACAGGAATTTACAGGCTTGGAAATTGCTTTGGCTCAGTGCAACAGTCAAAGAAGAGAGGTAAAGAATAGAGACTAGAGTAAGGCATAATAAGGCGTATGAGTCTGGTATTGTGTGTGAATGATTGGTGGTGGTCGGAGGGGCCGATGGGGCTTGCCTCTCTTCTGTCATTGTCTGAGTGTATGCAGTATTATTATTACTGTCAGTGGAGTCATCCCTCCGCAGATCTGACTGGTACTTGGCTCTATGGGGCCAATTGGCTTTAATGCTTTACTAATGCACTTATAAACATGAAAGATGGACAAGTGCATTATTGCATTAATGATAAACGATACTTATGCATTAGTGTTTTTTGATGCGCTATAATTTTAAATGGTTCAATTTTTCAGCTTTGCAGTTTGACCTTAATGCAGTGTTACCAGAGACTGTATTGACATTTTAACTAAAACCCTAATTACAGTTAAGAGTTAAAGAAATGTTCAAATGAAAGATATTGGGCCACCAGAGTCTTTCAAACGGTTTAAGTGAAGAAATTACAGTTCACATGGCACTGTTTTAGTTGCTGCATAAATTTGCTTTGATTTGAAACTTGTTAATTCACATTATTATTCAGCGCTGGTGCAAATTCTCAGTTGGAAGTTGAATATTAAGAGTTGAGTCTTGCAGGGCTTCTCCACGGATGATGACACAGAATATTTTAAAGTGAGTAATGACTCAAAGTGTGGGCTAGTTCCTTCCTGAACACTAGTCCTCTGTGCCTGGTTTGTAGTCTGTGTTTAGAAATAGAAATCCCAGTTGCCACTCGATTAACTACACCTGAAAATGTGTGTTAGAAATGCTGCAGTAGTTAGTTTTCATATGTTGGCTTCATTTGTAAATTGTCTCTAAATCCGCTGCATTTATACAGCACATTTTAGAACCCGCCCCAAAGGTAATGTCATGATATAGACTCTAAACTAAAACTCTGATTTTGCCAATAAGTAGAATAAAGACTGATATAATGACAAGATCGCAGATACAACCAGTCGACATGCATTTCCTGAGCGCTCCCTTAGAGATGGAGCAAGGTCATACAGGAGTAACTTGGAGTGGAGCCACTTCTCCTCCATGTTGACAGGAGCCAGTTAATGTGACTCAGGCCTCGGTTTTCGAATTCAGCTCAATTCCATTAAGTTTTGTGTATCCCTAAATCACAAAAGAAGTCATCTTGGAGGACTTTACAAAGTTGTTGATTCGCCAAACAGATCATAATCACTGTCCTTAGACCCTTCACCCTTAGCATGTTTGAAGTGCATTTATATATTCTTTTGATACATTGATTCTAGTTTGTAAACAATAATACAGGCAAAAAAAACTCTTTCAAACTGAGGTAAGTGAGTGATGAAAGATGTGCCACTAAACTAGTTCTTAGTGCAATATCTCACACACAACAAATCCCAATCTCTCTTAATATTATTCAACAAATGTGATTTTTTTTGTTGACCATTGACCAATCAATGTAGTGACCTGAAGATGTATAAAAAACAAAGGAAAAGTATCACAAATATAACTGGGTCATAATGCATTTGAATAATCTGTTTTGGAGTCTTCCATCATGGTATGACTTAGAACATTGACTTAATATTAATTATTTAACTGGATACATTTAGAATTTTGACTCTTTATGATTTTTGATAATCTGCAGAAACGGATACAGACAATGGTTTGTCTTTTTGCCATCAAAACTAAACAATTGCAGGTTGTCTAATTGGTGCAAAAATAGCGCGGATGAATGTGCATGCTGACAACATAATTACTATCATATTTTTGACATGTCTGACAAGTCAGGCTCATAAATGCAAAGAATACTTGACCAGAAAACATGTGATCCCTCTGTAGATATACGTGAACTGATAATTTACTGCAGCAGTTGGTTCCATGTGCGTATTTGACATTGCATATTGTGCTTCCAGCTCTGTAAAAAACATCACTTTGGCATCGAGAAACCAGAGAAACTGGCCCAGTCTCCCGATGAGTCAAAGTTCCTGATGAAAACGTTGAGCCAGATCAAATCCAATGTCGGTGGCCCCATCAAGAAAAAGGTATTAACTTCACTCATTACATAACTGTTTCCGCTGGGGATCAAAGAGACATTCAGGGGATTAAGGCTGGAGAATATGATATGAAATAATTTAGCAGGTATTCAGTCCAAAAATATGATACTACACTTTGTGCTTGATGTGGACCCTGAGGGAAGAACAGAACAGGTCAGACAGGCCAGACTTTAAGAATAATCAACAGTGAAGCAGTTGTAGAGCTTTTCTATACATACAATATTCATAAAATCGCACACATGAAGTAGAGCAATTATATATCTGTATTTTACTAAAAGTTGTTGATTATGAAAAAACAATGAGTTGCAAATTATTGTTTTTATACAGACCTACTAGATTACACTTGTTGGGGTGGTTCCCTTTAACTGAACCAAGTCTGTATTTGTGGGTGTAAAACCACTAAACTTGCTGTTATGCTAAAATCTGATTTTATACCTCATTCTTGCTCTTCATTATGCTAAAGTCAGAGATTTTAGACTTGTTTCCTTATTATGCTAAAGCTAGAGATTATTATTATTATTATTTATGTGTCTTGTGCTGCGTGGTTCTCATTCCCACTGTTCTGTAACTTGTGATGCAAAACTGAAATTTCCAGACTGTCGGACGAATAAAGGATGTCTTAATCTTAAACATGTGTCCACTCGTGACATATGTCAGTGTTGAATCAGATCTGTGAAGCATTTTCCCCCAAGTGAACTTGATTTGGTCCAGTTAAAGTGAACCAGACCAGACCAGATATGAAATGTAAAGAAAATTGATTGAATAGATAGAAGAAATCCGCGTAGCTAGTAAATGGGGCAAGTTCATAAGTCCATTCCTTTGTTCTGTTGAGCCATAATTGTGCATTGGTGATTGCTGACTATTATCCCTGCTGTTTTATCTGGTGGCGTGTTTCTATCCTTCTAACACACTGATTTTCTTGTTTCTCTTTCCCTCTCTCTCTGTTTGGTCCGACAGTATTCCCCTGCTGCGTTCCAGGTGAAGGAAAACAAAGAGAAGGAGCGGCTGGAGCGACGGCTTCTCGACGAACTCTACAAGATATTTATGGACTCGGATTCTTTCTACTACAGCCTGACGTATGACCTCACCAACACTGTGCAGAGACAGGGGGAGGTCCAGAGCTCCGGGCTGCCACTGTGGAAGAGGGTGCGCACTTTTAAACTTTCAATGAAACGCTTATGAATTAGGGCTATCAACAAATAATATAGGATATAATGCACAATACGGCTCTGCAATCAGGCTACAGCTAATTACTGTATAACCAAAATAGCTTAAAATACAAAGCAAAGGTTTTTGTTTATTTTGTCTTTTCTTTTGATTAGATGCTGCTTTCTTTGTTAGTAGAGTTCCCCTTAGACCCACACCCGCTATTGTTGATTAAAGATGGGGTATCTGACTTTTTTCTCACCATAATTAATACATTTAGTTTGTCCTAACAGAAAGAGAGTAGTGAAAGTAAAATGTTGTGAACAAATCAGACCACAACAAGCTGTCTCCATCTTATCTTTTGCATTCTTGTACGAAAGAGAGACCTGTGAGTCACTATTTGACACTTTGAGCTGAGAGCTGATAGGCTGAGTGAGGGCGGTTCTGTTTCACTTTTCTGTCTGTAAAAGCTGTTATAAAGATATGAGTTGTGAGGGCGAGGAGCTTATTAGATGCCTTTTATTACAAAGTTCAATCATGTTTTGTGGTTAAAGAGCGACTGAACACCTGTGCCCAGCCTTACTCCGCCCACATGAACATTTGAAAATGTTCTCTAAAAAGGGCAGTGCCTGGAGGACCAAGGGACAAGAAGGGGGGATTAGAATTGGGCGTGGTCTGGGCTGTGATTGACAGCTCACTAGTCACACGAGAAAAAAAACAGTTGTCATTGCTGCTTAAAGCAATAGTTTATAGACCAGAAAGTCTCATTCCCTTGTTTACACAATAGGATAATTGTAGAGCTACACACCTGAACCAAAGTCACTGAATTATCCCAGCAGAAGTGGCAACTCATGTAATTTAATTTTAATCCACTAGATGTCGCCAGAATACTCCAACCTGCTGCTGGGGCGTGTGTGAGAGTTGAATGGGTTTATATCACTGGCCAGACACACACGTCACACAAACTGACGTCACACAGAACTACAGAGTCGATGGAGAGGCCAGGACCAAATTCAAATGTAGTACCACCGAAAAGGTTGAGAGGGCGCCACACAGACGTTTTTAGGCTCAAAAGTGAGATTTTATCTAATTTGCACTAAAATGTCAAAAACATGACCAGGATATGTAGAGAGCACTACAATAAACATATTTATGCAGTTTATGAGTTTAAAAAAGTTGATTTGGTGTTTAGTCGCTCTTTAAAAGTTGGTTACCCCAGCTTTATGCAGGTTTTAACTGAATGTATTACTTTTAAAATCAATTACAATATTGTAGAATACAGTAATGAGGTTCAGGAGTCACAGTTTCTACAATATTTAAGGTTGTAATTTTATTATAGCGCATGATTTTAATGTCTGTAAAATATTGACTATTTCTTACTGTGAACATGTTTTTAAATGACCAATATTTATATCCCCTAAAAGGTGGATGATCGATTTTTCTGGAACAAATACATGATTCAAGACCTCATAGATCTTCAGGTAAGAAGTCAAAAGTTTTTAGACGTAGATAATTTAGGAGCCTAATGATTGCTTGTTCATCCAACCCATGAATACAAACCCTAGTGGTATGGAAACTGAGGCTGTATTGTAGCAGTGAACCTCCGTCCTCTTCCCCAGGTCCCAGATGTGGATTTCTGGGTGATCCCGGTGATCCAGGGCTTCGTGCAGGTGGAGGAGCTGGTGGTGAACTATAACGAGACCGTGGACGAGGAGCGCAGCAGCCCAGAGACGCCTCCACAGGAAGTGATGTGCGTGGACGACATTCACCCTCGCTTCACCGTGGCCCTGATCTCCAGACGCAGCCGGCACAGAGCAGGTCTGAGCCGCACAAAAGTCTATCCACTCATGCATAATGGAGCTCCACAATCCTGTCGATAAATTATGGATATTTTCTCTCTTTACTTAATATTTGATAATCGAACGGTTATGAAACAGGGCACTAATTGTCTCTTTGCTTCAACCTACTCCTTTTGAGCATTGTTGTTCCTCCAGACTGATTCATTGCATTTCTCTACACATACGTCCTTGTAATTTGCTAATTGCACAAAATCACTTTTCATGTTAACTTGCAATTTGTATGTCTTAATTTTTGTTGACATTAAAAAAAATAACAATACATTTACAATATCATCTAATCTTTCCACTTCAACTTCCAGTCCAACTCAAAATACTGCTTTAAGATGCAAAAATAAAATTGGAACAAACAAAAGCTTAGTGTAATGTAGTGATTCTTCCTTTAAAGAAGAAATATGGCCATCCATAATGATAAGGACACTATTTCTGTGTAATGTATTAGAATGTGAAATAGTATCTTAAATATGAAAATTATGGTGAAACGGTAAATTTCAAAGAAAATCACTAATTGCAAACATAGCCATGCGATTGTAAAGAATCTAAGAAAGTAAAAAAGAAAGAAGGGACAGAGTTACATGTTTGTACCATAAGTTCCTGATGTTAGGGTGGATTGATTTAAAAACAACTCGATTCTCATGATGTGTATCTCTCAAATGTAATTGTTGTCTTATGTGTTTTGTTCAGGGATGCGTTACAAGCGGCGGGGCGTGGACACAGAGGGGCACGTGGCAAACTACGTAGAGACAGAGCAGCTGATCCACGTTCACAGTCACACACTGTCCTTTGTCCAGACGCGAGGCTCCGTACCAGTGTTCTGGAGCCAAGCCGGGTATCGCTACAACCCCCGACCACGCCTCGAGAAGGGTGAGGAGCAGAGGACACCGCAAATCTACAATGCAATTCAGTTACATTTATTTTTGTATAGCCCTAAATCACAACAGCTGTCGTCTCTGAGAACAAAGTTGTCGAATCGCCAATAGGAGAACAGAGGAAATGCAATTATAACAAGCATTTAGAAGTCGTTGCAAGATGGCCAATGTTAATTCAATTACATTTATTTTTGTATAGCCTACAACAGTAGTAATCTCGGCGGACTTAATAAAGCTGTCAATTCGCCAACACAGATCAGAGAATCAAACAGTTCAAACACAAGAAATACATTGATGAAAACACATAGAGCCATTGATCCATTAGGGGCAGATGACCAAGTCCATAAATGTTGTTGAATGTCGAGTGTCCTGGATCATCACCGTCTTGCATCGTCAAAGAATAACTCTCAAAAACCCAGTGGAAAAGAATGAGAAACCTCAGGGAAGCCCACAGTCTGCTGCCTCGGACAGACAGGCTGTAGATCCAGGACTCAGGCTACAAGTGTCTTTTCATATTGTGTTGTTCAACGCAGCCAAAGCATTCTGTGTGGGCTAAAACCAGTAAAAGAGGTCTCAAGATAGTGCGTTAATGCTTTGACAGGTTATAACAGTATTTATAATTTAAAAACATAGTTGCTGAAAACATGTTTGTCATTTTGCCTTGTTTCCATAGTTTAAAAAGTTTGTTATCTGACATTGCAGTGTATATTTTTATAAAGCTTCGGTACCTCATTTTCACCACAAAAAAGGAACTATGTATGTAAAACTAGTCCTTTGCTCTCAAAACAGTTTGATTTTATATTTTGGATGATTGATTTTGATTTTATATATATATATATATATATATATTTTATATTATGATTTTAATATTATAAAGTTATAATATTACTTTTCTAAGGCCACAGAAAATGCTTCAACAATTTCATATTGAGTTAAAAGTTCATGTTGTATTATATCAATGGAAGTCACATTTTGCATTTTAAATATTGTGTTGATATTTTGGGTTATTTGGTAAAGAATACCCCATTTTATTTAGTGTTCCATCCTTCCTTGATATTTGTTTTTTTTTACCATGTGGTCCACTATTTTCTTTCAGGAGAAAAGGAGACCATGCCTTATTTTGCGTCACATTTCGAACAACAGCTGAAGCTCTACAAGAAACAAGTAAGTGCCCAATGAGTTTATGAAGTGGTCATTACTGTTACATATTCATTCTTTTTACTGCAGTGGCTTACGTTCACAAACACGTCCTACTTAATTCATAATTCTATTCTGTTGTGACTAACACAAATCACTGAAACTAAGAAACTACAGAAGGCGAGAAAAGACCATATGTTATTATGACTCAAGACTTGACATTTTCCGATATTTCAAGCTTATTCACTGCAAAAGAAACTATTGAAGTGTTTAAAATCCTATAACACTTGTTTATCTCTGTGTTGTTGACTGCTTTAGGTCATCATTAACTTGGTGGATCAGGGCGGTCGTGAGAAAATCATCGGTGACGCATACCTAAAGCAAGTGCTGCTGTACAACAACGCAGACCTCACCTACGTGTCATTCGACTTTCACGAACACTGGTACGAACGGCATTTCACATCCGACACGGAGAACGACAGGAGTGGGTTCAGTTTGTTTGTAACTCTGCAAAGTCAAAATAGTAATTGTTTTAACCTATAAAGTAACCTAATAAAGTGTATTTTCCTCTTCTTCTTCTTCTATAACACAATGGGACCAGGTCTGTGAATTAGCTGTATGACCTATGAACATGGCATTAGTTTTTTGTAACAATGCTTCTTGTTCTGTCCCTATTAAATAAACATATGATAAATTACATAAAGTATCATAAGTAATGCGTAGAAACAGAGGTTATGTTCTGAAAACAACCCGCAATAAACGAAATCCGTGAAGAGCAGTTGTGTTTTTAAGGCTGTAAAATCAAATAATCAATCAACCTTTTCCTACACAGGGTAACGCAGCCCACATCACGTCAGGCATAAATCATCACAGAAATAATACACATTAAAATCACGCAGGGCATTAAAAACATAAACATTAAAATCACACAGGCAATTAAAAACATTTGATAATTAAAATCACATTAGGGATTCAAATATAATATGATAAATAATCAGTAGGGGTGTGACGATATATCGCGATACTTTCTCCCGCGATTTGATTTTTTTTTTTTTTACTCATTTAAAAAGAAAATTAGTATCAATACTTAATATATGGCTACATTTCGAATCTCCATTCCATTTATCATGAAATAAAGTGTATTTTTTCTTTTATTTATGCCATAAATTGGCATATTGTATATTTCTGACCAATATATCAATAATCGTCATATCGTGATGATATCGTTATCGTGATAATATCGTTATCGTGATAATATCGTTATCGTGATAATATCGTTATCGTGATAATATCGTTATCGTGAGCTTTGTATCATGTATCGTACCGTATCGTGAGGTACCCTTAGGTTCCCACCCCTAATAATCAGTGCATTAAAAAGAGAATAGATAAACCCCCTCACCAAACACATTATACATTTTTCTAACCACCTTGACTCACGACTGCTGAATTCTGATCTGGTAACCTGATATATTTAATGCCAAAGCAGATAGATATGTCTTTTAAAATGGTAACAAGTAGCTCTCAGTAGATTTTCAATGTTCTATCAACTGGTAATTAATCAGTAAATGAAATCAGATCAACTACCATCAGAGGAGCGAGAGACCTTTATGTGAATATTTTCTGTCCATTTCTGTTTCAGCCGTGGCATGAGGTTTGAAAATGTGCAGGTTTTGACAGATGCCATTTCTGATATCATCACAGACATGAAGTGGGGCTGGTGAGTCACTGAGACATTTGATGCGACGAGCTCTGAGTAAACACAAGAAAAGATTACTGATATAGAGTTTAATCTTCTGTGTTTTTCAGGGTGGATCAGGCTGGAGTCATCTGCAACCAGGAGGGCATATTTAGAGTAAACTGTATGGACTGTTTGGACAGGACCAATGTGGTACAAGCTGCTTTTGCCCGAGTGGTGATGGAACAGCAGGTAAAATATATGAATAGTAATAATAATAAGGTATAAATGTTTTAATAGCATCTTTTTGGACACTCAAAGACACTTCACATGTCATTATTCATTCACTCCATGCTGTGAATGCCCTGAGCCTCACTGACAGAATTGAGAACGAGTATGTGCCAACTCTGACTACTCTGCCAACTCTGACTACCACCAATCATTCACACACCAGACTCATTTTCGGCAATGTGGGTTAAGTGTCTTGCCTAACGACACAGCGACAGTTTGGCACTTTACAGCCTCAGCCGCCCCACTGTGGCACCTGGTGTTCCCAGAGGTCTCCCATCACAGTTCTTACCAGACCCTCTCCCCTGCTTCGCTTCAGAGGTCTGACAGAATCTGGCTTACTGTATATAGAGTGGACTCTACATTTAATTTAATAACGCAGAACTTGCTGGAATTATAAGCGCAACAGCTTTTAAACCAGCAACATTTTTGTAAAAGTAAATTTTGTCCATATATAGGCAGCACTTGAATATAAGCCTCAAGTTTTAAGTTTGTAATGTATCACTTAACTAACGGCAAAACCGAGACGACTGTATTAACTTCACACTCCGAGATTTAATAACGTGGTGTTTTAACGCACTGTTGATCAAAGCACTCTGGTAAATCCATTCTATTTTGACAATGAAAAATGTGTCCTGTGTATTTCCCTGCACTCGTAAAACGAGGTCCTTTATTCATTCCACATTAGAAAAATGTCAATTACCGTAGGAATGAGGAGCACACAGCACAAGATGAATGAACAATAACTCCATACTAAAATAAATCTCTAACTCTAGCATATAACAAAGCAGTAAAAAATCTCTATCTTTAGCATGAGAAAGAAAGAAGTCTTAAAATCTTCAACTTTAGCATCATGAAGAAGCAAGACTTAAGAACAACAACCCATAATATAATGAGCACCAAATACACACCGCTAAAACATAATCAAATTTAAACAAAAAAATCTAATTGCTATATCTAATTCCACCTGTTTGACTGTGATTTTGCAACAAGGGATAGTGTTTTTTCATCCCACAAATTTAAATAATTGGGTATTTCTGTAACTCTCAAAACTGGACATTTTCCCAAAGGGACTCTTGTGTTTCCTGGCGCACTGGTTGGAAATCATTGTCCTGTTATTGCTTTGGTTCAGCTTCAAAGATCTTTAACTACTTCATTAATGCATTCATTCATTTTCTCTGGCGTGTCCATTACCAGACTCTATCTCAGATCGTCCAGGATCGAGTTTCACAATCAGGAGTTAATCCCACGGCGGCTGTTTGTGTGAACGCATTCAGCTCAGGCATTAGTCCTCAGCTCACCTGTGTCCCGGGAGGATTCAGACTGTAGAAATGACACACACATACACGCACACGCACACACAAAATCCGGTTTTATTATCAGTCATGCTCTTTTGCTTCTATCTAAAATGTATCTAAGGTTTCTCAGTAGTTTAGGGCTGCAATTTTTCAATGCGTTTTTTTTCTTGACTGAAATGGAGTAATTGTAGTAAAAATTATAATGTGAAGAAGTTGAACAATTGCAGTAGTGTAAATGTCATAGGTTTTCACTACAGCTTTTGCTTGTGTTGAAGTGAATTTCTACACATATAAATCTGTTCCTGCTGTATGTCATAGTCACTTTACCAGTCTCTGTTCTTATAAACTCGTACAGGACCCTTTTAGAGAGAAATGCATTCCACTTTTGCTGTTTTCAGTTAAAGAAGTTGGGAGTGATGCCTCCAGAGCAGCCGCTGCCGGTGAAGTGTTACAGGATTTATCAGATCATGTGGGCGAACAACGGAGACACCATCAGCCGGCAGTACGCGGGAACAGCAGCACTCAAGGTAATGGCGTTATGTAATACTAACTTTAACTCTAATCAAAATACTGATATTGTGAGAAGAGGTGCTGTTATAAATGTTTATACTTCTATTTGGACATGTACTGTATCTTGGCATGTGTTTTTCAATGTCCAAACTAAGGCCTGTGGTCCTTTTCTATGCCCTGTGAGATTATAAACACAAATTTATAGTGTCATCCAACCAACTTCATCTCTGTCAATATAGACACTCCAGTTTTTCCTTGTTGTAAAGTTCAGAACCTCTGGAATTCAGCCACTGACTTTACTTGTATGTACTGACATTTGTTTTTGATTCTGTCACAAAATCTTGTTAATGGCGCTGGTGAGATGGTCATTTGTCATTCAGCCAACTCCAGCTCTGTCATAGTTAATTATAAAGTTCTGAACAGCCCGAATCTTGTCAAAACAGTTTTACAATCCAGGTTAATAGACCCTGCACAACCAGGGTCTAAAGTGGTTAAAGTGTATCAAAAACTCTTGGTTTGGACACCTGATGTAAACAAACTTTCCTCGGCACGGCGTCTTCTTAGGGCGACTTCACCAGGACAGGAGAGCGGAAACTGGCTGGAGTCATGAAGGATGGCGTCAACTCTGCAAACCGCTACTATCTCAACCGCTTCAGGGATGCGTACAGACAGTCCGTCATAGGTACGAATCCAAGACGTTCATATACAACATGTACATGCTGTATATGAAATAATGTCGCCCAATATTGGTCCATGGCTGTAAAAGAGAATGAGTTAATAAGACTATTTGGAACAGTCTGAAAACCAGGAAGTATACTTTTGGCATGCTAGTCGTTTCTGCTGTTGTTAGCTTTACCACACAGGGCATCATACTGAACGATGTGAAAACTGCTATAAACTTATTGTGGTTATAATTAGACTGTGTGTGAAAATGATAAATCAGTTTGGACCACAGCAGATAAAGACTAAAAAAATCAGTAATGGTAATTTTTTCCTGATTGAATAAAAGCAAAAAAATGGAATAGAATAAAAAATAGAAAGCAGGCACAACATACACACAGACACACATACAAAAAAACACTGTACAAAACAACAACAACAAAAAACTAAAAAAGTCATGTTTGTCCACTGCTCTGCTCCAGATGTTGATGGTAACCTAATATGTCTACATTTTATTGAGCAAAATATAATACAATTCCATTAGATTTTGTTTTTTAATCACACAAGGCCACAAGCAACTCATTGTTTATTTCAATATGTGTGATGTTCCGTTTCATAGACCTGATGATGGGTCTGCCGGTGACCGAGGACCTGTACTCCATCTTCAGTAAAGAGAAGGAGCACGAGGAGAAGGAGCAGGAGAGTCAGCGAGGAGCGCAGGAGCAGGTCAGTCTGCTCCTTCAGACCTACATGCAGCTGCTGCTCCCGGACGACGAGAACTTCCACGGAGGATGGGCCCTGATCAACTGTGACATGAGGTCAGCCATGTTCTCACACAAACGATTTATACTGAAGGGGTTTTGTGTGTGGAAGAGACAATAGATTTTCTCCTGATTTGCATATATTCTTGTTCAAAGCTAAAAAATAAATAATGGCAAATATTGTGAAGAGTTTAAAACATACATTTATAGCCTAACAGCCTAACCCGTGAAAAAATACTGTTTATTTAAATCTGAATTTAGATGATGAACATAAGTTATATGGACATTTTATCAGGTGGTTTGCCGGGATATATAGTATTTTCATTAACTCTTCCCTTATGCGATACCACATGTTCTCACGCCTGTTAAACCATAAGTGTGTGTGCGTGTGTGTGTGTGTTTTTACTATTGTCAATATTGTGTCACTTACTTACAATTCATATTTTACACATTTTAATAATAACACCAGCCTGCATAGGGACCACAGGTGGAAATTAGCAGCTACGCTATAACCTGGTACAAGGCATCTTTCCCTTTTAAACTCGATGTTTATTGTACTGTCTGAATAAATAAACTAAAGCAAAAAAGAAGAAGAAAAGACTATATTTGACTGAGGAAACTTCTTTAACTGGAGCACCTCAGAATAAGGATTTTATTGAGGCTGTAAAAAGTTTATGGACAGTGCACTTTAAGAGTCAAGTATGTCGTCCAAGTAGTTTGTTTGAGCATCTAAATGTATATGTATATAATACTCAAAACAATTCTTAATAAACACCTTTTAATGCCCAATTTGGGGACATTTTAAAGCAGTAACTTCCTCCCCAATAGAAGTGCTGCACATTACTCATATTTATATTACAGATTAATCATTCATACCTCTAACACAATTAAATGTACTTATAATTCCTTCCCCACTTTACTTTGAAGTGCTCCTGGGAACATGAAGAAAGCCCTGCACAGAGGTCTTCTGAACATGACTCCTCTTGTGATGCTGAGTGCCTTCTGCTATAAAACGAAATGTTCTAAATTTCAAGTGCTTCAATGCAATTTACTCACCAGCTTTCATGCTGTAATTGCTGTTTTTCTGTCTCGTTTCTAGTCTCATCGATGCGAATAACAAAGAAGTGGATGTGCTGCTTCTTCTGTCGAACAAGGCCTATTACATCGCATAGTAAGTTTGGCTTTTAACACTCTCTCTCTGAGTCTGGTCAAATGCCCAGGGAGGTCGACACAATCATAGGATGGTTCTTATCTATAGAGATGTTACAGTAAGTATGTAATATCTCCAATGTCATTCTGAAAGCAAGAAGCATATGCAGTATCACATTGATTTTTGTATAAGAAATTATTATTTAACCATGTAATTTGAAGGTTTAGAAAATAGTATGCATTTATTTTTTATGGCCATAGTATGTTACAATAAATTATTTACTTAAGAACCTCTTTTTCAAGGAAGTCCTGGACAAGAGGCAGCGAAGGTTACACACAATTACATAAAATTAAAGATTATTAAAACAATGTCAATGAGGATTGAAAAGCATTCAGTGATATAAATTCAGTTGGGATATGCACTTCTACTTAAAGCTGGAGTACCTAACTTTTTTCCCATTAATAACAGGTGCTGTTTCTCTCCAACAGAAATAGTCTTGTAAAAGTAATTTGTTATGAAATGATAATGCTTTGATGTTGTTTGCATCATCCCTGTGTCTTGTTGCCGGGCATAAAGATTCATTTGTCTTTGCAGCTATGACGAAGAGGCCGACAAAGTGAACCAGTACCAGCGACTGAAGTTGGAGGGTTTGGAGAAAATAGAAATCGGTAAGTTTCACTCAAAGAAGAAGTCGGATTCATTCTCTTGTGACTCACTTCCCGTCAATCTGCTGAACACTCACGTTTCACCAACATCTCCTCAAACTGTGAAACACGCACAAAGAAAATAAAGAAAGTCAAATAGTAATCTGTGTTTTTTCATGTTTCAGGCCCAGAGCCGACGTTGTTTGGTCGCCCTAAATACTGCTGCATGCGTCTCCACTACAGAAATGAGGACGCGAGTGGATATTTTCACACGCTACGAGCTGCTACCAGGAACCCGGACGACGATGGCAAAGGCGAGTCTCATGAACGATTGAATGAGAATGTGAAATCAAAGTAACATGTAACATTGAGCTTTTGAATTGACAGAATGAATGGATTCTTGGTTTATGCCAGTGTTTCCCAATTGACATTGTTAGACCTGTTTCTAAAATTATTTTCTTTTTAGATACACTCCAATGCATAGCTGAGATGCTCCGGATAACAAAACAAGCCATTGGGATGGACCTGTTCGTGGCGGAAAAGAAACTCGAGAGGTAAAAATCATAGCTCGTATATTCAGAGTGGACGGACTCAGTGCGGACGTCACTATAGTGCTTGGCAAATATGAAAGAGTCAGATTTCCTTTTATGGGGATTTGTTCCATCGGGGTTAGCTGTAACAGGGGCAGGAGTGTTGCTAAGATGGTTGCTAAGGTAGGCTGGAGTTTCCCCTGCAAATCAAGGCATCTGATTGGTCAATCCTTTTGGATCATATCTGGATTTACAAAGTTATTGAAATAAAAACACCAGGATCATAGAGGGCTCTCTATAGATTTGATTTAAAATGTGATTGTATGGCTCTACACCAATATTACTGTTCATGCATTGTTTTAATATTTTTGGGATCCCCTTGAAATATCTAGTATTTATGAAGGAAAAGGGGAATAGCTTTGAAATATTCCCACTGTGGTACAAATAAAATTTTTATCTGAAATTGTAGTACTATTTAAAGTTCTAGTTCATGGATGTAGTTTGAGAATAGCCATATACTCAAATTCATCTGCACTGACTTGTGTTTGTGTTTTGCAGGCGGCAGAGCAGACCTCACGAGGACATCATGGGGATCCAAAACAAAGGCTCGGACCAGACCCAGGGCACCTCCGGTCTGGCTCAGGGGAAGAGCTTCCTCCTCAACAAGTTTTCATCCTTGAATCAAAAAGTGAAACAAACCAAAACCAATGTAAACATCGGACCTTTTAAACCTTTCGGAAACTTAGCCAAACCGGACGTCAAGGTGAACTTCTTGAAGCCGAACATGCACGTGACGCTGTGGAAGTCGGACAGCAGTTTGGAGACTTCGGACAGTAATCCTGGAGCAACGCACAAAGATCTAGCAGGACATTCGGAGATCTCTTCCGATTCGGATTCTTACAACTCCGACCCGGAACGCTGCTCTGGGTCTTTAGAAAACGTGGACTATGTTTTACCTAGCTGTGGTATCGTGGCGTCCAATCCACGTTTGGGCAGCCGGTCCCAGTCTATCAGTAGCGTAGAGCTCAATATTCCAATCCGAGTGACTGGTTGCGACGGTAAACAACAGGACAACGTGACTATTCCTGAAGACATGTCACCGGGCACTGCTTCTGTTGCTGAAGAGGCTTTGCTAATCGATTTCGGAACGCCGATCGACGCCTACTGCCATCAATTTGCCCAAGACGCACAGACGATTCCAGTGGAAGTGTTTGGAGAGTGCAATGTCGTCACAAACCCAATGCCAGCTCAGATGTCGGACCTGGAGAAGGCCACGGAGGCGTCGCAAAGCAAGCCCCAGCCGCCGCGACCGTCCCAACTCGACGTTCAGGCTTCGACCAACGCCGGACTGTCGGTGCAGAAGCCGAATTCCGCAGTTTCGGGTGGTTCTCAGCGGAGCTTGTCGTCGGTGATGGAAGGTAGCTTAGGCCCGTCTCCTGCGGACAGCAACGGCAGCAGAGTGGTTTCTCCGTTTGCCAAAATCAAGAGCTCCATGGTGCAAGTGGCTAGTTTGACGCAAGCCGGACTTACGCAAGGGATCAACTACGCGGTGGCGAAGGTGCAGAAAAGTCCAGAGCCAGATTCAGTCAATGAGGCCCAAGAGAACGAGCTGCGGGCTATGTTCACCCAGTGCCAGACCAGAATCATCCAGATCTGAAGTAGGTCTGAGCCAGGTCTGAGCCAGGTCTGAGCCAGGTCTGAGCCAGGTCTGAGCCCAGGTCTGAGCCAGGTCTGAGCCAGGTCTGAGCCAGGTCTGAGCCAGGTCTGAGCCAGGTCTTAGCCAGGTCTGAGCCAGGTCTGAGCCAGGTCTGAGCCAGGTCTTAGCCAGGTCTGAGCCAGGTCTGAGCCAGGTCTGAGCCAGGTCTGAGCCAGGTCTGAGCCAGGTCTGAGCCAGGTCTTAGCCAGGTCTGAGCCAGGTCTTAGCCAGGTCTTAGCCAGGTCTGAACCAGGTCTGAACCAGGTCTGAACCAGGACAGATCCCTGTAGCTGCACCCTTTGGTCTGTAGCTGTAGCAGTCGACTCTGACGCCGTTGAAACCCTTTAGTGAAGCCTGCCCACTATGTTCCTTAAGTAATGTTTACGTGCATAAAAACCATAGCAATGTCAGTCATTTAGTGTCCTGCTATCAACCACACGGACCAAAACACATTCAAGAAGACAGGGAGTCAAAAAAGATGGTATAGTTTAGCTGAAATCTATATGAAAGTGTAATTTATTGTGTATTTTGTGTAGAATCCCTATCTTTCAATATTTATTCTCATTTTCAGAACAATGCCTGTTTTATCTACCTTTTTTAATATATTATAAGATGGCAAAACGGAAGAATTATGTTTACCCAGGACCCACCATAACTGAACATTTTAGATGGATGCTTTATTAATCCTCCATGAGAAAAGTTCAGGCATCCAAGTATCAAAAAAGTCAACACAGCGACCAACTATTGTTAAAAAAAAAAATATCACCAGCAAAAATAACCCGAGAAATGCCGCCCAGTGGAGTTCCGATCTGCAGCGTAGTGAGAGGACCCTCTTGCTGTGATTACTCCTTGTTATTTTATTGTACCTCAATTACCATTAACAATACTAAGCCTTAATTATGCTAATCGCCTAATCACAGGTACACATAGAACCATTTAAGTCCAACTCTTATTCAGGCCACAGTTTAAAATCTTAGTAAACGTCTTTCCTTTTTCAGGTTTACTGGCATCTAAGAGCCATCGTCAAACTTTTCTATATCGTAAATCAATCAACAAAGACAGGAACTGTAGCCAAAGGAATGATCTAAACCTGGAAAGTGATGCTTGAATTATTTTTAACGTAGCAGTCTTTTCACGTGTGGTCTTTTTTTTAATCTTGTATTGATTCAAGTGCTCTGTGGCTTTACTCTTTTATCCAATCATTTTATAACCAGAGTGTATGCGCATGGCGAGGCGATGGGACAGTCTTGGCTCTTACGTGGCACGTGTTTTTATGCATGTAAACATTCGCTCCCAGTTCTACACAGACCTCGATGTGGGTGACTGAATATTAGCTGCATGACAAGAGACCGACTTTAGCTTTGCGGAGCCCTTTTCTCTGGCATTTATGAAATAGTTCTTAATTGGTGTCGTGAGAAAAAAAACCAAATATCCCCAAAAGGAAACTGTAGGACCCTTTGTAAAGCCGTTATTAAGAGACACACTGTAGTTGATATCATATCAATGTTGTAACGTAGGAGTCATACGATAGGACTCCCGGGTGTTGACTGTAAAGTGAATATTGTCATTCTTCCCTATAGAGCCTTGGCCCTGCTTTTTGTACCAGTGGTAAGGTTACATTTTAAACTGTAGCGTTGTTCAGATCATGTTTAGCCAGAAAACTACTGGTTAGTTTGGTTAAAAAGCTCATATTATATAGATATAGATATATACCGTATTAATGTTCTTATAGTCTAATGAGAGGTTGTAAAGGCAGACGACATTGCATGCAGCATAAGACCGGACCGTAGCATATACTAGACATATATGCAATTAACTTTATGATCATAGTCTCACAAACGCTTTATGCACTCCCCAAACTGAAGCTTATCTGCCTTAAACCGGGATCAGAGGTGGGTTATTATGTATATCAGGTATTTATGGCAAAATCTACCTTTTTGAAGTCTCTTGTTACATGTTACATTTGTACTGTCTAAAGTTATAATTCAGGGTTACTGCAGATCACTATTTTTGCCCTCTGTCTTGGATATGTCACTGCATTTAGGCATGGGAATATTGTTTTAGGGTTAGGAAAGTTGGAAAGTTTTAAGTTTATGGTTAGGTAGGCCGAGGCTTTTACCAGTGTAGAATGGGATGCTTCTCTGGTCAAACATGGAGGCATAATGTTAGTTTTTATTGCAAGAAAATCCCCCAAAATAATACCTGTACGACTGAGAGCTTACACAAACCCCCCAAAACATAGCTTTTATTTATTTTATTTCTTATTTTAGTCATAGATTTTTTTATTGGTCCATAATTCCAAGGAAGATTAATGAGTTACATGCGGAAAACTAAATTTAAACTTGATTTTGGAATATTGGGTTTATACTTGTTTTTTCTTGAGGGAATAAACAGCCAATTACTATTGATAAAAAATGGAATTACTATTACAATATACTGTAGCTAATATTTTTAGCTCTACTGTTTGAAATAAAACCTGCTGCTATTGTATTTCCAGAAGACATGGGAACCTATTTTTTACCTCATATCAAGAGTCCACAACCTCATATCCAATCATTCATTAGAAGTATGGTCAATGTATTACAAGTATGATCAATATTTCTAAACAAATACATGTTTAGTCTCCCCATGTTGTTTGGATTAGATGAAAACTCCATTCTACGTGTGGTATGAGCAGCGTGTGGAGCCGAAGGTGCCGACGTGCCCTTCATGCACACACACATCCAGGCAGAGGGCCACACATGTTGGTTTTGTCCTGTTTTTATCCCTGCGTTGTCACCAGCAGAGGAGACGTAGAGCTGTGTAGTCGGAGATGGCTGATGAATGGTGTTTTAAACTGCTGATCGGTGTGATGCTGCCAAAGCTTAAGGAGGGGTGCGTGTTTCTGACTTCGTAATCGACTCACGACGGTTCTCAAAAATAGCGATATCTTCACCGATAAAAAAAAAAAACGAATCTTTGACATTCCCGGTTAGAATAATGGGCGCTGTTTGGTGCAATGTTTTATATGGGTTTGGGTGACGTTCTTGCTGGGTGAGTTTCTCCTTATGTTTTTTGACACCAAGTGCTTTTGTAACAACACGTTTATAATTTGTTTTATTCCGTTGTGGTTGTATTCGGCTCAGTGGACACTTGTTTGAGACTCGTTTGAAAATCAGTCCCTGGCTTCTCTTAAAATCAATTGTTTTCATTCACAAATAGACACGTAAGTTAAAGCCAGGGGTGGAAATGGTTCATACATCTGCATTTATGTTTTTAAAGGGATCAACAGAGACACATTACTGTATATTAACAGGACGAATGTATAAAACACCTGAAATCACAATGATTTAAATGATTGTTACCAAATTCGAGCAGTGGCAGTGAATCCACAGCTGTCAAATTGCATAGGTCTAAATATTAGTGTAGAATTGATGAACTGATGCTTTTAGACAAATGTTTAAACTGTTTTCACTCAAATCTGATGAAAATAAACATTACTGATACATTTAGAGAACCCACCACTTAATACATTGCTAGAAGTTTTTTTCCCACTTACTGCATTTCCCCTTTTCTGAAAAGTCTCTCTGATAAAAGTCCACTGAGCCTGAAGGTTGTTTTGCACTGAGCACATCCTCAAAGTGTCCTGTTTTAAACATTGTATTGAGAATTTGAGATTGTCTATTAAAATATCCTATTTATTCTTAACCTCTTTGGGCGTGTTACTGAGAAAGTGCACTGTTCACTTTTGTCCAGAAATATTCCATTGGAATAAAATGTATATAAGTTACAAAGTGTGTCTTTTTGTGGTTTTGGTTCGATGCAAGAATATTTAAACCCTTTTAGTTTGATGACGCTTCAGATACTGATAAAGACATCACAATGTATAATTATGCTGTCGTTTTCTACATAAATTAGTGATTTTTATTATACAATGATTTATACTTCAGCTAAAGATCAATCTTTCAAAAACTGCTCAAATATTCCCACTTTGTCATGTTAATTTCTCTGGTAAGTATCTAGTTTTGACACTAGTTTCAGTATTGATTACCATCTGTTTGATCCTTTTGACAAGCTTTCTTTGTGTAAATAGAAACTACAGCCCAAGGATGTGACCTTTGTCCAATCAGAGCTGATCTGGACAATCACTGAATAAAGTTAAACTGATTACACGTTACCAACCTTTACAGTAATCTATGTACACTGAAGTTTAAGTTGTACAAGTTCAGATGATCCACAGAAAAAAAGGAGCTCTTTACTTTTGGTTGCCAGATCTGAGCACTTAATCTTCAGACGCAATCTGAAGATAAAAGGAAAAACCTGTGTTCATTCATTTGAAAATACTGTAGGGCGTAATCATCTAAAGCTCTTTCATTCCTTATATTTAACGTTAAATTGTGTAATTTAAAAACAATCGATTCTAGACCTTCTGTACGTACCCTGATTAACTTAAATAATATTCTGTTGAGATGACCATTACCTGAATATCCCAATATTAATCATAATAGAAAATGACAAATCCACTGAAACTTCTTCTGAAACATGAAAAATATTTATTACAAAGTCTTTAGTAACAAAACTCTCTAAAGATGTGCCTCAGGGCTCGTTCCCGTTCACACTGGTCATCTGCTCCGTGCGGCTCCTCCTCAGCGCCTCCAGGTGTTTAGCTTTAGACCACGACTCCCGGGATAGAGCCGATTCTCCCTCCGACACAGCCAGCAGCCTGAGGAGGAGGGCAACATAAACATACAGGTCTAATTTAAAAATACCCAGTTTTATTTCTGCAAGTTTGTGAGATGTAAAGTATGAGTTTATTATATTAGTTTCAACTGTGAGACTGGTTAGTTTTACTCATGTGTTGTAAAGAAACTTGAAAACTGAGAAATTGTTTTGCATTTGTTACTCAAAAGTCCCTCCACTCATTCTGGCAATAATTTTATAATCAAATGTCATAAAACTTCCTAGAAAAATACAAGTTATGGCTTCAGTGCATCATATACAGTTTACCCCATTTCCATCTCTGTGGAGTGAGACAAATGCCCACAAGAGTTTTAAATCGCTTTGTGACTCTGGTCTGTGAAAGGTGCTACACAGATAAAGATTTCTTACTTACACATCCTGCCAGACATTAGTTATTAGCGGAGAGTGGTTTTTTTTTATTTCTTTTTAATATACAGTGCCTTGCGAAAGTATTCGGCCCCCTTGAACCTTTCGCCACATTTCAGGCTTCAAACATAAAGATATAAAAATTATTTTTTTCGTCAAGAATCAACAAGTGGGACACAATCGTGAACTGGAACAAAATTTATTGGATAATTTAAACTTTTTTAACAAATAAACTGAAAAGTGGGGCGTGCAATATTATTCGGCCCCCTTGCGCTAATACTTTGTAGCGCCACCTTTTGCTGCAATTACAGCTGCAAGTCGCTTGGGGTATGTCTCTATCAGTTTTGCACATCGAGAGACTGGAATTCTTGCCCATTCTTCTTTGCAAAACAGCTCGAGCTCATTGAGGTTGGATGGAGAGCGTTTGTGAACAGCAGTCTTCAGCTCTTTCCACAGATTCTCGATTGGATTCAGGTCTGGACTTTGACTTGGCCATTCTAACACCTGGATACGTCTATTTGTGAACCATTCCATTGTAGATTTGGCTTTATGTTTTGGATCATTGTCCTGTTGGAAGATAAATCTCCGTCCCAGTCTCAGGTCTTTTGCAGACTCAAACAGGTTTTCTTCCAGAATGGTCCTGTATTTGGCTCCATCCATCTTCCCTGTCCCTGATGAAGAAAAGCAAGCCCAAACCATGATGCTGCCACCACCATGTTTGACAGTGGGGATGGTGTGTTCAGGGTGATGAGCTGTGTTGCTTTTACGCCAAACATATCGTTTTGCATTGTGGCCAAAAAGTTCGATTTTGGTTTCATCTGACCAGAGCATCTTCTTCCACATGTTTGGTGTTTCTCCCAGGTGGCTTGTGGCAAACTTTAAACGAGAAATTTTATGGATATTTTTGAGAAATGGCTTTCTTCTTGCCACTCTTCCATAAAGGCCAGATTTGTGCAGTGCACGACTGATTGTTGTCCTATGGACAGACTCTCCCACCTCAGCTGTAGTTATCTGCAGTTCATCCAGAGTGATCATGGGCCTCTTGGCTGAATCTCTGACCAGTCTTCTCCTTGTTTGAGATGAAAGTTTGGAGGGACAGCCGGGTCTTGGTAGATTTGCAGTGGTCTGATACTCCTTCCATTTCAATATAATTGCTTGCACAGTGCTCCTTGAGATGTTTAAAGCTTGGGAAATCTTTTTGTATCCAAATCCGGCTTTAAACTTCTCCACAACAGTATCTCGGACCTGCCTGGTGTGTTCCTTTGTCTTCATGGTTCTCTCTGCGCTTTAAACAGAACCCTGAGACTATCAAAGAGCAGGTGCATTTATACAGAGACTTGATTACACACAGGTGCATTCTATTTATCATCATCAGTCATTTAGGACAACATTGGATCATTCAAAGATCCTCACAGAACTTCTGGAGTGAGTTTGCTGCACTGAAAGTAAAGGGGCCGAATAATAATGCACGCCCCACTTTTCAGTTTTTTATTTGTCAAAAAAGTTAAAATTATCCAATAAATTTCGTTCCACTTCACGATTGTGTCCCACTTGTTGATTCTTGACAAAAAAATAATTTTTTATATCTTTATGTTTGAAGTCTGAAATGTGGCGAAATGTTGAAGGGTTCAAGGGGGCCGAATACTTCGCAAGGCACTGTAACTTGATTGAGCTGCTCTGGGGAGATCTCAGACATTTCACTCATGCAAGGCAGGCCAGGAATTTACAGAAACCTTTTGCCAAGAAGAATGCTTTACTATGATACTAAATAATCATCCACATCTACCAGAGACGGCAAACTGTCACAGATGTTAAAGGGGAAGTAAACGGGATTGAGGACTGGGGGATGGAGACTTCTGATCAAGATGAGGAGAGGACTTGTCGTCATAATTCAAAAATGGAAAAACACATTGTATTTTTATATGATCACACACTGACCGCGCCACCACCAGCAGCCGGTGCAGGTCTTCAGCCGAGATGCTCTGGGGATCGTCCTTCCTCATGTCCACGAAGTCGTCCTCCACCCACTGGACACAAGAGCACAATGTGTCGGGTTCGTTAGAGCCAAGTGAATACTAATACAAACAGTAGGTCTGACCATTACAGTCTCTGGTCTGACCCAAACTCCTCTTTAAACATTAGCATTCGTCACCTTAGTCATTTCCTCAGAGATGTTGTAGGGGAGCAGCTGGGCCAGACTCAGATAACTCCTGAAGCGGTTTGTCTGCGGCGAGTTTGTCTGTGGAACGTGAAGTCCGCTCAGATACTCGTCCAGCTGAGAGGGAGGCAGCTGTGGCCGGAGGGGCACCTGGCAGTCCGACTGAGGGGGACACACAGGAGAAAAAGACGTTTGAGATTCTCGAGTCTGAGTTTGTTTTGACAGTACTTTCAGAATCAGAATTAATTTCATTGTCTTTTTAATAAACAGGATGTCACAAACTAGGACTTTGCTTAAGGCATGTATTAAAATGAAAAAAATCTTGATATAATTTCTTCAAATTTGCTACTATATACAAGAGACATTTAGCAATGCAGCTAAAGTAATAAAATCCATGTAACTAGTTCCTTGCTCTCAAACAGTTTAATTCCATCACTAGTTTTCCCATGCATGCATATGTGGCCTCTCAGTCTCAGCAGAAACGTGTTGGAACAGCCCGAGTGGCGACGTCTGTTAAGCTTCTTCACTCTAAGCTCTGTTATTTACCACCAGCTCAGAACTTTGTAAGTTTGAAGTTTGTTAGAGGATAAACTTTAAACAGACATTTGAGATTAGAACCATGTTATGTCTGTGTTAGATGTGAACGTCTGCATCACGTGCCCTTTGAGCAACCACCAGCTGCTGCCATGGCGACTGAGCAGACAGGAATAGAACACACACTTCTCCATTTGTGCCAAAATGCCTGTGTCAAGGTGGCAAAGAACAGTGGGGGTGGATCCATTATAATATTAGCATAGGTATTACAGCTTCAACCTATTGCCAGTATGTATAATGTGTAAAACTTTTTCTTCGAGGTCTTAAATCAAGGGCTGTCACCAGAATCCAACCATTTTTCTCATTTGAGGAAATGGGTGGAGTCTGGTGGGCTCATTCTTGGTTGGAATTAAAACCTGTAGCCACACGGTCTCTTTTTCTGGTACCAGTTTGACATCCCTGGTCTAAACTGTGTGTGGATGTTATGGCCTTCTTTGAGATGACATGAACTTCTGTCTTCTAGAAATCCTTCGGCTTTCTTTCTCTGACTTTAGTTCGCAAAGCTCCTCCCGCTCAAACTGTTCAAAACCTCAGCTGAGATACAAAGCTAATTGCCAACAGTTTAGTTAAAGGTACATAGGAATATTTTAGTAAAGAATCTCTCTCTGATCCACCCGGAAGCAGACAATCTTGAATCTCGCCAACCTGGGCCTTTGCAATAGGGATCATTTTGACTCATGGGGACTTGAATGCAGGAAAATGACTTTGTTCTCACATGGTTGGAGCTCTTTTAAAGCCAGTTTGATCACACCTGACCCATTTAAACTGGAAAATGAACAGAGAGCAAGCCGTGTGGAGACAACCTCTGATCACCTCTGCCTCTGTTATTGTGCCGGTGCAGAGGTTTAAAGGATCAGAGATGGATTTCGTCATGATCCCAATATTAATAGACAGTGATGGTTTATCCGCCTAATTGTTTTGAAGCCACTTTGGAGGGATCAGGCTTAATGGATTTATTCATTGTGTTCGGTTGCTTTTGTTAGAAACCACAAGCTGCGAGAGTCCAAGTAAAAACGTGTGACAATTGCTTATTTAAAGGCACTCGTGTAAGGCTGAGTGACTGGGTCTTAAAGTTGGGGTACCTGACTTTATCCATTCATAAATAATACATGTTAATCCCAACAGTAATAGTTATGTACAAGTAACATCAACGTCTCCATCTTGTGCACAGTTTCTGGAAAGACCCCTGTCACTATTTAACGCTGCCCGAAAAAGCTGATCTAAAGATGTGATGGAAAGTACTAACTAGAGCAAGTTAGATTTTACTACATGCTTCCATTGTTTGTGGTTTGAAAATTAGGTCTCCCAGCTTTAACTTTCTTTCTCAGGGGTGCAGCTGTCTACACAAGAAAAATATGTATTTATTTGAATGGAGCTGTCTTCATTGGCGGTCTCTCAGCATAAACACACTGGATTACACCATTATTGGCACAACACTCTTGGCTCAATCCGTCTGTTCTACTTAAATTATAAAAATGAATGAACTAATGTGTGATTATAACAATTATTGTAAAGTTATGAATTCAGTAAAACCTCCATCTAGAGGCAGAAGTGGGTAATTCCATTGTTTTTATATTACAGGAACATGGTTGTCGTATGTAAGAATATAGTTTGAACTGGGAAATGTCCAAAAAAATTGAAATGCATTTATTGTAAAAAAAAGATAAAGGCTCCATCTATGACTTCAGATCTGCCGTAGTGTAACAAGTTTTAAAAAGGAGCATTTGGACAGATGTGGTGGGGGGATTGATCCGTGTCATTCACGTGGCCAGCTCTAAAACCAACTCAAAGAACACCTAAAAATTCTAATTTCTATATTTTGTGTTTGATTTTAAATACTTGAAATAAAACACATTTTAATCTAAAGTTGTAGATTCCTCTAGAGGCGGTAAATTGTGTAGCGGCCCTTTAAACAGTTGTGACGTGGGTTTGGGCCCTCCCCTGTGGATCCTCACCGGCAGCAGAGATCGTCCCTCGGAGGAGATGAGCACATTAATATTGCAGGGAAACTCCATCTGGTGGTAGTTAAAGTCATAATCAACCTTCTGCCACGAGATCAGGTTCCCGAGCGCGGTCACGTTCCTCACACCTGATCAAACACAACATTCAGGATTTACACAATTATCAACGCAAAGCAAGACGCACACAAAGGACCCGGATTAGTGTGATCCAGACTTGACAGAAGTATCATTCATGTACAAAGACGACTCAGAGAAACTTAACATTTTCAGAGGCAGACTTTGAAAACTGGGCTCAATATCAATTATCAATGATTTCTTCCTGGGAGCACATTTTGTTCAAGGCTCCTCTAAAACTGTTCTTGTCCAACTTTAAAACTTTAAGAACTAAAAGAACCAGTCCGTTGTGTAGTGTTTTGACTGTTAAATAATAATATAATAAGTAGATTTCATTCAAGTTGTATAATTGACGGTCAACAGGAGTGGAGCACAAGCAATAAATAAACAATGATACAAATCCCCCCAATTAGACCAACAGACTCTTGGTAATTACATATTTTACCGATTGGACACTGATAGTAACAGGGTATATCGGTATACTTAATTTATCTATTTTTTTAATCTTTGACTTAATGAGATACTTTCGTCAGTTGATTCCATATGTATCACAATCACAAGTGGATGTATTATGTTTGCGTCAGATAAATCTCTATAAATCCTTCAAAATAATATGCATTACAGACATCTTGATCTTCCTGAAAATGTGAGACAGACCTCTTCTCTGACAATGTTCAAATCCAGGTCCAAAACTGCCATTAAAAACATCACGTGACACTGATGTACTGGAATTGTACATATTTAAATCTTCCACGCCAGGGTCTCTGAGTGCATAGGTCTTGTACCGCCCCCCAGTGGTGGCCGTGGGCACTGCCTCATACCTGTGGTGTCCAGCTGCCCCTGCTGCAGCCGCGTCTCGTCCAGAAAGAGTGTGGTGTTCTTGGACAGCTGCAGCGCTCCGCTCAGCAGCCGGTTGGCCGTGTAGTCCTTCTTAGGAACCAGCCGCATCTGGTTCATGTTCTGGAGGCTCATGGGAAGGTAGTACGACTGGAAGAACAACGAAACACAGTGAGAAAACTACCATCTACCTGCAGATCTGGGTCAGTGAAGACGTGTGATCGATAGGGCTGAAACAACTAATCGATTAATCGACGACTAATCGATTATTGAAATAGTCGACAACTATTTTAGTAATCGATTAATCGTTTTCTGGTTCACACGGACTCAAACAGAGCAAAAATGACATGAAAATGTAGTATTTTTGATTAAAACCGACTTTGTTTTTATAATTTCATGAATATCTGTCTGTCTCATCCAATCAGAGCAGAATTAGCACAAAGAGCCTGTTACAAACATTTACTTTAAGTTTACGCCATCAATACGTCCTCGAGTGTTGCCACTTTAGCTTTTTGTGATGAGAAAATATAAAATTTTCTACACAATTCACAGCCAAGCGATTACTCGATTAATCGTAAAAATAACCGATAGATTAATCGATTACAAAATAATCGTTAGTTGCAGCTCTAGTGAACAAAACATCCATCCATCCATCCATTTTCTTCCGCTTTATCCGTTGCCGGGTCGCGGGGGCAGCAGTCTAAGCAGAGACGCCCAGACTTCCCTATCCACACACACTTCCTCCAGCTCGTCCGGGGGGACCCCAAGGCGTTCCCAGGCCAGCTGAGAGACATAGTCCCTCCAGCGTGTCCTAGGTCTTCCGCGGGGCCTCCTCCCGGTGGGACGTGCCCGGAACACCTCCCCAGGGAGGCGTCCAGGAGGCATCCGGAACAGATGCCCGAGCCACCTCAACTGGTTCCTCTCGACGTGGAGAAGCAGCGGCTCTACTCCGAGCTCCTCCCGTGTGACTGAGCTCCTCACCCTATCTCTAAGGGAGCGCCCAGCCACTCTGCGGAGGAAGCTCATTTCGACCGCTTGTATCCGCGATCTCGTTCTTTCGGTCATTACCCAAAGCTCATGACCATAGGTGAGGGAGGGAACAAAGATTGACCGGTAAATCGAGAGCTTTGCCTTTCGGCTCAGGTCCCTCTTTACCACAACGGTCCGATACAGCGACCGCATAACTGCGCACGCTGCACCGATCCGCCTGTCAATCTCACGCTCCATTCTTCCCTCACTCGTGAACAAGACCCCGAGATACTTGAACTCCTCCACTTGAGGAAGGACCTCTCCACCCACCTGCAGAGGGCAAGGCACCTTTTTCCGGTCGAGCACCATGGCCTCGGATTTGGAGGTGCTGATTCTCATCCCAGCCGCTTCACACTCGGCTGCAAACCGTCCCAGTGCATGTTGCAGGTCCTGGTTCGTTGGAGCCAACCGGACAACATCGTCCGCAAACAGCAGAGATGAAATCCTGTGGTCTCCGAACCGGACCCCCTCCGATCCCTGGCTGCGCCTAGATATTCTGTCCATAAATACAGTGAACAGAACCGGTGACAAAGGGCTGCCCTGTCGGAGGCCAACATTCACCGGGAACAGGTCTGACTTACTGCCGGCAATGCGAACACAGCTCTGGCTCCGGTCATACAGGGATCGGATGGCCCTCAGCAGAGGACCTCCGACCCCGTACTCCCGGAGAACCCCCCAAAGGACACCCCGGGGAACACAGTCGAACGCCTTCTCCAAATCCACAAAGCACATGTGGACAGGTTGGGCGAACTCCCATGAACCCTCGAGTATCCGATGGAGAGTATAGAGCTGGTCCAGTGTTCCGCGACCGGGACGAAAACCACACTGCTCCTCCTGGATCCGAGATTCGACCATCGGCCGTAACCTCCTCTCCAGTACCTTGGAGTAGACCTTACCGGGGAGGCTGAGGAGTGTGATCCCACGATAAGTGGAACACACCCTCCGGTCCCCCTTCTTGTAGAGAGGGACCACCACCCCGGTCTGCCACTCCATTGGCACTGCCCCCGATCGCCACGCGATGTTGCAGAGACGTGTCAGCCAAGACAGTCCTACAACATCCAGAGACTTTAGATAATCAGGGCGGATCTCATCCACACCCGGAGCCTTGCCACCATGGAGGCTACCAACCACCTTGGTGACCTCAGCCAGGGAGATGGATGTACCCGCCCCAACATCCTCAGCCTCTGCCTCTGTAACAGAGGACGTGACGGGGGGATTGAGGAGAACCTCAAAGTATTCCTTCCACCGCCCGACAATATCCCCAGTCGAGGTCAGCAGCTCTCCACCCGCACCGTACATGGTGTTGGCAAAGAACTGCTTCCCCCTCCTGAGGCGCCGGATGGTTTGCCAGAATCTCTTCGAGGCCGACCGATAGTCATGCTCCATGGACTCTCCGAACTCCTCCCAGTCCCGGGTTTTTGCCTCTGCAACAGCCCGGGCCGCGGCACGCTTGGCCTGCCGGTACTGGACAGCACAAAACAATTTAATCCAAAAATAAACATTGTAATATCTCTGGCTGTCTGTAGTGCTTTAATTGCTCAAAGATTTCTTACCAAACATTACATGCCAATGATTTATTTTGATTACATTTACAAGATTTTCTGTTATAGGAGAAACTGCAAAACTGGAGGCATGGAGCAGATCAGCGGAGGATTTTGGCATTTACTTTAAGTTAGTAAGTAAGTAATCTTTACAGACCAGAGTCACAAAGCGCTTAACAATCGTTGTGGGCATTTGTCTCCCCACTTCAAACAGAGATGGGAGCGGGGTCACCGTACAGGAGGCACATGCAAGACATATTGAACACGTTTTTAGTAGTAGGGGAAACCGAAGCACCCGGAGGAAACCGAAGCAGACATGGGGCGGACATGCAAACTCCACACAGAAAGGTCTGGAGGTGGAATTGAACCCAGGCACCAACCACTTCACCACTGTAACTTATCTTTACATTAACAGTTACATTTTAAGGTGCTTTTAAAAAAATTAAATCTTTTGGTCTTGTGAGTTCAGTCTAGATTAGATATGTCATCGTTTTTGACTTTTTTTTGCTGCGCTCCAGTTGTAGTCGACAAGTGGAATTTCATTGCTGAGTTACAACCCTAGTAATAAACAATGAAAACACTCAGACCCAACATTCTCGTCTAGACATGGCAACTTTGGATTGTCAAGAAGCTTTGTTTTATCCTGCTTATCAAACAAACAAGTCTGCGACATGCCGACTGCACTGTTGTATTTCTGGTTGTAGTAAATCACATAAATGCAATTCCATCCTGACCACACTGTCTTCATAGTCAAAGTTTGAGACTCACGGATGGCACCAGTTGCTGAATGATCTGATACAGTCTCTCGGTGTAAGAAGCCGGAACTCCGCTGAGATTCAGGGTGAACTTCCCCAACGGCAAAACGTCTCGTCGAGCGTAACTGCAAAACAATAACCACAACACAATTCATTTTTATATGTCAACCCATCAGATAAGAGCTCAAAATGCAAGGACACGATATCAAAATGTAGAGGTTCAGCTTAAAATGGTCAAGTATGTACACGAAGACATAATCTTTCAGTGTACTGTGACTAAAATGAGAATGTCCTTGTTCCATTGCCAAAACTTATTTAAGACGGTGGGTATTTTCATTTACATTTTACCTTACCTCTTTCAAGTCAGTACTTTTAATTCATATAGCGCAATTCACAGACCAAGGTCACACAAAGCACTTTACATTTTGTCATTTCCATTCCCTGCACTCTGCGAGGCGCCGAAAACACTGAGTATTAAAGCCTCATTACGTTCAGAAGTATTGCACGTGTTATTACTGGTAGGGGAAACTGGAGCAGACACGGGGAGAACATGCAAACTGCACACAGAAAGGCGTTGTATGGAGGCCGAATCAAACGCAGGACCTCCTTGCTCTAAAGTGCTAACCATTGACACAAGATTCAAGAATGCATTTGTTATTTGCAGTAACACCGTGCACGACTACACCAGTGTGCACCAGGGGTAGTCAAGACCAGTGCTCAGACTTCTAAACTATTCCAGCATTTGTGAGTTGAGTGATACAATGCACTTCACAAAACATATTTTAAATCACGTGATGTTTGTCAAGATAATCGCTGTTAGATCTTGCCAGAATTATATGAAGCCATTACATTTTAAAGCCATAATCCTAATTTTTCATGATTCCAGACTCTCAGAACGCCGCGACTCACACGGTGGAGATGAGGTGAAGGATGAGGAACTCTGCGGCCAGAGCGTCGCCCAACAGAACGTGAGTAAAATACGTCAACAGCTCGGCACGAACCGAAGGGAAGTCAGCCACCGACGAGGACAAGACTGAGACAGAGAAGAAGAAGAGGATTAGTGCAACCAGCATAGTCTTTTTGTAATCCAGCAAAATTAATAATTACAGCAGCTTGAGTGCAGTAGTTGGTATTAAGATTTTTTTTTTTTTTCATGTCTCTAAACCTGCAACAACTGATCGATCAAGTGCCTCATGTCCCTAAACTCAGCTTTGGCTCGTACAGCGAGGCCCAAAGTGAGTTTTTGATGGCTCCCTAAATAATTCTGAACATACAGCATTGATGTAAGAGGTCACTATGGGCTACCATGGCACGTCATGTTTAATCATAAAGCCAATTAAACAACTATATTATTGAATTCTTTATAAACATTGGACCCAAAATGCAATTGGGTTGAATAAAGAAATAAGAAGTCAGCAGTCTATATTTTTTTTACATTTGATCCAATTTCGGTTCAATCCAGAAAAGCAAATCCAAACTCATATTGAAAAAATAACTCCATAATAAAAAATAAAAAAACCATGAATGCAAACAATCAGCTTAAAACAAACTTTACACTAAGAAATGCATGGATAAGTTTTGTGAAAAAGCAGCCAACAAAAATCTCTAAACTGGTTGTGCCTGATTATGTGAGGTCTTACAGGTGCTGTTGCTCTCCACGGGGGCAGGGGGCAGCAGAGGGTTGTTGTGTTGCAGGGCTTTAGCGTGGAGCACGTGCAGCCGAGGGACGAGCGAGGCGGGGGGGCAGTGTACGCGCTGCTCCTCCACCGTCTCCATGGCGTCCGCGGGGTCCAGGAGGGAGGAGCCTTCTCTGAAACAGCGGGAATATTCAGTCAGAACGACAGCAGCGATCGTAATCACATTTTAGGCTCGTCAAATATATCACAATTACATTAACTTAGATCAGTGTTTTTCAACCACTGTGCCGCGGCACACTAGTGTGCCGTATGATATTGTCTGGTGTGCCGTGAGAAATTCGTCTACTTTGTCTAAAAATAGCTGCATTCGCTGTTGACGAGCGGTGACTTGTTTTGAACTGTGAGTAACCATGTAATACTTTTTCAAATCAGTAGATGGCAGCAGATAGCTAAGTACTTTGAGGCTATATCCACACGAAGACAAAACGCTTATAATTTCAGAAACTTTTTCTGTAAACACGGAGTTAGCTCAGTAAATGTGTGCGTCCATATGAATGTAGTCAATACGCCTGAAAACGCTGTGAAACTATGCAAGACCTGTTGGTGGCGCTGTGACGCAATGACGGGATCAAGCCCAAACTTCCGTGACGGGAACTGGGTATGCGCGGAATTTTGTAAACAGACAACATGGCGAGTGGGCGAGCTGGTACTACATTAGTATGGACGGACGATGAGGTTGAACTGTTGCTTCGGGTCACACTGGATTACAAAACCAACAAGCTACATTGTTGTTGTCATTATTTTCTGAGTGCGGCGCATGCGTGCTTTAACAACAGGCGGGGCGATGACGCAAGCGTCTCAGATACATTGCGGAGAGGCAGTAACCACGGAGCGGCATATACAGAGTTTTGAAATCTTTCCACTCTGGGACCTGGTTTCAAAAATGTTCGTTTACACCCCCCCAAAACGCCGGCCTCGTATGGACGATACACTGGATTGATAAAGTATTTTTGCGTTTAGGCCTGAGCTTGACTTCGTGTGGACAGGGCCTGAAACTGAAAAATTGGATGCGACCACTGGCTGTAACAGGTAGTGGGAGCAATGTGGCGAGAAAGGTAAAATTGGATGCGACCAACAAATGTGGGAGGGAGCGAGACAAGAGCTTTGTGGCGAGTGAGAAGTGAAAGTGATAGAGACGTTTTTGAAAATGAATTATGCCGTTTCTAAACAGGATTAAAATCCTCCGCTCTGCCCCGGGGCAGCTGTGGCCGCGTTGTAGTGGTTTAACTATGAAATGTACGATTTTTGTACAACAGCTCTCGCGAACGCACTTCTGAACTGGGTACCGAGCGCAGACCGTAGTCGAGTGGACAGAACCATAGACATGCGGACCGGACAGAACCATGGACTCGCGTTCAGGACCTCCCGTGTCCCTCATCCAAAACTCCTGAATTTAAAGCTCGGATACCAAAATGTTTCCCATGCACTAACAATGCATGTTCTTTGTGTGAGTTATTATTTGACTATTTGGGCAGAGAGTGGATTTTCTTAGTTTTTTTCCACACAGTTAGTGCCACTTTATTCCCAAACTCTTGTTAATTGTATCGAGAAATATTAAATAAAGCTTAATTTCAAGGCCTGGACTTAAGCATTTTGATGAGAATAACTGTATATTGTGAATATAGGCTACAGAGTATACTGTATACATTATAAGATAAGATATACTTTATATATCACACAGAGTATGTACAGTATATATTTTTTTACATTAGTACTGTATACATTTTTACATTTTCTCCTGGAGGTGTGCCGCAAGATTTTTTCAGTGAAAAAAGTGTGCCTTGGCTCAAAAAAGGTTGAAAAACACTGACTTAGATGACGGGGGAGTATCATCATGCAACTGTCATCACACTGGATTAGATTATATCAGATTAGAACTCTTTGATGAATGTACTGAGCGCAGGACCATCTTACTTCTCCAAAGCGCTCAGAGCCGGGCTGACGGACAGGACTCCAAACACTTCTATGACGTCATTCACTTTGTACTTCTCCCAGTCTTCATAAACCTGCAACAGAAAAAGGATTTCAGTTGTGTCAGAATATTGGATTAAAACACAAATATAATTCAAATACATCAAAGCTTTATGCAGATCAATTTGCTCGAGTCTCAGGTCGCCATGATTCAGTCTCTCTTTTTTCCTTTCATTGGTCTCTGTCCTCGCTCTACAGCCCGAGTCCTCTATCTATCTCACTTTTTCCCCATGGGGTTTTCAAATTGTTCCTTGACAATGCAGGCGGGTCTTAGTGATGATCCAGGACATTTAAGAACTTTTTTTTAACATTGACATTGGTCGACCGCTCCCTATGGACCAATGGCTCTTATGCTTTTGTTAATACTGCATTTCCAACTGTTTGATTCTCTGATCTGTGTTGGCAAATCAACAACTTTGAAAAGTACTCAGAGACTGCTCTGTCGATTTAGGGCTATACAAAAATACATTGAATTGGAATAATTTGTGTGTTTTTTTTATTTAACTGAACATTTAAGGATGAAGATAAAAGGAATCACTGTAGAACTTTTTACTGATGGAAAGGCCATCATGATATCATTTGTAATTGAATTTGCTCAGTATCCCCCTCCCCTCCCCGAGTGGGTTGTAGTCACAGAGCGCATGTGTGGTTGTGGTCTCACTTTGACGAGGCAGGAGGGGCCCTTCTCTCCGGGTAAAGGGAAGTTCAGGTCGAGAGGCGCTGGGGTCGACGAGTGGTTTGAAGGAGCTTCTGTCTCTTGTCGTTTAAAGTCGCCGTTTCTGTAATTTTCAGTCTGAGGACCTGAACACAGAGAAACAAACAAAGCACATTTTAGAAGAACCAATTACTTACACTGCATTTTTAGATAAGTCGACGGCAGCCATGTTTTTGATTTTAAGGGGCCAAAGAGACTGTTTTTAAGTATTGACAATGTTGTTTTTTTTCAAGCTGCTTTACTGGAAGCTGCTACTACTGCTCCACCTTAAGTTGTAAGTAGTAACACAGTGCAACAGATTGAACTTTATTATAAGTCCATGGATTTAAAAAAATAAAAACTGCATCTATACATTGTAGATGGGCAAAATGTGGACATTCTCTGGAGTTGTTACCAGTTTGCTGTGTGTCCATGGCCTCGCCCTCGTCCTCCTCGTAGCTGCGTTTCTGTCGCGTCGGAGCGTAAGATGTGGAGGGAAGGACGCGCACCTGACTGGAGCCGGTGTAACAGTGCGACCACAGTCAAAGAAAAGTATGAAAGTGAAGCAGAGAAACACACTGGATCAAATGCGACAAAACAAACAATATGAGTATAGGGTTATGAGTATGTTTAGTAGCTTCATACCTTTCTCTACAATCGTTATTTCCAACACAATCTACTTCAGTGCTTGGATTTAAAAGTGGACACTATGTTCAGTGTCGTCTTCCGAAGAGGAGTAGAATAGGGATTTCAGTCTCTTACACCAGGATTGAGGATTGCAGTTCAGTTAGTTTGAAATTAATTTATGGAGATTTATATTTCTAACTGTTGTATTTAGTTATAAAGACAACATGTTACCACTATAATAGTTTTGCTAAAGCAGCTCTCCAAGGAAATACCCATGCCTTACACCAGAGACAAAATATGAATCAATATCTGTCAAAAAGACTACTCCACTCTGTCGGCTGTTCTATAATAAATTACAAAATGCGCTTCATTTGTTGATGATTCACAGAGAATAAAGCTAAATTTGTTCTTACAGAAAGTGAGAGAAAAGGGAAAGCATGTGGGCGGAATGAGGCAAAGTGCCACATTCAGCAAATTCTTCGGTTTTAGAAGAAAAAGTTTAAAATAGTCTCTTGTAATGGCAATAATTCGTATATACTGTATGAACATTTTGGTATTTATTAAGACACAAATTGAACACCTGAATTGAAATTGACCTGACCAGCTTAATATATAACTGAACTAATATATAATCAAGTGTTTTTCAAGAGATGCTAGCAGCGAGTTTAAAGAATCCTCCACATCTCATGATCAGAGTTTCTATCCCTTTTCTGCATGTATGTAATAACATCATGAAAAGGATATGTCTTTGACCCATGCGTTTTCCCCGGGGACAGGCACACAGTAGAAAGGCTGTCTCTCGAGGGTCACCATGTTGTCCGAGTTAAAATCGATCTGGAAAACACAACAGAAATATGTTACAGACAAGTGCGTGTGGAGGAGGTGTCTTTAGTTATTATTATTTGTGTGTTTAGACTTACTCCGGAGTCGGCCACGTCTCTGTACTTGCCACATTTTAAAACCTGTGGTCAATTCAATGAAAAGTAAAATGTTAATCACACTCAAACATCTGCCATTTTATAATCTATTATTACTCCTGTTTAGTAATAGTTCCTGTTTTCTGTAGTTTCCTACTTTACAAACACTATTCTATATGGACAATAAGAATAGACCATGGGAGCTTATAAATGCAATATCATGTCAATCTATCACTTAGGGCTGGGCGATATGGCTGAAAACTATATCACAATATAAGTCATTCATATCGGTCGATAACGATATATATTGAGTTTTTTTTTTACCTAAATAAATATATTTGTCGTGTGGGCTAACCAACCTTAGCAGCCTTGTTTACAGTCACGGGGCGATGAGGCTGGAGGAATATGTTCACACTGTGTCCCTCGTTGTTAGTCCTGGTTTAATCCTGGTTTTTATTCCTGGTTTAGCTCCTGGTTTAGCTGTTTGAGGGTCTTGTGTCCCCGTGGCCGCTCCGTGCGGCTCTGTGCCGCACATGCTTCCCGAGGAAAAAGTTAATCTCTTGCTTTCGCCGAGTACATCGTGTCTGTCCACTGCCTCTGCCGCCGCACATGTTATTCCGCGCACGTACGTACATAACCATTGACACGGCATTGAAACACGAGCTATAGATCCATGGACGCTACGCATGGTGCGGTTGTTGTTGTTTTTGCATTTCCCACAACGTTTTGCGGTTCCTGCTCGGCTGTTATTGGTCGAGAAGCCTCTGCCTACATCCCCCACAATGCCATGCGCTTATGAGTCGGCTTTACTTCCGGTGTTTTCTTCCTGTTTTTCCTGACGGAGTTAAGTTAAACTATCGAACATTCTATCGACCCCATTCTCTATTGATATCGAACACATGTCTATCGCGATATATATCGTTATCGTTTTATCGCCCAGCCCTACTATCACTACTACTGTTGTAACGATACTACATTTCAAACTCGATTTTGAATCCAATTTCAAGCAAAATAATGATTCCCGTTTCACCTTCATCCAGCAATTCCCAATAATCTTTTACCCAATCTGTAGTAATGTGACGTGTGAATCTTTTTTGATAACAATTTTAACATCACAGCAATAAGTTAGAAATTCTATACATCTTATGGGCCCAAAAGTTATCCTGATTTTGTTAGAAACGTTTATCAAGAAAAGCTCCATAAAAAAAATGGTTGTGTTTACTATACTAATACTATAACATAATTATTTATAACTACATTCACAATAATATACATCTGTACACCATTTTATTACACTCTGTGGTAGTGTGATTTTCAAAAGAAAGGAGGTTTTTGTCCTTTGGGAATGTCGATGTATTGTATTGTTTTAACTTTTATTTTAACCTGTTGCTGCGTAAACCGGGAGGCCTGACTCACTGTGTTTGTGCAGAATCTGTATGTTCTGCTCTGAGATTCTGCTACAAATTAATTGCCATTTGGGATCAATAAAAGTTTACAGAATCTGATTTATTATTTATCCATATGTATGATTTTATTTTATGACAACACGGCTGTAGTCAAAGGTCAATCCATCTGACAAATCAAATTACGGCAAAAATAAACCATTAAACACCACAAGAGATGCCATTTACCTTTGCTTTTGTTGACGGGTCGGTGGTCTCATATACTCCCATGTAAAACTCTGGATCGAACATGTCCTGGATCATACAGCGGAACTTAACCAGGCTGTTTGGCTTCAGGTAATGCAGCGGGACATCGTTCAGGGATGGGATCTAGACGTAGAGACAAATAAAACATTTAATATTATAGGATTATATTGTAGAGCTGCACAAATAAAAGTCACTGAATTACCGAGGTTTGGGCTTCTTTCTCTTTGAGCTGCTCACTGAAGAAACCAAGAGCTTTAGCCTCCCATTTTGAGTCTGGATTGTTTTGGCTGTCACCTAAAAATATATTTAAAAGTATGGCATTTAAAGCTTTCTTACTGCAAATATATGTTCTGTATGTTTAGATCAGTGAATGAAGATACTAAACTATAATAATATTAATGTTGAAAATACATCAGTAGTCTTTAAAAATACACTCCTTAAATTATGGGGTCAAATTAAGTGTAACAATTGACAATTGTATCCATGTGATAATATGTTTTTTGTTGTAGGATTTAAGCAGTTCAACAACTTTTTATTGTTATCTTATGCTTGACACAATAGAATATTTGTGTGAGTATAGTCTGGGTTTTTAGACTATGGGCAAGAACTTTGACTATGATTTCCCCACATAGTTTCTTCTAAAAATGAGGAAACATATGTATTTTGCATCACAGCATGGCAGTGTTGAGTTGTTAGCATGCTAAGTGGCTAACTCCCTGGCTTCCCATGCAGTGCTGCTGTCATGAGTTCAGCCTGGATCGGCGTCAAACTCACCAAACATCGCCTCTACTACACCCAGCGGGTTGTGGATCCACTCCTGCGAGCCAGACATCTTCAACCAGTGAAACGAAGTAACGAAAATAAAAGTATCCAGCCAGAACCCGGAGATGTGCGGTACTTTGCTGACTTTACCCTGGCTTCACTGAGAGCAGGGCGGGAAACTTTCGTCATCGGTTCAAGTCAGGGTGCGTTTGTTTTGAGAAAAGAGACTTATCAAAACAAATTAATTTTTAATTTAATCCCCACGAAATATAGTTAAACAAATATATAAAAATATATTTCGTTTTTAAGAATAATAATGATAATACAAAACAGCATTCAACAGTTTGTGATTATTAACTATGACCGTGTCCATGGCAACGATAGAAGTTAAAGGGCTTCATACAGGTTCGCAAAATACAAGCACGATCCTTCCAAATTTCATCCTACTTGGGACATTTTTTACATTTATACTTTTACTTCTTGGTTGAAGATTTTTATTTAAACAGGTGTTGCTGGATCAGAAAGAAAAAAAAACGTTTGGAAATGTTACATAGTCATGCGCACTTTAAACCGTGTGCACATTTATGGGCTCATGAAAAACTTGTGAAGATGATAAGTGGCTGCTGCCCACCACTAGAGGCAGTGGTATTAGTAAATTAGGCAGTGGAATTAGTAAAAAACGCATCTAAATTCACCGAACATACTTCCTTTTTCCTCCATACTTTTCCTTTAAAGTTGACCTGTATAAGGGAATAGGTCCATGTTCAATCAAGTGGTATTTAAACATATTTTAAAGACTTTTAATGATGATTTTTGTATCATAATACTAAAAAAGAACACAAAGGGACAGTGAAGGGAGTGAAGTTTTGAATTTGGATGCAGCCGTTTTTGTGGGCTTGTCTTTCACTACCACTGCTTCCGGTGGTGGTGGATACGTGTAATTTTTAGGTGAAAATGGCAGATAGAACTAAAAAATACCCGGACAGTGGAGCAAATCTTCTGTTTAGCGCCGCTCCGGAGTTTAACTTTAACCTGCCCTTCTTGCCGACGGGTCCAGCGCTGATGACAGGAGGTATGGCGCTTTCAACAGGGAGAGATGTGGAAGTTTAGCACTGCTGTTAGCTGCTAAGAAGCTAACCCGGTGTTTTGCCCTGTTGTCAGCTGTTATTATACCACTTTTGGCTTTACATGTGTCTAAATGCTAAATTACTCTGATCAGACCTATTGAATAGCTAACAGTGTGATTATAACAGCCTAGTTGCATCTCATCGTCACTGGCGACACGGTGGCTGAGTGGATAGCACTCTCGCCTCTCAGCAAGAAGGTCCTGGGTTCGAATCCCGGTCGGACCAGGGCCTTTCTGAGTGGAGTTTGCATGTTCTCCCCGTGTCTGCGTAGGTTTCCTCCGGGCACTCCGGTTTCCCCTACCACTAAAAATATGTCCAATAGTTCTGGCATGCGCCTCCTGTACTGGCGACCCCGCTCCCATCTCTGTGTGGAGTGAGAGACAAATGCCCAAAATTAACAATTGTAAACCGCTTTGAGACTCAGATCTGCAGTGAAAAGGCGGTATATAAATAAAAACTTACTTACTTACTTACTTACTGAGACCTAAGGATCCCTTCATTATTTTACTGATTTCTTGTCAACTGTTTCCCAGTACCATACAGGTCTTAATTAGGCCGAACAAATATTGAATCAATTGGGTAAAGTATGTAAACATTAGATCTAGCTATAGCTTGAGAAAAGGCAGTTTCCCAGTGTGTTAGCCCCAAGGCAGCTACAGCTTTCAACAGTTCAATGAACAACAAAGCAGTTACTGTCTTGTCTGTACTGAGAAATGTATAATGTTTTGTATAAATAACTTCCTGTTTTTTCCCTCATAGTCATTTTGCCACACTCATGATTTTGTATTGGTGGCTATGCTAGCAAATATTTATTTTTGATGACATTATATTTAACAATCCGGTTAAAATTTAGTTTAGGATTATTTAGGAATATTCAAGATTATTAATTTGGTTAAGGTTAGGGTTTTGGGAAAGGTATGTTAATCCAGCATAAGTATACATCTGCTGTTATTACTTCTAAGTAATCTGTATTTTATATTGCACATTTCACGGACTGAGCTCACACACAGTGCTTTACAATTGTTGGTTTATACTCTCAACTTCACAAGACAAGGTGTGAGGACATTTTGAATATCAAGCTCTACAGTTGTGTCATATGAATGTAAACATTTCATCTTGAGTTTAACATAGATAAAATACCAAATTATGTATAACATTATATTTCATCTACCTATCATACCTCAAAACTCCCCAATCAATAATAAACTATTTTGTTATTTGTTGCGATTGGAAGAAGAATAGTAAACTAGTTGAAATGAAACGAAAATAATGGCCTTGTCTTGCTCTCATGGACCCAGTCTTGTCTTTCATCTTATTTTGTTGAAATTTGACTCAAAACAAGATGAAAGACAGTCATTCTTGCTCTAGTGGCATGTCATGATGACCCAGGCTTAAAAGCATTCCCTTGATATCTGACCTTGAGACGTGTTTTTGTTCTCAGATGATTCGGTCGGTGAAGAGGACAGTTTTGTAGGACAGACTTCGGATAACGGTTCTGCCCCCTCAACATTTAACTACTTCTCCAACCCAGTGTCCAGCGACCCCTTTGCTTCCATCGGCCAGTCGCCATGTCCTCCACAGACCCTCTCACAGCCCTACACCTCTGCCCCTGTGTCCATGGGTCTTTCCTCTGCTCCAAGTGCTATGACCATGGCTCCCCCTTCTCTCCCCGCTGTCTCCCAAACGCTCCCACCCTCAGCTTTCACTGGTAATAGTGCATTTTTCCAGAGCCCGATGGGACGGCACACTCCCCCTCCCAGCTCCATGACTCCTCCTCCGCCTGTTCCTCCTCAATCACAGCTTCAGAGTCACAATCCATATCGGCACACAGCCTCCAGCAGCCGGGCCAGTCCGTACCTCGCGGCTCCGGAAGTCCAGCCCCCGTCACACTCGGCTCCACCGCAGCAGCAGATCCAATATGCTTTCAGTCCTCCTCAGACATTCACTCCTCCACCGCCAGCTCACAGTTTCCCCAGGGTAAGCAGCTCTGTTTCTTATAAGGTGGAGTATGCAAAGTATGTGGTGGATTGTTTATAAACAAGGAGGCTGTTATAACCAGTCTCCACACACAATGTAATGTTATTCAATGCAGGGTTTTAACTCAGCTCTTGTTTTGGTCATGTATTTAAGAGTTTTTAACATTTTGGAGTTAATGCATCAATTGTAGTATGAAATGAAAATTTCACATACATTCAAAAGTCATGAATAACTCTATTTACTTCTGTAATTCAATTTAACATGTAAAACTATATATGACACTCATTTCATGCATAGTGAGATATATCAAGATAGAATTTGTTATAATGTTCATAATTGGCTTGTAAGGGACTGAAAGCCGTAATCATCAAAAGCAGGACAAAAAAACATCGGTTTTTGCATTTTTCTTTTGCATGTAATAAGTTTAATCATATATTGGTTGTAGTTGACTTACTTAGACGTTCTGAGTTTCATCTCTATTTCTGATTCACAAATCTTATCAATAGAGAAACATTTTGTGAGAACGTTGGCAAAGAAAAATGTACAGCTCAGGTTTGTTGACATTCAAAAGCTAAGCTTACTGTAAGGGAGTTCCAGTAGTGTAAAATATCTAAACCTGGATTATCGCAGTTTTGCAAGAACTTCAGACGTCGACTTTGTAATGCAATCACTGAGTCTGGCACTAGTACCCTTAATATATATGTTTCTCATTGATCCAAGAGATTATTTTTGTTTAAATATGTTTCAAAGTTAGATGGATACAAATGTAGAATAGGATGTTTACTTTTGTTTTAGCTGTGACTGAATCGGGTATTGTATGCACACATTCACCAAATGCCAAAACAAATTTATATTTTATCATTGGCAAAAGACAAAGCTTCCGATTCTTAAAAATACCTTCATTCCACAAAATGCCATTTTTTTTCCCCCAAATATATAATTCGGTTTTAATGTGTTTTCTCAGCCTCCTCCCTCACAGATGCCCCCGCCTCCCCCCTCGGTCTCTGGGGCAGTGGTCCCGGCTTCTCCCATGATGCCGTACAACTATAACGTGTATGAGACGGTTCAGCCGCACTGGTTTTTCTGTAAACAAGTGGAGTCCAAGAGCGTGTGGCTCCCATTCAGCATCATCGACTCTCTGCAGCTCGAGGAAATCTACAACTCAGGTACACACCAAAAACCTTTTATTTATACACGATTTCAATGTTTAACTGCTGTGTTTTTGGCTTCAGCTGTTTTATGTTTTGTTATAATCTGTTTTAATATTTCCTGTTGCATTTTGAGTTTGAAAAGTGCATTATTTAACTCTAGGCATAGATTTTATGTTGGTGAATGCAAGTTGTTCTTACTCTGTAGCAATTCCAATATAATATTTTGAATTTATTTTGTGCGTGTAGTAATGAGTACTCGGTCTTTTTCCATCTAGAGAAATGGGTATCCTGTATAGCTGTTAGTTTACTAAATATAAATTTGTATATAAACTGTGTTCCTTTCTAATTACCACAGTAGTTCGTAAGTAGTCGTCCATGATCATAAAGACAAACAGTCTTAAAATACTAACTAATACTAATACTAAGACAGTACTGACAGTAGAATATTATTAGAGTGAGATCCTGATGACACTGCATTATCTCCTCAGTCCAACCAGATCCTGAGAATGTGATCGTTCGCACTGACGGCGGCCGGTACGACGTGCAGCTGTACGACCGGCTGCGGAGCGCCGTGTTCTGGGAGGAGGAGCCGACAGAAGTGCGACGCTGCACATGGTTTTACAAAGGAGACAACGACAGCCGCTTCATCCCCTACTCAGAGGAGTTCAGCGACAAGCTCGAGGTTTGAACCCTCAATATTAACCACAGTATAACCCAATTATTTATATATCACATGATGAGACAGTTACATATCCAGACAAAAAATATCCCGAGAGCCACAGAGGATTTCCGAACATGTAGTTATATTTTTTGGTGATTACTGCAGTTTTGCAAAATGTGCTGCAAACTATTAATTCATATTATTATGAGCCAAGGCTAAGAAAGTAGATGATAATGATTTTTACTTGAACATGTATTATTCTCTCAGGTGGAATACAAGAGGGCTGTCTCCACAAACCAGTGGCACCGCAGACTGGAGTTTCCTTCTGGAGAAACCATCGTTATGCACAACCCGAAGGTGAGCACTCTGTGATCCGATCTTAACTAAATGTTTAAAGTCCATATAATCGGCTGGTCGACTCTTTTCAAAAACACACGGATAAAGCTATTTGTCTTTGAATTTCACACAGGCATTCCATTTTAAACCCCGACATGGCTTTCTGTACGGTTCTCTTTCTTTCTTTGTTCTTCTTTGTTTTAGTCAAAAATCGCAACTTGACTAATACAAAACTGCTATAATTAATAATGATAATACAAACAAGGAAAAATAAATGATATATGTTATATATATATATATATATACACATAGTTACATATAATAAAGGATAATAAAAACATAAATAACAAACAGGCTGATGTAATGTGTGTGTGCAGGTCATTGTGCAGTTCCAGCCCTCTTCGATGCCCGATGAATGGGGAACGACACAGGACGGACAGACCCGACCACGTGTCGTCAAGAGAGGCATCGACGACGACCACGACGAAGTCCCAGACGGTAACGCGGCCACACAAGCCTCAAGTCATGAGGAAAAGTCACTCCAGCTCAAAAGACTGAGAAGGGACTGCATGGCATGTGATCTTATGATTCTGAGAAAGTTTCTGGAAATGAATGCAAAAATTAGCTTCTACTAGTGTTAGCACAACCCTCAGTGCATCCCTTTCACCTATACCTCCCCCACTCCATATCTGCCCAGTTGTAATGGGAGGCAAAGTAAAAACTGAACATGGAAAATACAACTCAAACGTTAAATTGAAATGGCATTTGAAGGGAGTAGTTAATACAAAGCTAAATTCAATATTGTGAAACTCAAACTCAACTATGATTCTAATTACAATTTCATGGTTCAAATTCTATTATACATTTTATGTTTTCAGGTGAGCTTGCGACTGTGGACCATCTGGTTTTCATGGTTCACGGTATCGGTCCTGTCTGTGACCTGAGGTTTCGGAGCATGGTGGAGTGTGGTGAGTGGTCTGGTGTTTTCAGAGTTTATAATAGTTCACTTTATAGTGCGTTAAAGCATTTCAAAGTTTGTGCATGTTTCATAATATACAATATAATGTATCATACTCAAACACAAACTTAACAGCATCATTCATTCATTCACTCCACATGTTGGGGGTAAGCCACTGCTGTCATTCTGTTCCATAGCGAACTATCTGAATGACGTCACTAAGACACGCCCCCGCCGCCTGTCAACTCCCGCCCACATGTTTCGGACAAACACTGCCAAAATGAATCAAATACCTCTTGTCACTTTAGACGAAAATGATAAACCAGGGGCAAAATTCCACCATCAAACCATCAGGGATCATAGTGTAGACCAATTATAACGTTGGCTTGAATGTCGTGGTCTTCCAGTAACTGGTAGAAAGTTTGATTTGATAAAAAGGTAATGGTGAGGATTATGCTAACATTATCTAGTCATTTAAATTGCAATGTTAGCGCCTTCTTTGTTTATTTTGCTCTGATTAACTTCCATTTATCAAGTTGTTTTTTGTACTGTCCATTTCGTAATTAGTTTGATCATTTAGTTAACTACAGTCAGCCGATATTATAATAGATCCATGGGGTCACAACGGGCTACACCACTACTGTCTCTGAGAGAGAAACTATCGGAGCTAGCCACACTCAGTAAACGCAAACGACAATCAATCAACATATTTAAATGTTAATGCTAGAATATAATATTCATACAACACACGTGCACAGAGGTTTTCAGAATCATCTGTTAAGGTTTTCATGACAAAAATACTTTTTTAATGCGACTAAAGCGATCGCTTTTTTAAAGTAGGCGAACTAAAACCTTTGGGAACTATTTTCTTTGCACTCATTAAATAAACCTTTTGGCATGAATAGTGACAGTTTATTTTGTGTGTTCAGTTGGTACAAAGCCGTATAATAAGCGGACCCCAACGCGCTTTGTCTGTGCTTATTTTCCGATAGTCACAAAGTTGAAAAAATCCCTCTCATCTTTCTTCAGGTGTGAGAATTGTATACATTCTGGATTAGGACAAACAATACTAATATGGATTGATGGGGCTAACTACATTCAGAAGAGCTCAGACGGACCTGATACAGCGGTCCAGGTCCAGTCCCAGCTAAACGTAGCTAGGACTGGATCTGGAGGCTCCACAGTTGGTCCAGCGAAGTGTTTTGAAAAAAACATGTCCTTTTTAACATTTTCATGAGAGAAATTCTGCTGACCACAAGCACCCACCTGGTCTGATCTGGTCCTGGTCTGGTCCTGGTCTGGTCCGATGGTGTGGTTTAACGAACAGGTTGAATGTTACTGCTTTCATATAGTCCTTTTCAGAGTATCTGAAATCGCTCCCACAAGCACCATAACTGCAGTGTTTTGTTGTCACCATGATTCAATGATTTAGCCCAAATAAATACACACGCGTATGTGGAGAACACAGTAGTACTCAACGGAGTCGGACAGAGTTTGTCCGAAACATGCGCGCATGCGCAGTCATTGGAACTATTTTTAGCACATTTCGGAAACCGGACAGTGCCCTATTGGTTCCTCTTATCAATAATAATTATTCTCTCACACATAAGGGGATGGAAATTTGACCCCTTGACCCATCCAAACTGGGAGCATAAGGAAGAAATATTGTGCCAAACTGTCATTGTGCCCTTAGGCAAGACACTTCACCCACATTGCTTAGAACGAGTCTGGTGTGTGTGTGTGTGTTTGTGTGTTTGTTTGTGTATGTATGTGTTGGAGGGGACCATGGCACATACCGGTTGCCTCGCTTCAGTCAGTGTGCCCCATGGCAGCTGTGGCTACAGTAATAGTTTATCACCACCGTGTATGGAGTGAATGAATAATGACATGTGAAGCGTGTCCAAAACCACTTTATAAACTGATCTATTATTATCATGATTTTGTGCCTCTGTTCAGTGGACGACTTCCGCAGCGTGTCTCTCAAGCTGCTCCACACTCACTTCAAGAAGCAGGTGGACAATCACAACATCAGCCGCGTGGAGTTCCTGCCCGTCCAGTGGCACACGGCTCTACACGGGGACGCCACCGGGGTCGACAGGTCAGAGCACGAACCATTTCAGATACAGATCAGATTAACTGAATCTGAAATTTGCCATTTGCAGTAAAACCACATTGGAATACATGTGCAAAAAGTACCCCAGTGTGGACCAGACAAGCACATACATAAATAAGCTTTGTTTTACTCCATTCCCCATGTGTCTGGAACATTCTGGAGCATTACAACTCTTGTTACTTCCGGTCTATATATTAATTTGTTTGTTTATCTTTAGAAAAAAAATCTAAAACGACCTTCTGACAGACTTTATAGTCATTGCAATGTCTTATCCACATCTGTCCCATAACTTTATAATGCTGATGCTTTTTTTTCCTCTTGGCAGGCAGATAAAGAAGATCACGTTGCCGAGCACTGGGCGCCTCCGTCATTTCACAAACGAGACTTTGCTGGACGTGCTTTTCTACAACAGCCCGACGTACTGCCAGACCATCATGGACACGGTCGCCCTGGAGATAAACCGCCTCTACGCCCTGTTCATGGAGAGGAACCCCGACTACAGAGGATCGGTGTCAGTGGCCGGACACAGTTTAGGTAAAATAAAAAGGCTTAAAGCTGAGATACATAACTTTCAAACCATAAAAATGTAACTAATAAACTACACCCAGCTCCATCTGCTCCACACCTTTAAGCCTCAAATTTGCTGTGTATTATTTTGAAATTGGAATTGATGGATCTGCCACCTCCTTATCTCCAGGAAATGTCTTTTCTCTCCCCTAATAAGTTACACAGATGTTGGGAGATGTAAATAATTACAGCCTTTGAGCTTTGAATAGTGTTTGCGGAAGGTAGAGCCGTAAATATGGCAAATATGAACAAGGACGGTTGTAACTTCTTAAGTAAAGTCTTAGTATTCATTTCTCACTATCACTTAAATGCTCTCACTGTTTTTGTGAGATTAGACTTCAGTTTTTCTTTGTGTGTGCCATTGCAGGGTCCCTGATTCTCTTCGACCTTTTATCAAACCAGAACCTCGGATCATCAACGCCGATCATTCCCACCGCAAATGGGGTCGAGCCACAGGTCAGAAACACCAGGATTCAGGAACTCTGACCAAAGAGTATTTGAAAACAGGCAGCTGTATTCCCATGTATACAGAAAGGCAAATGCAGGACAATGAATAGTTATTGTAGCATGAGTGACAAGTCACATCTGCAGTCCCTGAGGTATAGTAATAATGAAAACTGATTTGTAGAACTATTAATATTGTGAACAAAAGTCACCATCAAAATATTATTCGAAAATCAACCTACACCTATTCATTCGAAGTTTCTCTCCCATTAGTAATACTTTTCACACATCAAAACTCTTTCCTTCTAACACATTCTATCTGCTGCTTATTAGATCGTCCAAAAATAAGTATTGGCAATGACTCGCAGAAACGCAGAGAAAGGCTGTTTTGGTGCTGGCGCTCTTACAGTTTGATAATATTGTGATATTTCTTTGTCGGTTCGAAGGCTCAAGCCCCTGTAGCACAAACCCCTCCGCCTGTCACGCCCCCGACTGAAGAGGAGACCAAAGAGGAGCCCAAAGGGGATGAGTTTGAGGAGCTGTCCGCGGTGCTGGAGCATCTGGGACTGTCCGATTACAGCAGCACTTTTGACCAGGAGAAAATCGACCTGGAGTCTTTTGTAAGTCTGGTTTCTGTGACATGTGATGTGTAATAGTCAGGAAGCAGATTTATTGTTTTTTCTTTTGTATTCCAGTTTATGTGCACAATCGATGACCTGAAAGAAATGGGGATTCCTCTAGGACCCAGGAAGAAGATCGCAAAGTTTGTCAAAGAGAGATTAAGCAAACAGGTGAGGACGGATGTGTTTATGATTCTGCACTTGGTAACGGTTGATTATTCTGAGACCTTGTACTCCTGTTTTGATCTGGTGACCGGTTTTCCAAGTCATTTGAGAGTGTGGTTTCTTTAAAATAAGCGACGTGTATAGCTGACCAAAGAAGCATTAAGATTCTGTCACTGTTAGTTCTGTGAGTCCAGGAAACAAATTCCATAAATATATGATAAATATGTTGTGATGTGTTTCATTTCAGGAGGAGCAGAAGGCAGCGGTGAAAGAGGTCCCTCCAGTGGCCGCTCCGCAAACTACAGCTTCTGTTTCTGAGCCTGAGAAAACTCTTCCTGTTGGAGTTTCATCTGTTCACGTCAATTACAACTACTTCAAAGTCGGCACGGGGCAGGTACCGCTCTCAGAGACCACTCACTATATGACTTTTTGTTTTTAATTTATGCAGTAGAAGAACAGGTCTAAAAACACTGAATGAGTTGTGTTCATGTGCCATCAGAAAGTTCCAGAGAGCCTATAATTTCTTTCCTGGCAACTGCTAAAAGTCAGATTTTTAGTCTTAGTTTAGAGCTCGTTTCTGTGTAATCTCTGGGGCCAATCCACACAGAACAAAACAGTCACAGAGTTTAACAATATTCAAACATTTGCAGAATGTTGCCAGTAAACAGGACTTTCAGACATTAGTTACATGGCGAGTTCGGTTTTCTTTCAGAAATTATTTTAGTTTTCAACATTTCTTTCATATGTTGTTTTGTTCTTGTAGCACCGTTATAGCACCGGATTTCCAGTCCATGAACCTATTTGTCAAGCAGCCATTTTAATGTCAAATATTATGCAAAAAATAAAATAAAACATATCTATTCTATTCTATTAAAGGTAAATTCAATCTTTTTCGTCATTCAGACTAAAACATGTTCTCCTCTGGTGCAGGTGTCGGTGGTCTATCACACTCTGGACTTTGAGCCGGTCAGCTTCTTTGCGCTGGGGTCTCCCATCGGGATGTTCCTCACAGTGAGGGGTCTGGAGCACATCGAGGAGACCTACCACCTGCCCACCTGCAGGGGCTTCTACAACATCTACCACCCGGTACTTTGAACAAACCTTTGTATACACTTTATTATTTCAAGACACACACCAGACATATACGGTAATTATAATCATAATTTGTCTCATAACAGCTGGAAATGACACCAAACTACACTTATTGTATTTAGGAGAAGTTTTGACATAAGGGCATTACTTCTTGTTTTTTCCCTACTTTTGTGAACAAACCAGACCACAACATGCTCTTTATCTTTTTGGACATGAGCTCTGACATTACATCAACATGGATCACAACCTTCTCTCCTGTAGACTCAAATCTTTCATGGTTGTGGATTACCTTTACATACAAATGGATGAATTCATGTGTAGTGAAAGACTCTTAACCTTTGTGTCTGTGTGTATTTACTTATATATAAATGACCTGTTAATATTTTTACAGTTGGACCCTGTGGCGTATCGCATTGAGCCCCTGATCGTCCCGGACCTCGACCTGAAGCCAGTTTTAATCCCACATCATAAAGGCAGAAAAAGGCTCCACCTCGGTAAGACCAGCTCCTGCACTAGTTTCAGTTTAACGTTCAGCTCTTTATGAAGCAGGTTCTGTACTTTTACATTTGCTCCTTCATTAAGAAAACATCCCATTTCAAGGATCACTGTTCTCAAGAGAATGGTGTTGTTTCAGGCTTCGCAGCTGTGTAATAAATATTAATTGGACTCCAGAGAAAATGGCTTCTTTTAAGCAGGAGATAATGAGGACTTTATAAGTGCACTAACAGTCTTCAATTTGGCATTACATCTTTTTTATATGCATTTGCTTCATTACAAATGTTTTAGAGCTCAAAATGGCCCCTCAGTGTGTGATGTTTTTACCGCCAACAAGCAGACCCTTTAAAACACCTTTCACTGTGTCACATGGCAGAGGTTTGGAAAATATTACTTCATACATTTTTTTAAACAATGGAAACATTTTCAACTTCTATATTCCAAAAATGTAAAACCACTTAACATTTCCACAGAAATTGGAACTGCAAAAAATCATACATTTTTATAATTTCATTCCCTTGTTGCAAGTAAACAAGAGCATCATAAAAGACCTGAAGACATAACGAATGAACAGGAGCCAGTGGTGCCTGAGGCCGACTGCAGTGAGGAGACACGGGGTCCCTGTGGTCTGTGAATGTTGTGAATAATATGTTGTTTCCTCAGAGCTGAAGGAGAGCCTGACGCGGATGGGCTCGGACCTGAAGCAGGGTTTCATCAGTTCTCTGAGGAGCGCTTGGCAAACGCTGAACGACTTTGCTCGAGCTCACACTTCGTCCGACCAGCTGCAGGCTCAGCTCGCCATCGTGGCCAATCAGATCAAAGAGGAGGAGGAGAAGAGCGCGCAGCAAGGGTCTGCTTCAGTGGATCATACACAGGACAGGGGTAAAATCATACACACATTGTTTGACAGAGTGACAAGCTGGAGTTTAATTTTCTTTATACTACTATCAAAGACAGGATGTAGTCGCACAAGAAATCTGTAGTACAAGTATACTATTTACACACAAAAAACTGTGTGTGTGTGTATCTCGGATGATTGTAGATGTGTTGTATGTACTTCTGTATACTCGCACGGATGTAAACCAAAAGCAGCTAAGATTAGGTTTAAATTTAAAGATTTTTTAAAAGAAAAATGAAACAATCTTGGTAAGTCCCCAAGTGCCTTTCCGAACACTCTGGGACTTATTTTAGTGTTTGGTCCCGGTCTAAGGTGAACTTTCCCATTTTGAGGGAAAGTTTCTTTATTAAGCCTTGGTTTAAGGTTAGGATTGGTAATAAGACCAGGGTTATCTTGCAGCAAACAAAATACCAAGATGTGTGAATGTGAGCAGTCTCTGATGTCCACTCTGACCTCCTGTTTGTGCAGACGATAAGAGGGAGCTGGAGACCCCGGAGCCTCAGCGGGAGGAGGAGCCGCAGGTGAAGATCGGGATGTTGAACGCAGGAAACCGGATCGACTACGTTCTTCAGGAGAAGCCCATCGAGAGCTTTAACGAATACCTGTTCGCTCTGCAAAGCCACCTCTGCTACTGGTAACAACACATTTATAACCGTTGGAAATCATGTCCCTGTTTCTTTCAGTCAATCTCACTCACATTTTTATTTAATCAATGAACTTTTTTAGATACAGGTTAAACTAGCAAGCGCCTTTGTTTAGCTTTTACCGTCATCATACATACAGGCAAGAGCTATTTTCAAAACCGTCACTAATAAACCATTATATTTTGTTTCATTGCATTTAGTTTTATTATTTAGTGAAGAGTGCGACCTCTGCTGTAACATCACACGTTTGTAGTTTTGAAAGAGACATGAGCAAAACAAATATTACTCATTCTTTTGAGTTTCATATTAATGGCCTTTTACAGTAAGAATTAGTTTCAGATCCTAAAATCCTATAATGACCGACCTTTAGTTTAATCAAATGCTTTAAACATGGCGTAATCCCTGTTTGCATTCACTTATATCAGCAAGTTTCAAATGTTTAGATTATAAATGAAAGGGTAACCAGTTCATTTTCATCAATTTTCTGTCTTTCCTGTTTCAGTTGCTCCAAAAAAAAAACAAAAAAAAATCTACATTCCAATGAAATACCAATGTATAGAGTCTACATCTCCTCAGAGAAAGTCTTGTACAAGTGAAATGACCACAACCACAACAGACCACATTCTGTCTTGATCTCGTTAGTATGCAGAAGAAAACATGTTTTTCTAAGAGCCTTGTGAGTCACTATTTGACACTTTGGGAGTCATGATTGTGAAAAGCCAAACGTTAATTTTAAAACTGGTGATGTAACTATCTGTTTTTGAGAGGAACCAGTGACGTGGATGTTTTTTATAGTTAGGTACCTCAGCTTTAAAGACCTTATGCAGGGTTGATCCAGTAATTTGTAGATATCAAAATTGCAAAACAGATCATCAATTTGATTTGAAATAGATTCTGGCAGCTGCTTCATACATCGGCTTTAATTAATACATATTTTACTTAATTGAAATCACAACTAATTATTAATAATGGACCTAATAACCCCCAAAATATGTTAAAATATATTTGTTTGGTTATTTGTGTTATTTCTACTGTCTATTTTTACATATATTTCTTCCTTTTGTTGCAGGGAATCTGAAGACACAGCTCTGCTCATCCTCAAAGAGATTTATAAAACTATGGGCATCCATCCAGAGCCTCTCCCGCATTAAAACAGATAATTGCTGATAATCTATTATTTTCTTATTTCTATCCATGTAGTTTACTGTATTAAGGTGAGAAAGCGCCTGCATATCGCCACGGGTCTTCACTCCGAGACACAAATGAGCCAGATTTAAAATTTATATGATATTTTATAGATAAATTATAGCAGTTTATTGAAATGAGACGGACATGAAGAATGGGCAGTCAAGGTTAATGCAGCTGGATTTATTTTATGGACAAAATAAAACGTTTTTTTAATGAAATGTTGGACAATATGTGGAAGACGATTCTCCAGGCCAAAAAGGAGATTATTTACAAGCGCTGGGATGTTTGAAAGTGTATAAATAACAATAACAATAAGAGAAAAATAAATCCTGCTCTTAACAAACATGTCCTTTTTAATCCTGTGTGATTTTACAGCTATTAAAATCACTTGAATTCAAAATGTGTGTCTTTAAGGTGAGCAGAGAACGCTTTCACTTGTGTTTCTGTGCTACAATTTATTTAAGCAAGATCGTCTTTCAGAATCACAAAATATTTTTAACCTCAAATTAATTTAAAATGTTTAAGGTTATTTTTTGTGCTTACAGTGAAATATAGAGATCTACTGTACTTCTTGCCTAAACTTATTGAAAGCATTTTATTTTTTTACAACTCATTTTAGGCCTAATTTATTCACTGTGGAAAAATGTTATTTACAGAATAAATACAAGCAGTCCATAAAACTGGTCTTTTGATAGTATTTTCTTTAACAGTATCATCTAAAGAATAGTCCTGGAAAGAGTTTTGAGATGAAAAAATGACAGTATTTTTCACTTCACCACAGATCATTCACATGGGGCGTCCAGAACAAAATAAGTCCTAAGAAATCCTGGTTAATGGAAAAACAGGGTTAATTTTCAACAAATCAAGATGTGCCAATACGGCCTGAGAAACCCGAGGCTTTTTCCACTTTACTCCAGTCACAACGAAATTTCTTACCTGGAAGTATGTTGTTGTATTTTGGGCCTCATTTGATTTGTGTTGAACTCATTTGTATATTCACATTGTTCAAAATAAATGTGTACTATAAAAAGAAATAAAAAAGCCTGAATACATCCAGTGTGTCGAGTTTCATTGTGAGTAAAGAGAGAGAAACTTTCAGTCTCTTCAGGTCAAGTTGGCAAATCATATCGGCATAAGTTTGTATAATAACTGAGTGTGACCGGAAACCTAAAGGGATAATCAAAAAAATATCTGGAATTGTTAAAAAATTAAACGTAATATTTATTCCCCCCCTATTCCACTTCCCCTTTCCCAACTTCACAAAAACAAATATTTCAGTCATAAAATAAAATGTATTTGCTCAACTCAGACTTCTTGGACTTTTAGTTTTGTTCTGGAAACCCATGATCTATGGTGGAGAAAGACTATTGACATTCATTCACTTTTTAGGCCCAAAAGCATGGTAATTTGCCTGAACAATCGTTTAAAAGATTAATATTCTGAATTCAAGCAATTTAAAAATACAGTCTTTGAAGAATCCATTTCCTTGCACCAAATAAAACCATTTATAAACAATGCACATTAGCAGTATTTACATGAGCAGCCATGACATTCACTTCTATGTTAAAGATTGTAGTGCTGAAAAACCAAACCCAGTCTCCTTTTGTCCTGGTCATGCATGAACCAACCAATTGTCACTAAATTCCACAGAAATGTCCCTTTTTTTCCATCTTTCAATAAAATATAACAAGACTAGTGTGGCCATGACGAGAAAAACATTCAGCTCCAACGTCAAAAATTAATTCAAACTTGGTCAAAACAAAAAGTTGACAATGTGCAATAACAGTTTATGAAGTTCCTAGATTTGAGTAAAAATTGTTTTGCGTTTTGTTCCGACTTCAATACTGCAGGTTCAAATCATGTAAAGTATAAAAAAAGAAAAGAAATGCAGGTCCTCGGTAATAAATAGTGTTTTGATTGACAGGTGAAAACAATTAGATTATTGCCAACTTTTGAAACTATGGTTGAATTCAGGCTCAAATGTGAAATTGCACCAGTTTCTTGGGTTCCAACTCTCAGATTTTTCCCCATTCAAAAGGATGCGTCTCATTCTTCTGAAATTCAATGGGCAATTACTAATCTACTGTACAGCTATCTGTGCAAAACCCATAATGCTTTTCGGCTTTTCGATTACTCCCATAGAAGCCTTATGCAGTACAAAAGTGAAACTGTAAAACCCGCAGTGGGAGCTTGTGAATCCTGATGAGAAGAAAAACTACAGTGAGTTTGAAACCATAATGATCACAGGAACTCTTTAAACCACAGGCGTGAGTGTTGGCAATGCACTAATACAATAGTAATGATTGCCATCTGCTGGTCGGTTGAAGAACTACACCATTTACAAGAACAAGAGGAGAGGCGTACAGTATAAGGTAGAGCTTTGTTTTAGCTTTGGTGTTGTTGTCGTTTCTGAAGGTTTAATGGAAGCTAAGGCTCATATAACTGTGCGGGTTAGGGTTAGGGTTAGGGTTAGGGTTAGAAATTTACCCAGAATGTCAGTGTTTTAACTTTCCCCCATTCAAAAATTGTACCGTAATTATTGTAGAATGAATAGCTAGCTTAGATTTAGTCTAGCTTCTCAAGATCTGTAGATTTCCCCTTCAAACATTGCTGGGTCGTACATATCTAACTAAAACATAGGAAATGGCTTGCATTAATGTTAGTATTCATCAAGACCAGAGTATTATTTGACAGTCTATAATATATTTTGCGAACGGAAGAACTGGCTTCTTGAGGAATGTTATGTTTGTTCCTTTGGCAAATGTCGTTCTAATACAGTCCAATCATAATCAAATCCAGATAAATACCACTTATTTGTATTTCTATAAGAGTGTGTGTTGGTAATGACTGGTCTCTGCTGTTTTACAATTCTGTCCATGTTTGAAGCAAGTTTCCAATGTTCAGGAATGTGTAAATCCTCCCAGAGGTTAAATATATACAGTTAAAAGTTAGTAAAGCAGCAACAACTATGAATCAAAATAACATTAAAAACACAACAGTTGGAATGGCTTCTGCCTGTCTTGGCTCCGCTGTACATTTGTCCCATTGTTGAGCCTTCCAGCAGCGTTTTAAATATTAAAATGGTCCCATTTGATCGAACCGTCTCAGGAAACTTCACATTAATGAGAAATGCACTGGTTTTGGTACATTCATTTGTCTCCTGCTGCAGAGAGGAGCAGCGGGCCTCATGTAAACAGGCTGTTGTGGTCCTCACAGTCGTCATGGTGAAGTCTTACTGCAAAACATCATCACCTTTAATTAATAAACAAAACAAAGACATCGTTAGATTGTTTTTATGTTGCACTTGAGGAAATGGCTAAAGCTTTTGACACTGGACACGAGGACTAATGTTGGATTTTTTTTCTGGGGGTTGCCAGATAGGGGCACAGACCACAGAAGGGTGGAGCAGTCAGAGATGCACCCAGTCCACAGAGCACCAGTCACTGATCCTCCTGCAGGTGGTGAGTCCACAGGAGCTGAGATCTTTCAAGGGCTTCAGGCAAAATGGGGTTAAATGTCTTGCCCAACGACACAACAACAGCAGTCATCAGTGGGAGTTGTGAAGTAGGTCTCACGGTGGGCTAAAATAATAACAATTGTAAACCGCTTTGTGACTCTGGTCTGTGAAAGGCGGTATATAAATAAAGATTACTTACGTACTTACTTACAAAGTAAGTAAGTAAGTAAGTAAGCTTTATTTATATACCGCCTTTCACAGACCAGAGTCACAAAGCGGTTTACAATTGTTATTTTTTGGGCACTTGTCTCTCACTCCACACAGAGATGGGAGCGGGGTCGCCGAACAGGAGGCGCATGCCAGACCTATTGTACATATTTTTAGTGGTAGGGGAAACCGGAGTACCCGGAGGAAACCTACGCAGACACAGGGAGAACATGCAAACTCCACTCAGAAAGGCCCTGGTCCAGCCGGGATTCGAACCCAGGACCTTCTTGCTGAGAGGCGAGAGTGCTATCCACTCAGCCACCGTGCCGCCCAAGGCCAATGCTCCACCAACTGAGCCACTGTCGCCCCTACCAATTAATAGTTAATATTATATTTTTTCATTGCAAAAGTCCAACTTTATTATTAAATACAAATACACATGTATGAAAAAAAATATCAAAAGGCTCTCTTCTCAGGTATTGTTCACGGGGTTGGACCAAAAATGGAGACATGCCGGATTTGCCCCGCTGGCTGTAGTTTGGGGACCACTGTTCTAAAACGTGAAATGGCAAATTACATATTCTCAAGAAGACGGCTAAAATGATTTCAAATAATCCATCACTTTTGTTCTTTAATACTTAAACCTTTTCTGGACCCTCTTAAAGTACATAAGGCATTTGCTGGTCCCCTCACCTCACGCATTTGCTGGTCCCCTCACCTATTGCATTTGCTGGTCCCCTCACCTATTGCATTTGCTGGTCCCCTCACCTATTGCATTTGCTGGTCCCCTCACCTATTGCATTTGCTGGTCCCCTCACCTCATGCATTTGCTGGTCCTCTCACCTCTTGCATTTGCTGGTCCTCTCACCTCATGCATTTGCTGGTCCTCTCACCTCATGCATTTGCTGGTCCTCTCACCTCATGCATTTGCTGATCCTCTCACCTCATGCATTTGCCGGTCCTCTCACCTCATGCATTTGCCGGTCCTCTCACCTCATGCATTTGCCGGTCCTCTCACCTCATGCATTTGCCGGTCCTCTCACCTCATGCATTTGCCGGTCCTCTCACCTCATGCATTTGCCGGTCCTCTCACCTCATGCATTTGCCGGTCCTCTCACCTCATGCATTTGCCGGTCCTCTCACCTCATGCATTTGCCGGTCCTCTCACCTCATGCATTTGCCGGTCCTCTCACCTCATGCATTTGCCGGTCCTCTCACCTCATGCATTTGCCGGTCCTCTCACCTCATGCATTTGCTGGTCCTCTCACCTCATGCATTTGCTGGTCCTCTCACCTCATGCATTTGCCGGTCCTCTCACCTCATGCATTTGCCGGTCCTCTCACCTCATGCATTTGCCGGTCCTCTCACCTCATGCATTTGCCGGTCCTCTCACCTCATGCATTTGCCGGTCCTCTCACCTCATGCATTTGCCGGTCCTCTCACCTCATGCATTTGCTGGTCCTCTCACCTCATGCATTTGCTGGTCCTCTCACCTCATGCATTTGCTGATCCTCTCACCTCATGCATTTGCCGGTCCTCTCACCTCATGCATTTGCTGGTCCTCTCACCTCATGCATTTGCTGGTCCTCAGTCCTCTCTCTTGCTCTGCGTCTTGAAGGCCTGTTTGCGGAGGTGGGTCTCGATCTCCTCCCTGAACACCAGCATTCCCAGGTGCGGGTGCGAGGCCTCGTTCATGGCCTTGGACTGGATGCACATGCGGTACTGCTCTGGGGTCAGCTCGTCCGCACACTGCTTCTCGTGCCACAGGTGGAAGAGGCTGGAGACCGGGGCGCGCACCACAATCACGTCGCTGCGGAGGTACTTCTTATACAGGTGAACGTCCTCCACGCCCCAGCCTTTCACCTCCAGGTCAAAACCACCTGCAATATTAGGACTTCATGAGGATCAGATTATGAAAAAGAGGACATCGCCAACAGTACAGGGCAGTAACAGGACGCACTAAAATTGGACTGATATTTTCATTTTATTTTAAATACTGTAAGTTACAAGTTTGTGATTTCAATTCTGAGGTATCGAATGTTTTTGTCCTTAAATAATACATGTTTTACAAATACAAGTTTAGCAAAAGAAACCAACCAAATAAACTAGGACTTAAACACATTGCAATGTTGATTCAAATTATCAGAAGAAAATGTCATGTTTAGTGTAAGAAGCCTTCACTGCAAAAAATGATCAAAAATGAGATAATAATTGCTTGAAATTAGTTGTATATATTTTTATTCAAGTTAATTGTGACAATGAGACAAGCAATTTTGACTTGATTCAAGAACTTTTGCTTTTGCTCATTCCAAGAGAGAAATGTCTTGTATCTTTTTAAAACAAGATAATTTTTCTTGTTCTGCTGGCAAATCTTGTTTTAAGGCAGTCAAAATGTGCTCAAATTTAGATAAATTTCGCCAAACTTGCGAATTTTTTTCTTTAATTCCATCATTTTTTTGCAGTGTTGAGAGTCACTATTTGACTCTTTGGGTTGAGAGTTGATCTAAAGATGTGAATGAGGCCAAACAATTAACAGTGAACACTGGCGATAGAACCATTTTGAGATCACAGAAATAGTTAAATGGTTCTTTTGTGTGTTTAGGTATCAGGACTCTCAGGACTGGTATTATTACTTTGTTGCAGTAAAGTGGCCACATTATTTACGTTTGCTTTAGTAGAAAATACACATTAACTGAATATCCCACGATCCTTGTTGTCATGCCATCTGGGCGCTTACATTGAAAAGGAATTACTAAAAAATACAAATAAAAGATTGATTTTATTTCTTAGATGCGTTTTTGTTCCAGCGTGACTTCTAAAAGAGGAAAGTGTGTTTATAAATAACTTATTTTGATGTCACTTTGCATAATTCAATGATTCCTGATTTTAAGGAGAATGTGTCAAAATCCTTGTGCAGCCAGAGCCCCTGTGCCCCTCATGTTGTTCTGGCAACAGATGGAAAAGGCCTTTTAGAAACTTAGACCTTCACATGTGTTTTTCCAGTGTGGGATTTGAAAATGCATTTGATGTTGAGGTTTGTGGTTTCAGAAATGTGTGTTAATCTCATCAGTCCATGTCTTTATCTTCCAGTTAGAAACGAGAGCAAGGGTTTCTGTTGAAGCAGTCGATGTCATGTGTTTTAAACTAATGGTTTTATTCATTTTATATCAATAATAATAACAATGATGATAATAATAATAAGAAATCAAAAATAAAAAGTTTTCAAGAAGTTATACAAAATACATTAGACAAGAACAGACAACATTTTAAAAACCTCCAGTTTTTTAAAACCACACATCTGTGTTGGTGAATTCAGTTTCAACCTTTAGCACTTTAACAATAATACTATAATAAAAAAACTGAAGCAGAATTTCATACAAACTCCTAAATATTGCAAAAACACATGGACAAAATGCGACTGACCTATATTTAAGAAGTCCGACCTGTACTGGCAGGTCATGCCGAAACCAAAGTCTCTCCAAAATCCAGCATCTTTTTTATGAATCTGTAAATGAAACGTTACATCAGACAAAGACACGCATCAGCAGTTTAACCGGCGGCTCTTACCAGCTGCATTTCGATGGGTGGAGCCAGCTCCAAGTTTCCATAAACTATAGCAGGATTATACAGGCTGAAAACCACTGGATAAAAGACTTTTTTATCTGCAACAAAACAAGACAACACTTAATGAACAGAACAATCATCGTTTACAGAAACATCCTCGATTATGGGACTTCACCACAGCTGCAAAAAGCACCGTCTTATTGGGAAACATGTTTAATAATACAATAAGAAATAGGGTCTAATGTAGATCTTAAAGTTGTGAATCTGATGATTTCTTAGTTGACCAAATATTGTTTAAGTTGTTCAACTGAAAACAAAAGTATTTAAAGTTCTAAAACTGAAATATCCAGACGCACGGACACAATTAGCTGAAGATTTGACTTTGATCTTTAGACCAGATCAAACTCACTTCACAAGTTTAAACAAACTGTAACACTCACAATTTGGTGTGATTTTATGAAAAAGTGAATGTTGGCCAAAAACACGACTCATGTTCAGTCATGTATTTTGTGCAACACACCCCACGTTTCCACAGACGCACAATTTTCCATCAATTCAGAAAACAGCCAAAACTCTGACAGCAGGAAATGACCAGTGTGATTTTTCTCAACTATTGATGTAGTCCTTAAAAGACTTGGGGTAATATGTGCTATATGAATAAAGTAGACTGGACCCCGGACATGCAGGAGGGACTGCAGGTCTCAGCTGGCCTGGGAACGCCTCAGATGAGCAGGAGGGAGTCTGGCCGTCTCCGCTTAGAGAGCTGCCCCCGCGACACAGCAACAGATAAAGTGGAAGTAAATGGATGGATTGGATACAAGTACAGAATCCTTATCAAAATCCACTACAGATTAGTTGCATTCAAAAATTAACTTGTTTTAGCCATCTTGGAAATATGGAATGCAATTTGAGAAAAACAAAACTAATTTAGAAGCAATATTTTTGTTTTAAACGCCAGAAAACGGCTTTGAAAATCTGTTAATTTTGTATATCATGAATTTAAAAACATTGCATTTAGTCAGAAGGGACACAGCCATTATGTGTCAAATATCGTAAGGAGAGAATTGCCCAGTTTAAATGTGTGATTGCACTGAGAACTCACTGGGGGCAGCGTTGAGGCGACAGGTGTTGAGAAAGTCTGCATTAAAGTGGATGTCGACGTCGCAGAAGAACATGAGCACGTCTCCTCTGGTCCAGGCGTGGGCCCCGATGTCCAGACCGCGGCCCCGAGAGAACTCCTCCTCCACCGGGATCAGGCTGTAGTTGGAGAAGCCCTCCTCCCTGCACAGCAACGCAGCAGAATCACTCGGGACGTCCCTTACTCCCAGAGAACAGCAGCCTCTTGTGGACACGTGAGACAACTGCAGCTCAAGGATAACCAAGAATGTGGCATAGTTATGGTTGTTGATGCAAAGATACGACTAAATAGAGTTCTGCGTTCATTTGAAAAACATGTGAAGATTTTATATAAAAACAAAACTAAAACAAACTCATGTGCAAATGACTAAACGATTATTCTTTCAATTGATCGACTGGATGTTTAGATTGTGAGAAACCAGTGAATTTTAACTTAGTCAGAGCTGGTAAAGTCTTATATGTGATAGAGGTAAAAATAATTCCCACACAGGCCCAAAAAATGTGAAAACTAGTGAAGCTTTAAGGTTTTGAAATCCAAACACACAATCCACATTAGATTATATCATTACTACATAAGTCTACAACTGTTTTGCAATTGTTCAATTAACTTGATACAGCCATAATATTAGCATGGATAATATAATAGAATTATAGATTATTACCAAACTAGAGTTTAATAATAAGATTAAAAACATAAATTATTACGGCGGACTACAGTATAATAAATGACAGCCCCTACAGTGTTTGAACGCAGTCGAACAAATCTCTTCCATTTCTTGTTGTATCCACTAATTAATCCCAAAGGAAAAAAAACATTGGATTAAGGTTTCTCTCGATAAACGTAACATAACTTTACTTTTCCTTCACGTTCCCATTCATAGAGTAAAAACGCTGTTAGGGACCAGTAGGACATTTTAAAATATCTAGATAAAAAGTAACAAAGAAGGAGTCAAACCGGGAGAGTTTTTCCAGAGACGACTTGACCTCCGGGAGCCCGTCCTGCCCGAAGTAAACCACAGTGAGGAAGACTCTCCGGTCCTGCTGGATGCACACCTCCCTGACGCAGAGCGGACAGAATTACAGTTACTACATTCTTACGGTAAATTATTTTCCCCACAGAAAAACATAATGTCATCACACAACTTTGTGGGAAAAGAAGCCCCACCAAATTCTGTCTTCATCTAAAGTAGCAATATGTGAGATTTTAATGTCCAGTCATCATTAAATTACCCTAATAATAATAAATAATAAATCTTTATTTATAAAGCACTTTTCAAAAACAATGTTTACAAAGTGCTGCACAGCATAATAAACAATACATCAGTCATAATACAAAGTTAAAACAATAAGAATGAATGCAAGAAGACAAGACAAACAGAGGAAACACAAGACCACAAAACAGACAGGACAGACAGTAAAATACAACATTATAAGTTTAAAGCTGACAATTAAAAGCTGTTTTATAAAAGTGGATTTTAAGAAGAGATTTAAAAGAGGATACTGATGGTGCTAGCCTTATCTCCTCGGGCAGGTCGTTCCAAAGCCGAGGAGCCCGGACAGAAAAGGCTCGATCACCTTTCGTCCGGAGCCTCGACCTTGGAATGGTCAGCAAGGACCTGCCCGAGGATCTAAGGCAGCGGGGGGGCTCGTAGGGGGTTAAAAGTTCATAAATATAGCTTGGTGCCAGACCTAAACGAGCTTTAAAAGTAATCAGTAAAATCTTAAAATCAATTCTAAATCGCACAGGGAGCCAGTGGAGGGACGCTAAAACAGGGGTGATGTGCTCCCTTCTGTTAAAACCAGTGAGAAGTCTGGCTGCTGCGTTCTGAACCAGTTGGAGGCGGGAGATAACCCTAATATGTCAAAAGGCATTAATACACCATGCTCTTTACAAATACTTCTTTAACCGATAACAGTAGTTCAGCTGAGATATTTGGATTTGAAAATTAGTTTTACAGCCCGTAACTCCTGGGGTTGGTTTAGATTTGTTGTTGACAAAACTCTTGTCTTTTCAGCTAATATGGTCCCAGCTGGATTCATCTGCATATCTGGCAACCTGAGTCAGGGAGAGTGGGAGAGGCTACAGTACCACTTTTGGCCAGATTTTTTCATACAGCTCCTTTAAAGCTGGGGTATCTAACTTTAAAAACAAAAAAAGCATTGAATCACTGGTATATGATAAAATGCCAGGCAAGGCAAGTTTATTTGTATAGCACAATTCATACACAAGGCAACTCAATGTACATTAAAAAGAGTAAAGATAAAATCCCTCAGGTTATATGCTCATCTAAACAGAACTGCTTTGAGAAGAAGCCCGTCTCACATCTTTGGGAAGACTGTTTCAGATTTTAGCTGCATGAATCTGAAATGCGGCCTCCCCATGTTTAGTTCTGATTCTGGGCACCAGCAGGAGTCCGTCCCTGTGCTCCTCAGAGTCCGATGCATGTCACTGGTTTTAGTACGTTTGGCCTCTGTCACACCTTGAGAGCAGTTTTTTCAGACATAAAAGTGAAAAAGTGAAAAAGAGAGGACCACCTTCACTCGGGCAATCAGCTCTCGGCCTAAAGCCTCAAATACTGGCAAAAGAAAACATGTTTACTACAGATGAAGACAGCTTTTTTTAGGCTGAGCTTGTCAGTTTATGTTCGGTCAAGAAAAAACGGCCTCTATTATCTATTTCTTATTTTTTACGATTGCGTACTGGTGGGCTGAGATTTGACTGGTTTAACCTTTCTGTAAAAAGTCATGTATACAGAAACTGGTGATTTATCAAAGAGTTTTGTGAGCGTAAGGAATAGTGAGACATTTTGAATATTAGAGCTGCAACTAACGATTAATTTGTAATCGATTAATCTATTTTTACGATTAATCGCGTAATCGCTTGGCTGTGAATTGTGTAGAAATAATTTATTTTTTCATCACAAAAAGCTAAAGTGGCAACACTCGAGGACGTATTGATGGCGTAAACTTAAAGTAAATGTTTGTAACAGGCTCTTTGTGCTAATTCTGCTCTGATTGGATGAGACAGACAGATATTCATGAAATTATAAAAACAAAGTCGGTTTTAATCAAAAATACTACATTTTCATGTCATTTTTGCTCTGTTTGAGTCCGTGTGAACCAGAAAACGATTAATTGATTACTAAAATAGTTGTCGACTATTTCAATAATCAATTAGTCGTCGATTAATCGATTAGTTGTTTCAGCCCTATTGAATATGCAGATCCACTCTTTGCAGTTGGAAATGTGCGTACCCCAGCTTTAACGCTCAAACACAGGTCCTTTGTTGCACTAGATTTCAAGCTCAAAGCATGTCCCCAGTTATCGTCCAAACCAAAAGTAATTAGGAAATCCACAGAGGAGGAAAACTGATTAAGTAAATGGAAAACATGAGCAACATTTTGGATTTGTGTCGTTAAATTGTGCCGGATCATTTGTGTGTAGAATCAAAATATAATATAATGTTGTATAAGTCTTACCTCATATTACCTTACCGTACAAGTAAAACTCTTGCTAATAAATTAAGGCTCATTTCCATCTTGGGAAATATATATTTTCCTCAGAAATTGTTGTTCTGAGTGTTTGATCCAGGAAAACAGTGGGAAAGCTGTGCGTTGAAAGCAGGACTAGGACTCTAAATAACTGTATGTTATAATAGATTAAATGGATGTTTATTCTTTAAATTAATTGACGTTAAGTTTAGATCCTAAAAGGTCAGTGAATGAGATTTTTTTATACATTATAAATTATACATACAAACTATACTGTATATAATGCCCCAAAAGTGTCTGCGCGTCTCGCGTCTCGCTCTCTGCGTCTCGCTCTCTGCGTCTCGCTCTCTGCGTCTCGCTCTCTGCGTCTCGCTCTCTGCGTCTCGCTCTCTGCGTCTCGCTCTCTGCGTCTCGCTCTCTGCGTCTCTCGGTGTGTCTCTCTCTCTGCGTCTCTCGGTGTGTCTCTCTCTCTGCGTCTCTCGGTGTGTCTCTCTCTCTCTGCACTTGTCTCTCTCTCTGTACTTGTCTCTCTCTCTGTACTTGTCTCTCTCTCTGCACTTGTCTCTCTCTTTCTGTACTCGTCTCTCTCTTTCTGTACTCGTCTCTCTCTCTGTACTCGTCTCTCTCTCTGTACTCGTCTCTCTCTCTGTACTCGTCTCTCTCTCTGTACTCGTCTCTCTCTGTACTCGTCTCTCTCTCTGTACTCGTCTCTCTCTCTGTACTCGTCTCTCTCTCTGTACTCGTCTCTCTCTCTGTACTCGTCTCTCTCTCTGTACTCGTCTCTCTCTCTGTACTCGTCTCTCTCTCTGTACTCGTCTCTCTCTCTGCACTTGTCTCTCTCTGCACTTGTCTCTCTCTTTCTGTACTCGTCTCTCTGTACTCGTCTCTCTCTCTGTACTCGTCTCTCTCTCTGTACTCGTCTCTCTCTCTGTACTCGTCTCTCTCTCTGTACTCGTCTCTCTCTCTGTACTCGTCTCTCTCTCTGTACTCGTCTCTCTCTCTGTACTCGTCTCTCTCTCTGTACTCGTCTCTCTCTCTGTACTTGTCTCTCTCTCTGTACTTGTCTCTCTCTCTGTACTTGTCTCTCTCTCTGTACTTGTCTCTCTCTCTGTACTTGTCTCTCTCTCTGTACTTGTCTCTCTCTCTGTACTTGTCTCTCTCTCTGTACTTGTCTCTCTCTCCGTACATCTCTAAACTTCGTGACAAAGAGTGTGTGACAGATGGGAGCCAGATGGGTACGAACAATTTTATCTATTAAAAATCAGGCCCCGTGAACTTTGCTGCATCTCCGTATTAAATGAATCAGAATCATTTTTATTGCCACGTAAGTAACAGGAAGTCACAGACTTGGAAATTGCTTTGGCTCAGTGCAACAGTCAGAAAGAGATAATAAAAAAATAAAGAATAAAAAAACACTTCTAAGGAATACATAAAATGTAAAATTTTAATGAAACGCAGCCTCAGAACGATTGAACGTCTTTGACCAGAGCCACACTCACCTGAAGTTGTTTAAAAACTGTGTGAACGTCTCGCCGCGCCCCGACAGCGGCACGATGATGTTTATGATGATCCCGGAGGAGTCCACAGACGTGCTCCTCACTTTCATCAAGGGACCGAACGGACGGAACAAAGTCACGTGACGAAAACTGCTGGAGTCCTCTTTGGAGAAAAACAGCTCATACAGACTGCCCTTATCGCGCTCGGTCCTGTACAGCCCTGAAAGACACACACACACACACAAACACACACACCGACACAATGTTGTCAAAGGGGACATTCAACTTGTGACTTGGATTAAAAAGACATAGGAAGTACATGGTCTAGATTAGACAATATTGCCTATTTGTTTAAACATAGTAAATTAGAAAAAAAAAAAAAAAAAAAGGTCTTAGGGGTCATGTTTTCTGTGGTTCTTTGTGTGAAAGAGAGGTTCCCTTCCTGCTGCTGTCAGACTGCACAACGAGACCTGCCGAGCCTGTACATGTCATTCATCTGGGAATAGTAAATACTGCAGTCATGGGCTATACTGTAATCTCAGAATGTCCACTGAATGTCACCTTATAGATCTACCTTAGTTTATTCTGCCCTTATTGCCCCAACTTACATGATAGATGGATACATATAGAAGGATAAAGAGATTGATATTGAAAGATAGAAAGATATATATTATACGTGCATATACCTTAATATTAAGCGTACACAGTTATTTAAGAAGCATTCTCAGCTACTTATCTCTGACTGCTGTGCTGTCAATGCGCTGCAACACTGAACTTTCCCCACAGTGGGATGAATAATAGGTTCAGTTATTTTGAAAGTCTTTCATGAGAACCACAAACAACATTTAACTCAACAAGAGGATTAAAAGCCTTAGGGGTACATTCAGTATCTTGCTAAATGTTGCAACAGATCTGACTCACAATAAAAGGGAAAGGAATAATTCTGCATTTTTGTGGTTGGTGTTTATGTGGAAAGACAACCAGGCATTTGACACACGCAGCTGCTAAACCAACTGCATCCAAACACCTTTCACAACAATCTGCACATACAGTAGTGGCGGCACATTGCACTCGTGAGAAAAGATCTTCAATGACATAATTCATTGTGTAAAAGTATAAAGCCAGCTCTGAATGCTCAAAAACTCACAATGGAAACTAATTGTCCATCACTACTTTTTGCTTCTGAATTAACTCAAAAATTACATAACTGCATTTGAAAAGAGCCCTGTGATCACAATTAAACATAAACAATGTAATTCTTAAATATCACACGGAACACCAACAGCTGGAACTGGCACAAACATGAAACTCTTTATGACCAAAGCAAAGTTCATCCATTTTCTTCTGCTTTATCCATTGCCGGGTCACGGGGACAGCTGTCTAAGCAGAGCCGCCAAGACCTCACTATCCACACACACCTCCAGCTCATCCCGGGACATCTCAAGGCGTTCCCAGGCCAGCTGAGAGGCATAGTCCTCTAACAAGAACTGGGTCTTCCCCGAGCAAGTAAAGTACTTCTCATCAAAGAGTATGAAAAAAAAAAAAAATATCAAACAAGCACAAAAAAAGTCTTTCTAATCCTCTCACACCATTTTCTCCCAGCACATAACTTCAATTATTCAAATACAACAGAACAGAGTAACAACAAGCAGACATAATAGAGTAACATGAACCTCAGAGTAAATTCAGAGATCGGACTAAAGTGAAACAGATAATTGTTTAATAAAAAATTGCAATACTTTACTCTCTGCAAAGATTTAATTGTGTGCACGAAATATCGCGATACTGAATAGAATCGATTATTTCCCCCACTATTATTCCTATGCGAGTGGCCCAGTCTCAGCAGAATCCCATGTGCTCGTATCCCCAGTCCATTACCTTCAGTGAAATGGGCCTCCGTGTACATCTGCCTCTGCATGGGTGCGTCCTCCTCCGCCCCGTCCTCCTCGTCTGGGTTATTAATGATGTCCAGCGCGGCCTCGATCACCTCCACCAGCTCGTCCCTGCGGTCCTTCCTCACCGGCTTCTCCTCGGGGTGCCGCGTCAGCCCCATCTCCAGCTGATACACTTTGGACGCCGTGAAGCTCTCGAACGGCACCAGGGCGTACTCGCTGGCAAACCTGGCGCCCGTGCTCACCTCTGCCTTGTCGATCTGCGAGTGTAAATACTCCAACAAATCGCTCGGCTCTTGGTCTTTACCCTCCGTCAAACCTTGCACCATGGGAGTCTCCCTTTTGTCTTGTAACATTTTTAACTTTTGACTCATCTCCTGCAGCTCTTGCTTCAGCTGTGCGATTTGCCGTTTTAAACTGGCCGCTCGGTTCAGGTGCCTTTCCTCTTGCTCTTGCAGTAACGCTTGGTAATACTCACGGCCGTATTGGTCGACCCCGGGAGCGGAGAGGCCGAGGTCTGCCGGAGGGGTGCATTCGAGCAGGTAGGCGAACAACAGCAGGATTAAAAGCAAGCACAAGCCCAGGAAAATCCACCGGACGCGGCCGTGGACCTGCAACCCTCGCCTGGGCATCGCTGCAGCGGCTATGGCTCGTCAGCTGGCTGCATGACCCTCCGATGTGGCCTCATACACAGTCACATTACAACAAAAGCACTCCTGACGCACTTAAGAGCACACGCGGGTCCATCTATTCAGGTTGTTTACGAGTTAGCCAGTGAAAGGAGAGCATCCTGGGTCTAATTTGTCCGATCTTTTGAAAAGAGAATCCAAGGAAAATCCATGCAGTGCTCACCTGGGAACAGAACACACAAATCTGGCATTAGGATTGTGTCATTTTCATGTTAGTATTTGGTGAATGTAAACTATGGCAATTATCTGACTGCCCTTGAATGACTCAAAACTCTCAGATGGAGGGCAAGAATGCCACTTACATGTTATTGCACTTTCTTAAGGCGTATCCAAAAGGTGAACACACTTGTTTTACCCTGATCATTTGGATTACTTACTGGACCCCAGAACTGAATTTTATATATTATGGCCATACTTATTGAAAATGCGATCTTCTTAGAATGTTGTTATGCAAGAGTATGCCATATACGGTTTATACACAACACAGCATTGTTATATAAAAATATTGGAACAAAATAGTACCAAAAACCATCTAACTCGCTGCTCGCTCTCAAAACTGTTTTTTTTACTGTATTTTTCTTTTTACCTCTGTCACGACTAATGATGAGTGAGAAAGAGGATCACTCTTTCTCACTCTTTGCCAATTAGCTCTCACAGGGACCCCTTTAAAGCCGGCAAAAGATAAGACGTCTTTTTGAATAAGATAGACAGCTTGTGAACAAAAGGAGCAGTGGGACGGAAAAGAAAAAGCGATCTCTCTTTGAGCACAGAGCTGCATTGAACAGAAAGTTAGTGGATATTTGAAAGTTTCACCAAAAATAGTATAGTTCAACAAGTTCAGCAGTTAAATCACAATTAGAGTTTAATTCTCACCACCATTTATAAAGGTATTTCTATTATTTAGTCTTTCGTGTGTTGTGGAATAAACCAAGATTTTGAATATGAAATGAAAATCCAATCATCTCTAATGCTCTGTTCAAACAAAATAAATCAGCAATTACAGATTTCAATTCCGAGTAAATTAAAATGGTGGTGGCCCTGTTTACACTGGAGGAAAAAACTACAGAAATATTTCAATGGAATTCTTGTCATAGTAAATCATGGTCATTTTCACAGGGACTTCTGTTTGGTTTGTTCACAGAATTTAAGCACAATGCGGTTGTATGTCTTCTACCAAAAGAGTAAAAAGTTACAGTTTTTGTACTAACATGAATGGGTTAAATATAGACCATTGATAATGACTACTCACCAGATAATATTGGTTTAAATTGTCGAACTGTTGTCATGCTACATTAAAGGACAGGAGCAACAGGAGGGGATTTGAATTATGCAGAAAATGTAACACATTGTTGTTTATCAGAGAATCAGCATTTTCCCTGCAGATTAGTGTGGAATCTGACCAGCCTGTTTGCCTCTGTCATTTTTTCCACATTAGCATAGCAAATACATGTAAATTCTCCACACATTGGGCAGTGAAATCTCTGCTTGATCGCACTGTGCTTTATTAATAGTAGCTAATGAGAGCTTGTCTGCTTTAAACCACTTCTAACCTGACATTTCTAGAGCGTGTTTAAAGGTTGGCCTCTCGCAGCGCCACAGTGGAAGTATTTCAGCTCATGTCACCTGGACTCAGTGTAAATCAGAGCCAAAGGTGTAATTAAAACCAGCAGGAATCCAGGAGCTGTGAGCTGGCATTTATGACCTACAGCTAAACATATTTAAACACTACTGAAGAGGAACTGAGAAAAGCTGATGAAGAAGCAAATCTGTGTGGGTGTCATTTTTACAACTTAGCCAATTTGCGCTCTTTCTACTCCTCCTTTTTTTTCTCTCTCCAATACATTTTGGTTGTGTATATCTCATATTGACAGTGCTATGGATGCAAAATAGCCACACATTTAAAATTCATGACAGTCATCCACGATATCTGCTCCATTTGTTACTATAGCTGGCACTTGAGCGACAACTGCTGAAGTGACAAATCGAACAAGACTTCTTACTCTGCAGAACATCACTCATAAAATACTAAGGCTTTAAAAAGAGTAGTCTCCCTCATGCCAAAAGATAAAATCAATTGAGATAACCAAGTCAATACTAGCACAATTTGAGGACTGCTTACACCAACATTACCATAAAACACACTAATGTATAATATATGAGTAATGTATATTTTAAAGGACTAATGTATTTTAGATAAGTCCACGTCCTTTAAAATAAATAGTGGTCCTACATATCAAAAGCTGAGCACTACATTGGAATCAATAGCATGTAATTGTTGCTTGCACAAGTAAAGATTTAAAACTTGAATGTTATTTGTTTTTAATTAACAGAAATACGAGAACCCACCGGTTTTGCTCTTCTTTGTTTATTTTATGTTCTGTAAAGCGTATGTGAGTGTCCAAAAAAGCGCTATATAAGTTCGATGTATTTTTATGATTATTATTGTTAAGAGTATTCTTTCGAATGTATTCACTAGAGTCTAATTCAAGTCCCAGTATAGAATTGTCCAGCACATATAATTGATAATCAGGCCATGAATTTATACATTATTCATAAATCAGCTTTAAATCTCATGTGATTGTGTAAAACCCGCAAAATAACTGTACTTAAATCACAGTGCAGAGGGATCGCCACATCAATTGTTTGACTAGACTTTGCGCCGTGTAAACAATCAGATCAAAAAGCCCTGACTTGTTTTATTACGGGCGTGTGTCTGCACAACTAAAGTAATGCATCACACTCATTCACATGTTTGGATTTTCCTCGTTGTAATATCTTTAATCTGTTGCTTTTTACACTGAAACGAGTCTGGGGGAATTAACAAGACATCTGAGGCTAACTTAGCAGCCTCCTCCGCAGAGCCGCTACTGTACTATTCACCATGTGTATCTTCTCCCACAGATGTCACATACATAATCGCATGAGTTTAGAGGTGCTACTCACTTGTTTCGCTCGCTCTTCCTCCCGGTGTGTTGTGATAATGCAGAGATTTCGCCGTGAAAGCCTTGAGCAGCGGCGCTCGGACAGTGATGCCACGGAGCTGTGAAAAAGAGTGACTGTGGTCCACTTCCGCTACACGCCGTCCAATCAGCGCGTTGCTATGGTGACGTTGTTTACACTGGGGTAGTTTATCTTCAATAAACGTTATTATTAATCATGTTTAATTATCCCGCTAATTTGTCGTTTGAAGAAGGCATTGTTTCAAGTATTATAATGTTAATATATTATCTTAAATTGAAGATATGGGGCAAAACATTTGAAAAAAAATGCAAGCCACTTGTAAGTCCCGTCGCTACCACTACAATCACAGTCATGTGATTGTAAATAACGTCATTATCAAAACTAATTTAGGGGCACTACTTTTGTTTTGAAGAACAGAAAACTACTGTGATGTCAAAAGCCCTGTTTCCACCACCCCTGCTTGGCCCTATACACTACTCTACTCTAGTTCACTGTATCCCAATTGGGAGAGTTTCCACCAATGTTTAATCGGTATCAGATACTTTTTAGTACCTGCTTGGCCCTGGTTCTATCCAGGCTGAGGTGATACTCAAGTGTTAACTGACAGTGATTGGCCTGAGTGCTGCTGGAAATCATATCTACCAAGAAATGTCCACGGATACTGGTTTGTTTCTGAGTAGGTCGCAATACGGTACCAGTGTAATGTAAACAAAAATCAGGTAGAGCTGGTGGGGATGGGGCTGTAGAGGTACAATCATAATGGTTACCCACCTCTGTGCCAGAAGTTCCTGATGTTAACGTGGACGGACCTAAAACGGGGGATGAGGGAACAATGTTGTAACGTTGTTTGATTTAGCATTATATGAGTCATTTAAAAATACGAATAGAGCGTGAAAGATGATTATACATTGACGCAACTGTCTTAAGGCTGCAAAATTAGTCACACGATTTACATGGGAAAAGCAGGCTTCAGCTTGTATCTGTAACCGACACATAAACACACCCTGAATTAATGAATAGAAGAGATTAATTATGGAGATGATGAGTCATGCAAGCTGTCAAGGCTAAACAGAAAAAAACCAAGTTGTTATTGAAAAAAACCGAATGCAATTTTGGCCCTCAAAATGTGATAATGATACCATTTACATTAGCATGTCTTTTAAAGGTAAAATTTTGTGAACAAATCAGACCACAACATTGTCTTCCCCTTAATAAAAAACGGTTTGAATATAAAGAAAGGTCCCCGTGAGTCACTGTTTAGACGGAGGAGTAGAATTTTGTAATTATTTGTCATCTTTTCTAGCCTCTATTTCTCAAATGCATAACCGCACACAAATTAGCAGTACCCTATCCGAAGCATGTGTGTGTGTGTGTGTGTGTGTGTGTGTGTGTGTGTGTGTGTGTGTGTGTGTGTGTTATGTTGAGAATGGGAGTTTGTTTGACCCATTAAAAAGGCCAATGGTACAGAAAGCAGCACAGTTTTAACATCTTGTCTGAAATACAGGCCACACAGATGCTGAATCTTAAAATAGTATCAGGATGTTTGAACTATAGGATGACTATTATGAACCAGGATATAAATAGCCACATAATTGTAGGCAGCATATAGAAACCATATGCTGTGACCCTCAGTTTAGGTTAGCTGATTCTGTTGTTAGAGCCTGGACCTACTCCTCTAAATGTGGAGACAGAGATTGAGGAGAGCTGTGTCTGCTGCTTCTGTCATCTTTTCTGTCTTCTGTCTGAGATCTGCTGAAGTTTTGATCAAGTAGATGTTGTGACACAAAGAAATGATTCAGTAAGCCTTTTTTCCAGGTGTCTGTGTTGTTTCACTCAAGATCAAACTACTTTTTGTGTTTTTGTACACTTGCATTTTGATCCCTGCTAGAATTGCTTATATTTTTTTCTCTTGGAATTTAGAGTTCAAAACATGACACTAATAAACAGAATATTTTTTCCCTTGGACTTTGTTATTGGCTAAAACATTATCATCTACTCTTTTATTAATAAATGAAATAACAAGACTCATATTTTACTGTTTATTTAATAACCGTAACATAAAGAAATATGAACATAGCAATGATACACACAGTAGTTTCCATGACTTTTTACACAAAGTTTGCCAAATACGGACTCCACATTACGGCTCATGACTTTACAATGGACTCGCCTTAAAAAAAATCATCCAAATATAGCTGTATACAGTGGGTTTGTGAACATGTGAATCTTTGGCAAAAAACTGAATAGACAAAAAAAAAACATACATTTGACAACATGAACAACACTGTAGAAACTTTACATTTTGACTTCAATCTTAGGTGATGGTCACGGCGTCCCCAGTAGCTCCCAGTTTGGTCAGAAACTTAATTCGGGGGACAAATATTTTCTAGTGTGGACTATTGTCGAAGCAGCACAGGCACTTTGAAAGACACGGACATACAATCTGGTACAATATCATGCATGATACAACTCAGCCGTCATTGAGGTATTACTTAAAAGTGCATATGACAGGTTAAGCTATCCATTTTGTTGTAGAGTTATCCTTAAAAATTATGACTTAACAAATGGTTTGACATGTGTAGTTATGTAGAAACAGTAATAAAAGCATGTTTAGTTTACCTTAAGTTTGTGAGAGAAAATTGTTCCTTGACTTTGAATGAACTGTTAGCCTTTGTACCTTTTCCTGAAATTTAGGTTGCATCCAATTTAAAAAAATATCCCTATTTCCTTGTCCTTTGTTATCCTTTTTTTGCTCATAAAATTGTTTGGTTGTTTTCCTGACAAATGTTGGCTCCAGGTTTGGTAATCCGAAATGTAAGACCTTTCAAAGACATTTTTAATGCCGCCAAGATTCTTGCAAAGAGGAACAAGGAAGTTATAAGGAAGAAGGTGGTGTTTGTGAATTCAGATGCAGCCATTGACTAATATAAATAGGTCTTTATTGCCCTACAGTTTATAAACATGTCTTTATAGTCAGCAGCGAGCTTGTACTTGGAAAGGTTATGTCTCTGGTTTGATATAAAACTAATAAATTAGAAAGGAGAATGTTCTGCATGGTTTAACCGTTTATTTTTCCATTGAATTATTCCAATGATTTTCCACCCACAGTTACATGGATCCTTCTATTACATCATGGACAAAGCCATTTTTAAAACAAAAGTATTGCTTCTAAATTAAATGACATTCTTCACTGTGTTCTCCCTTTACACCACACCATTATGGATTGAACTGTAAATAAAGCATCATGTAATGTCCTAAGTTTAGAATTACAATTACTATATTTATCTGTAAAATTTCCACTTTTGCTCACATTCTTGGTAACATAGATAAAGCAAACGTCTTCACATTTACATTAAAGGTGATATCTGCAATTCCAATTGTATTTCATCTAAAAAAATGTATATTTCAGACCAAGGAACTCTGTACTATTATGTACAGGAATGATACAGTAATGATACATTTATAAAAGACCATTAGCATAAATACCACCTGGAAGATTTACTGGAGGAGAGCTGTTAAACCAATGACGAGAGGCCTCTAGGATTTGAATTCATTTTGTCCAATCAGGAAGCTGCAGGGTGAGAATGGGCGGGTCTAACTTGCAACTCTCCCTCTTCCCAGTTTGAAAATAAACCGAAATTCCGTTAAACTTATGTCAAACTGAAATACGAAAAGTTACCTGGCATAATTGATGATTAGAAAAACCTGCCATATGCACTTGACTTTAACATGGTGAAAAAGCTTGGTCTATCTTTGTCCATGAGTCGACCTTATGCAGCAAAACAGATCCCAGTTTGAAAAATACCCGTGCAACAGGAATGAAAGGAGCCAGGTTTATCTTCAGATTGTTTTATATATATTTACAGTTTTATAGAAATATACACATCTAGAACTGATTAGTCTTGATTTGTCTGGTTGCCTTTAGCTATCGAGAGTCTCCAGGGCTTTTGGGGGTGAGGGCAAAGCCATCCAGTTTGCGTATACACTATCATTGGCATATCTTGTAAAGAGGGGATTAGAAGCATCGTGTCTGCTGAGGGGCAGCGGGCTCTTCTCAGGCCAGTTGGGGTAAGACATGCCTAAAAACGAGAACATATCATTTTTCGACGCTCAGTGACAGACAAACAGCGTGCACACAGTAAGGCTTTTCAACTCAACTCTGCGGTAAAATATACAGCTTTGTCAATAAAGATTGTTGGGTCGTTATATTGAGAAAATGCAAGAAAGCTGGAAGTAAATGATGTATATTTGTATGTGTCTTAGAATAAGATTTAACAATGAAGCTGGGAAGTCCCGCCCACTTCACACTGGGCTCTGCTTCCAGAAGTAACAATCTTCATTAATTTTCCCCAAAGAAGTTTCAAATAATCCATGTATTTAGGGTGGGTTCTCAGTTTGGTGCAATAAAACCACTGTCCACTTTGATTGGACCAATATTAGAAGTATCCAACACTTCTTTTGAAACAGTTCAATGGTATCATAAGGACTATTATATTTTCTTTCCAAAAAAAAACCTTGTCCAATCCTCAAAAAATTATAGACATTTAACTTTTGGTCATTAATCAGTACACAGCTGATCAGCCCCAAACCGACGGCTTTCTAGCTCTAAAAAATGATTTATTTGTGAATCTCTGTGGAAAATGCACAAGATTTTTACTTCCAGAACTGTTAGATGGTCAGGCCCTTCGCAGCTCCACAGATCAAGCCAAAAATATCTTGTTTTGCTAAAAAAGGTACGTCGTATTTTAAGACAGACAAAATACACCTAAATTAAAAAAAATTCGTGCATCATCTCATATCGCCATATTTGTAGTTTTAACTTATCTCATGATCTTTCAAATTGGGGTTTTTTCATTTGAAAGAATGGTTAAAAAAATTCTAGCTATTTGTAATACTGCTGTTTGAGTAATAATTCATCATTTGGTAAAGCTGCACTACAGAACCTCCCCGGTGGGCGGTTGGAGTTTTGCTTTGCTTCACTTAAATGTTGTGTTGGAATGTTCCACAGTTTTCCATCTACATCGGAAACAATCAAGTGCCTTCAGGAGGATCTTACAAACCTTATCTATATATATACTGCGCAATGCTCCTTTTATATGTACATTGCAAGAATATAACTTTGCTGCCACAGTCACAGCTTGTTGAGACAGCTATTATTAATATCAATAGTAAATGATAAATGTTAGAAAATGAATTGTACAGTTGGAAGTTTATGTTTCTGCCTTGATTTTCGATCATGTACATTGAACTGGTGAGGACAGTGAAAGAAAAACTTCTGTATTTGTAAAGTCATTCAAGAGTCCTGCTCAAAAGCCTTACTTCAACCTTTTATAAGAAATGTAAGACAGCTCAGACATCAGACCAGAATGAGAGTGATTGATTTTGACGTGGACCTGTTTCAAATGTTACACAGAGTTTGATCCAAAGCAAAAAGAATGAAGCAAGAGGAATGTTGCAATGGAATATATACTGTATGTACAGAACAAATGCAGATGGCAAATGGGTACATGTATAAATATGCAAATGCTAATTTAGGAGATATATTTGATATTTACAGATGCAGTATTTTGGTATTACATTAGAAGCAGGTCCAAATAAACAAAAAACACAAGATCATTTTTGCTCTCATTTGCGATGAAATGGGAGATATGTCAGCAGCAAAAGGCATGCCTGCAGACCACAGTCACACAGTCACTACAGAAGCCAATCACAACTTGCCAAAAAACAGTGTGTCCTGTGTCTAAAAGATCCTAAAATCGAGTAAAAGCGTGGGAGATTCTACCATAGAGCTTGTTTTCAATCCATGTGGAGGGGAGGGAGCGAGGGATAGGGGCGTTATTACAGTCCACGAGCGGAGTGTCTTCTTCGGAGAGAGCGTCGTCGTACAGCAGCCCGTCTGCCGGAGTGGAGGCTGCCAGGTCCAGGTAATCCTGAAGCAGAGGATTAGATTAGAGACAGGAGTGACCGGAGTGACCAAAGAGACCGGAGAGACCGGAGAGACCAGAGAGACCAGAGAGACCAGAGAGACCAGAGAGACCAGAGAGACCAGAGAGACCAGAGAGACCAGAGAGACCAGAGAGACCAGGGGAGAAACCGGGGAGACCAGAGAGACCAGAGAGACCAGAGAGACCAGAGAGACCAGGGGAGAAACCGGGGAGACCAGAGAGACCAGAGAGACCAGAGAGACCAGGGGAGAAACCGGGGAGACCAGAGAGACCGGAGAGACCGGAGAGACCAGAGAGACCAGAGAGACCGGAGAGACCGGAGAGACCAGAGAGACCGGAGAGACAAGAGAGACCAGAGAGACCAGAGAGACCAGGGGAGAAACCGGGGAGACCAGAGAGACCAGAGAGACTGGAGAGACCGGAGAGACCAGGGGAGAAACCGGGGAGACCAGAGAGACCAGAGAGACTGGAGAGACCAGAGAGACCAGGGGAGAAACCGGGGAGACCAGAGAGACCAGAGAGACCAGAGAGACCAGGGGAGAAACCGGGGAGACCAGAGAAACCAGAGAGACCAGAGAGACCGGAGAGACCGGAGAGACCAGAGAGACCAGAGAGACTGGAGAGACCGGAGAGACCAGAGAGACCGGAGAGACAAGAGAGACAAGAGAGACCAGAGAGACCAGAGAGACCAGGGGAGAAACCGGGGAGACCAGAGAGACCAGAGAGACTGGAGAAACCGGGGAGACCAGAGAGACCAGAGAGACTGGAGAGACCGCACGCAGCAGCAGGGAGATGCAGAGGTACAGGCAGTGCAGGGCTCTTTCTCACAATACATGGAAAAAAGACAGAATGTGAATTTAACACAATTATTATAGATACATCCAATGCCTTATTGACATATTTACTTTATAAAAAGTTAATCTGCATAATATCATATAGCATGAACAATGTATCACTGAACAGCTGTATTGTATTTGTAAATGTATTCCACATAAAAATCCTTTGTTAATCACTCGTTAATTAGAAAGAGGTAAAACACTTCACACAATCTTGTTAAAACAATGAAAATCTTTGTTGTTGTTAAATCCAAAGCCTCTAACAACCAAAACAAAACAGTTCACTACAAACCTATATGAACAGAAGTAGATGATTGTAAGTAAACTAATTAATCTTTTATTTATATAGCGCATTTTTACAAATCAAGGTCACCCAAAGTGCTTCACAATGTTCAAATTGTACCGATAATATGAACTCAATATTACTTTGATTTCAATTTCATTTCAGGTCAAACTCTGATTTACTAAGGTTTGCAGTTTGTATGCAGTCTATTGTATTGTTCCCACTTCTCTTGAGGAATAAACATACAGTAGATATAAAATAATCATTATGACCCGAGCACTTTCCGCTGCGTGAAGAGCCGCTCTAAATACATACATTACATTCCCTGCTGTTTAAAGCTGTTATTTTTAGCCTGACTTCTGGTTTGCTTTGTGATTACCACGGCGCAGTTAGGATTCCCCAAACAATAATTATGGCATCTCCAGCCGACAGAGCTGATAGATCAAACACAGCATCTGCCAATGTGTCTTTATGTGATGTGAAATAATAGTGCTACTGTCTGCCAATGCGTTTACAGGCACTGGTTCTAAGTTAAAGCTGGGGTACCTAACTTTGAAACCACAAAACATTAATCATGTAATCAAATCCCTGTCCTGTAACTATGTCCTAGCTCTCAAAATGGTTTCACATGCACGTATTTTTGGCCTCATCTTTAGACTGGTTTTCAGTTAAAATACATTGGAAATATGCTTGTGTTCATGGTCTTGAATGAATAAATTACATGAAATTAAGTCATCTTCATATAGCACCTTTGACGGATCGGAGTCACAAAGCACCTTACAATTGTTGAAACCACAGAACATGACATTTCCACACAGAAAGGCCTGGAGGTGTAATTGAACCCTCTTGCTGTGAGGCACAAGCTCTAACCACTGCACCACCATGTCGCCCATAACACATGCAGTATATTAAACATTAGGAGGAGGACTGGCAGCGCTCGACTGTCATTATGGACTTCCTTTTCTTCTTTCATAAAGTATTGCGTCAGAGCAGAGCGACCCACAGAGACGGTGAAGACAAACACGTATGATTTTGGATCAAATGTAGCAGTTTTAGGAGTTGTTCCGTCCTCTACACTTCTCCTCTACACTTCTCCTCTACACTTCTCCTCTACACTTCTCATCTACACTTCTCCTCTACACTTCTCCTCTACACTTCTCCTCTACACTTCTCCTCTACACTTTTCCTCTACACTTCTCCTCTACACTTCTCCTCTACACTTCTCCTCTACACTTCTCCTCTACACTTCTCCTCTACACTTCTCCTCTACACTTCTCCTCTACACTTCTCCTCTACACTTCTCCTCTACACTTCTCCTCTACACTTCTCCTCTACACTTCTCAGAGGTGGCAGAAGCAGCTTTTTCTCTCCACCTCGCTCCCGGCTTTTGCTGCGTGTGCATGTACAGTATAGTCTGGGTTACAGTGCAAAGTTTCTTACGCAAAAGAAAAAATGTTTTAAAATGAACAGAGCATGTTCCAACTTGATTAGACTTTCTGTGAAAATGTGTTGTTTGAGGGATAAAAGTTACCCCAGTATCGTTTCCTAGTCTCTTTCATAAATAACTTGTGTGGTTATAACCAGTGTTTGGCTCATACCCGACTTTTCACCATCATCTTTTCCAGTTCTTTGCTGATGTCGCAGAAGGTCGGCCTCTTGTCGGACTCCTGTTTCCAGCAGCGGAGCATCAGGCTGTACCTGTGAAGGGGAAAATAAACTTCAAACTAATCCTGTCTGAAGGCTGTGGTTTCCATGAGGCAATCCACATGCTCTGATCGACTATGACCAGTGATGGGAATAACAGCGTTGAAATAAACAGAGTTACTAACATTGTTACTTTGCCGACACCCCGTTACTGCACGTTACTCAAGTCGCACAATGATCTTTTTTTTTTTACTTCATGATAGGACTCGTGCGCGTGTTGTCATGAGAGAAGGGAGGATGAGAAAACCTCTCAGCAATTATTGGCAGAAGTATGGTAAGATTACGTCTTCAGCCAATCAGAGAAATTGGGTTGGTGGGTGTTTCTGCTTTCACAGTGGTGGGTGTTTAGTGCTTACAGCACAGAGATGAAGAGTGAGGAAGACTCCAGCAGAAAAACAGCCTTTTCCAGATGGAAATATTGGCCCTATTTCAAACTCACTGAGGTTAAAGGTAAAAATGTGCACATCGTGTGCACATTATGTTCCAGAACTAAACAAAAAAGTAACGTAATAGTTACTTTTACTGGTAACTAGTTACTTTTATAGTGGAGTAACTCAGTAACTTTTCGGGAGAAGTAACTAGTAACTAGAACTAATTACTTTTTTAAAGTAACGTACCCAACACTGACTATAACATGTTCAAACCAACAAATCACAGACTGTTTATGCAGACAGAGTAAAATATTACTCCAGAGAAATGGTCCAAAGAATAACACAAACATGGGAGTGAACAAGTTCGAGAAACTGAAGTACATTTTTCTCAACACATTTTTCATATTTCCATTTTGTAAAGTCAGATTTAGACTCTACAGTTCAAGTGCTAAGTCCTCTAATGCTACTTGATGGACTGTGTGCTTTGTGTTTTCTAAACCTTGACGTGGGAAAACGAGGACAAGTATGTTGTTGACATTTTAGCGCTGCATTTATAGCATATTTTTACATCACAATCTGTTTCAACATTTTCACAAATCAAAGCTCAAGTGAGCGCCCTCTTTCCAACCTGAAGCACCATTTTATCACAAACAAAAGCTGCCGTTTTTGGGTTATTTCATCCAGGTAAAGACCAGGAAAAGGTTTGAGAGTTAACACAATATACTGTAAAGGAAGGTTTCTCACCCATCATCTGTACTTCTTAGCAAGTTTTCCCGACGTTTCGTCCTCAACCTGGGGACTTCTTCAGGGAATGAATTCTCGGACCGCGCGTTGGAGATTTATAACCTATGGGTGTGGTAAGCCACACCCTAACCCTGATACTAACTCGTAAACAATCTCAGGTCTGCTTGATGTAGAAGGGAGCAGGTCTAACGACCCTGCTGAGGCTAACGACCCTAACTCCTTAGCATGTCACAGACCTATTGTCTGCTGGGATCATCAAGTGCTGGGATCATCAAGTGGAGTGCAGGTTTCACCCCTCCTAACTCATTAGCATGTCACTGACCTTGTCCCAAGTTAGGGCGTTGTTTTTAGGATGTCGTCATAGATGCGAGGCAAAACAAATCTTAACCCTCCTCCTCTGTTAAGAGAAGGTTTCTGTTTCCTCACAAAAATGGCTTCTTTCACCCCTCTCTCAAACCAATTCTTCTCCCGAGCCAGAATTTTAACCTCTGTGTCATCCACCGTGTGGTTGGAGGCCTTGAGGTGGAGATGAACAGCCGACTGTGGCCCACTAGAGTTTTCTCTACGATGTTGGTAAAGTCGTTTCTGTAGAGTTTGTTTGGTTTCTCCAATATAGTGGTCAGTGCACTCCTCTTCACTACATTTAATTGAATACACCACATTGCTCTGTTTGTGTCTGGGTGTTTTGTCTTTGGGATGCACTAATTTCTGTCTTAACGTGTTGAAAGGTTTGAAATACACAGGGATTTTGTGTTGCCTAAAGATTCTTTGTAGTTTCTCTGAAACTCCCGCCACATACGGTAAGGACACCCCTCTCCTCCTACTTTCTTCTGTCTGTTGGACTGTGTCTCTGGCCTTTCTCGTCCTTTGGGCTTTAGTAAAAGACCACTTGGGGTAGCCACATCTGGAAAGTGCTCTCTGAACATGTTTGGTTTCTTTGTTCTTTCCCTCCGAGCTCGTGGGGACCTGGTGGGCTCTGTGTTGAAGCGTTCTAATGACCCCGAGTTTGTGTTGTAGCGGATGATTTGAATCAAAAGCCAAGTACTGGTCAGTGTGAGTGGACTTTCTGAAGACCTCAGTCTCAGGGACGTGCGGTGAGGTTTGTGATTGGGGAGGCACTGACTTTAAACAGTCAGATTTACCATAATTATTCTAATAAAATAGCATTAAATCGTCAATGCAAAAACGTCCACAAACATTATATACTGTAAAGATAAGAACCAGCATATTAATAATAATCCCACAACACATCTGAAATTTCTCCACTGTGAGACTAATAAAGGTTTATCTTATCTTATCTTATCTAGATGCTGGCTCTCCGCTCCGCATCAAACCAAGTCTTTGCCGTTATTATAATAGATCCATGGTCTTTGCGAAGCACAGGTGCGAGAGACGGGAGGGAGAGAGAGAGACGCAAGGAGCGAGAGATGCGAGGAGAGAGAGAAAGGGAGACATATGGCGTCAAAATAGGGTCTGCTTAAACGTAACCGTAAAGCAGGAATTGTAAACGTAGGTTGTAAGTATTGTAAACATAAAAAAATATTGTAAACGAAAAAACTGTAGCGTAACCGTAAAGCAGGAATTGTAATCGTAGGTTGTAGTATTGTAAACATTAAAAATATATTGTAAATGAAAAAAATTAAAACTTACATTTACGGTTCTGATTTTTCATGTTCCGCTTCAAAAGTTACGTTTACGATTCACAAGTTACGTTTACGATTCACAAGCTACGCTTACGATTCACAAGCTACGCTTACGATTCACAAGCTACGCTTACGAGTCAAAACTTACGGTTACGATACATTTTTCATCTGACCCCTTTTTGGAGGGGCGGGCTCAGCGCGCCCATTGGCTGGAGACACCGGATGTTACGTCATCACAAAACCAAAACACACACCATTCAAAATTCAAGTCTCGTTCGAACTCTACATCGTATGATTGATCACATTTTTTCAACTGGGCTGGCTATTATAGGCTTTCACGTGGTATGTGCACTCTTGTGGACACCCTAATTACACCAGGTCATGTTTAGATCGTGTGAAATATGCTCTCGTGATAACGTCATATGCCTATGTTGCCCCCAGGCTAGCCAGCTAAGCTACACCACCACCACTGTACGTTGTTCACACTGAATGCTTTGTCATGTCAGGATTATCTACTGCTATCAAAGGTGAATAAAACTATGTCTTTGATTTTTTGTTTGCTTATTATTTACATAATTATAGCGGCTTACCTAATGAGCCCATGCTAGCTAGCAATGAATTTTGTCAGTCCATAACCTGTACATAAAGTTTTGAAACAAATGAGGTAACTAGCTGAATGATTAAACACATCTGTGAAACTTGCTAAATAGTACGTTCCATTGGCTTCATGATATCTTATCAAAATTAACTTAAAGTTAAGTAGCTCAAATCGGGGCTAACCTGTTAAGGCCATTAATTTTACGATATTTGGCTACTGTACCTGTACTGTGTTTGCTAATTTAGGATGGTTAAGATTCCTAAAATCACACAGAAACTCTGTATAGTTCTGATCTTGCAGGTTATCTCTGCGATGGGCACCAGCACCACACATTGCAGACCAGCAAGATGTGGTTTTATAATAATCTATATAAATGTGATGTATTTTCATGTCTTAGGGACCAGGTCTGCAAATTAAGTGCTAGCTATACAGCCTATGAACATGGTATCGGCCACCTGTATCAATACTTTTAGTTCTGTGCCTATCAAATAAACATATAATAGCACTATTCTCACAGAACAGTGGGTTGTAGATAGGAGTAAATGGCCGTCTGTTACCTGGCCTAATATCTATAACTTCCTCATCCAGACATACAGTGTTTATACATGACTGACCTCCTCCAGATCTCCACACCTGCCCGCTCCCTCCGCTCCTCCTATCCTCTCCAGCTCTTGGTCCCTCCTGCCCGCCTTTTCACCATGTGGAATAGAGCCTCTCCGAATCCACCCTCACAACTCATCTGTTTAGACAAGCCCACTCACTAACATCATAACCACACTCTCCTCTCTCCATGATGCTTTTAACTGTTTTTAAAATACACTTTTTTTACTTGGTTGTAAGGCAAAAACAAATTATTAAAAACAAAAAAAACATAGCATATAGATCTATAAATACATACAATTATGTGGACATGTGAAATACTTCCACTCTGGGACTGAGTTCTTTGTTTTGAGGCTGATGTGCTCCCAGTCAGAGAGTGGGCATTAAGTCAGTACGTCTACAAAGACTTGGTACATCCTTACCCTGAACTGTTCCTGTATGGCAGGGTATAGACATGTAACTTGCTTTTAATGTTCAATTACAGTCTTAACCTGGTGCACACCCATTAACCCCTTTATTAGTGTAATCTGCGTTATGTTTTATGTTCTGCGCTGTCTGAAGAAGGAGCAGGACACAAGGAGGACCACTGAATGACATTTACTAGTAGCTCTGCACAAAATAAAACACATCCACTTCACGTCTATAGTGGCGTATGGGAGGGCAAACTTAATCCATGACGCCACGGCGGGCTAAGCAAGGGAGCAGACACTGATGACGCGCAGTCGGAGATATTGCACAGTATGATGAAGTTTATTGCGGAGAGTAGAAATGAATCAGGCACTTACTTGGAATGTTGCTATGTATGATAATGAAGATACCTCATTAAGACAGTGCAGATATTTTAATTGATGGAAACATGCGGTCAACAGAAAGTTCCTTCCCCAGCTCACCCCACCGCCATGACACAGGCACACACACACACAGCTGAAGTGAGCGCGTGCACTGAATAGACAACCACACCCACTGGACCCGTGCATGATACTATATGCGCGTGCATGTACTAGTCACATTCACACAGAAAAACAAAAACCCTAAATG